TACGCAATTTACGGGAACAAAAGAAAGCGTTTGCATAAGAAAAGAGTTCAACTCCCACAGGATTAGTCTGGGAGACCAACATGGCCGCCGCTTCATTGTTTTGGGATACCAATGTGGCCGCCATGACGTCATGTGAAAACACTCTATTGCTTTTATGACGCTCTCGTTGTCGTCGCCATCGTCGTTGCTAAAGCTCCCAAACAACACGCATCAGACGCATCGAATGCAATGCCGCTCATTTTTCTGGCGATTATTCTGTACTGTTGACGCCACCTCCTGTACATGTATATCGCAAACGTCTTCCAAATTTGGCCAACGCTAGCTGGTTAAGAAGAATTAGACGTAGGATTTTAGCTAATCAGAAGCAAAGGAATATTTTGAGTGAATAATAATGTAAATTTTGGAAAGCAAGGCGCAAGCGCCCTCGAAGCCTTAAACATCGTTGACATATTGATGACATGATAATCGCCAATAAGCTAGTAGTTCTTTTTCTGGAGAAAGCAAATTTCGGTTGCGCTCAAAAATGTCCACAGAACCGGTCTATTTTCTCATTTATCCACCCCCACCCCTTGCGCCAGCTGCCAATAAATCCAGAAATCTTTGTGCATATTACGATAAGAATAATTTCAATTTCAAGTTGACATAGAATCAAATCCCGTAGAAAACAATTTTAGTACAAAATGGTCCTGTCAACCTGATGAATTCTCGTTGGAGAAATGAACGTGACTTGATCACACCTTCACTTACCTTTACCAAACAATGTTGCCAAAGTATCTAAGTACGTTTCGCTGTTGCTATAGCTCTTATTCGCCTCACCGACGTTTTCCCTCCAGTGTACGTACGCTTCACCATGGAACTCAATCCGAAGTCCCTGTAACTTCAACTTCTTATTCACCTTGAGACAGAGGGCTGCATTTATTGTCTCCCCTGGGTAAAAAGTCCTTTTTCCTCCGTAAAATTCAACAACGAAGTAATCAACTTTCCCCATATTTTGTCATCGTCATTCAAATCATTTCGATGATTATTATGATAGCACAGCGTTTTTAACGTGCGCTTTCACTCGTTACGTTTTTATTTATTATAAACAACAGTAAAACTGCGCACGTACGGTATACCTTTTTCAAGAAAGCTTTAATATTGCTGTTGTGGTTTACGTTTGCGGGATATTCGGAGCGAGGCGTTATCAAGTATTTCTGGCAACCGCGGCTTGTGATAAGAGTGCAACACAAATTTAACTGCTCCAGCGTTCCGCAAAAAATAGAAAAAAAAGGTTCTCAAGGCGTACAGTGCTCTATGCTCCAATGGTGAACAGAGTTTAGCGAAAGCTGGATTTAGTGGGTACCCACGGGTCTGGTTAATAGAGTTGGACATTTCACAGTTGGGTATCCACCGTTGGCTCTTCTTGTTGACTGAACACGGCTGAACACACGGTGTAAGTACAGTCGTTTGCCGTTTTCACGCAATTTCTTCCAACGCGCCAGTTTGTATTATTCGTGATAAATCGTTGCATGGTTCTGATTGGCCGATTGAGAATCCTATTTGTTTCCGGACAAGAAATACTATTAATACATGGCTTGTTCCGCAAGTCGCGAAAATAAATCGTATCCTGTGTTCTGATCGGCTAGTCGCGCGAGCAAGATGGGCCTTGATATTACCCACTCGGGATTTCTCGCTTTGGTCACCCAGAGAAAAACAGCTGTCCAGACGATATAATAATCCTTTATAAATGACCAAACATGTTTGGAAGTTGGCTGGATATTTGTCTCGTTCTTTCTTTGCATTTTTATCGACCTCGACTTCGTCTATCTCCTCTTAAAAAAACCTGCCAATATCTAGTAATGTTGACCTTTAAGTAATAACGCATGTTCAAATAGTTATAAATATTCTCGATTACGGATTACGACATCTCGTCGCGTCTAATGTTGTTTTCAAAAAAATATTTATAGCCCGCCCTCGGAAGCACGTTACACCACCCACGGTTTCTTTCGATATACATGATCGAATACTTCATGGAACTAAAAAGTGCGCGTGTCCTGTATTTAGGCACGAGTTACTGACGCATCAGAAAACGCGAACGAGTGAGATAATGAACCAGTGCATAAATAACGTACAAAGCACTTTCCAAGTGGTATCATGTTTGTCATGTATATAGAGAGATACTCAGACCTTCAGCATTCTGGTACAATATCTTAACTTTATTATATTCCTTCCAACATACTGAAATGCTAGTATTTATTGCCATTTGGTTAGGGCGCCTATTATATTGCTGCGCTTATCAAAAGTCAGAACTGGCCGGCCAAAATGAACAAGGCTTTTGCGCGAGGGCTATCCTGTGCATAGTATTTAAAAATACAGTTATCTGGATGGACAGTTTTCATTGATAGTGAATTCTTTTCATCATGAGATGATCTAGACTAATGGAAAACGCTCATGATCTTTCAAGAATTTTTAGTTGGCAAAACGAAATATTTTGAACTACAATATTCAGTATAAATAATGGTATTGTTTGATTTACAATCTACATTCAAAGCAATATACAGGAATTAAAAGTAAACTTTTGCGGGACACACTATAAATATTAGAAACATCAGTTTGAGTACAGTTACAGTCCAGTTTGAATATAATTATAGTAGACACTTACAGGAATCGAAAGCAAAAGGAAGGGATTTAAAAAGTATAAAACGTACGTCTTGCTGAGTTTTGCCAAGGCTCTAGTCCTTAAAATTGAGATTAACGAAGCCATTTTCACTCAGCGGAAAACATTCCTTTTTGTCACAAAAATACAGTCAACTTCTCTGCAAAGTCTTATCGAGTTGAAAAGGTGCAGTATATTCCTGGTTAGGCCAATGACATTTCTTTTATCGTTAGAATAAATTTACAATTTTTTTCCACGGCCAACAATCATGGTGACAGCATGGTGAACGCTGGCTTTTGTGGCCCATCAAATGGTCCTTTAAACTTCTCTTCACATTGTCTGCTAATTCCATGAAGGTTGTATTTCGCGAGCACTGTTTCTACTTTACCGTATTTCAAATCGTCTACCAGTTTTTTCAATTTTCATACAATTTCATCATTCTACACATCAATTTTGCAGTGTGGATGCTCAAATTCGCACTATCACCAGCTACTCTACAAGCTAATTATAAACGTTCCCACTCCTGGGGTAGTGCCATCGCCAGGGCGGGGGGGAGGGGTACTTCCTCAGAAGAGGCTAATGGGGATGTGCCGCTGGATGGGGTCGCATTTTCACGACTGGGTTGACTATAATCAGGTAGCATTTTCAATAGAGTTACTAGAATGGGGTCGCAGATTTTCGGATTTTTGAGGCAAGAAAGTTCTTCATATTTTCGGTTAGCAAACGTACCAGAATGTTTGTACTGTAAGTGAAAAGTAAAGTGTTTTTCATTCAGTTCAAACAATGGGTCAATTTTATTATGACCTATTTAAAGGATTGATAAGGTAGATACATAAATAGAAAGTGACTAAGTTTGGGATCGCGAAAATTACATTTGCAAATTACATTTGCCAAAAAATGAAAAAGATGGGTCTTTAATTGGCCAAAGAATAGACCATAATGGGGTAGGGCCTCTGAGAGGCCAGCGGCACATACCCAGCAAAAATTAATCCAAGTACCCCCCCCCCCCCCCGCCCCGGGGGCACTCTCGATGGCTTTACGGTTTTTTGTCGAAATCCTAAAGAAATAACTTCTTAATAAATAACATGGCTAATGTCTGCCACTTCGAAGCTAGTTGTACTTCCCTCTTAGGGATATGAAGGAGGCGGTGCAGAGGGAAATTGGTAGTTATTAACAAACGGGTACATTGGTGTAAAGCTGGTATCACCCAGAGTCTTTTTATCGCCCTCGTCATCAATTGACGCTCCACCGCTAACACACTCTGCGTACGAAGGAGGAGCTGAAATCAAAAACAAGAAATTTTTCATAAGCAAAATCTTAGGTCAAAGAGTTCTGGAGTTTTTTTTCTTTCTTTTTATAAATTGACCCCGCGAAACCGGGTTCAAGCTTTTCATCTCCTTGGACAATTTATCGGCGTGTAACCGAAAACATCAAAGTGATCAGATCCCAGAGCGAACCCAACCCGCTTTGGGGACAAGGTCTAGTGTAACCACACCAAAGTCTAGTGTAACCCTCCGGGTAGCCGTAATTTTTGTGGGGGTGGGTGGGTGGGCGGCTGCGATTAATTTCGGAATACTACGGTAGTCACGATACAAAATGTTTCTTACCAATATTTGGATAATTCTGCGCAGGGTCACCATACTGTGTAGCGGCTGGTGGATACGCTGATGCTGCGTCAAATCCGGCCAGTGGTGGGGCACTAGGAGTCAAAGCAGCACCTGCGGGTGGGTATTGGGCTGGATGAAGGGGTGGCCGATATGGAACTGAGCCAATTGTGATAGGAATGTTTAATGTTGAGTTGAAGGCACCCTTCACTCTTACTTTCAGCTGTTGAAAGGTGGTATTAAAGAAAACTAAATAAGCAGCGAAATAGAACTGACCTACAACTGTCGGTGTTTAACTCGATTAATTTTTATATCATCCCAGTACACATCTGTGAAAGACAGTGGGGAAAATAATTTTTTATTAGCCAATCCAACTCAGCTTATTTGAGCATTTTCAGGATTCGTTTGTTAATGAATGAAACAAACCTCGGCACTTCAAGTCGTAATTGTTCCTTGTTACCCAAGGTTTGAAGGCAAAAGAAAAATCCTCTCATTTTTTCTCGCCATGTGAGGTCTCTGTTTAAGCAGGAAAAATAATATTTTGAGTAAGAGAAGTTCTTAGCTGTACTAAAGACATTCCATCACCAGATGAATTCACCACAGATGCAAGTCCCGTCATTCAAACCAGAACAACTTCGGTTGGTTTGACTTGATGGGAAATGTTGGCAAGGCAGCAAATGACAGTCGTTAAAAAAAAAAAAAAAAAAAAAAAAAAAACATCAGGTCTTTTAAAAAATTCAGCTAAACGGTCAGATAATGGGTAAATTACCCGTAGAAAATATGATATCCTTATGCAACTGCAACTCGTCATGGTTGGGGGCAGAGAGGGGACTGGAAGTGGTACCATTGGCATGCGAGTCTCTTCCCCAGGCTTCACTCCTTCTTGAAACATGGATGCAACCTTATCTTCCCAGTGTTTTTGTTTTCCTAGAAATGAATCAAATTGATCATGGTGATGATGAAGATGAAAATCATGGAAGTAACTGCAGCCACTTCTAACCTACACCCCTAAAACAGTGGCTATGTGGCTATGGGACTCATGGCTTGTTTTTTTTGGTTTGCAGTTACAGCAGCGCGAAAGCTGCCTCGCGGCTAAGTGGCTACACAGCTATGTGGCTATGTAGCCATGTAGCCACAAGCCACTGTTTGAGGGGTATAGCTTTAAAAGGTCCGGGTGTTTGACAGTTCAGCCAAATCAGAGTATCAGGAAGATGAGAGTCAACAGGGGATCATACATGATAAGAAAGCTGGCTACCAAATAGGCCCTATTCTTGAGGTTATCTTTCTCCTGTCAAATAGTGCAAGGAGATTTAATTTTATGTAACATTTTTAGTATGACTATAGCCATTACCCTAAAATTGGTGAAATTATAAATTAAGTTAAGAACATAAATTTTTATATATTACGTTAGTTGTATGTCTTTTTTTTCTTTCAGATCTTAGGATTTTTTTACACAAAAAGAAGTTGAAAAGGTCATACCAAAATTTGGTGTCATGATTATGGAATATGGTACATGCAACATAATTACAGTAAAATTCCGAAAAATAAGCCCCTCCATGTATAAGCCCCCCCAGGGGCTTGTACTTGGAAAATTGCCCTCAAATTACAAAGTGAAACAAAGCAAAAACAATAAATTTTTTTCCAACTATAAGGCTAGCCCAATAGATTTCAAAATGCAAATTTCCCTCCGTAGATAAGCCCCTCTGAATATAAGCCCCTACAAAAATAAGCCCCTGAAAAAGGGCCTTTGAAAAATGTAAGCCCCGGGGCTTATTTTCGGCATTTTATGGTATATTACAAAAGGTAGCCAGCTTTCAACTCCATCAAATAACTATGACCAGGCAGCCTTTCAGGAATTTTTTTCTTCTCCAACTAGAGGTGAAGCTTTCTTGTGTATTAAGGACTTGATCAATATGCTTATATGTAAGGTCCCCATACTTAAGTGTTAGCACTCGGTAATCCACCCTGACCTGACAAGTAGTATCATGTGAAAGTCAACTGCCAAACGTTTTCATTTTAATGGTCACACCATAGTAAATCAAAAAGTGACTCAGACGTTATAAACTCCTTACAAATCTTGGGCAATCATTCTCGTGAAAAGGTTAATATATTTCACACCTTTATAACTACAATATTGTGCAGTTCCCACAGTGACTGCAATTCAAAACAGTTCTGACACAAACACTAAATCAAATTAAATTGACTATTAAATAATTTTTTCTAGACTTGTTCTTAAGTGTGACGTTAGTTCTTATACCCACCACCAGAAGCAATGAAGACAGTGAGTTGAATAAGTTGTATCTCCAGCCCAATAATCTCATTTTTTGAATTATTATTAATGACTGCCGAGACACCAATAGATTCTCCTGGACAGTAACCTCCTCTGTCAGTATAGACAATAATACTGAGTGGACCAGATACACAGCACAGGCATCCCACATTACGATCCTCTTGGATCTGACAAGGTTGCTGAGGAAATAAGAGTTGAAATTAATGTACCGATCGTATTAGACTTGACTCAAGTCACTTTAGCCCTATCTAAGGCTAATAGTATATTATAAAACTGCTACGATAACAGGGTTGGAAACTAAAGTTTAGGAGCACTCGCCCAGATCAGTTTTCACTTGCCCAATAGCCCCCTCCTCACTGCATGGAAGTTCACTCTCCACGCCCTGAAACAGACCATAATAAACAAAAAGGAAACAACACCATACTCAAGCAAAGTGTTGAAATTATACACTAAAAGCACTGGCAAGATAGAACCATTACATTGATTAAGAGTCTTGTTTATGCAAAACGGCAAACGTGAATTTGTACTGCATGACCAAGTTTTCCCACTTATGTTCAGGTTTGCACACAGCAGCAAAAATTGCAATTAATTTTCTCCAACTTTTCACAATTTTTGCTACTGTGTGCAAACTTGGGCATATCTCAGTTTTCTTCTTAATTGTCGTTTCCTGTTTATTACTTCTAACTCAAAAATACATAGTTTCATGCCAGTTTTATCCATAAGAATTGTTCCAGATAGTTTTTATCTGATTATTTTCTTTTCTGAAAAATTCTCAACTTCAATCTGACATTTGCCGCTTGCCGCAAATGTGACTCTTAATGGAGAGTTTAAGCTTCATGTATTCTGCACACAGCAAAAGTCAGATTCACATTGAGAATTGCTCAAAATACAAAATGAGCAGATAAAAACAGCTCAAAACAATCATTATGGATAAAAAATTGCATGAAACTACTTATTTATGTGTAGAAATAATGAACAGTAAACGACAATAAGTAAAGGGGAAACTTGGTTACGTGGTACAATTAAACTCATGTTTGCCATTTCACATAAACATGATGCTCTCTCCAATCTTCCTATTTTCCCGCATTTTGCGGTTCTGTGGACAGCGCAGTGTATTTAACGACCAGAGGCATTACTGGTATTTTGTACAAGTGTTCATCCTTCATGAAGCAATCATTGAGGCAAAGAGCATTTTGTCTGTTCACGCACCCATTTTAAAAAATACAGACCAGGGTTGATGGACATTTCAGAACATTGGTAAGCTTCTGGCTAAAGGACAGTGTAGATTATTTTCAAGTGGAAAGTGAAAAGTGACGTTAATTTCGAATTAATGTATCGTGCCAGTATGAACACCGTACTCGCCAAACCGGGCATGTAATTGTTGATTTGTACTTGCCCGACCATTTTGGAACTTGCCTTGGTGAGCAGGCGAGTGCCAATGTCGAACCCTGCATAGCGGGCATTATTAACCCATTCGCCCCTGAACCGCCCATAACCGCCCGTGCGGATCCAGGTCCTTTCTTCCCTTTGTGACGTCATCAGTTTTAACGGTCAAGGACAACTTTCTTCGCTAACTTGTGCAGAGTGAAGAGATCTTTCAAACCATACCAGAATGAGCACAATTCAGTCAAGGACACCGGAGAAAGAAGCAAAAAACCATGTGACATTGACCTGAAAATCTCCATGAAAATCTTGTTCCATTACCCACCTACCTTTCCTTTCACCTAATCCTAAGATCCTAAAAGCTTTCTTAAAACTCTTCCCACCAAAATGAAGCCTACTAAATGCCCAGCAAGAGAAAAAAAAAATGAGGCAAGAAAAGCGAAAAAAGAAGGGAGGAGAGAAAGCGAAAAGTAAAAGTCAAGACTGCTGTGTCGATCACTTTTAAACCCAAAAAATCTCGAAATTTTGCTTTCTGCGCATGCCCGAACTTCGTAAGCCGATATTTTGAATCTGGATCAGAAGGCCGCGAAGTGTACGACCTGTAAACCAGTTTGTGGTAAGTTTTAGCTCTTTATAGCACGACAGTGACCAGAAAACCACTCGACTAGCTTCAAAACGCGTTTTTTGGCAAAATCTCCAGGAGCAAATGGGTTAAAGGAACTTTACTTTGCTATTTTTTGCAACCTCATGATGCTATTTAATACTCTGTTCATTTAATATACCTTCATTATACTATACCAGAAACTCATAAGAGTTTCTGACTATACAGAATAGGCTACAACTACAGCTACACCACCATGTTCATGTATACTGAAGGCAATCATGTTGCAATTTATTATAACAATCAAAGATACTTGTATTTTTCAAAACCAATTTCTATTCCAAATCACATTTATTAAAATTAAGTCTACCAAAATATGTCTCTACCAGTTTTCCAAGGTCCTGTTAAAAAAGTTATGAATAACTTGGTAATTAATATTTTCAGATTTCCTCTCTGTGTATTTTCTGATACTCTTTAGAGGAAAAAGCTTTGTATGAGTAAGCACAGACCCAATACGTTGTATTTGATTTGCTAGGGAAAGATCATGATGTTAATAAAAACTTACTAAAAGCAGAGGTGTATTGATGTCCACATATTCCAACATAGTGAAGGCTGCTTTGGTCGTGATATCAAATCTCCATGGGCGGTCAACAATTCCCTTTAACCAGTAGCGAACATAGCCATACCTTCCTTCTACTGAGGTCGGCATATTGATGTTTGGGATTAGAAACTGAAATGGATAGGAGTAATCACCAGGCTGGAGAACCGGGTCATTGCCACTCTGACCTGGAGCTGCCAATCAAAGTAGATAGATAGGTACACTTGTGTAGGTAGGTATTAATGGTAATGGGAAAAGCTTAGAGGATTTTCAAACCGATCCCCCAATTCATCCTAGCTTTTTAGAAATGACCCCCATAAATCTTATGTATTGTGAAAGTCACCCCCCAATATTATCAATATTCTAGCTACATTAAATTGTACCAAAGTTCAGTAAATCTACTGAGTTGTGTTTATGAGATGGGTGTTCACTATATTTAATGGCTCAGTGGGCTCCATTTGCATCAAATACATTGCACCTAGACTTTCAAAAAAGTCCTTCATCGGATTTCATATGGCGCGGGACAAAGGACTTTTCATACTTGATTGGCGCCAATTTTACTGACCCAAAAAAGGGTCGGTGCACTTGGACCAATCAGAGTAGCTACCCTTGGAAATAAAGCCGTCACTCACGAGTACTAAGCGCATTGAAACGTGACTTGAGGTTCAAATTCCCACATGGGGTTGATTGCGAAGTGGAAGGTGTTGACAGGCAAAGCACGACTCATAATATAGGCTTGTGACAGTGTGCTACGTGACCTTATAGTTTTGCTCTAATGAGGATATCTCCCAGCAATTTTGCTCTTTTATGTGAAATGATGGGAGGCTCGTTGTATACACTGTATTTCTCTCAGCAGTGGTTGATCTTGAATTAAGTGCCATTTGCTCATTAAAATGTTTTTAAGGTTCTGCAAAGCAGGGTGGTGTGTGGTAATGAAAGGCAGAATTTTCTTTTGCACTTCATTGTTCTTTTGTAAAGCTGACTTCTGCTCCGTAAATTTAACCTCAGAGGCAGTAATCGCCTCCTGTCAGAAGTGATTTTTTCTATGAGACTGTGACAGTAACCTCTAGCCCAAAGGCATTTTTTGAAGTTGTAGATGTTTTCATAGAAGGATTTAGATGAGGAGTTAGTTCTCACGGGTATAAGGGCTTCGCCCTTTATGACACCTTTTCTGACCATATGAGGGTTACAGGAAGAGAAATGCGTGTATTGAAAAGTCTCTGTAGGTTTAAAATGTGTGTGGATGTCAAGGATTCCTTGGTTTTGAAATCTCCTTTCCCAGTATTGACTCGGGATTGAAACAAGTTTTTGTTTTTTTCCGGCCCCCTGAGGTCGTCAACTTTCACCTAAAATCATTGTCAGAGACAACTTTCGCACAAAGTAAACAAACTTGCACCTTCGATGATGGAGATACACATACATGTTCAACAGATTTAGTTGGAGTGGAATCTGCACATTCTGCCATTGAACGCAAGGACTCGCAAAGGAAACCTGAAACCCCAAATGCAAGTCACGCCACCCCCCATTTTTGGCGCGAAATGCAAATGGAAAACCCATCAAGCGAGACAAGTCAACCTCTCCCAACTTTGTCACTCGTGACCAAACAAGGCTTGCTCCACTCGCCAAGAGGTCGACTTGTAACAAGTCTAACATTGCACCTAGTTCCAAAGGGAGGTAAATGCCTGAGGTATGCCTGGACACAGTGGGCAAAGGGGGTGAAGAGTAATTTTTCTTGGAATTAACTGATGCAGTATAATCAATTACTTCTAAAGTGAATACATTTCTTGTTAAATGAAGAAGGAGAACTGTGCCGAAAATGCATGCTATATCTGTAATTAGGAAAATCACCCAGCCTGGATAAGGTGCCAGCAATGTACTTGGTTTATATATCTATCGGATACTTTTATTTTCAATGTTTGTGGCACTTTCCCTAACCTGATACACACACAAACAGAGTTTTATTTCGAAACTTTGAGTTCATTTCTTTAAGTACAGGTTTTTGTTTTTGCTTCGTTTCGTTTGGTTTCGAAAATTACAGCGATAATATGCAAACCTGACCGCGATAAAAGAAGTTAAGCTTAAAACAAATTGAGCATAAATTTTAAGATTTAACCTGTGGCTTAAATCGAGACTGCACGCCATTAGCCCTGCAAACACTTTTCAAGAAAGCTAAGCCAGAATGTAAACAAGAAAAGTTATTTAGTCGAGGTTAGTCGAGGTTGCTTCCAAAACAAACTCAAAATGTAAAACCCTTTAATAAGAGGTTTATAAATGATTAATGCTGGCAGCCGTTTTCATAACAATGATCCATCTTGAATACTCGACAAGCAACAATGACACTCTACACGTCCAATAACAAAATGAATAAAACCCAAACTGACCTTTACCGAACAATGTTGCTAAGGTATCGATGTAAGTTTGGCTGTTATTATAGTGTCTTGTTCTCCTGTTCTCTCCAGATCCGTGGGTTTCACTCCAGTGTACGTGAGCTTTGCCATGAAACTCAATCCGTAGGCCTCGCAGTTTTAACTCCTTATTCACTTTGAGACGGAGGGTTCCATTAATTGCCTCCCCTGGGTAAAACGTCCTTTTCCCTCCATAAAATTCAACAACGAAGTAATCAATCTTGCCCATGGTTTAACAGCTGACATTCAATCAATTTTCAACCGTAATTACATGCATGATTAGCCTCCCCGCAGACGTCCTTTGGGGTTCGTTTGTCACGCATTCATTTCTCCTCCACGGACCGTGGGGGAGAAATGAATGCGTGACAAACGAACCCCAAAGGACGTCTGCGGGGAGGCTAATGCATGATGAGTCTGCAGGGGAGGGTTTCGAATGATAGGCTAGTAATATGTGCAGAGGGCTAAAATGACACCGCGTGCGAACTAAAGTCGTGCCCGATAGACCGGGGTAAGTGGATTTTGCGATCGGGTCAGTGAATTATGTTCTTTTAACAAGTTGAAACTTGTTAAACCATTAAGTGAAGTCTTAAAAATAATCGATAAAAAACAATTTATTATTAATTCTGCTTGTTCAGAACTTATTTCCGGTTAGTTAAGATGACTCTCAGGCACCCTAACAAAAACGGCGCCTGAAAGATCCACGGAGATTTCAAACACTTGGGAGCAAAATAGCGGGCTCTTTTGATAGTTAACGTGATAAATGTTTCGTTATTAGTGAGTATGTCTAAATGTCGCGGGTCGAGAAACGCGGGTAGAGGTCGCGGGTGCGGGTGCGGGTAAAGGTTGCGGTGCGGGTAAGTGTCGCGGGTAAAAATAAATCACCAAATTTAACCAAAAGATAAAATAAACAACAAAACAAAAATTTCTTTTTTTAACTTTTCTAACGAAGACTAGTCAGCAGCGCAAAGGAAGACTTCTTGTAGTTGTATAGCCTGAATTTCATCCGATTACTTCGAGTCGTTATTACTCCCGGGAGAAAACGACTCGAAGCAATCGGATGAATTTCAGGCTAGTAGTTGTAAGCTTTTTCGTTTATTTCCGACACGTTTCGTCTCTTACTGAGACTTCTTCAGGGAATTCATGAATACAACTAATAAAGAACTGCGTATAAAACACGTTTTCTGCGTAAGTAAAAATTCCGATAGAAGTACGAGTGAATAACTTAACTATGCTGTAAACGGACGTTATAAGAAACACCTTAATATATATGTTATTGCGTGTTGTCGTATTTGGGGGCCCATGCGATCAGCGCTAATCGTATGGCCCCCAAAATGCAACGGAACTATCGACTCCATCAGTATAAAGAATCGATCGATCGAAGTAAAACTTGAAATATTCTTTCTATTTGTCACTCTGTGAAATCAGAACTACGAATGAGAGTTTTACGCACGTGCACGGGTATTGTTGCCGTGATCAAGCAGCCAGTAACGTGGGAAAAATTCGATTTACCAGGACGGCAAGTTCTTTCGTGCGACCGCGCCAAAACTGAGCACGAACGACGAATGACAACTATCGATTCATACTTTTTGCTGAGGAAGTAAGTACACGCAAGTCTCACAAAAAAAATCAAAGCTGTATTTTCGATGAGCCAAATTATGTCTTCATATATATACATAGAAAGCCACTTCTTTTAAGTGGACATGTCATATAAGCTGACACTGCGGACGCTTACACTGAATAAAGAAGGGGTCAAGAAGGGGAGAGAAAACATAGGGGGTGGTCAAGAATGTGGTTCAAGAGGAGGGGAGATTGTTTTTGTCAAAGAAGTAGCCACCTTTGTAAGATCTTGCTGGAGGACTTAATCATTTCTTTTTGTTTAATTTTCAAGGGCTCGTTGTTGAAAAACAAAAAACGCTCTAATTCAAGTATTATATCGTCTTCTTAAATGTAACAGCTATTTCTAACTCTTTCATGTCTAACCTATCACAGCGCTAAACCCTGGTTTCACTTGCCATTTTCTGGTCTTGGCCGGGGGGGAGGATTCCTGACGAAATTTTGATTTTTCCATTACTCTAAAATGAAGAGAGAAATGTCCTAGGCATGGAGGGAACATTATTTAAGGCTGACCACTCGCAACATGGTAATTATCAAAAACTAAACTGGCAGATTACGCATTTATACCCCTACAATAATTTTATTTGTCTTGGGTTGCAGAAAAATGAAAAAAAAGAAGTATTAGAAAAGAAAAAAGAAGTATTAATTAAAGTAAGTTTTTCAGTCCGATGGGGTTTCGGCTGTTTAAAGCGGGCACTGAATTTTTACATACCCTTTTCAATTCACTTCGCTGCTACATATAGGTAATATAGAGGTCAGCAAAGGGCCAACTATTGACTTTTGAAAAAGTCATGCAGTCTGCAAAACAGCTACATAAAATGACTACTTCGAATTCAAGCTAAATTCAAGCTTTGGAGAGAAAGTGAACCCGAAATACTTTTCTTTTTTCTATCAAAACTTGAACCTCCTCCCTTACAAATCTCAAACGCAGGTATCTCGGTTACTTGGTGCAAATTTAACCAGCCAATGGAGTTTTAAGCATGTGGATTTTTCTTTAGTGACTTTTTCCTTTGTATCGCCCTTAGTTAGCTTTAAATAACTAGACTTCCTCGTTATGACCAGTGGACTAAAAAAAAAAAGTAATGCAAATCTTCTTTGAAACATAATCAAATTTTCCTTTATTTTATTGATAATTTAATATTAAATTTGGTGATTTATGTTTACCCGCGACCTTTACCCGCACCCGCACCCGCACCCGCGACCTCTACCCGCGACATTTAGACATACTCGTTATTAGTCCGAAACTAACTTTTTCATAAAAACTAACCGACCTAACCGCGATCTAAGAGGGTTTCTGACAGTATTTTCAGCATGTGAAAGACAATTTTCGAGTTTACCTGGCCTGTGAACTTTTTCATAGTGTTTCGCAACGCAGCTTTTGTTTTTCTAGGTTCTATTGCGTTGAGTTCTTTGTTTTCTTCTTTTTTTTTACGGCACTTGTGAGTTTAACGGGTTCTTACACCGAGAATGAACCCAATTTTCCGCGAGTAGTTTCATTCCTTTGAAGTAGATCAGTTTGATTTGTCTCCTCAGTTCCCGGGTAACCGATACACCTATTTTGAAATAGCTCTTTCCAGTTTTGTAGTCATTACGATCAAAATCTAAAACTCGCTAAAACGGCTTCAAAATGGCTCCAGAATTAAATTAAAGCAGACATTAAAACACACAATACAAACACTAGGTGAGTCAATTTTACTGATTTCAAACCTTTTACAAAGGCAGAACTTGAAACGTGCTTTGTTTATACAGTTGACTCCCGATAACTCGAACCCTCGCTAACTCGAACCTCGCGCTAACTCGAACCAAAATCGATTTCCCCTGGATTTCCGTCATACATTCACTGCAATTTTACCCTCGGTAACTCGAACCATCGATAACTCGAACTCCCGCTAACTCGAACCAATTTTCGTTTCCCCTCAGGCCAATTTCCAGATAATTTTACCCTCAATAACTCGAACCATGTTTTGAGCCCTTAAAAAGTTGGGAAAAAAGCCGTCTACGGACGTGCGAAACATTGAATTTTGGAGGCTGATGTTGATTGTCACAGGCTAACGCCTGGGCTAACGTGAAGCAGCTTTTTTTCTCAAAACAGTAAAACGCATGCTCTATTTAGGCTATGTTTTGTTACGTTACGTTCTGATTTATAATCTAGAAGTATCTTCTAATTTTCACTTGACATTTCTACAACTGAATGTGATTAAAATGTTCACTGTGCTGTAAAAACTGTTTTTCACCTTACTCTCGACTATTTTCTTCGTACTCCCGATAACTCGAACCCGATTTCCCTTGAAGGTTCAAGCTATCAGGAGTCGACTGTACATACCCTTTTTTTTCTTGTAAAACGCAAATTAATAGGAGAGAATAGACCTTACTTGACTCAAACGAAATCTAAGCTTTTGGAGCTAAAGCCAGCAATATATATATGAAGGTAATAAACTTCTGGTCCCTACTATTAGGCGCTGTTTTTAAATGATACCGGAATGACTTTCATTCGGGAATGAGTTTCGTTCCAGAGTGAACCCTGACCCTGCTAACAGAGTTGCTTCTAGGAAAGATCGATCTGCTAGCAGTGTAAGTTCGTACTGCATTCACATGATAAAATTGACCGGCTCAGCGTAAGGCATTTAATCGGCTCCTGTCTCACATGGTTTTCTTCCTTCAATCCGAGAAACTTGTTTTCAGTTTAAAAGGTATACCAGAATGAAATATCGTACCCGAACGAGGCTGGAATTTCATTCGGATTGAAAACCGGAATGCAATCATTCCCGATTGAGTTGTACGGAACGAAATTTCGTTTTGATGCATGTAAACGAAAAAGAGCAACAGATTAGATGAACTCGTTCCACAATGACAGTCAATCCCGTATAATATGAATAGCCCATAAGTAAGTTTGTGGCTTTCAGAAATCAATGCTTTGAGGCGTTCTTGGTTTGGATCATTAAGGCTCAAAAAGCTAAAAGATGTTCTCCCGATTACTAAAAACGTTTCCTTTTATGAATCTTTGGCGCAAAATTTTTGTCTCCCCTGGCACAAAGTCTTTGATTTTTGGTTTATTTTTAAGTTATATACGACTTTATTGGAATAATAAATTTCTAGAACTGCATCAAACCCCGCCAAACCCTTAACTGAGCCTGTAATTACTCTAGGTGGGACAAAGTTTACAAAAAAAGCATCACTGGAATATCTTTCCTCCTGGGCAGTAAATTTGTTCTGTTTTATATTTTTATTAACAAAAATATGATGAGTTTTTTTTTCAGACGCTGATAATCAGGGGTGGAACTAAGGGCCGTTAAGGGGAAGCTAATGCGGGGGGGGGGGGGGTGAGGGAGGGAAGCGGGACCTCGACTAGATCCCCCTGCCTGATCCAGTGCCACTTGAGGCTATGACGTCTTTTTAACGGCAGCACTTAATTGCGGCATTCCCATGCCTTTGTCGAAATGCACTGTATCATGTCGCCGGGTCTGCCCACTGACGCTTTCTGCGTAGGATGGTGGTGCTGCAAGAAGAAATGGAAATGATTGTTTTTAATGAGAGAATCTACCCCACGTAATTAATAGAGGATGTAAATAAGGAACGGCAAACCATACCATCACAAAAAAACATAAATTTAAGCTACTGTCCGTTATACAAATCCTGTAGAGTTAAAGTAATCTTGAATTTGAAAGATACGCTTGTCACACGAACTTGGGATGGCGAATAAAGGAATTGGGTTCGCGAACATTTGAATCCACAACAGCTCCATAACACTGCTATGGCGCTTTAGCGGACGAACAAAACATGTAAAAAAAAACTGGAAATTAATTAAAACGCCAAACTACTTAGCTTTTTTCTTCTTGGTGATGATTTTTACAGAATAACCCGAGTTATTCTTAAGGATTTTTGCACAAGTCGAATCAGTCAGTTTAACAGGCTGATAATACAGTGCACTGGTTGTTATAAAATTGCAGGGGTCCAGCCTTTCCACTCATTCGATTCATCCAAAGTTCTATCAGGGTGACTCCTTACAAATGCCTCACAAATCTGGACTATTTTTCATCAACCCAACGGGACGGGACACTGTTAAGTTTGGTTTTGCTGCTTTGGTGTTTTATTGTTTGGTCTTTTCCATCTTTTACAGTTTTTAGAAGTTTTAGTAGTCTTTTAGCTTCTTTTGGCAATCTTCGGAAGTATTCGGAACTTCTCTTGGGTAATGCTTGGAACTCCTTGCAAATTTTTGGATAGCCTGCACGCAGACGAAACTAAACTCTGGTTGGTACCTCTGGAGTTAACCAGAGTTTAGTTTCGTCTGCGCGCAGACTAATTTTTGGAAAGCCCAGGCAATATGTAATGAAAGCAAACATCTCGCAGGAAAAGTTGGCCGGTAAATGTAAAACTACCCTTCTTGACACCGAAACCAGCTTGGGACTAATACGTATCCAGCGAGAATTGAAGGACGTGGATTTTGGACGTCTAGAACTATACAAATTTGGTGACGCTCTTTACACTCGTAAATTTCTCTCATTTCAAACTCTCTCTTTTACCCTCGAGCATGTTCCGGTTCAAATGTATACTTGCTTTGAATTATGATATTTTCCTTTATTTTAGGGTAAAAGTTATGTAGGATAATAAATTTAAAACAACAGAAAACAAAATTTCAACCAACGATAAAATCGAATGACAACATGCTTGCGCTAAACCTGAACAAACTAGCTGCGCATGCGCACCTTCATTTGGATAAGGCGAGATGCCGTCCGTACCCTCCATGGATGTGGAGGCCAGGCCCATGAAGGTAACGGTCGGAGAGGTCTTTCCCTTTACTGATGACTGACGTACCGAACCAATCGTGATTGGAATGTGTACACGAAAATTTACGGTTCCACGCAATACAAGAGTAAACTAGAGAAAAGAAACGGATACTGTCATGTGAATACTTGGCCATTTGAGCATAACTTCCAAACTGGTTACCTTTGTCGGTGTTTCTGGCTAGACTTGCATGACGTCTTGTTGTATGTAGTGAGTGAGAAAAATGATGTATTATCTGAGGTAATATTTTAAAAATCTCTTCAGCATGGCATGGGCGATCATTTGAAAGAGGCGTTGCTTTATTTGTCATTGGCGGGCTTGTGTGATTACCCTTAAGGCTAATCTGTGAATGCCGGTCCTAATGCCTCATTTAAAACCCCGAGTTAGGGGAATAAACTTTATTTTAGTCAATCGTGGTGTACCTGTTATGTCATTCAAGTTACAGACTTACTGAGAATTGCTTTAGACTCGTCCTTTAATTGATATTTTTCTAGGAGACCGGGGGAGCCGAGTTTTGCACTTCATCGAAAATCATAGCACTATAGCATTGCCAGATACTTCCAGGCCGATTTGAGTGCTACTTCAGTTCATTTTCTGATATTAAGCCAGGTGCGTTCCCAGTCAGATGTCACTCGATAAGCAGAGGTTCGTTTAGCAAGTTAAATTCTCCAGTGGCGCTAGCTTCAACTAGCTGATTAAACAATCATTGTCATGTCCATACTTTACTAGTAATTAAGTGGAAGATCCGCTTTATTGTGGATCCTCCCTGAGTGCATTGAAACACTATCCCGTCCCCCCTGCATTCCGTTTAAGACGATGTGTTGACATTTCGGGAAAACTTGAAAGGCTAAGGAAAAAAGGTACGTTCGGGCATCGCCTCTCCTAGTCTGTTCCAGGCTCAGAGATAGTCGGGTCCGCGAAATTAAGAAAGCGCGAACACGAAAGCGTCATCCTCAGTATCTGAGAGCCTGAAACAGGCCACCTGTCTCTCACCCCTCACCATAAACTACAAGAGTTAAGTCTCCAGCCCACTTTACGAGCAATTTCGACACAAAGTTAAGATTTATCGAGATCCCACTCATCCGTTTTCTGATCTTTTTTCTGAATCCTAGCTATGGTTTTGCCTTTGCTTTAAGATCCCAGAGAATAAAAACAGAAAATTGATTGAAGAATACTTCGCATATAAAACTGACCTTTACTTGGTAAGATATCTTTATACACCTGCAACTCTTCATAGAAGGTGTTGTAGATGGGATAAGCACAGGTACCATTTCAAAAAAGTCATTTGGCGCTCCTTCCAGATTTGAAACTTTTCCTGCTTTTGTAACAGTTGCAAGAATATCCGTCGTTAACATCTTTTTTCCTGAATTTTAAAAAATGTATATGAAAAGTTATAAAAAGTCTGCTGAAAATGACCTCAGGGAAAGAAATGAAGACCAAAATGAATTGTCTGATCTGTTGTAAACAAGCGCGCGCCAATGATCGAAAAAAATAACTAGACTGCAAAGACCTCATGCTGGGATTTTGGAGCATCTGGAATGCTTTATGATTCTAGATAAAAAGGGCGGGATTCAATACATATATCTTAACAAACATTGTTTCCTGATAGTAATTCCTCATTCCGTACAAGATTAGACTTTGAATTAAACGAACATGAAGATATACGCACGAGCTATTCGCGTGTTTTACGCGTCTTCAAACTTTCTCTGTGTGAACAATGAGCTTACGGCAAGAGAGAAAAATTATTTCCCTCCTGCTTACGGATCATGTTTTTTTGGGTTCAGTCTCTTGTTCCACGACATTTTCTATGATTTTGTATCACTGCAGGAAATAACCATGGGAAAAACTAAGCCCACGGCTTTTTTAGCATTAATTTCTTCAAAACATCAACACGATTACTTGGAGGCTCTAATGTTTGGCACCTGTTGTCAACATGGTCTTTTGCTTACCTCCTTGCGATACATAAATAGTATCCTGAATCAATTCCACCTCCACTCCAAGAATCCTGTAAGGAGTTTGGTTTTTGGCGTACACTGTAATTGTCATTAGTTCTCCTACACAGTAACCAGTTCTGTCTGTCCGAACAGTCACATTCAACGGGCCAGACCTACAGCACGGGCAGCCCATGTTTTATCTTCCTGGACCTGTGACGGACGCTAAACAAATGCAAGAAGCAAAACTTAGGTGTTATCCCTTCATCTGAATGAGATCCGCTATCCGAATTATATTACAGAAGGGTTGCTTTGGCAGAAATAAATAAATAAATAAATAATGAATAAATAAATAACGATTTGCAGGTAGTACATCCACATAGTGGTTCTTCGTCTACCTGATTCCTGGTCGAATTGGAATTTGGAAAAGTTGGTTTTTGAGGAGACGGGAAAACCGGAGTAGCCGGAGAAAAACCTCTCGGAGCAAGGGAGAGAACCAACAACAAACTCAACCCACATATGGCTTCGACGCCGGGATTTGAACCCTGGCCACATTGGTGGAAGGCGAGCGCCCTATCACTGCGCCATAGATCATAGATCATAATGCGAGAGAGTTGCTCTGGGCTTTGATTTCCAAGGAACTAACGGAAAGTTATAGCCTTACCCGGAATTCCGGCTGATTTACGTCAACTTTCTCTGTCACAGTGAAAGCCTCTACGACTGTCTTGTCCTCCTTCCATGGCCGATCAAGGATGGCTTTTAGCCAGTATTTCACATGACGATGTTTCCCCTCATAAGTGGAAGGCAGATTCTCCTCCGGAATTCGAAATTCAAAGGGGAATGAGTGTTCACCAGCCGAAAGGACGGGATTAGGGCCGGGCTGTCCAGGGGCTGCAAAGAATTTTAAAATTTTAGCAATTCACATCATCTTTATTCTGCTTTGTTCCTTTTACCGGTTAAGGTGTGGTTTACAAGAGTAGCTATTGTTTTAGAGTCTGAAAACGATAACTGCACTTGTAAATTACACTTGTAAAAGTTTTGGTAAATTGACCCCTGCAGGTCCCAATGTTGGGTCTTCATAGCTCAGTTGGTAGAGCACTAAAGGGGTAACGCAGAGGTCAAGGGTTCAAATGCCGTTGAAGTCCCGAAATTTTTTCGGGTCTACTGCGACTATCATATCTTCATTTACATTTGTATTTCCGCAGTTTACATCATCTTCATTCTATGTTTCATTCCTTTTCATGGCTTAAGATGAACTCAACAAATTGGCCTGCTCCCAATTTGTGGGTATTCGTAGCTCAGTTGGTAGAGCACTTCAGCGCTAACGCGGAGGCCATGTGTTCGCGTCCCGTTCAAGTCGCGACGTTTTTTCGGGTTAATTTGCAATTGCTTAAATTGCAATTACCACTGCGACGATGATATCTTCATTTAAATTTGCATTTCCGCAGTTCACATCATCTTCATTCTAGCAAAAGAATAAATGAGCACGACAAATTTTTGTCATTATTCGAGGTTATCATAAAAACTTGAAGTCCATATGACTGGTACGATAGTCTCGATCGCTACTAGGGTTTTCAAGCTATTGATTATATCGAGGGAGGGGTGAGAGGCTGCAATCCCGTACGGTCGAACCTCTCGTAAGCGACCACTCAAAATGCCAACGAGAATCAGACCTCACAATCGGCGAAAAATTTGTTGAGACATTGTACTCAATAGGGAGGACTTCAAAGAACGAAAAACCTCCACACCCCTCCCCTGTCCCCTCCATTCAATGTTGGGATGTTTGCTGTTTTCTTAAGGTAGCTCGAACAGCGGTACAACATTACGTGGAGGGGATGGCAAAGAAAAAGCTATATTTCCCCTTTTTGAAGTCAGGAAAACGTCAAAAATCCCCTTTAGGACGAAGTGGCACTGTAATGTTGCTTCCACTACAACTGGAAGTGCTTTGTGTACTCTAAAGTGGACAAATACTAACAACCTTATCCAACCGAATAGGGAATTTTTTTAAAGCAGTAATCAGCGAACGAGGAAGATCGAAGCATGTTTTTTCAATATCATTTTAATATACACATTACACTGAAGGCTTTTCAGGAGAGCATAGTATTTTAAAATACAGTTATCTGGATGGACAGTTTTCATTGATAGTGAATTCTTTTCATCATGAGCAGATCCAGACTAATGGTGAACGCTCATGATCTTTCAAGAATTTTTAGTTGGTAAAACGTAACATTTTGAACTACAATATTCAGTATAAATAATGGTATTGTTTGATTTACAATCCACATTCAAAGCAATACAGGAATTAAAAGTAAACTTTTGCGGGACACACTATAAATATTAGAAACATCAGTTTGAGTACAGTTACGGTCCAGTTTGGATATAATTATAGTAGACACTTACAGGAATCGAAAGCAAAAGGAAAGGATCTAAAAAGTATAAAACGTACGTCTTGTTGAGTTTTGCCTTAACATTGAGATTAACGAAGCCATTCTAAGCTATTTAATTTCTATCGATCCCTTGGTCGCCATAATCACTCAGGGGAAAACATTCCTTTTTGTCACAAAAGTACAGTTAACCTCTCTACAAAGTCTTATCGAGTTGAAAAGGTGCAGTTACGTAAGACACTTTTAGCGTGGTAAATGGCCCTTTACCACGGAATATTCCTGGTTAGGCCAATGACATTTCTTTTACTGTTAGAATAAATTTACAATTTTTTCCACGGCCAACAATCATGGTGAACGCTGGCTTTCGAGGCCCATCAAATGGTCCTATAAACCTCTTTTCACATTCTTTGCTTATTCCATGAAGTGGTATGTCGCCAGCACTGTTTCTACTTTACGGTCAGTTTCAAATGGTCTACCAGTTTTTGCAATTTTCATACAATTTCATCATTCTACACATCTTTTTTACAGTGTGGATGGTCAAATTCGCACTATCACCAGCTAATCTACAAGCTAATTATAAACGTGCCCACTCCTGCGATAGTACTATCGCCCGGGGGACGGGGAAGAGGGGGGGGAGGTACTTCCTTTTAAGAGGCTAATGGGGATGTGCCGCTGGATGGGGTCGCATTTTCACGACTGGGTTGACCATGATGGGGTAGCATTTTCAAAAGAGTTACTAGAATGGGGTCGCAGATTTTAGGATTTTTGAGGCAAGAAAGCTCTTCATATTTTCGGTTAGCAAACGTACCAGAATGTTTGTACTGTAGGTAAAAGTAAAATGTTCTTCATTCAGTTCAAAAAATGGGTCAATTTATTTTATTATGACCTATTTAAAGGATTGATAAGGCAGATACATAAATAGAAAGTGACTAAGTTTGGGATCGCGAAAATTACATTTGCCAAAAAATGAAAAAGATGGGTCTTTAATTGGCCAAAGAATAGACCATAATGAGGGGCCAGTGGCACATACTCAGCAAAAACTAATCCAAGTACCCCCCTCCCCCCCCCCGCTACTATCGATAGCTTCACAGTTTTTAAGAAATAACTTCTTAATAAATGACATGGCTAATGTCTGCCACTTCGAAGCTAGTTGTACTTCCCTCTTAGGGATATGAAGGAGGCGGTGCAGAGGGAAATTGGTAGTTATTAACAAACGGGTACATTGGTGTAAAGCTGGTATCACCCAGCGTCTTTTCATCGCCCTCGTCATCAATTGACGCTCCACCGCTAACACACTCTGCGTACGAAGGAGGAGCTGAAATCAAAAACAAGTAATGTTTGATAAGCAAAACCGTAGGTCAAAGAGTTCTGGAGCCAGTCTTTTTCTTTCTTGACCCCACAAAACCGGATCCAAGCTCTTCTTCCCCTCGGGCAATTTATCGGCGTGTAACCGAAAACATGAAAGTGATCAGATCTCAGAGCGAGCCCAACCCGCTTTGGGGACAAGGTCTAGTGTAACCCCACGGGTAGCCGTAATTTTTGTGGGGATGGGTGGGTGGGTGTTCGGGTGGGATTAATTTTGGAATACTACAGTAGTCACGATACAAAATGTTTCTTACCAATATTTGGATAATTCTGCGCAGGGTCACCATACTGTGTAGCGGCTCGTGGATATGCTGATGCTCCGTCAAATCCCGCCAGTGGTGGGGCACTAGGAGTCAAAGCAGCACCTGGGGGTGGGTATTGGGCTGGAAAGGGCGGTCGATATGGAGCTGAGCCAATTGTGATTGGGATGTTTAGTGTTGAATTGAAGGCACCCTTCACTCTAACTTTCAGCTGTTGAAACGTGGCAAGAAAACAAATAAGCAACGAAATAGAACTGACCTACAACTGTTGGCATTTAACTCGATTTTATATCAACTCTGCACACTTCCCAGTACATGTGGGGAAAATAATTTCTTATTAATTTGGCCTATCCAACTCAACATATTTGAGCATTTTCAGGATTCGTTTGTTAATGAATGAAACAAACCTCGGCACTTAAACTCGTAATTGTTCCTTACTAGCCGAGGTTTCAAGGCAAAAGAAAAAATGAAAGGATGAAGGAGAGAGGACTATCTTATTCCTCTCATTTTTTTCTTGCCATATGAGGTCTGCTAGCACGAAAAATAATATTATAGTTCGAGTAACAGGTCACCCCATGTAAGGGTATCCAGGACAGTCTTGCATTCTGGATTCCAATCATTAGCAGGATTCTGGATTCCTTGAGCTGTATTCCATGCTCCATAAGCAAAATTTTCCTGGATTCTGGAATCAGGATTCCCTTACATGGGGCAAAACAAGAGTTCTTAGCTGTACTAAAAATATTCCCTCACCAAATGAATTCACACCAGATGCAAGTCCTGTCATTCAAACCAGAACAACTATGGTTGGTTTGAATTAATGGCAAAATGTTGGCAAGGCAGCAAATGACAGTCGTCGAAAAAAAAATCAGATATGTGAAAAAATTCAGCTAAATGGACAGATAATGGGTAAATTACCCGTAGAAAATATGATATCCTTATGCAACTGCAACTCGTCATGGTTGGGGGCAGAGAGGGGACTGGAAGTGGTACCATTGGCATGCGAGTCTCTTCCCCAGGCTTCACTCCTTCTTGAAACATGGATGCAACCTTATCTTCCCAGTGTTTTCGTTTTCCTAGAAATGAATTAAATCGATGATGGTGATGATGAAGATGAAAATCATGGGAGCAACTGCAGCCACTTCTAACCTATACCCCTAAAACAGTGGCTATGTGGCTATGGGACGCATGATTTGTTTTTGTTTTGTGGTTTGGCTATGTAGCCATGTAGCCACGAGCCACTGTTTTAGGGGTATAGCTTCAAAGTAGCTGGGTGTTCGACAGTTCAGCCAAATCGGAGCATGATTTCAACTCCGTCAAATAAATATGAGCATAGGAAGCCTTTCAGGAATTTTTTTCCTCTCCAACGAGAAGTGAAGCTTTCTTGTGAATTAATTATGCTTATATGTAAAGTCCCCATACTTAAGTGTTAGCACTCGATTTAATCCACCCTGACCTGACAAATAGTACCATGTGAAAGTCATCTGCCAAAAGTTTTCATAGTAAATCAAAAACTGAGTAGTCACTCAAACGTTATAGCCTCCTTACAAAACTTGCTCAATCACTCTGGTGAAAAGGTTAATATCTTTCACACCTTTATAACTACAATATTATGCGGTTCCCACTGCAATTCAAAACAGTGCTGACGCAAATTCTGAATCAAATTAAATTGACTATTAGTTGCCCCCACAGGGACTTCGCCAAGAAGGCGATTTATCCTGAGGAGGCACTCTCGTAACTTGCGAATATATTAAGGAAAGTACTTACAGTTGAAATATACAGTCATACAGTCAATATAGGAAAAATCTCGATTTGCTTGAACAGGGGCCGCGAGGAATCGGTAGGTAATGATGACGTTTCTATTGTTTGCGCCCGCAAGTACGAAATGGTCAGGATGACGTAAAGACAGAACATCCCCAAGGGACCGCTTAGGTAAATTTTTTGACATTTATTGTGCAGTCATACTTCTACACTCTTTTGCGTTACGTGTTATTAGTGACATTCTGTGGAGCAGTTGTTTCAGTGAAAGTTATGGACCAAAATTTTAACGACACTCGTTAAGCGCAGAAGAAGTTATAAGATGCGTATAACTGTGTATCATAGACACTTGGAGAGTTTGCCAGACACGAGTTCACAAATCTTTCATTGGAAACCTTGCCAGACACTCTTTCTCTCTCTTTGACCGGAATAAGACTCAGCCCCAAACAAGCAAGACGAGTGAACAACGGCTAGCTTCTCACTAACAGAACGATGGACGATTACAGAAATTCGCTGACAATCAAATTCTGTGCTCACTTATTCCCTGCTCAGGATGTCCTTCCGCTACAAAGTTTCAAATAAGACTACTGTGCGAGTGTGAATTGATCAAACGTCTAATTTCTAAGGCTTCCTTTCCGGCAAAAAAATGAACTGAATGTAAAAAGTGAAAGAGAAACAGCAAAAAATTCAACCTCTAATTAAATCTTTTCTTCTGGTTTAGAATAAACTATTCTCGAAACTGAGAATGTTTTGATCATAGCCTGTTCCAAGCGTTCAGATAGTGGAGAGCGGTGTGGAGTAGAGAAAGCGATGAAAAGTAGAGGGGGACTGGGGAGAGAGGTGCGGGAACGCTTGTAAGAATTCTTAACAAAAGTGCGTTCCGGTATACCAGATCCTGGTATACCCTCTGATTGGTTGATTTTGACAGTTTTTGTCAACAGTGGAGCGTCTTCGATCACAGCGAGAAATGCGATATGGCCGTTATGACAGACTCTACGTGCCGTCACGCAGAATTCAAACTCGCAACAAACACAGCGCTGAGTGACTTTCCAAACGTGGAGGCTAAAAGCGAAAAGCAAAGAAACTGTTTAAAACACGTAGTCGGTAGGATAGATGTCTTAGCAATTTCTCACCGACTGGCTTTGGAAAAATTCTTATTTTCCAGTTTTTTCCTCGAATAAAGCGTGCTTTGGAATGAAGGCAGGATAGAATGCCATTTACGATTGTTGTGGTAACTCCGTTGATTACCATCATGGACCAAGTGGATTATTTGAACAAGTCAGATCGGAGTAGCGGCGGCAATGATGGGAGGAGATATGGATGAAGCCGTTAAAAGTGGAAGCTGTGAAATTGTTTACTGAAGTGCCAAATCGTGGTTGTCTAATGAATGGACAAAAGGACTTCAAAAAGAAAAGCTTGCAAAGCAAGTTGCCGCTATCGCTATTGACGAGGTCCACTCAATCACCGAATAGTAAATTTTCCCTTCAATTGTTGTGCATTTTCATTGCTTGAGTTAACGATCTGTATTGAAACGGCTTTCTATCGAAATGAGCGATATTTGTTTGTCACTTGATTCATAATTTTTTGTCACGTACACGCTGAAATCATGTTTTTAAAGCCGTAAATAAATTCATTATACATGAATACTTCTCCCGCCTTCTATTGTCTGAAAGTCTTACATTGGGTTTTTAGTAAGATTATGTAAACATAAATTAATTTTTGATCTGACAAACTTCGATTTATTCGCAAGAAAAATAATAAATGCATCTGGCTGTAACACCAGTCTTGATTGACAAGTGAAGACCACCTACAGCTGATGCGGTCTGACTGGGCGGAAGAGTCTATTTAAAACAAATCTAACAGGCGTTCCCTCTCTCACCTCTCCTCCTCCCTCGCTTTTACTTTTTCGCGCTCCCTTTTACTTTGCACCGCTCCCCACTATCTGAACGCCTGGAACAGGCTATTTTGATCAAAGCTGTGTAAATCGACCTGAAACTGTGCATGGATCTTTGCATTTCCTGTATTTATCTCACCTATTGTATGGAATATGTGTGAAAATCTTCCTTATGAATCGGTATATTTCAAAGAGCTACACGACGAGCAAGATCCGAATGCTATTGACTGACAATATACAGAGCGGGGGCAGGTGTAGTGTTAACTATTACTAGTTAATTTGTTCTAGACTTGTTCTTAAGCATGACGTTGGTTCTTTTACCCACCACCAGAAGCAATGAAGACAGTGAGTTGAATAAGTTGTATCTCCAGTCCAATAATCTCATTTTTTGAATTATTATTAATGACTGCTGAGACACCAATAGATTCTCCTGGACAGTAACCTCCTCTGTCAGTGTAGACAATAGTACTAAGTGGACCAGATACACAGCACAGGCATCCCACATTGCGATCCTCTTGGATCTGACAAGGTTGCTGAGGAAATAAGAGTTGGAAATATGTAATAGTCATATTAGACTTGACTCAAGTCACTTTAGCCCCTATCTAAGCCTTATAAGTATACTAAAAAACTGCTACTATATATAACAGGGTTGGAAGCTAAAATTTTGGAGCACTCATCCAGATAAGTTTTCACTTAACCAGTCTCCTACCATAAAAAATAACCCCCTCTTCGCTGCATGGAAGTTCACTCACCATGCCCTGAAACAAACCTTATTTAAATAAACAAAAAAGAAATAACAAAAGACTCAGTCAAAGTGTCGAAATTATACACTAAAAGCGGTGGCAAGATAGAGCCATTAGATTGATTAAGAGTCACGTTTATGCCAAACAGCAAAACGTGAATTTGTACTGCGTGACCAAGTTTTTCCACTTATGTCCTGTGAGGTTTGCAGGCAGCAGCATAAATTGCAATTTTTCGCGCACTTGTATTTAGCAATTTTAGCAAAAACTGCAATTTCTCCAATTTTTCACAGTTTTTGCTAGTCTGTGTGCAAACTTGGAGATATCTCAGATTTCTTCTTAATTGTTCTTTACTGTTTGTTACTTTTAACTCAAAAAGACACGCCAGTTTTATCCATAAGAATTGCTCTGGATAGTTTTTATCTGATTATTTTCTTTTCTGAAAACTTCTCAACGTTTGCCGCTTGCCGCAAATGTGACTGTTAATGGAGAGTTTAAGCTTCATGTATACCGCAAACAGCAAACGTCACATTCAAGTTGAGAATCGCTCAAAATAGAAAATGAGCAGATAAAACAGCTCAAAATTGCATGAAACTTGGTCACATGGTACAAATTCATGTTTGCCATTTGACATAAACGTGATGCTGTCTCTAATCTTTCTATTTTCCCGCATTTTGCGGTTCTGTGGACAACTCAGTGTATTACTAGCTATTACTGGTACATTGTACAAGTGTTCATCGTTCATGTAGCAATCATCGAAGCAAAGAGCATTTTGTCTGTTCACCAACCTGTTTTAAAAAATACAGACCAGGGTTGATGGACATTTCAGAATGGTAAGCTTCTGGCTAAAGGACAGTGTAGATTATTTTCAAGTGGAAAGTGAAAAGTGACGTTAATTTTGAATTAACGTATTGTGCCAGTATGAACACCGTACTTGCCAAACAGGGCATGTGATTCTTGATTTGTACTTGCCCGACCATTTTGGAACTTGCCTGGGTGAGTGGGCGAGTGCAATGTCCAACACTGTATAGCGCGCACTATTAAAGGAACTTTACTTTGTCATTTTTTGCAACCTCATGATGCTAATACTCTGTTCATTTAATATACCTTCATTCTGACCATAAAAAACAGGCTACAGCTATACCACCATGTTCATGTATACTAAAGGCAAACATGTTGCAATTATAATGATCAAAGATATTTGTATTTTTCAAAACCAATTTCTATTCCAAATCACATTTATTAAAATTAAGTCTACCAAAATATGTCTCTGCCAGTTTTTCAAGGTCCTGTTAAAAAAGTTACGATTAACTTGGTAATTAATATTTTCAGATTTTCTCTCTCTGCATTAGAGGAAAAAAGCTTTGTATGAGTAAGCACAGACCCAATACGTTGTATTTGATTTGCTAGGGAAAGATCATGACGTTAATAAAAACTTACCAAAAGCAGAGGTGTATTGATGTCCACATATTCCAACATAGTGAAAGCTGCTTTGGTAGTGATATCAAATCTCCATGGGCGGTCAACAATTCCTTTTAACCAGTAGCGAACATAGCCATACCTTCCTTCTACTGAGGTTGGCATATTAGTGTTTGGGATTAGAAACTGAAATGGATAGGAGTAATCACCCGGCTGGAGAACTGGGTCATTGCCACTCTGACCTGGAGCTGTCAATCAAAGTAGATAGATAGGTACACTTGGGTAGGTAGGTATTAATGGTAATAGGAAAAAGCTTAAAGGATTTTCAAACTGACCCCCCAATTCATCCTTGCATTTTAGAAATGACCCCCATAAATCTTATGTATTGTGAAAGTGACCCCCCCTCCCCCACCTGATTGCTGTCGAAACTACAAAAATTATCAATATTCTAGCTACAATAAATTGTGCCGAAGTTCAGTACATGTAAATCTACTGAGTTGTGTTTATGAGATGGGTATTCACTATTTAATGGCTGTTAAATGAAAATTTCTGTTCATACTTGTTACTGCTTTGTACTAACTTTCATGAAATTCATTAAAATCACTGGCCAGGTACGTAACACTCCCAACTGAAAATGAACCCCTCCAAAATAAATCAAGATTTTGAAAATGACCCCCCAGAAAAATGGCCGGCCCTCCCTTACAAATAATAAACGACCAGCCCCTATGTGGTCCTTTGTGGGCTCCATTTCACATCAAATACATTGCACCTAGTTCCAAAGGGAGGTAAATGCCTGAGGTATGCCTGGACACGGTGGGCAAAGGGGGTGAAGAGGAATTTTTCTTGGACTTAACTGATGCAGTATATCAATTACTTCCAAAGTGATACATCTCTTGATAATTGAAGGAGGAGAACTGTGCCGAAAATGCATACTTTATCTGTAATAGGAAAATCACCCTACCTGAATAAGGTGCCAGCAATGTAATTGGTGATTGAATACTTTTGTTTTCAATGTTTGTGGCACCCCGGCCTAGTACACACACAAACAGAGTCTTGCTTCGAAACTTTGAGTTCATTTCGTTAAGTATAGGTTTTTGTTTTTGCTTCGTTTCGTTTGGTTTCGAAAATTACAGCGATAATATGCAAACCTGACCGCGACCAAAGGAGTTATGCACTTGTCACCGGAAACCCCCACCTGCCCCACCCCAGGAAGACGCGGGGCATACGTGGGGATTTGTAAGTGCTTAGATGACTTACTAGCCCCCAGGGGGTGGGGGAATAGTTCACTTTAGACAATTTATATCGTAGACAGGGACTGGACTCTAGTCCGAAGCACATGGTCGATTGTTCAAAATGTATACACCTGATTGAAAGAACGTTGTCGCTTGAAAAGTATAAACGATGAATGATGGGACCTAATGGATTTATGGGTACAACTTTATTAGCATTGCAAATTTAAAGTTCTTCTCAAAAATGTTTACATTTACGAAGCTTTTCGCGACGATGCATTCCAAAAAACGCAAAACCGTTTCCAGTATTTACGGCTCACAACTTCACCAGTGCTGGACACATAAGAGATTTCTACAGTTAAAGAGCATAGCCGTATCGCTAACGCACACTTGACATAAGATAGGACCTAAAAGCATTCTTGGAAGACAAACAAAGACAACAGCATGCCTTAAACAAAGCACTCTAGGGATTTGCATCCGCACGAGCATCTCGTTACAATGTAAACTTTTGTCGAAAGAACTTTGAATTTGCTTTGCTAATGAACGTATACCCATAAATCCTTGAAACCTCATCGTTCATGGTTTATACTTTTTAGCGACAACGTTTTTTCAATCAGGTATATCTCAGACCCGTAACCAGGATTTTATGCCGGGGGGTGCTAACGAGGCCTTAGCGGACCCAACTACGGAAATGTATTTTTTATCGTCTGATCCGTTTATTTAGGAAAGTAGCAATACATGAGAAAATGTAACGGCCAAGTACACGGTAGGAACTGAATATTACATTTTTCGAATACAACTGTTTGAATTTAGTTATAAAGGAGTAATTTTACGATGTAAAATGATACATCAAAATACTGCGGAACTAATCCGTCAGAACAGTTCCGAGCTCCAGCCTCCGTGGGTGTAGCGACTAAATCTCAGAGCATAATAATGGGATCAAGACTGGTGGACATTGTGAAAATGAGTATGATTTACCGTTTATATCTCGCTGTAAAACTGTAGTTAACTGAGATAGATCTGAAGTCGTGGTTTCAGCTGGGCTGTCATCCCAGACTGCACTGTCATTGTGAGCGTTTGATGGCTCTTGACGGGGTACTTTACTGACCCATTGCACAGGAAAAAAAAACATACCGTATTTATTCGATTAACCGCCCTGGGCGCTTATTAAATTCTTGGACCTTGAGAGTGGGCGCTTATTCGAGGTGGGCGCTTATTCGAGGCTGGGTGCTTATTAAATTTTCACCATTTTCAGCAGTTGAAGTATGTTTATTTTGCAACAAAACAATAAATGCTAATAACAAAACGCGAAGAAGTTATGAAGCAAGGTTTCTGTAAAATGCTCTGAAGAAAACTCCGTCCTCGGGGAAGTCTATTATTAGAATTTATTCAAGTGGGTGGGGTGGGGGTGAGTGCTTATTTGAGTTTGATTGGGAGGAGGAGGGGGTGGGTGCTTATTCGAGGCTGGGCGCTTATTAACTTTTTCTGCCTTAAGGATGGGCGCTTATTCGAGGTGGGCGCTAATTCGAGGTTGGGCGCTTATTCGAATAAATACGGTATTCCCATTTTTGGATATTTTAGGGTATTTAAAGAATACCCATAAAAATCCCAAATTTGGCAAAGTGAGACAAGTCCCAACCGGGGAATTCCCAACTAAGTTCCCAGATTGGGACTTGTCTCACTCTTCCAAATTTGGGATTTTTGTGGGTATTCTTTAAATACCCTAAAATATCCAAAAATGGGAATCCGTTATTTTTTCCTGTGTTGTATCGAGAGACTGGCAAGATTTAGCTGCAGCCTTCCCCTTTCTATTTTCCTGTTCTCTCCTACCCATAACGTATTACACAAAAAACTAATTTTGCATCTTCAGGCGTTCATGTGCTCGTACAAATAGAGAATACTACCCAACGCGTTAGCGGACGTGTCTGACAAAAATCGTGAGATCACTCCCTTGTCATTGTCTCGCTCGTCGTAAACTCCTGTGCAAAGCCTGTGCCCTGGGGCCTGCACACGTTAATTTCATTATTCATTTACATAAGCTCGGACATCTGTGCGCTCATTGAAATGCTCTGAATGGCTCGGGCTACTTAAGAGTGTAGCTGGTTTTATTTTCCCAGTAAATACACTACTGCTTTTTCCATTCTTTGATTTTGTTTAAATATCACTGTTAAGTTTGAAACTTCAGTTTAACCGACTACACGCCTTAACTTGGATATTGAGTATCAAAATGCGGACCTTTGGGGCCTGTGGGGGGGCGCGAACGCACCCCGTGCACCCCCCCTGGTTACGGGCCTGTATATACATCCCATCTACCCTTGGAGGACCTGTTCATACTGCTAAGGGGACTGATGAGAATCAGTTGAAAAAAAGCCTTGATTTAGCAGCTGATGTGTATATTTCAAGAGTGCAAGGGGCTCCATGTGGGGAAGCGAAAGTACAGTTGTACAAAGGTGCTGATGGTCCTGAAGCCAAGAAACTCTTAAATAGGAGGCAGATGCTGCTGAAATTCTTAAGCGGAAAATCCACTGAAATAGAAAGTTTGCAGAGAAACCAGTTCCGGTGACAAAAAGTGCATTAAATAAGCTTAAAACAAATTGAGCATAAATTTTAAAATTCAACCTGTGGCTTAAATCGAGACTTCACGCCATACCCTGCTAACACTTTTCAAGAAAGCTAAGCCAGAATGTAAACAAGAAAAGTTAGTCGAGGTTAGTCGAGGGTGCTTCTAAAACAAACTCAAAATGTAAAACCCTTTCATAACAGCTGTAATAAGAGGTTTATAAATGATTAACGTCGGCAGCGGTTTTCATAACAATGATCCGGCTTGAATACTCGACAAGCAACAAGACAGTCTACACGCTACGTCCAATAACAAAATGAATAAAACCCAAACTGACCTTTACCGAACAATGTTGCTAAGGTATCGATGTAAGTTTGGCTGTTACTATAGTGTCTTCTTCTCCTCTTCTTTCCAGATCCGTGGGTTTCACTCCAGTGTACGTGAGCTTTGCCATGAAACTCAATCCGTAGGCCTCGCAGTTTTAACTCCTTATTCACTTTGAGACGGAGGGTTCCATTAATTGCCTCCCCTGGGTAAAACGTCCTTTTCCCTCCATAAAATTCAACGACGAAGTAATCAATCTTGCCCATGGTTTAACAGCTGACATTCAACCGGAATTACATGCATATGCATGACGAGTGTGGACAGTGTGCATTGCATTGATCACCTACAGCCAAAGGTGAGAGGGGAGGGTTTCGAAAGATAGGCTAGTAATATGTGCAGAGGGCTAAAATGACACCGCGTGCGAACTAAAGTCGTGCCCGATAAGACCGGGGTAAGTGGATTTTGCGATCGGGCCAGTGAATTATGTTCTTTTAACAAGTTAAAACTTGTTAAACCGTCAAGTGAAGTCTTAAAAATAATCGATAAAAAACAATTTATTATTAATTCTGCTTGTTAAACTTATTTCCTGTTAGTTAAGATGAGGGTCCACAATAGGTTTGGCGGCATGCAGGATTTGGCTATTTTTCGTGGTGATACTTGGAATGCGAGCTGAAAACAGGGGCGGGATGCGGGAATTTTAATAACGAGCGGGAGCGGGATTTCCTATTTTTATGGGGATGGGATGCGTACCCTGAGAGCAGAGTCTCCTTCGGATCTTCCTAGATAAGTCGGGAAGAGGCAGACTTATCTAGGAATATCGAAGCAGACTCTGCTCGCAGGGTATGGGATGTGGGAATCGTAAGGGGAAAAAAGAGGGAAACGGGAATTTAGTTTTGTCTTAACTAAAAATTCACTGTGTGTTGTTCGTCTTTTCCGGTTTTACTATTTTCGTCGTTTTTGTCACTCGGAAAGAGAAATCAAATCACTGAGGTTAGAAGTCACGTGCATTGATCTGCACGGATTCCTGTTTTGTTGACGGGTCTTGACGGATTTGACCTTTTTCTGTTTTGCCTGGACGGACCTGTTGGACCTGGACGATCTATTGGACTGACAGTTCGTTAAGTAAGTCTTGCCTCGGGGTGGCCACACCAGAACTGATTGAAGTGGCCAATGACGACTATGTGGTAGACATCATAAATTGTAAGGGCTGTGTATGATGAAAAAGGCGCCAGTGGGAATGCGTTTCTTCGGAAAGAAAAATTTAGAGCTCCTGTTTCGAGGCAAGTGAAGACCTTGAAAGTCTTAAAAAAAAACAGTCAGGTGAGTCGACCTGAGATTACTGCGTCCATTATTAATTGTTTTCAACGACCTCACTATCCCAGTATTAGATCTATTATAACCTGGAATATCAATGGACTTTGTGCCCCGCGTTACGGTCAGCGACTAAAATGGTCTCGCTAGCTTGCAAAAGTTGATTCAGGGGTACGCAACGACAATTTCCTCCTAAAGGCATTGAAATAACTTTTTTGGCTATCCAAAGTACTTCTAAATCTCTAGAAAAGCATTCTGAGCGACCCTGTAAAATTTGTATCTGTTCGGCCATCCCAGGGGAACTTGAGTCTATTCGAAATTACGAGGCTTATTAAAGGGACGGACTATTAAAAAACTTATCGGGGCGGGGGGGCGGGGACGAAGTACAAACAAAAAAAATTCGCGCAAGGGAAAATTAAATGACAAAAAATTCATGCACGCCAATTAACCCTAAAAAATATTCATGCTACGGCCTAAAAAAAATTCATACAAGGAATTTGATAACGAAAAAAATTCCTGCGGCTCAAAAATTCCCCACTCCCCCGATAACTTTTCTAATGGTCCGTCCCTAAGTATAATGTTCCCGAAAATTTTAGATGAAATTTGACGTATTACTAAAGTGAGACATTTTCTACTTCCTCTCTCCACCACATTTTTGAATCAGAAAATTGAAGGTTTTCTTACTTTCTACAAAAAATATTCTAACCTGGGAGGTAAAATGCGAAATTTAAACTTCAGAAAATCGTAGGAAATTTAGTTGATAAGCTTCGGAAATTGTACATGAATGGAACGGTCATCTGGAAAGTTTTAGCGGTCCTCAAGCACTAAAAATTCTAGGCAATATTTGCTTCACCGAACAGATATTTTACAGAAAACAGTCGTTGAATGCCCCTGTTGATTATTGCCACTTTAGATGGAGAAGCAAACTTCCTGCTTGGAAGGGTGCCCGCATTTGGGTCCTGCTACATTCGATTCAACAGCAGGTTTATGTTTTCCTAAAAGAGACCATTTTCTAAGTCTTTGGTTGTGTACAACCAGTGTGTTTATATACATTTTCCATGTTCTACACTCCACGTAAACAATATTGACAGAATTGGCTTCATCGCCTGATGGAAACTAGCAGTCGAGTCATCGAGTGGCAGACAGATAACAGTCAATCTACCTAACTCCAAAAATACTAGTCTGCTACACAGCCGTTTTTAGTGTCGTCACGCAAGGCTTCTCCCCACAAACCGGCCGTTAGTTGGGAGGAGCGTTGCGTGACGACTCTAAATACGGCTGTGTAGCAGACTACAAAAATACAGGACTTAAAATGTACCGATACAGGGACGAAAAAATAAGCAAAACAAAAAATAAAGTTACAGTCGCCAATCGTGATGTTGAGAACCTTGACCATCAAAACTGGCAATTGTTAGAAGGTAAGTCTTAAATAATGTCTATTTCAATAATAAAGCAAAAACTCTCGTAAAAAAAACGGGACGGGATCGAGATTCGGGCGTAAAATAGGGCGGGATGGCGGGATTGTGAAGGAAAAAAGGCGGGAAAGCGGGATTTGAGAACCCCTGTTGTGGACCCTAAACGACTCTCAGGCACCCTAACAAAAACGGCGCCTAAAAGATCCAGAGAGATTTCAAACACTTGGGAGCAAAATAGCGGGCTCTTTTAATACTTTGGAGTTATAAATGTTTCGTTATTAGTCATCCTCGGAGACCCAGGGGCAGTCAGTCGGGTCGGGAGAAAAGGCGGGACGAAAGTTTTCAAGTACGGGCAAGAGAGCCCCTGGGTACCGACTCTAACCGAGCTATTTCCAAAAATTCAAGCAGATGCCAGCTCCTGATTGGGCACAAAAAATGCTTTGTATTATTGTGCCCAATTGGCGAACAGTTTCTCCTAAGTTCTTTTCGTGAGTTCTTACACGACGGCTATTGTCTCGCCCCACTTGCCCGGTTCGTTCACCAAGCTTGTGCGTGCAAGGGAAACTTCTATTTTCTACTTTCCTAACCAGAAACAAAGGAACTACCGATGAGTGGAAAAAACTTTTGCGATGCTATCAGCGGGAGCAATTCAATTTGCCCCGAGAAAATTCAGTTTTTGACGGATCACAATGTATCGTAAATAATAGGAAGTTTAAGATGCGGCGGCGACGAGAAAGTCAAATAAACAATAGCTTGACAAGGCAAAACAACAACTTTGCACGTGCATCACGCTTTTTTGTATATTTCTGTGCCGTCAACTGCACGACTACCCGTGAAAACGCCTAATTTCACGTTTTGTGAAGGACGTAAATAAGAAATGGCAAAATTCATTCTCTTCAAGAACTTGGATATGGTTGATAGAAATTCAGCTCCAGAAGAGTTCGCTTGCCGTTTGACAAAGTAACCGAGCTGGAATAATCATGATAGAGACTGAAAAAATGTGAATTCACTTTTCCATGCGACGTTTTCGTGGCTGTCAGCCGTCGTGGTATCTTTTAAAAACTCCCTAAGGCTGCGTGCAAACGGACGCAACAACTCCCAACATTGTTGCGCCAACAATGTTGGGAGTTGTTGTGTGCGTGTTGGCAGTGGTGTGCAAACGGATGCAACAACTGGCAACAACGTTGAGACCTGCAGTGCATCGTGGGAAGGATACAACCCATAAGTCTTTGTAAACCGTGAGTAATGAGCGTGCGTGGTCCCAACAATGTTGGAAGAGCTGTGCAAACGGATCCAACATCGTTGCACTACGCTTCGGCGATCACGGAACAAAAGAAATGTTGGGAGTTGTTGGCTGAAAAATTTGACCGGTTTCAAACTTTACGTAGCAACATCCAACAACACGCAACAGGGTGTGCAAACGGACGCAACATGTAGCATCCAACATTGCTGCGTCCGTTTGCACGGGGCTTAATATTTACGCAAGACGTGACCGATGCAAGCGTGAATACCTGTTGTAAGCTCAAGCTTGTATTTTTGGAAAAAAGTCTTTGGTTTTCGGGCAGACAGTATTTTGAAATCAGATGGAGATTTTTTATCAAACCGAAAGTTTCCAGACTGCGTGCATTTCTTTGCTGCATGAGCCAGACAAGCCGTGATCGAGACAAGAGCCGTCGTGTACGAACTCACGAAAAGAACTCAGGAGAAACTGTTTGCCGATTGGGCACAATAATACAAAGCATTTTTGGTGCCCAATCAGGAGCCGGCATCTGCTTGAATTTTTGGAAATAGTTCGGTGAGAGCCGGTACCCAGGGGCTCTTCTGCGCGTACTTGAAAACTTTCGTCCCACCTTTTCTCCCAACCCGACTGACTGCCCCTGGGTCTCTGAGGATGGTTATTAGTCCGAAACTAACTTTTTCATTAAAACTAAACGACCTAACTGCGATCTAAGAGGGTTTCTGACGGTATTTTCAGCATGCGAAAGACAATTTTCGGGTTTACCTCGGTGTGAAACTGGCCTGTGAACTTTTTCATTGTTTCGCACTTTTTGTTTTTCTAGGTTCTTTTGCATTAACTTCTTTGTTTTCTTTTTTTTTTACGTCACTTGTGAGTTTAACAGGTTCTTACACCGAGAATGAACCCAATTTTCCGCAAGTAGTTTCTTTCGTTTGAAGTAGATCAGTTTTTGTCCTCAGTTCCAGGGTAAACGATACACCTATAGTTTTGAAGTACTCGCTAAAACGGCTCAAAATGGCTCAAGAATTAAATCAAAGCAGACATTAAAACACACAATACAAACACTAGGTGAGTCAATTTTACTGATTTCAAACCTTTTACAAAGGCAGAACTTAACGTGCTTTGTTTATACATACCCTTTTTTCTCTTGTAAAACGCAAATTGATAGGAGAGAATAGACCTTACTTGATTCAAACGAAATTTAAGCTTGTGGAGCTAAAGCCAGCAATATATATATGAAGGTAATAAACTTCTGGTCCCTACTATTAAGCGCTGTTTAGATGATACCGGAATGACTTTCATTCCGGAATGAGTTTCGTTCCAGAGTAAACCCTGACCCTGCTAACAGAGTTGCTTCTAGGAAAGTTCGATCTGCTAGCAGGGTAAGTTCGTACTGCATTCACATGATAAAATCGACCGGCGAAGCCTAAAGCATTTAATCGGCTCCTGTCTCACATGGTTTTCTTCCTTCAATCCGAGAAACTTGTTTTCAGTGTACGTGCTATACCAGAATGAAATGTCGTACCCGAGCGAAGCTAGAATTTCATGCGGATTGAAAAACGGAATGCACTCATTCCCGATTGAGTTGTACGGAACGAAATTTCGTTTTGATGCATGTAAACGAAAAAGAGCAACAATTGGAGATGAGAAGAACTCGTTCAACTATGACAGTCAATCCCGTATAATGTGAATAGCCCATAAGTTAGTTTGTGGCTTTCAGAAATCACTGAGGCGGCTTTGAGGCGTTCTTGGTTTGGATGATTAAGGCTAAAAAAGCTAAAAGATGTTCTCCCGATTACCAAAAACGTTTCCTCTTATGAATCTTACGCGCAACTGAATTTTTGTCTCCCCTGGCCCAACGTCTTTGATTTTTGGTTTACTTTTTGTATACGACTTTATTGGAATAATAAATTTATGGAACTGCATCAAACCCGGCAAACCCTTAACCTGAGCCTGTAATTACTCTAGGTGGGACAAAGTTTACAAAAAAGCATCACTGGAATTACTTTCCTCCTTGGCTGTTAATTTGTTCTGTTTTATATTTTTATTAACAAAAATATAATGAGTTTTTTTTTAGACGTTGATAATCAAACTAAGGGCCGATAAGGAGAAGCTAAAGGGGGGGGGGGGGGGGGACCTCGGCTAGATCCCCTTGTCTGATCCAGTGCCACCTAAGGCTATGAAGTCTTTTTAACGGTAGCACTTAATTGCGGCATTCCCATGCCTTTGTCGAAATGCACTGTATCATATCGCCGCGTCTGCCCACTGACGCTTTCTGCGTAGGATGGTGGTGCTGCAAGAAGAAATGGAATGATACAAGTATAATGAGAAAATCTACTCCATGTAATTAATAGAGGATGTAAATAAGGAACGGCAAACCATACCATCAGAAAAAAACATAAACTTAAGCTACTGTCCGTTTTACAAATCCTGTAGAGTTAAAGTAATCTTAAATATGAAAGATACGCTAGTCACACGAACTTGGGACGGTGAATAAAGGAATTGGGTTCACATCTCCCGGGAAAAGTTGGCCAGTAAATGAAAAACTACCCTTCCTGACACCGTACCCAGCTTGAGACTTATACGCATCCAGCGAGAATTGAAGGATGCGGATTTTTGACGTCTAGAACTATACAAATTTGGTGACGCTCTTTACACTCGTGGATTTCTCTCATTTCAAACTCTGTCTTTTGCCCTCGAACATGTTGCGGTTCAAATGTATACTTGTTTAGAATTATATTTTCCTATATTTTAGGGTAAAAGTAATGTGGGGTAATAAATTTAAAACAACAGAAAACAAAATTTTAACCAAGGATAAAATCGAATGACAACATACATGCGCTAAAGCGCTAAACCTGAACCAACTAGCAACGCATGCGTACCTTCATTTGGATAAGGTGAGATGCCTTCCGTATCCTCCATGGATGTAGAGGCCAGGCCCATGAAGGTGACGGTCGGAGAGGTCTTTCCCTTTACTGATGACTGACGAACGGAGCCAATCGTGATTGGAATGTAAACACGGAAATTTACAGTTCCACGCAATAGAAGAGTAAACTAGAGAAAAGAAAGGAATACTGTCACGTGAATACTTGACCATTTGAGCATAACTTCCAAACTGGTTACCTTTGTCAGTGTTTCAGGCTAGACTTGCATGACGTCTTGTTGTATGTAGTGAGTGGGAAAAATGATGTATTATCTGAGGTAATATTTTAGAAATCTCTTCAGCATGGCATGGGCGATCATTTGAACGAGGCGTCGCTTTATTTGTCATTGGCTGGCTTGTGTGATTACCCTTAAGGCTAATCTGTGAATGCCGGTCCTAATACCTCATTTAAAACCCCGAGTTTAGGGAATAAACTTTATTTTAGTCAATCGTGGTGTACCTGTTATGTCATTCAAGTTACAGACTTATTGAGAATTGCTTTAGACTCGTCCTTTAATTGATATTTTTCTAGGAGACCGGGGTGAGCCGAGTTTTGCACTTCATCGAAGGTCATAGCATTGCCAGATACTTCCACGCCGATTAGGAACTTTCAATAGGAGCCAAGATATTGAGCGCTAGTTTTGAGTGCTACTTCAGTTCATTTTCTGATATTAAGCCAGGTGCGTTCCCAGTGCAGATGTCACTCGATAAGCAGAGGTTTGTCTAGCAAGTTAAATTCTCCAGTGGTGCTAGCTTCAACTAGCTGATTAAACAATCATTGTCATGTCCATACTTCACTAGTAATTCAGTGAAAGATCCGCTTTATTGTGGATCCTCCTTGAGTGCATTGTAACACTAGCCCCCCCCCCCCCCCCCCCCCCCTTGCAATCCCTTAAGGACAATGTGTTGACATTTCGGAAACACTTGAAAGGCTAAGGAAAAAAGGTACGTTCGGGCATCGCCTCTCTCTTAGTCTGTTCCAGGCTCAGAGATAGTCGGGTTCGCGAAATTGAGAAAGCGCGAACACGAAAGCGTCATCCCCACTATCTGAGAGCCTGAAAGAGCTAGGCCACCTGTCACTCACCCCTCACCATACACTACGTCCACGAGTTAAGTCGCGAGCACACTCTTCAAGCAATTTCGACAGAAAGTTAAGATTTATCGAGTTCCCACTCATCTATTTTCTGATCTTTTTTCTGAATCCTAGCTACGGTTTTGCCTTTGCTTTAAGATTCCAGAGAATAGAAACAGAAAATTGATTAAAGAGTACTTCTCATATGAAACTGACCTTTACTTGGTAAGATATCTTTATACACCTACAACTTTTCATAGAAGGTGTTGTAGATGGGATAAGAACAGGTACCATTTCAAAAAAGTCATTTGGCGCTCCTTCCGGATTTGAAGCTTTTCCTGCCTTTGTGACAGTTGCAAGAATGTCCGTTGTTAGCATCTTTTTCCCTGAATTTTTAAAAAAATATTTAAAAGGTTATAAAAAGTCCGCTGAAAATGACATCAGGAAAGAAATGAAGACCAGAAAGAATTGTCTGATCTGTTGTAAACAAGCGCGCGCTGATGATCGAAAAAAATAACTAGACTGCAAATACTTCATATAAGGCTCCTGCAAATCACTGCTGGGATTTTGGAGCTTCTGGAATGCTTTATAATTCTAGATAAAAAGGGCGCGATTCAATACATATACCTGATCAAACAAGCATTATTTCCTGGTAGTAATTCCTCATTCCGTACAAGATTAGACTTTGAATTAAACTTAGAATTAAACGAACATGAAGATATACGCACGAGCTATTCGTGTTTTTTACACATCTTCAAACTTTCTCCGTGTGAACAATGAGCTTACGGCAAGAGAGAATAATTATTTCCCTCTTGCTTACGGATCGTGTTTTTGGGTTCAGTCTCTCGTTCCACGACATTTTCTATAATTTTGTATCACTGACAGGAAATAACCATGGGAAAAACTAAACCCACGGCTTTTATAGCATTAATTTCTTCAAAAAATCAACATGATTACTTGGAGGCTATAATCTTTGGCACCTTTTGTCAACATGGGCTTTTGTTTACCTCCTTGCGATACATAAATAGTGTCCTGAATCAATTCCACCTCCACTCCAAGAATCCTGTAAGGAGTTTGGTTGTTGGCGTACACTGTAATTGTCATTAGTTCTCCTACACAGTAACCAATTCTGTCTGTCCGAACAGTCACATTCAACGGGCCAGACCTACAGCACGGGCAGCCCATGTTTTTATCTTCCTGGACCTGTGACGGACGCTAAACAAATGCAACAAGCAAAACGTAGGTGTTATCCCTTCATCTGAATGAGATCCGCTATCCGAATTATATTACAGAAGGGTTGCTTTGGCAGAAATAAATAAATAAATAAATAATGAATAAATAAATAACTATTTGCAGGTAGTACATCCACATAGTGGTTTTTCGTCTACCTGACTCCTGGTCGAATTGGAATTTGGAAATGTTGGTTTTTGAGGAGACGGGAAAACCGGAGTAGTCAGAGAAAAACCTCTCGGAGCAAGGGAGAGAACCAACAACAAACTCAACCCACATATGGCTTCGACGCCGGAATTTGAACCCTGGCCACATTGGTGGAAGGCGAGCGCTCTACCACTGCGCCATAGATCATAGATCATAATGCGAGAGAGTTGCTCTGGGCTTTGATTTCCAAGGAACTAACGGGAAGTTATAGCCTTACCCGAAATTCCGGCTGATTTACGTCAACTTTCTCTGTCACAGTGAAAGCCTCTACGACTGTCTTGTCCTCCTTCCATGGCCGATCAAGGATGGCTTTCAACCAGTATTTCACATGACCATGTTTCCCCTCATAAGTGGAAGGCAGATTCTCCTCCGGAATTCGAAATTCAAAGGGGAATGAGTGTTCACCAGCCGAGAGGACGGGATTAGGGCCGGGCTGTCCAGGGGCTGCAAAGAATTTTAAAATTTTAGCAATTCACATCAACTTATTTCATGTTTTGTTCCTTTTACCGGTTAAGGTGTAGTTTACAAGAGTAGCCATTGTTTTAGAGTCTGAAAACAATAACTACACTAATTGTAAATTACACTTGTAAAAGTTTTATTAAATTGACCCCTGCAGGTCCCAATGTTGGGTCTTCATAGCTCAGTTGGTAGAGCACTACAAGGGGAACGCAGAGGCCAAGGGTTCGAATGCCGTTGAAGTCCCGAAATTTTTTCGGGTCCAGTTGCAATTGCTAAAATTGCAATTGCCACTGCGACGATCATATCTTCATTTACATTTGTATTTCCGCAGTTTACATCATCTTCATTCTATGTTTCATTCCCGTAATTTTCACGGCTTAAGATGAACTCAACAAATTTGCCAGCTCCCAATTTATGGGTCTTAATAGCTCAGTTGGTAGAGCACTGCAGCGTTAACGCAGAGGCCATGTGTTGGCGTCCTGTTGAAATCGCGGCGAAATTTTTTCGTGTTAATTTGCAATTGCTTAAATTGCAATTACCACTGCGACGATGATATGTTCATTAAATTTGCATTTCCGCAGTTCACATCATCTTCAGATACGATAGTCTCGATCGCTACTAGGCTTTTCAAGCTATTGATTATATTGAGGGAGGGGTGAGAGGTTGGAATCCCTTACAGTTGAACCTCTCGTAAGTGCCACTCAAAATGCCAACGAGAATCAGACCTCACAATCGGCGAAAAATTTGTTGAGACATTGTACTCAATAGGGAGGACTTCAAAGAACAAGAAACTCCACACCCCTCCCCTGTCCCCTCCATTCGAAGTTGGGGTTTTTGCTATTTTCTTGAGGTAGCTCGAACAGCGGCACATCATTGCATGGAGGGGATGGGGAGAAAAAGCTACATTTTCCCGTTTTGAAGTCAGAAAAACGTCAAAAATCCCCTTTAGGGCGAAGCTATGTTGCTACCACTAATTAGCGTTGGAGGGAAATCGAAGCTTGTTTTTCCAACAGTATTATACACATTACACTGAAGGCCTTCCAATTTATTGCACTTAGCAGCCGAAGTAAAGTAGTGGGATTGAACTTGGAGGGGGTCTTGAACCGACGACCGGAAAAACTTCTCCGTTCGCGCGTGGTCTAAGCGTGGTCTAAGGTCTTGAGCACATATTAAGAGCCACTATGACCAAAGAACTCTCAAACGTATTGCTACTGGATTGTATGAATGCAAATGTGAAAACAACACTAATTCACAATGGAAGAAATATTAAGTAATTTTATGTCGGTTCTGATCATTGCTCAGTGTTGGCATTTGACGTTTGAGCTTTAATGTAGATTTTTCGAAACTAAGGTTTTTTGCGAGTACTTGTTTCATACTTTCAATATAGTCTAAATTCTCAGCACGATAAATATACAACCCTTACCTTTGCCAAAAGCTGTTGCTGCAATGTTTAAGTACTGTTCATAGTTTGTATAGTCCCGCATGAGGCCCGGTCGCTTTGACCACCTGCTCGGTCTCGCTGCCTCTGTCCAGTAGACCTTAGCTTCTCCGTAAAATTCAACACGAATTTCGCGCAAAGTTAATTCCTCGTTTGTTTTAAGGAAAACATCGCCGTAAATAACTTCGCCTGGATAATAGCGTCCGTTGCCGTAAATTTCAACTGCAAACAATTCAATTGTTTCCATATTTCCAGTTGAAGTTACATTGTCTGCATTCTACATGGCTAACGCCTCGATCTTCAGTTGTGTGGTAGTCAGTAATTTTTCAAACCCGCACCGAAAGGTAGCACAAACATAAACACTTTAACAGCTTGCGAGCAGAGAAACTACTCCCGAATGATATAATTTGCATATTTAAATTTTTTAAAAGGCGCATATTTGCAAGAGGATTGGGGAGTCAAGCAACCATGAAGGATCTCGTGACCGGGTTTGATTAATATATAGTTTTCGTCATTTAACAATCAATATAAAATAAATGTTTTTATAACGAGCCCAACCCGAAAATAGTTTTGGCTGATCGAGTCGGCTTTGAAATAATACTACATGAAAAAACTGGCAGGTAAAAAAACTACAAAATTAAAACTAAGGTGACCATCGGCTGTCACATCAGGTAACATAACCATTCAGGAACTTAAGATAATTATTGACTGCACATTGACATAACAACAACAACAACAAAAAACGACAGTGATGCATATATATGCATTTACTTGGAAATCTGAGAAAAACAGCGAGGGATTCTTTGAATTTCTAGTCTTAGCATCTCTTTTATGGAAGTAAAGGTTTCATATCTATTATTTCATTTCTTCACATTATTAGGCCATTTCCGAGTTTCCCCGGGACTCTGTTTCAAAACGAGGGTAGGTGCTGAGCCTTTGATACGGAAATCACCAGTTTCATTCTCGTGTAAACAAAACTCATTTTCACAAGAAAAGTTGTGTACCTAGCCTCATTTTCAAAGTGAGGGTTTTTGGAACTCGGAAGTGACCTATTAGCTACATGCATGTACAACGCTTCATTCCATGAACAGAATGACTCAAGGCCCGCCCAGACGGGCAGGCTGAAACCGCATAATAATTGCATTCGAAAATATTTCTTGTTTCAGGTAGTCGACTACGTATACACGAGTTCGCAAATCCATCGGAAACAGAAAAAAGACTCTTTTCTAAGAAGAGGTGTCACCCACGCTTGTCTGTTTTCTCGGGCTTATTAATTAATATTATTACTGAGGTCTAACGTACTTTGGCAATACTGTCTTTTAATATCATAGCAACCTCTGAATCATGTTCCGATAATGAAATAATTTCTATTATGACCCTAAAATATCACTTGGCTTTTGAAATTTCGTCTCACGAAATCATTAGCTTTTAAAATTATTTGTAATAATCTTCTAATAAAAATTCGGCTACAGTGACATCTGTACGTGAGAATGGATGATCTTCGCTGTTCACTTTAGAGTCAGAGATAGGAGAGGAAAACAAACAAGTCATAGAGCTATTCGGCCAACTCAGTGTTGTACCCAATTCAAATCTCCCGAGGTTAAGATTCTTTGTGTATTGTATTTGCATTATAACGTAGCATTCACATTTAAATGATATGGAAATTCCTGAAACAAAACGTTTTTTGCCCAAAGGGTTTGAATTGGGTACAACATTGAGTTAGCCGAATAGGTTTATTGTAAGAGTTTTCACGGTTTGCAGGACTTTGCGATACAACGGGCCAATTTTATGGTTGGACCCGGAACTAATAATTGTAACAGAAGCCTTCTCTTCTCCAGTCATTTAGGATTAGAGTATAGATAAACATACTAAAAATTCTAAAAGATTCGAACGTGGGAACATTGTAAAATTTAACCTCATTTATATTAGGGGCATTTTTGGTCCCCTAGGACCTGGGGCCCGTTTCTGAAAATAATACAATGAACCTATCAGTTAACGATGCAAAATTGGCTGGTTTGTGAGCTAGGAACTGTGCCACTATTCAAAAAGAAAAGTTTCCGGGTCTCTCGCGAAACGAGCCCCTGGTCCCTGATTTCTTCCTCCCTCTGTAGCTTCAACAGGATTTAGGCTACGGAAATAAAAATCAGGGAGTCAGAATAATTTGAGCTCTGACTTGTAAAAACTACTGAATCCTAGGAAAAATTAAAATAATCTAACCTGCGACTCACATCTCAAGCCATTTTTTGGAGAGAGTTTACAAATAGAACCACGTGGAAATGGATAACAAAACCCGACCACAGTGACAAATTCTGGATTACTTGAGATTCTCAAGCTTACCAGAACGCGCCGCTGAACTAAATGGACCATTGTGTTTTTCTCTTCATTCTTCTTTTCCACACAAACGGTAAGCAAACTTGATTTATAGTTTCGTCAGTTATCTAAAATTTGTTATTTAAACCAACACACAATGCAGGGAAAACAGTTCCACGAAAACAGCTGTCATTGTAAATCTACACGCGACGCGCTACGATGATCGTTGAATGGGCCCCATTATTTAATATTTCCCAGGTAGATAACCCATTAAGGCATAAATACATTAAAGTAACTTCCATATTTTTACAATTTTAGTATGAGCGTTAAAAAAAGTCTTTTGACAAGCACCTTTCGATGCTGTAATAAGCAGGGGTCCTCGGATCCTCTCAGTTAAACCCTTTTTAAGCAAATTCCCCCGCTGGGACTTTTGATACGTTATCAATTAAGGCTAGTAAGTCCACAGGCAGCCCAAGCGCACTATTTGTGGGTTCGGGCCTCAGAGGTCATTTGGTCGGAATATACTAGAATTATTAGTGTATTATCTGATGCCAAATAAATGCAAAAAGTCTTAAAGATATAAACTTTTATAGTGTTCAGTACTCGATGGAAAGAAAGTCGACTAACGGCGTTTAAACCAGCCGTAGGACACAGAGTGGCTATGAACTAAAGGTAAGGGAGCTTTCTGAATCAATATTTCGCGTGATCATGATTTTTTTTTCCTTAACGTTGTAGATTCGAATACATGTGATAAAATTCGATCAATAAGGGCCCGAATCACATGTAATAATGCAAGAAATATCGATTTTCGTTGTCTTAAAGGCTACTAGTACCGATAGACAAACAAGAAGACTTCATATCTTTAAGACTTTTTGCATTTATTTGGCATCAGATAATACACTAATAATTCTAGTATATTCCGACCAAATGACCTCTGAAGCCCGAACCCACAAATAGTGCGCTTGGGCTGCCTGTGGTAAGTCTAAAACAGTTGGTATGTCTTCTGTTGCGGTTGGTTCTAGGTTAACCTACTTTTTTTCCACAAAATGATGGACTAAATCGGTTCCATTGCGAAAACTGTTGGCACTTTACAGTATTTTAAATAGTCCAGTTTTATACAAGTAGATCATTCTACACAGTTCTTTTTGCAGTGTGGGTGCATGTTCAAATTAAATCTGCATGGTAATTATAAAAGTGCCCACTCCTGCGATAGCCTGCTGTTGACCTTATTAATAAATAACATGGCTTGCGGCTGCTAACTCGAAGCTGGTCATACTTTCCTCTTAGAGAAATGAAGGAGGCGGTGCAGAGGGAAATTGGTAGTTATTAACAAACGGATACATCGGTGTAAAGCTGGTATCACCCAGGGTCTTTGTATCGCCTTCATCAACGATAGACGCTCCACCGCTAACACACTCTGCGTACGAAGGAGGAGCTGAAATCAAAAACAAGAAATGTTGCATTTAGCCAAGTCAACTCGTAGTCACAGAGTTCTGGAGCCGGTTTTTTTCCCTTTGTATTTGGTAGGCTGATTTGACGACCACTATAATTATTTCGAACACGATATACTGAAAAAAAAAATCATTAAAACAAGTATTCTTATTCGTAATTGCAAATGTTTCAGTATACTCAGACCAGCTTTTCTATATTTTTTAATACATTATGCAAGATATAATTAAACTTTACCATTCGAGATGCGACTACGAATCCACAATCCACTTGCTGTGCCTTTTTTTTTATCTCCTTTGTAACTGACTCCTTTGTTTACCCACAAAATAGCTAGCGTGTCAGTTTTCCAGATCGAATTAGTATCATTAAGTGTTGGCACTTTTTCAAATTCACCCGTGAACGCAGAATCACTCAGGCTGTCCCTTGTTTCTGCAGCGACAGCGAGAAGGAAGTCTGCGTTAGGGGGTAGGGGCATCAAATAAAATATTATGTTTTAGTGTGGTTGACCGGTTATTTTCGGAGGTCCGCTACTTTCGGGGGACGGGAGGAGGGGGAAGGGCGTTACTTTCCTGGCTCAATAGGTGGAGAATAAAGTAACGTTACTTAAAAAAAAAAAAAAAAAAAAAAAAAAAAAGTAACGTTACTTTCGGGTAGCTGTTATTTTCAAGGAGGGGGGGGGGGGCATTACTTTGGGAATTCTACGGTAAACAAGATACAGAGTTTTCCTAACCAATATTTGGGTACTTCTGTGCAGGGCCACCATACTCTGTAGCAGCTAGTGGATAAGCTGATGCTCGTTCAAATTCTGCCAGCGGTGGAGCACTAGGAGTTGTCAAAGCGGCACCTGGAGGCGGGAACTGGGCTGGAGGAGGAGGCCGATACGGAACTGAACCGATGGTGATGGGAATTTTTTGAATGTGTAATGCTGAGATGAAGGCCGCATCCACTTTAACTTTCAGCTATTGTAAGAAGGCAAGAAAACTAGATAAGCCACAGGACCAGATTGATCTACAACTGTTGGCGTTGAACTCGATTTTAGGTCACATTTAAACGAGAGTCTAAGTTATACCAACCCAACACCCTTCTCAGTAGATGTGTAAGAAAGACAGTGGAAAATATAATTATTTATTGGTCATTCCAAGTCATCTTATTTGAGCATTTTCAGGGTTCGTTTGCCAATGAAAATGAAGGTTTTTATGAAGTAAGTGAAGCAAACCGCGGCAGTGAAAATCATTTGTTCCTTGCTAGCTAAGGACTCTCAGGGTAAAAGAAACTCTCCTTCCTCTCATTTTTTCTTCGCGATGAGAGGCCACAGCTTGCAAGGAAAATTATAGCTTGGGCAAGTGAGGTTCTTAACTGTACTACGAATATTTCATCGGTCACCTCAGATTCAAGTACTGTCATTATGGCCCTGGTAGCAAATGACAGTCGTCAAAACACATCAGGCATGTTAAACAAATCAACTAAATGGACAGAAAATGAGTAAATTACCGTTAAAAAATATGATACTTTTATGAAACTGCAACTGCAACCCATCGTGGTTGGGGGCAGAGAGGGGACTGGAAGTGGTACTATTATGCAAGTCTCTTCCCCAGGTTTCACTCCTTCTTGAGACGTGGTCTCGGCAACCATGTCTTTCCGTTGTATTTGTTTTCCTAGAAATAAAATTAAAATAACGATGGTCATGACGAAAATAAAGATCATTATGATGATGAAGATGAGAGTCAACAAGGGATCATACATGAAAAGGAACCGGTCATCATTTATCGCCTGGCGGGGCAGGGGAAGGATTTTAGGGGGAATCATTTGATTTTTGGGAGACCAAAAGGGGGCATCAGTTGTAACTGAGAACCCAAAAGGGGGGAAGGCTGAAAACTTTGGAAGGATTCATAAGAAGGGGGACCACTAAAATGTACTTGGAAAATGAAGACTTGGGTGGGGGGGGGGATGGCGAAAGTCATCAAAAGTTATTAGGGGGGGATCACTTCAGTGAAGTAACATTCAAAGGGGGAATCGACTAAATTTCACCTTGTTTAGTCCCGAATCCTCCGCTCCCCCTCCCCCCAGGCGATAAATAATGACCGGTTCCTAAGAGAGCTAAAGCTACCACATAGGCCCTATTCCTGAGGTTAGCCTTCTCAGGTCATTTTCAGTAACAGGCCAAATGATATAAGGAGACTCAATTTCTAATAGCTTTTTGACTTTCACAGCAATTACCGTAAATTTTGTTAAATTAATTGAGTTTACTACTTTAAATTTCTATGTCTGCTGCTCGCTACGCTCACAGCAGACCTATTTCACTCAGATGCCAGGTGAGTTTGATTCTCGACGTTCAGCTAGTTAGTAGCTCACTTTGCCTTGCTTTCGTGTGGATCAGCAACACAGCTGACCTTTGCAACGTTGGCTCAAGCACGTGCTTTCTCTTCAGCGTCCTTTTGCCCATTTCACAACCCACTAGAGCGACTTGACAGTTCGTGTTGGAAACCTTCTGTGTTTGGGAACTATGGTTTGTACTGCTTTACGCTCCCGGGAAACTTAAGGAGTTGTTCGGTTTTTTTCAGCGTATCATTGTTCATTGTATCAAGTATCATTGATTTAAAAACGTTGTTGATGCGAAAGGAGAGACAGAAAGTGACCTACAGACCGAATCACGAGTTGAGCCGATTTTCTCTGATCTATGACAAACAAACTGAACTGAGCGAATCTGCTGGCAACCTCGTTCCCAGGGTTCTCCCCTATCCGTCCCTGCGGAGCGAGACGGGTAGGAGAGAGAACCTGGGAATAAGGTTGATTGGCTCGGTGGCCAATGTGCCAAACGACCCTTTGTGGTCACAGAAACAAATAACTATGGGCAATGAGCTAAGCGACCCAACTGAGTCAAAAACAAGGCGAACTCTCCAAACGTAATCTGCAGAATTATGCTGAAGCTTTGCAAGAAAGCTCGAGCGATTCTTTTCAGAGTATTGACTGTTGTGAAATTATCCTTCCTCTGTACTATTATAAAATTTAGACATTAGTACTCAAAATCTCCCAATATTTTCTCCAAGAATTAAGAAATATGATAACTAAACCCTCTGCTCACAGCGCTTCACCTTCTAAAAGGAACCACTAGTAACAGTAATTATATGTTTTTATTCTTTCAGATTTTGAAAATTTTTCCTAGGAAAAGAAAGCTAAAGAGGGTATACCAAAATTTGGTATCATTGTCAAATTGCTAATGGTGGTACATGCAACAAAAGGCAGCAAGTTGTCAACTATTAACAGTGGGTAGGGAGCCTATATTAGGATTTTTTCGTCGCCAACAAGAGGTGAAGCATTAATTAAACCTCTTTCCTAGTCTTTGAGGCTTGATCAATATATATTTCACACCGTAACAATGATATAGTAACAGTTAGAAGTATTTGCAGATTGAGTGCTGCCCACTACCAGTCAAAACAGAGATGGCATTTAAATTCGGAATCAACCTTAATTAGCTACTGAATAATTCCTCGTTCTTAAGTGTGAAACTGTTTCTTTAAAACCCACCACCGGAAGCAATGAAGACAGTGAGTTGAATAAGTTGTATCTCCAGCCCAGTAACCTCATTTTTTGAATTATTGATAAAGACTGCCGAGACACCAATAGATTCTCCAGGACAGTAACCTCCTCTGTCAGTATAGACAGTAGTACTGAGTGGACCAGATATACAGCACAGGTATCCCACATCACGATCCTCTTGGACCTGACAAGGTTGCTGATGAAGTAAGAGTTGAAATATGTAGTGGTATTAGATTTTACTGCCACTAATTTCTAGGCATTTGGAGAGAGCCCTTTTCTTATCATTTACTCTAGGGTAGCCCTTTCAGAGGCTTAGCCAACTGCTATTAATAGGGGCCCTTAGGGACTTTCCTCATTCTCGTCCCCAGAGCCTCCTGGGAGCCTGAGCACGAGGACCAGGGGGCTCTAGGGACACAAGATTTGAAGTCCTAGATTTTAGGACTTCCGGTCATTTCCGATTCAAAAGGAAGTTGGAGGATTCTCTTTTGAAAGCTTTGAATCACCTAAATTTACAGTCTTATTATTGATACTTCGGAAAGAGCAAGTGAACACCATTAGAAACGTTGTAGAAAATAAGAAAAGATCTGAAGTCCTAAAATCTAGGACTTTAAATCGTGTTTCCCCAGAGCCTCCTGTTCCTGGTGCTCAGGTCCCCAGGAGGCTCTGGGGACGAGAATGGACTTTCCTTTGCCAGTTTTTGCACTCTCACGATGCAAATACTCTGCCAGTTTTCTTCCATAATTACTCCTTCATTATGGTACTTTAAATAATAGGATACAACTATAGCCTCAGTCATATATACTGAGTACAACCATGCTGCCATCGTGACGATACTTGGAAAATGTTGTTCCTGTCAAAACCATTTTTTATTCCGAATCGCAAATTAAACTTGAGTCTACCAAAATTTGTCTCCTGAAGTTTTCCTAGGTCCCATGAAAAAGGTTGTAACAATAACTTAGTAATATTTTCAGATTTCCTCTCTCTGTATTTTCTCATGGGAAAAAAGCTTTGCAAGAGTAAGGCCCAGTTCAGACGTCGTGCTTCTGCCGTGCCGAACTAAATTCAGGAATTAAGTTCGACAGAAGCACGGCGTCTGAATCAAACTTTTGAATTAAGTTCAGCAAGCAATTAAGTTCGATAAGCGCTGTCGTGCTACACGGCTCTGGCATGGCAACGATTCAAACGTCGTGCTTCTGCCGCGCTAAACAAAATTCATGAATTATATTAATGTATTTTGGCGAGATTGCGTTCCCACGGGGAGTTGGGAGAAGAATTGTTACGAGGCATCAGTAAATCCTGAATTTGGTTCGGCACTCTGGCACGACGTCTGAATTAAAGTTGTTTTCCTGCCGTGTTACAGTCGAACCAAATTACAATTAAGTTCGGCACGGAAGAAGCGCGACGTCTGAACTGCGCCTAAGCACAGACCCGATACATTGATTCGCTAGGGAAAGATCATTATGTTATTGAAAATTTAAACAATTACCAGAAGCAGAGGGGTGTTGATGTCCACATATTCCAATACAGTAAAGGCTGCTATAGTAGTAATATCAAATCTCCATGGGCGGTCAACAATTCCCTTCAACCAGTAACGAACATAACCATACTTTCCTTCTACTGAGGTCGGCACGTTAATGTTTGGGATTAGAAACTGAAATGGATAGGAGTAATCACCAGGCTGGAGAACTGGGTCTTCACCACGCTGACCTGGAGCTGTCAATCAAAGAAGGTAGATAGGTACACCTGGTACTGTTGGGTAGGTAGGTATGGTAAGTATTCAGGTAGATATGAAGAAGAGCACAGGTAGCTTGGAAGTTAGGTAAGTAGGTAGGTAGGAAGGTAGACAGGCTGGTAGGTTGGCAGGATATAGGTAAGTAGCCTGTAGGTACGTCTCTCTCGAGCAACCGGCGGCCAGTTTTTTGAAAAGGCCGCTTCGATTTGGAGAAAATCGGAGGAGGGGGAGGGGAGAAGAAAGAAACACTTGCCCGAAACTTCCGCGATTCTGGGATCAATTTAATTAAACATTTGCAGGTGTAATTGACAAGGGTAGCCATTGTTGTAGGGCCCGAAACCAATAGCTACACTAGTAAATTACACTTGTAAAGGTTTTATTAAATTGACATCTGGAAAACGCCCTTTGATATTTTACGGTTCCGTTCGTTTATAAATTGACAGCTTGTCAACATAGCCGTAAGTAACGTGAATAACATTTGTTAACTTTTTTGTTCTCTTTGAAACATGCTCCAAACGATTGCAGAAAAATATAATAACGCAGCTTAATGATCCAAGAAGGCTGAAACTCCCAGCAATTGCTGCGGAATTTCTCGTTGTATTCAACTGAAAAGTTTTAAACGTAACTTCAGCCAAAAAACTCTCGCCGGAAAAACTGGTCAAAACGTCAGGGGCACCCAACGACTCTTCTCTGTAGAATATCTGTTCGGAGAAGCAATAATTGCCTAGACTTTTTTTATAGCTTGAGGATGGCTAAAAATCTCTAGGTGACCGCCCCTTTCACGTTCATTTTCAAAACTTATCTAATGATTTCCCTTCGATTTTCTGAAATTTAGTTCTTCGCAAGTCACTTTCCAGGTTAAGCTAGTTTTTGTAGAAAAAAGAAACTAAATATTTCCGATTAAAAAATGTGATGGTGAGAAATTGCTTTGGGATGACCGAACAGATGCAAATTCTATATAGCTCCTAGAGGTATGAAATTACTTGGGGTACCCTAAAAAGTGTCTCTATGCTTTTAGGAGGAATCTGTCGTTGGATGCCCCTGGCTATTAAGCTAATGGTGCTGTCAGGTGCAAAAATGATTATTAAACCGTTCTAATTGTCAATTTTTGGTAGTTGACAATCCGCATACCGTATTTATTCGATTGAACGCAGCGGCGTTTATTAGAGTTTTGGCGTTTATTTCGAAGTCACTTTTTTAAAATCACTGACCACAGTTATTGTAGATCGTTTGTAAATATTATGTAATTTAACGGTTTCAATGTCTCCCTTATTTTGCTGGGATAGAATCGTAAATGTCTGGATGGTGTAAATTACCAAAAAGTTGTACCGAGGTTTTTTTTTTATTATCCTCCAGTTAACGCCGCATTCTTCTGATTAGGTGTGACGTTCATTCGAGAGCGACGTTTACTGGTAATTTTGCTTCCATCTGCGGCGTTTGATCGTGATCGAGGGGGAGCAGTATTCGAGGACGGCGTTTAATCGAATACATACGGTATTTAAAAATGGCGTTAACGGAAAGATAGCGGAGAGCCAACGGGGGCACTCAACGACTGTTTTTTGTAAAATGCATGTTAGAAGAAACAAAAATTGCCTAGAAGTTTCTATAGCTTAAGGAAGGATAAAAATTTCTAGAGGACCGCTCCATTCATGTACAGTTTTCGAAGCTTATCTGATACGATTTTCTGAAGTTTAATTTTTCTCATTCCACTCCCCTGGTTTAGCGATTTTTCCTAGAGAAAGGAAACCTAAAAGTTTCGGAATCGAAAATGCGATGCAGAGAGGGATCAGAAAAATTCTCACTTTCGTAAAACTTTAAATTGCAGCTAAAATTTTCGGGAAAATAATACTGAATCCCTTGTAATTTCGAAACGACTCAAGTTGCCCAAGGATGACCTAAAAGACAAAAATTTTTTGGCGCCACTTAGAATATGATTTCTAGAGATCTGAACTGAGTAGTATACTGTATTTATTCGATTAACGGCCCTGGCGCGCTTATTCGAGGCTGGGCGCTTAATATAAATTTTCAACATTCTCAGCAAGTGTAGTACGTTTATTTTGCAACAAAACAATAAATGGTAATAACAAAACGCGAAGATGTAACAAAGCAAGGTTTCTGTAACATACTCTGAAGAAAACTCCGTCTTCGGAGAAGTCTCTTGTTAGAACTTATTCAATTTTCAGGGGGTGGGAGGGGGAAAGTGGGTGGGGTGGGGGTGGGCGCTTTATTGAGTTTGAGTGGGATCGGGAGGGAGGTGGGGTGGGGTAGGCTCTTATTCGAGGCTGGGCGCTTATTAACTTTTTCTGCCTTTAGGATGGGCGCTAATTAGAGGTTGGGCGCTTATTCGAATAAATACGTTACTCTTCAAAAAGTTTTCAATGCATTTATAACTGTCCTTGGATGCCCCTGAAACGTCGCAAAAAATTATTTGTCCGAAACAATTCAGTCCAACTATGAGGTTTGTGGAGCGGTTGAAGTGGAAAATGTTAGAAACTCAAAGCTATTTTCGTATCATTTGCTCCGTAGACCTGGAAACACGTCTTGGCCGAGCCTTGTCCCTGAAAGAACCTTAAGATCCTCAACAATACATACTGTAAAATTTGCAATAAATAAAGAATCTTTTAATTTTAAAGAGTCAACAAATCGCTTGTCCATGACAGCTTTACCTAGCTGTCGAGTACCGGCGCCGTACTTGCGTCACTTTCACCTTAGTTTTGAAATAAAGCCATTTTTTCAACAGATGAATGTCTTCTTTTGCCTATTGTTTAAAAAAGGTATAATAAAACAATTATTGAATTCGGTTTTCGCATGATATCATGAATTATCAAAACCTCGTGTCTGTATTATCTGCCGAAGCCTTTGGCTAACAATAGACAATAACACAGACCTCGGTTTTGATATAATTCATGATATCATGCTCAACCTCATCCAATAATTGTTTTTTAAAAGTAAAGACCAAGGAGAATTGCACCAAAAATGCACACCTTAGTTTATCTGTAACTGAAAAATTACTCAGCACTGTAGCTGCGCTCAGACAAGGTGTCATCGATGTACCCCTCAGTTGATGGATACTGGGATACTTGGTGTTGAATTTGAGGCACTTTCCCTACCATAATAATAATAATAATAATAATAATAATAATAATAATAATAATAATAATAATAATAATTTATTATTATAAGGGGCAAAATAGCATTTAAATATGATCTAATGTGCACTGACAAAAATATATATAAAATTATATGTAAAATTTCCTCAGAAAAACTAAAAATTTGGTATAAATCTCTCTATATCTACAATTAAAAAGGCAATTATAAGATTCGATTAATAAATGTATTGTAACTTAGTAATTCAAATGATCTTAAAACGTTAATTGATAAGTCATAATAATAATAATCGTAAATCTATAAATGATAAGCTAGTTTAAAAAGTTAACTTTTTAGTTTAGCTTCGAAAGGATACATGCTTGTTTCCATCCTTAATGCATTTAGAAGTTTGTTCCATAGATATACACACAAAGATAACAAGTAATCAGAGGCATAAATCCAGAATAAATAGAACAAAATAATTTGCTTAGATAGGAAATGAAACTGATGCAAGAATTTCTTGAAGAAATTGAACAAAGAAAGTCAAGAAAACAGAGCACCAACCAAACCTCCTACCTGAATAACATGCTGCTAACAGAAATGACATGACGAATGCGAAATGAAAAAGGTTTCATTAAATATTCAAAATTGTTTCGTTGCAAAAAATGACGCGATAAAAAAGAAAAATTGTATGAGTTTCGAGTGTTTGTAATAAGCAATTATTTGATAACGTTGAGTATGATGTTAAGATTTATGGAGATCGAGGTGGGTGCTATCTGCAAAATTCTTCGCATCATACCAAAGCCGAATCCAATAATTGCTTCGTTACTCATTCACCTCGATCGATATTAAGTTCTCGTCTTCATTTTCCTGTTTATCGGCAAGTTCAGGATATAAAGGGATGTTAATTCTAGCAGATAATTATTCTTCAAATAGCACATGTCATCCGTCGAATTGCGTATTCTTCCTGTTCTTGCTATGTTTTGAGACAGTATTTTGACTATTTCTTTTTCGTGAGGCGTGTGAAATGTTCCGCTTTTTTCTACTGCCCAACAAAGACAAGGCTCAGACACCTTGATCATTCGTGTGAATACAAACTTACTCGACAAGCAACACTTATACTGATATTATCATTGCTTTTTTGGCATTCTGCACGTCGGACAAAATGAATAAAACCCAAACTGACCTTTACCGAACACTGTTGCCAAGGTATCGATGTAACTTTGACTGTTATTATAGTGACTTGTACTCAAGTTCTCTCCAGATCCGTGGCTTTCACTCCAGTGTACGCGAGCTTTGCCATGAAACTCAATCCGTAGGCCCCGCAGTTTTAACTCCTTATTCACTTTGAGACGAAGGGTTCCATTTATTGTCTCCCCTGGGTAAAACGTTCTTTTCCCACGGTGAAATTCAACAACGAAGTAATCAACTTTGCCCATGGTTTAACAACTGACATTCAAACAATGTTTAACCGTAATTACATGCATGATGAGAGTGCATTTTTGGATAACTGATCACCAGCCAAAGTAGGGAGGGGAGGGTTTCAGAAGGTAGGCTCGTAATGTGTGCAGAGGGCGAGAAATGACTGTTTTAATACTTTGCATGACGAATTTTTCCTTATTCGTCCGAAACTACCGTTTTCATAAAAATCCCAGGCCGAGACAAGTCACAGCTTTGACCAACCAACCAAACCGTGAAGAGGGCATAAGGGTTATGGAGGACAAGAGAGTAGTTCAATTCTCTTGGGTTAGATTTGTTTTTTTCCCAGGAATACCCATGACTTTCTATACTTTTCAACTCAAAAATTGAAGATCAGGATGGAGACGCGCAAGCCAGGCTTCTTGCTCGATGTTCCCTGTAAAGGCTGAAAAATCTCACAGAGTTTGACTTTAATCAATTAGTTTATTCGCGTACATCTCAGAAAAATACCTTTAATACCTTTACTTCACGTTCCAAGATATACTTAATTTGGATAGGTCATGTAGTTTCGATTTTTGTTGTAATTACAATCAAAATCTTAACTTCGCCAAAACGGCTTCGGAGTGGCTCTAGAAGTAAACTGACAGTAAAAAACACAACACAAACACTATGTAAGTCAATTCTATTTCGAATCTTTTTAAAAGGCAGAAACTTAGGACGTTTTCTGTATTGCGATTATTGCGATACACTTTCCCGTAATGTGCAAATTAAACAAGAGAGAATGAACTTCTCCTGACTCAAACGACGTTTAGGCTGTCTGTACTCAAGTGAATTATGCGTGTGCTTTTAGCCAATCAGAATCGGGGAAATATTTTGAATGAATAATAATTTCGCTTAAAAAAACTCTCCCGTGAAATTACTATTTACAATTCACTTCGATTCAAAAAACACCTAATTAGGCTTGTAATGCGGAGGACATCTATCTACGGTCACTACAGCATCCAAAGAAGTAACAATGATTACTTCTACCCATAATTTGCCATAATCGTCTTTATTATGAAAAATTCTGTGTTTCCTTTTGTCTAGAGTAAACAAACTTGACCACGATTTCTTGCATTGACAGCTTTTATCATTTGTTTCCCCCCTGAGAAACCACGTGACATTGACGAAGACTCGAGGTCGACTTGTTTCGCCTGAATGGAATTGAATCACGCGCTATAAATTTACGCGGGAAAAAAACTGATTGACATATGATGTGTCGGGAGCGATGTGAAATATCTCTCACTGTCCTATTGGTCAATTGTCACGACTCCATCGGTAGAATTTTCGACCGGTGAATTCGCGCCAAACAGGTCTGAAAAGTCCTTTAAAATGGCATAACCAAACAAATAAATAAAGGACTTTTAGAGAGTCTAACATAAACATTACAACAACAACAACAAAGCAACAACAGTTTCATATTCTTCATTTTAATAAGGCAATCTCTATTCATTTATCTACATACTTCATTTTTCTGTATTCGTATTATTACATTATTTCACATTTCAGTAACGTAACAAAAGACCATGTTTCATAACACCACTGTTCAAGAGGAAGTCTGTGCATGTACAAACAACCACAAGCTTAGGTATCTCCATGTAGCAGAGGCTTCGCTTTCAAGATACGTACTGTCAAGTAGCCTTTACTATTAGCATGCCAGTATCTATGCCAAAAAGTAGCCGCTCCTCACACGACAACTTGAGGTATCTCAAGTCGTTCTCTATTCACCAACGTTGTCATCTAATGATAAGGTAGCGTTCAAAACCAAATTTGGGAATTGTTTTGCTTTCTAATTTTGACACCTCTTTTATGGAAGTAAAGGTTTCATATCTATTATTTAACTGCGATTGAAAATTTTTTCCTAGCGGCGCTCGCTCGCATTGGTGGCTTCGAGGTCACATGACATCTAACAATGAAACTGTTTCCCACCAAAATCTATTTACGGGCAACACTGCAAAATCTATGACGTAAGAGGGTAACAGTGCACTGTTACCGGCGACCGCCGTTACAGCGAGGTTTAATGAATTTCCAGCTATATAACAAAAAACACAAAAACACTGGTCCCTCGGGAAACAGTTAGTTTGCTCCCTTCGGAAGCAATCACTGAGTGCTTATTATTTCATTTCTTCAAATTAATTACATGTAGCTACCTGTACAACGCTTCATTCCATGAACAGAATGACTCTGCAAACCGCATCCACACCAATAAGGGCAGGCTGAACTGAACCACATACTTGATTGAATTCGAAAATATCGTGGTTCACAGCCTACGAACACAGACGTACTTCCGGCCGTCGCTTCTCTACACCTGAAAGTTACTTTTTGGGTTAAGAGAAGCGACGACCGGAATCCATCGGATCCGTAAAAAGAACACCTGACTCTTCTAATGAGTGATGTCACGCACGCTTGTCTCTGTTCTTGGGATTCTAGCTATAGATTAATTAATATTGTTACTGAGGTGTAACGTACTTTGGCAATACTATCTTTTTAATGTCAGCAATAGCCTGAGGAAACACCCGACATTTGGCGGCGCTACCACTGGTTTCCCCGCCAAATGACGACGTCGCCAAATGTCGGCTGTTTTCCCGGGCAACATCTGAAACATGTTCCAAAAATTAAATAAATTCTACTATGATCCTTATATATCAATTGGCTTTAGAAATTTCGTCCCAAGAAACCATTCTTCCTCAGCCTTTAAAATGTTTTTTAATATATATTCTAATAATTCAGCAACAGTGACCGCCGCGCGTGGGAGTGGATGATCTTCGCTGTTTAATTTTGATTCAGAGACAGCAAAGGAAAACAAACACGTCATTGTAAGAGTCTAATAGAGCCTTGACATACAACGGGTGACTTTAACGAGCTGGGTGATCCTTAAAGAACACCTCATTATTATGGAAAGTTTGCATTGTCCCTGGGGAAAGAGAACCCTTACGTTTTCTCTAAATTCAACCCGCTTTGCGTAGTTTAGGTAAAGCATGTGTTGTCTGTTTTACTAAAGAACTTGCTTCACTAATGGAAAAGTTGAAATAAAGTTTTTAAGATTATCATCACTCCAAAAGAATAGCAGTGCACACGCCATGGTCAGTCGAATAATCAGTTGCCTTGTATCCTACATACCCGTCACTAAAAAAGCTTATGTACAGCAAAGGTTAATGTCAATGTTCGCAAAACTGACATTAAGCAAATCATTATACACCACAATAAAATTTCGTCTATCATAGCTTTGTTATCTTCACTTTGCCACGCCAATGTGATAAAATTGCTCTTAATCTATATCTAAATTTGAATCTGAATCTAATGATAAATAGGCTACCATAAATTAATTCACTAATGTTTGCTAAGGCCATGAAACATCGTAATTCTGATCCTTATATTAGTCATATATGTAAGCTGAGTTTTTCAAAAATTCAAAAATAAATATTCCTGCGCAATAAATTTGATGAATAATTCATCACAATTAATATATCAACTGTGAAGGACAGAAACTCCCCTTCTGAGGAGGCACTTGTTGAAGAATTTAAAGACACCCAGGGAACAAACAGCTGAATAGCAGATCAGCTTAACCCGAAAAATGTTCGGTGACACAAGTATAGGTAACAATTATTTCAGTGCAACAGGCCATTTCCGAATTCCAAAACGTTTCCCTTTCAAAAGGAGGCTAAGTGCATTACCTTCCTCGTGAAAATGACTTTTATTTGCTTAAGAATAAAATTCATTTTCATATCAATGGTTTTGCACTTAGCCTCGCTTTGAAACAGAGGCTCCGGGCAACTGGGAAATGGCCTATGAAGGCAGAGGCGGTTTACTTGAGTTTGAAGGTTGGGGTTCCAGAGCAGCTGCAGTGTCTTGACTTGCAGATGAAGGGAACTGGTAGTGACTGACAAATGGATACATTGGAGTAAAGGTGGAACCACTTGACATTTCACCTGCGTCATTCTCATCACCAATGGCTGCCCCACCATACACACATTCAGCGTATGATGGGAGAACTGAAAGGCAGAAATAATACATGATTTCAATTTTTTTTTTGCGTAGAGGAGAGTGTAAAAGCTACTTAGTGGATGGGTGTTAATACGGTGAACAACTTTACTAATTGCAGCTTAATAAAACACATAAAACCTGGACTGATTAGCTGACCCAAAAACTGACAGACACTTCAGATATAATGACTGTGAACACATCAGACATTCTGAAGCTAGTGCAAGGAGCAAGTTGAAAAGCACTTACAAGGAGACCATGAAAAGGTTCTTCTGCAAAACGGCTTTGTTTCCAATGCCAGTTAGAAGAGACAGAATGCATTATTGTGCCAAAGATTAATAAGCTAAGTATCTGAAAAATCGGTTTGCTGCAGCAGCTCTTCAACTACTGAAACAAAAACAATAGCTTATACACTGGAACCTCCTGTAAGCAACCACTCAAAATGCAAAGAGTTTGTGATCGCTTACGGGAGGTGGTTGCTTAGAGTAGAACTGCAGGAGGACTTTTACGAGTAGAAGTCCAGACACATCTAATTTTTTGAGAGAATGCATCGCATGCATTTTTAGATTGCAATATAGGTAAATACATATTGTTCTTCTCATACTCCTGAGTGGCATAGTCAATACAGCGAACACAAAGATCAGACCATTGTATCAGGTGGTCGCTTAGAAGAGATTAAAAACCATAAAAAAATTCTAAAACCATCATCCCTAAAAGTGGTTGTGGTCACTTACGAGAGTTTCCAACCATAAAGCTTTGACTGGGAAAATTTTAGTGTTGAGAGGTGGTCGCTGCATACGAGAGGTGGTTACACATATGGAGGTCAACTGTAGTTGAACAAAACATTTAACTAACTAGTCACGCAGACAACACTTTGTGCCAATTACCTGCTCCAGGGTATGGCTGAAAGTCTTCACTATATCCAGGGGGTGGGGTTAGTGGAGGAGCTGATGGCTGAACTGCTGATGGTTGGTGTGGAGGTTGATATGGTACAGAGCCAATTGTTACTGGGATTGTAAGGATCAGGTCCTTTGCTGAGAATCCACTCATGTGCACTGTGAACTGTTTCAAAAGACAATTTAAACATGTTATCTGTGGACTACATGGTAAGATTGGCTTGGCCAGAGATGGTCAAGGGAATTAAGAAAGTAAGCAGCCAGATAGCCTGCATTCAGACATGACTTATTTAACTTTTGTTTCATATGGATATAGTTAACAAGCGGAGATAGCACTTGCCTACATCAAGGCTATCAACCTGGATGTTCACTCAAACAGATGTGAGGTCCCAGAGTCCAAACGAATTCTAGCTACAAACCTGCATGCCTGAGATAGTAAGGGGCTGGTCAATAACTACCTGAGGGGGGGAGCATCATTTTGCGGGGGGGTCATTTTCAGGTGAGAGGCATTACCTTGGAAGTCACTTTAATAAATTTCATGAAATTAGTACAAAGCAATAACAAGCGTGAATGAAAATTGAATGTAACAGCAAGCAGTAGAGACTTTCTCAAAGCCCATTTGCACCGCTCATCTCTCTCGCCACTTCATTACTCGCTTGTGCTCGCGGGGGGAGTCCCTCACGCCTTCGGTGCTCTCACAGTCTACTTGTAGCAAGTCTCAGGAGCACCCTATGACTGTTTTCTGTAAAATATTTGTTCAGAGAAGCAAATATTGCCTAGAATTTTCTATTACTTGAAGACAGCTAAAAAGTTCTAGATGACCGTTCCATTTATGTACAATTTTCGAAGCTAAGCTAATTAATTCCCTACGATTTTCTGAAGTTTAATATTTCACTTTTCACACTCCAGGTTAGGCTATTTTTCATAGAAAAAAGGAAACCTAAAATTTTCGGATTCAAAAAAGTGATGGAGAGAGGAATCAAAAACTTTTTCACCCTCATAATGCGCTAAATTGCATCTAAAATTTTTGAGAAAATATTACTGAAGCCCTTGTAATTTCGAAAAGACTCAAGTTCCCAAGGATGACTGAACAGATACAAATTTTATAGCACCATATAGAAAGCATTTCTAGAGTTCCAAAAATACTCTGGATAGCTTATAAGTGTTTTCAGTGCATTTGGGAGGAAACCATCTTTGGATGCCCCTAAAGTCTACGATCCGATTGTTAACACCAATCTTATAAACACGACAGTGGATAAAGTACATGTATGTGGTGAACTTCAGCACAATTTGTAGCTACTGGCAATATTCATAGTTTCCACAGCAATCAGGTAGGGGATCACTTTTGCAATATGTATGACTTATGGTGGGTTATTTCTAAAATGCAAGGATGCAGTGTGGGTTGATTTGAAAATCTTCTGAGCTTTCTCAAACAGGCTGGTCCCCCCTCACAGGTAAAAAATGACCACCCCAAACCTTGAGGTCAAGATTGCGGGCTCCACTGGTCACCTGCAGAAGTCTGTTAGGTGAAAAATAGGGTGCTCCAGCAATTAACACTTTAAACCCTTACACAATATCCACCCACAAAGCAAATTCTCCACAGTAAGACTGATCTTCAAACATTCCCACAAAGTATTGGCTGAGAGTATTTGTCCAAGGATCAGCCCTGGGTTGTTCTAACGTTGAATAGCGCTATCCATTGGACAAATCACTATCCAGCAGGCGCAGTTGTTCAAAAGTTGGATAGCACTACCCACTGGATAAATCACTATCCAAGGGATAAGTGTTAGGGAAACCAATAATTGTGCTATCTAGGGGACAGTGATTTAACCGGTGGATAGTGTTATCCACCTTTTAAACAACTGAGGCCAGATAACCATTAGGGAAACCAATAATGCGCTATTCAGCAGATTTATCGAGTGGATACTGTTACATCCACCTTTAGAACAAATGGGGCCAACACATTTTTCCTTAAGTAAATATTTTGTTAACTCTCATAAGCTTTTTTTCTTGATTTTGAATTGATATTGTTGACGGAAAACTGACATGTTGGTCACTCCAGGGACATATTTTCCTTATCACCCACAGGGATGGGTAAGTTGTAAGGGGAGACCAGGTGCTGATAAAGCATACCACTATTGTTAAGTCAGACAAAATAATTAAGATGTATCAGTCACCTTCAGTTCATATGTTATCTTTATACAGCTACAACTTAACATTGTGGGGGGTAGGGAGGGGATTGGAAATGGCACCATCTCCATGTGATGATCCCCACTGCCTCTTATTTCATCTCTTTTTACTGTGGCTACATCTTCCGAGTAGCGCTTATTATGCTTGCCTACAAATTAAAACATCAAGGTCAAAGGTCAATAATAGGTTTACTTAAAAGATTCTGCTATGTTGTCTCAAGTGCATGAAACACCAAGAAATTATGTTGAACCAGAAATCTTACAGATGTTGTGTCTCTCTTAGTACTATGATAATACACGTGTAATGAGAGTTTAAAATTTACTTACATGGATGAAATTAAGTGAAACGATCATGGACAGTTGATTTATTTTGTTAAGGGCTACATCCATGTACAAAGTGAACATGGTCCGATAAAATGTGTACATTAGCTAACCAATAAATAGTGAGAAGTAATCGCTACACTGTAACAATTATAGTTGGGCTTGACTTGAGGTTGGCTCATGCTTGGTTTGTGGTTCGTGGTCGACTTGGGCTCATGGGTGGCTTGTAAATTGACCAAACTCGTAGTCTCGCAGCACCCGGTGGCTCCTGGCACCTAACTAAGTCTTTTGCTCCCGCGTGACTATCAGTTTTTCATAGAAATCACATGTTGGGCACCCTGGATTGCACAGGTTTGGAGCGTTGGGCTCCTTTCACATTTTCTCAATGCACAGATTTCTAAAGGGAGCTATTGTTCAAGGCATAATAAATTAATATTACATTTGAAGATCTAAGAAATAAACAAATACCATACCAGCTTTGATTGTGTAGACAGAGATCTGAACAAGTGCGATCTCAACACCATTGATCTTGCAACTTGACTGGTTATTGATAAATGCAGACACAGCAATTGATTCCCCAGGGCAGAAGCCTTTTCTGTCTGTCTGGACGGTGACACTAAGCGGGCCAGAAAAGCAAGCAAATCCATACTGTTCTTCTTTCTCAACTTGGCATGGCCGCTGAATGACAAAAACTGATCTCAGTGGTTGAAATTACACTAAATTCTAAGAAAAAATTCTTTTTAGGGACTGGTAAAAAAGTATAGGAGGGGGGGGGCCGGAGCAGACTACACTTGTTATATAAAACACAGCCAGCTGGAATTATTGCTAAAATACTCACAAACCTGTTGTGCGAGAAAATACAAAGGGTGAACAGGCCGCACATCTATATGGGCGTGAAACCCTATGTTAACCTTTTTTTTTTTTTGCTCTAACGAGCATGTCCTTTAATGATTTTCCTTTTTTGTAAGGAAATGATTGGTGGCTCTTTAAAAATTTATTGAAGTTTAATAGTTGGTTTTGTATAAGATTCCATTTTTTCATTCAAGCTTCCTTTATAGTAGACACTGAGGACTGGTATTGTGTCACAAATGGCAATATTTCTTTTTCCTCCTTGTTGTTTTGTTTTAGGAGTTTAGAGTCCCTTTTGTGAATTTTATTTCTGATAGTAGGTTTTCTATCAAAGATTGTAGGTAGCCTCCGTCCATCAAGCGTTTTTTTTTTAATTTGAATTATCTTCCTCAAAGGTTGTTTCTGAGGAGTTTTTTTGTAGGATTCTCAAGGCTTCTCCTTTGACAAATCCTTTTTTAACATTAGGAGGGTGACACGATTAATCTAAGCATTTCCGGCAAGTAATATGTAGGAATGGGTTGTCTTTGTAGAAATTTTCATATGCCTTGCGACAGACAATTTCAATATACCCTTTTGCTGTATATTTGTGTCAAGACTCATAACGTCCATCAAAACAAGAAATATTCGGTTTTTCACCTTTTTCTTTTCAGTGAAAGGTATGATTTCTGTGATTTTGATGTTGGTTGTAGCAGTGTATCAACAAATTTTTTCATGCACAGAACAAGGTTTTATTGGATTATTAAGAGGAAACCAAACATCCATGTTTTAACTAGGGGGTGGGTCATGCAATTTCCAACCTTGCTTTAGGGGTGGGTCAGTCATTTTTGTGCCGAAGGGAGGGGGTGGGTCATGTGTTTTTTATCGACCACATTACCAAATGCTCCGGCCCACCCCCCCTATACTTTTTGACCAGTCCCTTAGTTTCATAAAATGCCAAGTATAAAGAATGAGACTCTTAACCCAAGTTATTAAATATCACGATGTATGGAACAGGGTCCTGATATCATGATGTACCCCAGCTGCTAAAATGAATTTTATTTTTTCACTTTAAGTTGGCAAATTTTAACCATGTTCCAGTCCATAAAAGCAAAATTAGGTCAGATTCTAAGTGGTCGGGAAAATCTTGGGCTATCAGACATTTCACTCTTTTCCACCTAGCTGTCCCAGAATTTCCAGATATGTCAGGAAAAATTCCCGTCTGCCCTAGACACCATTTTGATTTATGACGGGAAAGACTAGAGCTAATAATATCAGTTTCCAGGCAAAAGTGATCACCCATCAAAACTCAACTGAACATACCCAACACTACAAATCTGAGATTTCAAACGTCTGAAATGATTGCTGACCATCAAAGAAATCTGGGATGCTTCAGGAAAATGGAAATGTCCCCAGCATTTGAGTAGGGGTGTAACGATTCATATTCCTTGCGATTCAATTCGATTTTGATTATTGCCTTTTGATTTTCGGTTATTTCGATTCGATTATGTAAATGTTTCCTAATTCTTACAACATAACGCGTAATGGTAACAACATGCAACCCTAAACCGTCAATTTGAGAAAAGTAACAGGGACAGGAGGATTCACAGTTGCTTGGTTCGTCGCCATGTTTGAGAACCTGACAAAGAGAGTGTCACACATGGTTTGCCTTATTTGGAAATTCTCAAGGGGTGGTTGAAGGACGGCATTTTTACCAGGCAACGCAAAATGGCGCACAAACTGGTATTGTCTTTGCTCATCAATCAAAAACGCACATTTTAAAGAGTTCCGGATTCTGATTTTACAATATAATAACTCACTGAGGGCACTCTGGAAAAGGTGTGCAAAAATCGAACCAAAATCGAAATGTGGAAGCAAAGAATCGTGAATCGAACTGACTGGTCATAATCGCGATTAATCGAGAATTCAATTAATTGTTACACCACTACATTTGAGGGTAAGTTATGGACTATCAATTAAGCCTCCCTCTGAACACAGCAACTCTTAAGTTTTAAAAACGTATCCAGCCAATAGTGTCTAGAGAGCATAATTAATCTATTAGTAAGTGTAGTAGTTATAACTTATAAAGAAACACATTTCGTCAATATAGATTCTCACCAAAAGTTCTTGGTCTCTATTTATGTCCACATATTCAATAATGGTAAACACGGACTTGCTTGTTATGTCAAACCTCCATGGACGGTCAATAGATGCTTTAAGCCAGTAGCGTACATGACCATATTTCCCCTCAACAGATGTTGGTAAGTTTTGACCCGGTGTGTGAAACTGGAAGGGAAAACTGTACTCTCCGGGAGCTAGGACTGGGTTTTCACCTGCTTGATCAGGTACTGCAGAATAAAATCGTTAACATCAAGGCAAAAATATTTCCAAAATTTTAGAACTGCTTGTACAGCTGTACAACAACAAAACCACTAATTACATTTTGCATTGAAATGAAAAGTTCTGGGTGATTGCTACAAGGCCAACAGTGCATGCATGTACACTCATTAGGGGCTTTAAGATCCAATGATGCGGACGGCAACAAGCACATCAAAAAAACAATAGGTTTTATGAGAAAAACAACAGCTTTGCACGTGCATCACACTTTTTTTGTACATTTCTTTCCCGTTTTTGCACGACTAAGACGTGAAAATGCCTAATTTCGTGTTTTATGGAGGACGTAAACAAGCAACGACGAAATTTTATTTCTCTTTCTGAGCTTGGATATGGTCCCTTCAAATTCAGCTTCATGAGGGTTCGCCTAGTTTTGACAAAGTATGTGCGGGTAAGAATAATCGCTGTAAAGACTGAAAGAATGCAAATACACTTTTTAAGCGACGTTCTCGTGGCCGATGCGTCGTTGGATCTTAAAGTCCCTATTGCAGACTAAGGGCCTCCTCACATGAGCCCGGTTGACCAGGCTTAATTTCGCCATGGGTTCATATGAGAAGTTTCAGCCCGGTTTCTGAGATGAGAAAAGGCCAAAGATTGTGGGGAAGAGTTCTGGTGCCAAATTCGAGAAACGTGGCAAAACACAAACATTTTAACTTTAAGGGGAGTGACAACTCTAACAAAGGCTGTTTGGGCAGTCCTATGAATAACGTCATGTCCTCCCGGAAATTTTGTCGACCCTCCCGAATTCTTTCGGTGGTATTCTCCATAAATGTTTAACTTCCCAAAATTGTTTTAACAATTAAAATTAAAATTTTGATTAGAGATTTTTTGCAGGTTCTTGTTAATTATGTAACTTGTTAATTATCTAACCTTAGTTATTTTTCTGTTTAGAGGGTATCATGTTAACACAGAAAGACTGTCAAACTTTTTAAGTATATAAAATCGTGTTTTTTTGTTTTTTAATCACCGATGAATCAGACGAGCATTGAAGGGGCCAACCACTAGGGGGTTCTGGGGGCATGCTCCCCCAGAAAATTTTGAAATCTTGGTCCTCTGAAACGCCATTTTTAGTGTTCTGAGAGGCTAAATTCTGTCCAAAATGTTCTCTAAATCAATTGTCCTTTTTATGCTTATTTTTGTTGGCGTGACTTCGCGTAGAAGTAGTCAATTTTATTTTATACAAGTCGTGCGGTTTTTGAAATTGCTCTGGATATCACTTTCAGCTAAGTATACTCTGTGTGGTGTCATTGTATGAGTATCATATTAATTTATTTGAAAATTTCAGAAAAACTGTCGAAATCCGAAATTTTCCTATCCCGAATACATATTGATCAGGATTCGGGATTTTCGAGCAAAATCGGAAGGACCCCGACGAGATCAGGATGACTAATTAGTCTTCACAGACATACTACTTTTTATGGCCTCATTTGTGTTTAACAAGGTTAAATGAGTTTCGTTTTTTTCTTACACACTTCTTACATACTTCTTTCAAGTTTTCCAGTATGCAATCAGTGGAATGTGCTCTTAAAACTCGTTAACGTGCATCATAAAAATACCCCTGAACTAATGAATGATGGGATCTGGTGTGAACTGATAGTATGTACCTTGCACCAGTACGGTTCTTGGGTCAATCCGCTGGAGATTGCACGTGGTCAATCGCACTTGAACTTCATGCTATTTTAGTTGAAAACGTTGCTGATTGGTCTTTTCATATCATGGGGAGTTCAGCCGTTTTCAAGTGTCAAAATACATAGAATACAGCGCATACACTGGGTGCATATCACTGTATATATATATTGTTTCATAACATGTAATATCAAATCTTTGCTCAATGTCCCGAAAATATCTCATATTTCCCGAAACATTTCCCAGGTTTCCCGATTCCCGGCAAACTCTCCAGATTCCCGGAATAATTTTTTTTTTCTCCCGAAACAGCCCTTGTTAGAGCTGTCACCCCCTGTAACTTTCATGCCTATCATAGCTTTGGCAACTCTTAAAGTTGTATTACTGCAGTTAAATGGGATGCTTATAATGTGGAAAATACAGCAGGCAATGCAAGACAATACCATCCGGACCATCAAAATTCATCCCGCTTTCATCCTGATCACCGGGCTTACCGTGATATCGGTTTGGAAAAACGAAGATCTCGGCAACTGAGCCAGCCCCCCTTGTCATGTGAACACATCGAAAATTTACAAAGGATAAGACGAGGCCAGCCCGGCCAACCGGGGCTCATGTGAATTAAGGCCCTAATACAAGGAAATTAATTACAGGTAGGTATTGGCATTTTATATATAGCTTGTTGAATTACATTTGCTGTTCAAAAACCTAAGAACAGACTAAACCTTTTTTTTACTAAAGATAAATGAAAGCTAATGAAGTATAATAAACATTGGATGTTTATTGTTAAATACAATAAGGTGATAAAGGTTGACTGATTTTGAAGTCAGCAAGTTGCCTAGAAGATTCGAGAATAATAATAAAAAAATATGTAGAAAACATACTGTACTTACCTTTTCCATATAACGTTGCTACAAGGTCAATATACACTTCACTGTTCGCGGGTTTCTTCCTTCGTTGATCGCCTGCGGAAAGGAAGACATTGGCGACTCCATGGAACTCGATTCGAATCCCTCGGAGTTTTAACTCACTGTTCACTTTTAAGTTCACCGTTCCGTTAAGAACTTCGCCGGGGAAAAAAGTTGTCTTACCATCTTGAAAGACAACATGGAAGTAGTCCACTTTGCCCATTAGAATGAACTATAAAGCATAATACAAGTCATTTTTTGAGAATAAACGGGAGAACTGAACTTCGTCCCAGCGTATAGGCGAGTCCAGACTGTTCTTCAGACCAACAGCAAAAGACATGCGCAGAAGTGATCTTGAAACATTCCCCCGGGCTCTTGTAATTTTTCCATTACGTCTCGGGGGGGGAAGGGGGTGTAAAAAAAGAGACAGTAAGCGGAAGTCCTTCAAGCTTCCGTGAATAATCGACTTATTCTTAGAATCCGCCACAGTAGGGTGGGTCTTGGAAAATCAAGATGAAGTTTCGGGATCGGGGATCGTGGATCGAGATAAGAGGGTGCTAATGGCGGTACCCAATTCTCAGTTAACTACAAATTTTTAGGCCAAATATCAGTTAATTACTATTTTTTTGGCCAATTCCCAGTTAACTACTAAACCGTGGTAAACTGTTAACTTTCACCTTCCAAAGCGACTATTATTCCGTCATAACCCAAATTTTCTTTGCTTCAGCACGTCAATCACTTCTGGGGGTAGGCCCCACTATAAAAATGAAGATATAAATTTACATGAATTAACATAAACAGTCCGCCATTAGCACAATTCATACGTGAGAGAAAATATAGAAAAGAACATAATTATCTAACCAAAGTAGTAAAAATGGGTAAACGATAGCTAAGACCCCTATTAACCGATTTTTGCTGTAAGTACAGATTAGATTAAGGCCCGTTTCAAACCTCGTGCTACTGCCGTGCCGAACTCAACTGATCGAATTAAATTCGACTTAAGCACGGCAGTAGCACGACGTTTGAAACCAAGTCGTGTGGCACGGCAAGGCTTGCCATGCCACGGCCGTAGCTCGACTTGGTTTCAAACGTCGTGCTACCGCCGTGCCGAACTCAATTCATGAATTATAAATTCATTAGAATACATTTAAAAGTTTGCTAAACCGTTTCTTTATTTTTGTGTTTTGTTTTTGGTGACAGCCGTTCCATTCGACTGTCATTGTGTGAATTAAATTCGACGTCTGAAACCAAGTCGTGCTAATGTCTTGCTGCAGTCGAGCTACAGTCGAGCCAGCTTAGCACGGCAGTAGCAGCCTCCTCCTCAGGCGCTTCGTTTTTTGCACGGCAGAGGCGAGCGCGAAACGAGTGACTGGTGATGAACCGCAAGGAACCATGGGAAGGGTACAGACGGCAAGCGTTGTCTCCTTCCCGCCTTCCTTTGCGCGCACATTTTCATCAAAAGAGAGACGTCTGGGTACGAGGCAGACGGCAGTAGCACAACGTTTGAAACAGACCTAAGTCATATAACCATTAATATGACAACAGCCTCAGGATACAGACGCATCAGTCATGATCTCGTATAAGTACTGATCTTCTCGACCTGGTCATGCATGTCCTGCCATAAACTACTTCAAAGTCACCTTCTTCGGCACTTTCATTATCTGAATCAGTTTCGTACCTATCTGGTTGCTGTATGTCCTGTATCTTGTTGTTGGCCTAAGTCTCAATCCATTTTCAATCCTTGCAATCCATTACAACAGACGACGGGAAACAATATCATTGCCAAAATATAGTCTTGTTGAATAACAAAACCAAGGGACTGGCAAAAATCGTTCGCTATAACGAGGTTTCGTTATATCGAAGTATTTTTCCATATATATTTAAGACTTCGTTATATACAGGTTCGTTATATCGAGGTTCCATACACTGTATTCAGTATAATTCAGTAGAATGTTAACTTTTCATTTCTCAATTAACTACTAATTTTTTGGCTAGTTATCACTGAGTTAACTACTGTTCTTTTGGCCAAATATCAGTTAACTGCTAACCCCATTGGCACCCTCAGATAAATGAATAGATGATCAAGAATCCTTTTTTTATTCTTCTTTTCTTGGCTTTGGGGAGGGTGTTTTCAACGCTTAATTGAGAAATACAAACATAACAGACACAATCCTAACAAGAAGTCGGTATTAAAATAGGGTTCCATTTGTTTGAGTTTTTCAGTTTCTTCCAGTGGCCCGGGTTATTGCGGTAAAAAACAAACAAACAAACAAAACTTGGATAACGCTATCCACTGGATAAATCTATATCCAGTGGATCAGTATAAACGCAGTAGGTTTCCCTAATATTTATAACCTGGATTGTCATTTATCTGGCATAGCGCTATCCAACTCTTGAACAACGAAAGAGCAGACGACTGTTTTTGTTAGGCTAGCCAGTCTGTTCCTCTGGGATCAGGCGTGTTCAATTCTCACTTCACTGTAAGGAGTCTTTCAAAGAAAACGAAGAATAGAGGACGATTAGTCCACGCGGAGTCCAGGGTTGGACTTTTTTTGTCTGTATACCAAATTTTAAGATTAGAGCAGTAAACTGATCCTTACGGTCACGGGAAGAGTGATAGGAAAAATAACGAAAGAAAACAAAATTAAATTGCTCGATATATCGGTTTGCAACACAAACCTTCAACGGGGGCTATAATAGATACTTTGCTTGTGGTCCTTGCGTAAAGTTTCGGTTTTGTCAGGCCAGGGAAAAGCCCCTGCTCTTTACCATCCTCTCCCGTGGAAGAGAGACCCTCACCGACCCTGGGAACAAGGTTGATGAAAACCAGGCTTCATTCATTTCCGGTGAGGAAGACCCAAGTTTTTCGAGGTCGCCAGTTAAATTAATAAACCCACTTTTTTTTTCTTTTTTCTAGACACTAAAAAGTATGAAGGAAACAAATTCCTGACAGTAGCTCAAACAAATAAATACACAAAGCCAACGATATTTTACATAATGTCAATATGATATTTATTTTCAAAAACGTCCACTCCCGTGGTTTTACCGTGGCCCGATCCAGAACCACACTAATCTCAGTAAGGACCAGGCTTTAAATATGAATGGGCTGCTTCGAAAGTTTTGTTGTACCCCTGCTTACCTCTTAAACCTGGTGAGGGATGAACACCCTTGAAAGTATTTAACTCGACACACTACAGTTCGCTCTACACATTTGAAAATATAGCTTCGGCATGGAGCTTATTTCCTTAATTCTTTTTAGTTCTGCAGCAATTTTGAATTTAGGGGGACTGAGGATCCTGTTCTTGGTGGTCTGAACAGGGGCACCCGACAACTGTTTTCTGTAAAATATATCTGTTCGGAGGAGCAAAAATTGCCTAGAATTTTCTATGGCTTTAAGAAGACTAAAAACTTCCACATGAACGTTCCCTTCATGTACAATTTTCGAAGCTTATATCGAACAAATTCCCTATACGATTTTCTGAAGTTTAATATTTCCCATTTCACTCCCCAGGTTAAGCTACTTTCCGTAGAGAAAAGAACCTGGAATTTTCGGAATCGAAAATGCGATGTAGAGAGGAATCAGAAAAATTCGCACTTTCGTAAAACTTTAAATAGCAGCTACAATTTTCGGGAAAATAATACTGAAGTCCTTTTAATTTCGAAAAGACTCAAAATGCCCAAGGATGACCGAACAGATAAAAACTTTTTAGCGCAACTTAGAATACATTTTTAGAGATCTGAAAGTACTCTGGATAGCCTAGAAAGTGTTTTCAATGCATTTAGGGGGAAACCGTCGTTGGGTGCCCCTGTGTTATTGCATTTTACAATGTACATTTCCATATGTTCTCCCTCCCCCTTTGCATGGAAGTGTCTACTTCCATTCTCATGGGAGGCAAAGTGAGATCGTACAAAGATAGATATGTCACACTTCTATCTTTGAATATTGGTAAGGCTTGCCGTTTGCTGGAGCATTCCTAGTGCTGCTGTGTAAGGGAACGGCAGGAGCTGGTCGAGAACCTGTGTAAAAACGAGAAAAAATTGAAAACAACGTTCAAAATAATCTGTGAACAGGTCCTGTTCAGAGAAAACTATATAGTCACCAAGCCTTACAATAGACCTTATTCACGATAACCACCGTCTTTGCACGCGCTTAATGACAGATGGGATAGAGGCAATGTCACGTGATTTCTCAAGGGGCAAACAAGTGATAAACTGATTTGCCAATACAGGAAATTGCGATCGACTTTGTTTATTCTAGACAACTGAAAATAAAGAGCTTTCCATCTTAAAGACGATAATGGCAAATTATGAATGAAAGTGTTCATTGTTTCTTTTTTGTATGCAAACCTACCAGGAAAATTTGACGCTGCTGATCCATCCAGCGCAACTCGGCCCATTCCTGTCTCGGTCTCCTCGTCTGCAGCTTCATCACTGGCCAACTCGGCGGATACACGTGACGCCAGGTAATTAGCGAGAGCGCTGTAGATCTGATGACTAAGAACTTGTTCAATGGAGGGTTGGGCACTAGGAGGCACTGTGGTTATTATTACTGGGAATTCTATTTCTGTGTTGAAAGCTCTTGCTACACGCACTTTAAACTGAGAACAGAGTTGATATAAATATGAATTAAAAGCTCCACACTGACACTTTGATGTCTATATAACGCTTATTTACAGTAATAGCTCTTTCCTTTTTCCTTTGAAATGTTTCTGGGGCTTGTGATTATCCTTTAATTAAAGCAATAACTAACGCCCCGTCCACATGTATCCGTTTTCATTTGAAAACGCTACTTTTTCTTTACGGATACGGCTTCCGTCCGTACGTATCCGATGAAAATGATCAATGAAAACGGAACTTTTCGAAAACGCTCTCCAGAGTGGAACTGTTTGAAAACGATGTTTTTGCGTGTGCGTCTGGACAAACGAAAACGGAACTTTTCGAAAACGCTGAGGTCACACTATCAGTTTCATTCCACTCCGCGCAATATTAGAAACTTATTCAAGATGGCGGACGGGCGCTTCCCTTTCTTGTCTTTTAACACGTATGCGTCAAGCATGCGCAGTCGGGTAAGTTATCGTTTTCAAATCGATTCATCGTATACGTGTGGACGGGCGAAAACGATGCGAAAACGCTACGAGTGGACGCGGATTTTTTGAAAACGGAGAAACAAAGTTGCGTTTTCAAACGAATAGTGATGCGTGTGGACAGGGTCCAAGACTACAAGTGACCAAAGTCATTTCCGTTTTCTGTCCCTTCAACATTCACAGATTCTTCTATTCACCAAGCCAGAAACTTGGAGGAGAATGCAGGGTGCAGGCTTTTAAAGGAACGACTCTTAGGATCGTTTGAGTACCCGTGTTAGGACCTGATTGGTCAAGGATATCCAAATGTAATCAAACAACACTTAATTTTATTCAACTACTCTGCTCATTTTCTCTCTTAAAACGAGTATGGTGACCTATAACTCATTTCTTTTCTTTTAAGATGAGCAACTTTCTTTCTCTAAAATAAATATACACTAATCTCAGTGCATGCAGAAAAAAAAATCAGATATAATCATACTGTTATTTTAAGGAATTATTGCGTATACCCCGGGCGTATATACAAGTAGCCGCTGCTTCTAAAGGAGTATAGAAACTCACCAATATTATTTCCAAATTTTAGTTCCCATAACGTAGGCAACCAATCGGTAAAGTTTGACAAAATTCTCACTGCAGGTTCATTTCAGAGGAATGACCTTGCACCGATGCGACACTACATGTTGTTCAGAAAATAACCCCATAATTCCAGGGTACCCAAAACCAACCATTAACCAATCATTGCTTGTTGTTGTAGCCCAAACGATACCTGAATTCTGAGCAAAACTAAGCTACTGCTCAGTCTTCCTAAACCTTCTGAAAAAGTCAGCTGAATTTTTCTTTTATGTAATTCCTGTGGTTTCACGTACCTTTATTCTGTAAGATATGTCAATGCAGCCAAACCCCTCCGTTGTTGGCTGAACGGAAGGAATGGAAAAAGCATCAAAGTGAACATCGCCGTCCTCCCCGGGGGCAAATCCCTGTTCGTTTGTTAAAACGTAAATCTTCTCTGTAACTGTGCGCGTGGTATCTAAAACAAACAAAGTTAATGCAGTTAGTCGAGATAAAGCATGTATTCAGCTCATACAAGATTTTGGCCTGAGTGGCAGATTCAGATCTTCAAGTATGAGTGGCGGTTTATTGGAAGCTATAACAACTTGTTAGTTATGGCATCAAATTAATATTGTACCAGTTGAGAGATTTTGCTTTGCTACGCAGTAGAGATCAGTGCCTCTGGCTCTACCCATCAATATCAAATTACCAGAATATACATAAAATAAACACTGTACAATCCGACAATGTCTTTTTCTGACTGTTGCTTCTTCATATCCTCCCTTACGAACTTACCATGAGGCGCCTTATACAAAGCTTTTTGTAAAAGCTGCACTTCAGTACCAATAACCTGTTTGCCGCTCTGGTTACTGACATGACCAGTTATCCTGACCTCTTGGCCCGGACAATAAGCACTACGGTCAATACGGGCTGTTGCATACAGCTGGCCAGAGGGACAGCAAACCCAGCCAAGCATTCGGTCGTCATTTTTTACACATGGTTCCTGGAACGAAAAATAGATGAAACATCTGTCACTAGTTAGGTTTCTTAATGAGTACATAAGATCCGGCTCTCTTTTACATTGATACGCCATGAGACAAAAAATCGACTCACAGTTTATTCAGTAATCACTCTCCCACGATTGTCCTGACTTCAGACTATTAACCTTGAGTCAACGTCCGTTCTCGAAATACTTTGGATGAAAAAATTCGTCCACGCTCCCGACCCTAGCACCCAGGTAGCCTCACATGCAGAAGCTCTTTTGTCTTGTCATGTAATTCTCCCCAACAAACGTTCGTGGGAGAGGAATGCGTGACGACCCAATAAGAACGTCGGGCGTCTGTGTGGGAGGTAGGCTCGATTTCCGCCGTCTCCCGGGTCCGGTCTTTGATCCTCCCCGAAAAGAGACTTTCGGGGGATGAGTGCGGGCTCATTTTCCCGAACAGCGGCTGGTAATCGAGCCTATGTGGGAGGCTAGCATCCAGGATATCCCGCAATATACTCTTTTGCATTACTTATCATGATCATAGCACCTTATGAAGGTATCTACTGTCATGAGGATAAGATCGGACAATAGATGGCTCAGTAGATATCGGTGAAACTGCACTTGGTAATTTTTTTAAAAAAATGAAAGACGTTAGTTAATTTGAAGCTGCCAAACAACTATGTCTTAGGCGAACTTTGGTCGTCTAGAAAGTTTCAGGTGAATTTTTCGTCTCATCCGAAACTACTAGCTACCTTTATAGGTCCGTCGAAAGTTCGAGGACATAGAAAACCGTTTGATACACTTTGGTTCCGGAGTATTTGGCCCGGTCTAAAGCACACAGTAAATCCCTAAAAATCCTTTGGGTATACGGATGCATTTGGAACATAGGGTGGGGGTGGGGGTGGCTCACGAAATCACCGGACTCTGCCCCAGATCCACCACTAGAGAGTATTCATGGTGATGTTCGGAAAAGCCCAATTTGTGCCCGTTTTTGTCCCTTCACCCAAAATCTAGACTGCGAGTAGTCTCTTATTTTTTTTCTTTGCAAAGTTACTGCACGTGAAAAACCCCAGCACGCGAGCGGCAAGGCGCGATAAACGAGGGTGTGAGGCCGAGAAGAAAAAATAAGAGACTGCTAACTCTCTTGTTCTGTCTGGGGAAAACGAAGCTGTCAAGGGAATTTAATTAACCAATTAAGCACGTCTTTTCTCGTCTCGACCCAATCCCTCATTGTAACGTAACGTCAAGCAGTCTACCCAGAATCCTACACCTCTAAATTCCTTCTCTTAATTCGTTGTTATATTTTTTATTAGTTTTCAGTGTTTGTTCAGTTGATCCAATCAAGTTTTGTGTGGTTATGTTTAGCTCCGCGTTACTCTATTCGGGATATAAAATTCCGAACTGACGGTCACAAATTAACGCAGCTTATCACACTTTTCAAAATTGTGATTTCTTAGACTTACCATTAACGCAGGGTCTCTAATCTGCACACGCTCCACAATACACAGTGGGCTGGTAATCTGGAGATTTGTTCTCCAGGGTCGATCCACTACTGCCTGAAGCCAGTATCTGACGCTACCGTACGGACCCTCAAACGATGTTGGCAAACTGTGTGGAGGCAGGGGAAATTGGAATGGAAAAGCGTAATTGCCGGGTAAAAGTCTTACATCGTTACCGCTCTGAGGACCTGAAAAGGATAAGGATTAGCCGGCTAACCAGGCACAATTTCCATACTTAATACGAGCGAAATATCATCAAATTACTCTCGCTTTCTCCTCATAAATCATCACATGTAAACTTTGCTGATACAGTGGATATATTCAAGATCCCCGCGGATGTAGACGAGCCGTTTTGAAAGGGACACAAAAGTCTCCGACCTGATCAGAAATCAGCATCAATTTTGCTCTCGCCAAACAGATTTGACTCCTAAAAACTACCTTTTGAGGCCACAGACTCGTCGCCACCCACATCAAAGCTCACAATATGATACCCTTCGGTCTCAAGCCCGAGATCAGTGTTTCACCCGCTAAGCCAAAATGAGACGAAATACGCTGAGATATTGGACGACGGCAGACTTTGTCAATCGTGAGATTTGTTCCTTCATAAGGCTTAATGATGTCTTTGGCGACCAGAAATAAATCTGAAAATTAACCGAGCAAGGAAAACAACTTGTACCGCGTGCGCTTATGTTTTATGATACGGAGAGATTTATGGGAAATTATAGGGAGGTTAGAGGTTAGAGGAGGCTACTAGAGTGCCTCCTCGGGATTTCGCCTTCTGGGCAAAATCCCTGCGGGGGCAATTACAGAGCAGAAACGGGAAGTGCAGCACCCCGTGGAGAGACCGTATGTTAATACAGTGACAAAAGTGACAGTGAGGATTTTAATTTTTTGTGTGCCCCGAAATATGGGAAATGTTTGTATGCTCTGGTCTGGATTGCGAAGGAATAGATCGGTCACGATTTGTAGGCCGATGCAACTTTATATGGAAAGAAAGTTTTATGCGATTGGATTTAGGGAATGACATTCGACCTATATAAATATGAATTTTAATGCAAAAGTTTTATAATTAAATAGCAAGGTTGTTGTTATTTTACGCAATATTTTCTGGCGTTTTCGTGTGTGAAACGAATCTTGGGAAAGTGCTTTACATACTTATTGCTGCTCGAATTATCGAGGTCTTTAAAATAATGAAATGACTTTTCATGTTTTTGAAGTTTGAGTCGAAAAGGATATGGTCGAGGTGTTCTTACACTGTTGCGAAGAACGAGCCACTTGGATGATCATTACATTTAAAGTAAACGAGGTTTCAAATCCCAGGATAGAATACTCTATACTCGAAAAAGATTCCGTGATGGATCGAAAGCTTGAGTATGCTAATAAGTTTTCTATCATGTGACGAGTTGGACACAAGGCGAGTTCTCCTCTGTGCCAAATTATTTTCCTTTCTGAACATTCCCTTCGAAAGAATCGCACTGTCAGAAACAAAAGTTTACGTGTTAAATTCTCACCTCTTCCAAGTACGACTACCTGAAAACCCAGATATGGCTCTCTCCTCTCGTAGGTGACTTTACCGGAACGAATGCGTACGTGTCCTGTTCCTTGTAGTTCAACCCGAATACTTCTCAAATTTAGCTCTTTGTCCGTGTTGAGAAGCAAGCTTCCCGAAATTGTTTCACCCGGCTGATAAACCAGTCTGTTTTCGGCAAGAGCGAAGGCAAAGAGATTGGCCATCTCTTCATACCGTTTTGGAATTAATAGATGTGTAAGCTTCGTTAGCAGAAGGACGATACTTTGGCGACGAAGTCAAATAAATGGCTGAGTCGTCTAAAACTGTTGAGATATTCATGAGCGATAAGCAAAAATTGCGTGACAGACGTCAGTTGGCGTGAAAGGCGCGGGAAATAAATGCTACCGCTTTTTCCTTTTTCAGAAATCTGCTTTTTCTTGTTTTCTTTTTATAAGAATAAGTTGTAGAATGTTTCTGTAACTTTAGAAAAAATAAATAGATAAAAAAACTTATTTGACCCTTTTTTGTGACCAGTTGTCGGAGAACACTCGAGCCCAGGTTCTAGTGAAATTGTGGTCGCCTGTCACTTTTTATCGTCACAAGTGAAGCATTCATTCGGTTCCATTCAATCGATTCTATATATCTATAAACAACCTTACAATGCATCAGGCCTTTACAAGAATAGAAGCTGGAGATCAAAATTATTATCTTCTCACGAATCTATTTGAGGGGGGCAAAAATGGGCTCGATCTGACAGTCTGCAACGGTGAACAAGTCTGGCGCGAAACAGGTAAGGTTATTACAAGACAAGACAAGACAAGACAAGACAATGCTTTATTTGGAGTCTTATACAGTCCTATGTACATCGACTTTATCCAAATAATTTACATATACAGTGCCTTGTAGAAATTTATGAGCAATGTCAGCGATGTCAGCAGCATTCTCTTGGGTTAGCAGCTGCTTGAGTTCACTGAAAATAGCGTTTGCCTTGTACTACAATGTACTCTCGAGGGGACTCCATATGAAATGGGCGGGGATGCTCTTCGGAAATTTGAATGAAAACCCTTAAGCTGCCTAAAGGTCAGCCTGAGCGTGGCCCAACCTTTTGTTTTTACCCTAAAAGAGACAGTTGTAAATCTAAATTGCATGAATCGAGTAAAGTATATAATTTTTATACATATTTTCTTCACGTGCAACCCTAAAAGAGACAACGAGCATCCCGCCCCTTTCATATGGGAGTCCCACCCCAGGAGGTAGACTTCGTTGGTTGCAAGAGCAAGTAGGCTTGCAATATAACCTGCCAGTCTCACCAAGTAAATATTCAAGGTTGAAACCTTGTTCTGTGTAAAATGCAATCAGTCACATATGTATTTGTTTTCATTATCATTATCATTATCATTGTCATGGCATTATTATGACATTATTTGTCGTCATTATCATTATCCGTAAAAGCTGCATCTATGAATGCAATGATCCTCTTCACATTTAATCCTTCATTCTGCTGTTTTTAATGTAGAATTTTCACATACATCTCCATCATTTCATCTCCATCCTTTCACGGTTTTTTTTGAATCAGCTACAATAACATGACCAGCTCCCAGTTGTACATATATGTATTGTTTTAATAATAGCTCATCTGGTAGGGCCTTGCACTCCGAGTAGGGAGTCTGAGAAAATTTTGATCCAATCTCAAGTTTGTGGATGTGTTTGTGATGTGTCTCTCAAAGTCTTGTTTTTGGATGTTCCTTAGAGACATTACCAGGGTCTTGGGTGTCTCTATATATTTATATTACCATTTGTCAATTAAACGCAACATGTATTTATTCATAGGCCACCTTTGATCTCCTTCTTAACTTAAATGTATTTGATGTCTAATTATTTATCATCTACATGTATGTATACAACTCTACTTAAAGTTGATGCAGGAACTGTAGAATCAATGGCCCAGACTGCAGACATGAGTATAGCTGAATTTGCTGCCCAGACAAGAAGAGCTTTAACGGGACAGTCAACAGGACAAGATAATTTTGTTTATCAAGTTAAGATTCATGGAATTCATTTACAGGTTGGTCTCATTTTGTGCTTACAGTAAGGTATATTGGTGACCCTAATTCCTAGCACCAAATGATTCTTCCTACTGATCTCCATACATTTCCTTGAAGAACCAGTGAGAGAATTTGTTTTTAGGATTTTCACTCAGCTGATCATTTTATTAATTCTCCTAACCTATTCTCTTGATTATCTATTGATATATCAGGAGAAAATTGATGTTGGTTATTCTTTGGACTTAAAGGGTTAACACTTATTGACAGGTAGTCCTGTTTACCTCAACAGTTTTCTTGGAAGAAGCATATTGGAGATGGCATCAAGGTAAAGAATACCAAGAGAGCTTTTTTTTTCAGAACTCAGTTCACGATGAACATTGTAAATCTCATCTCATCAAAACCTCAAAACTTGTGCCTTTCATGCATGAGGGAATGCCACGGAATTGATCAGTTGCCACAAAATTTGTTTCATATGTAATTCGCATTTTTGCAAGCTTTTATAAGATATGAAATATTAATTTTCATTCTACATGTTCAATTTTTAGTTTCAGCTGGGATCACTGAAATTGTCCAAAGTTGATCATAGTGCTGTTGTAGTGAAAAACATTTTTGACCTAGCAGTGGATCAAATGGCAAAACTAAAGGTATAAAATGTTTTAAGGTGACATCATGGTGACCATATTGTTTGATTAGGGCTAGAATTTCCTTGTTACTGAATGATGTCTTAAATGTTCTGTGTTGGGGGAGTTATGGTACAGTTTCAGGCAAAATGAAGTGTGATATAGCCAACTGCAGTTGTTGCATGCAAAAAAAACAAACAAACAAAAAAAGAAAAACAAGCTCTGTACAAATGAGTACATTAATTTTTTCTTCCACCTCATATCTTTTTCTATGTAATTTGCTTCTCATTTAAGTACAAGGTAGAGTGACAATATGCAGCTAAAGTGTATAGTAGGTGTTTAATTAATTATTGTTGCATGTAATTGTAGTCTGCCTATAATTTTTTTTCTTTTTGGGCAAATCAACAGCCTAGGGCAAATTGAGTGTCCAGAGCGAGCGCAAGATTGCAGTGAATACATCCCCCACTGTTTTTATTTTTCCTATGTGGGCTCAAGATCTCAAAAGAGAAAATAGAGGGTCTGTGAACAGGCTAGTGTTATTGTTTTTCTTGTCATTTTCGAAAGGATACAGTACTATGTAAGACAGATACATGTACACTATATTTAAAGACATTCAAATTAATGTGTTCTTAATGTGGTTGTTTGTTTTTAATTTCTCTTCTTAGCAAGAAATGTCATCATTGAGGTCAGATAATGAAAGGCTTTCTTCAGAGAGGGAAGATGCTTTGAGGGTTTGTTGATCTCAGCCTTTTTATACATGTAGTGGTAATTCTAAACATTCTAATTTTATAGTTGCGTTTACTGATGAGAAATGAGAACTTTCAAATTTTGAAGTCCAACAATAAGGCTGGGGCATCCAACCAAATTTTGGAGGATTTTTGCATGTAAGGTACAAAATTATTAATATAATTATCTTTTGAGTTACTAAACTACATTTAGACAAAACTAATAATACATCAGCTGTAAACAGATCACTGTTTGCATGGACACTGAAAAGTTTATAAAGCTGTATATTGCTGGTAATCATTGGTATTATTTTTAATGCTACATTTATCATTCAATTTATATGTACATGTATATTCTTGATACATAATAGCTTTTTATTTCACTGATTAATGAAGAAAACTGCATGAAAAAATTCATGCAGCCCATCTAAACTTATATTATAAATTGAAGCAATATGTGCAAAATAATTTTTATTAGTAAACTACTACCATAACACATTTGGCTGTTATCCAAGGAAAGCACACGAAAAGCTGTAAATCATGCCACTCTCTAATGTGCAAATTTTTTCAAGTTCTTTCAACATCCTCCAGGGATATCAAAAAGAATTTTTGGTATATTCATCAGTCAGAGGATAAGTATTGATGGTATTAACGTTTTTTCTATTGGTTTGTTCTTTTTAATTGTTCAGCTTCTGGAAAAGTCTGTTACAGCTAAAGAGGAAATGGAGTTAGATCTTTTTGGAAAGGTCAGGTTTTCATACTTTATGAGTCACTGAAATTCATTGTGCCCACAAGTCAAGCAGACCACCTGAGAAAACAGCCAACATTTCGTAACGCCACCACTAGTTACCGCGCAAAATGTCACTTAACCCAGATCTGGGTAGTGCTTCTAATTGATTGACGCAAGTTTCCTCTGTGGCTCAACCAATCAGAAACACTACCCAGATCTCAGTTGGCCCGGTATTGACGTGTAAACTTTAATATTAGGATTTCTTTGTTCATTTCTCTGGCATCATTCAGTAGGAAAACCAGTTGTGGTATCGCAGAATGTCGGCTGGTTTCTTAGGGCTAAGACTCACCTGGCAATTGAAGGTTGCCTTACTCTCAGCCCTCTGTCGATTAATGAGACAAAAGGTTCAGGGCCAAAGGGCTCTTCAAAGCTGGATTAAGGTAATGTAGGGTTAGTGCAAAATTTGAAGTTCAGTCATGAAACTCTTACAAATCAAATTCAGTTCAAATTCTTTTTGTCTACAATTTTTTCATCCGATGCTGTACAAAGAATTAGACAAAATTGTGCCAGAAAATGCCTTTGAACAAGACAAAACGAAACCCGGATTAAAATTTAACCCAGTCTTTGAACAGCTGGGCCCAGAAGTGTAGTTGACCATGCCTGCTTCTTACATTGTATTTCTATAAGTTTGTTGCCTGGGAAAAGTCAATCGGAAAGTTAGCTGATAACAAAATCCCTTGTGAAAAAATTGACTGCAGATCATAGTGTTATTTTCGTTTATGAAACTGACAATATTATTATCTGGTGCATAGTGGAGTATATATTATTGTCTTTTTGTCCTCAGTTTGCTGCTGTTCTTAATACCAAAAAAGCCAAGATCAGGCAATTGAAGGAGTTAGGTACGTGCTAAATATTGAAGTGTGTGTATGTGTGAGGGGGGGGGAGGGGAGGGGGGGGGGCTCCTTATAGTGCAGCTTCAAGGCAAAGACATTTTGCTTCAGTAGAAACAAAAAGCAAACTATAGTGCTTAACATGAGGAAATATAATTTTAACACATTTCTGGAAAGAAATGAAAAAGTAACTAATTAAAGGAACAATACTAGATGACATACAGTACAAAAATTTGCATTTAAATAAAGCATGCAAACTAAAAAAGGTAAAGTTTTTCACTGCTGACATTTTCATTTAGGGAATTGGTTCTTTTAACTAACAGCAAAATTTCCTTTATCTTGCCATTGGTATCTGACCATCCTCTTGCCAAAATTTCGAAATGGTGCCATTTCATGTTGTGACCTGTTTACATGACGTGATATGTAGCAGATAAGTGATTGATACTCGTATTAGGTTTAAGGTGCACAGTTTTCCTGTCATGCAATGTAGATTTAGTTTTACCTGAGCCTGGTGGTCCCAGCAACTTAGCCTTAAAAACAACCCTGGACAAGGCATTTATATTTCCTTGTACTTATCACTGCAGTTTGCTTTTTGTTTCTTCTATAATTATTAGCTAAGATGTCCAAAAAACATTAGTGTAGATCTACATTTCACTTCATTTTAATATTGATAAATGTGTGAGGTGTTGAACCAAAGACTGAACAGTCTGTAGATTGAATTGAATTTTGCATCCTTTTTTCCCTGAAACCCTTTTACTCCAGTCCTGATACATGGTTTCAATAAGAAATAATCCTCCAAAAGATATATTTTCGCCTTTTGTTAACTCCTACATGTCCATATAGTGACAGGCACAGTGCAAAAGTTGTATAAAAGAGTTTTCATTTGAATGGCAACACCGTAGGATTTCCTTCTCAGATTAAAAAGTTAGAGGGTGAGACAAAAACATTATTAATAATCTAGCCATGAAGAGTACTGTTCACTGATCACTGGTTTGTCTATCTTAAGTCAGTGTGTTATCATGTAACATCATAGCATTCTTCCATTAGCCCTTCATTTTGTTATATGTTTCTCAAGTGTATTCTGATTGGTTTATTTTAGTGAATGAAGCAAAAACTGCGGCGGCTGAACCTGAAAAAGGTATGTAATGAATGTATGCTGTGTTATGGCTAAAGATATCTGTTGTAATATCTGTTGTCTACCTTCCAGGCAATTGCCTCCTTCTGGGTCTACAGATATTAACACAATATTAATTAGATATTAATTAGATATTAATTATGTTAGGAACAACAGACATACAGTATGACCGACCAGGGACCCCCTTCTCGAAAGTCTCGGTAACTTTTCAGGTCCAAAGGCAAATTTTGAAATCAAAACCTGTTGAATGGTAGCACAGTTCCTGGCTCATAAACCAGTCAATTTTGCTTCATTAACCGATACTTTCATTGTGTCCTTTTCAAAAGTATTGAAACTTTGATTTTGAATGCAAATATGGTAAACATGAAGGCATTTTGCGGGCCTGGAAAGTTATTGCGACTTTCGAGAAATGGGCCCCAGGTCACCTTTTTAGTCAGAGAAACTAGGAAATTTGTTGGGCTTACACCGTACCATGCATTTAATATTGACTATGCAAATCTTCAGCTTCAAAAATATGATAGTCTTTGGTGTATTTTATCGGTCCAGTCATCCTGTCAGATGGAGGGTAGACATGGGGCTAATTTACCCATTTACACCTGAACCTCCTGCAACCGCCCCTATGGATCCTCGTCTCTTGCACCACTTGAGACATCATCATTCTGTTTGATTGGTCATAGACAACTTTGTTTCTTCTAGTGAAGAGGGAAGAGATCTTTCGAACCATACCCAGATGAGCATGATTCAGCCAAACAGGCCAGAGAATAATGTCAGGCTGCTGTCACTAAGGGCGGGGAGCCGGGGATTTCTCCGTTATTATGAGCATAACCCCTGGCTAAAAGGATAATGAGACCAAAAGAACTCCCTGGGTGTTCATTTCATTACCTATTAATTGCAAATACCCGGCAACTTGAGTCCAGTACAAGAAAAATACAGTGGGAAAAGAAAAGCAAAAGAAGCAAGAGGAGAAATTTGCGAAGGTTGAAATTTTGCCTTCTGCTTATTCCCGAACTTCGGAATCTGATTTTTAGCATCAGAATCAGAAGGAAGTGAAGTTCTCGCTTTTGGGCAGTTTCAGTGCTTTTTCGCCAGGTAGTGACCAGAAAATGGCTTGATTAGTTTCTAAACGACTTAAGGCTTGATGGTGTTGTTCTAGTCGTGGTTGTGGATTTGGCAGCTCAAAACCAAAGACATTCCCCAGGTGGTGGTAGCTGAAGAGGCGGAACAGGGAGTTGATTTTGTTTTTCCGACCTGATATAATTCAAGGTCCTGAATTTTGATTATCGTGAATGAGTGTCGACTTGTGTTGTCTCAATTGCAGGCACCAAGGAATGTGATGCGAAGCCAGGCAAAAGCAAAGTTAAATCAAAGGGAAAATCGGCTTCCAGCAGGTAAATACAGTAAAACTTGTATCTAACAGTCACCCTTGGGAAATGGTCAGGAGGGCGCGCCTTTCCCTCGTCACGCGAGTCCTGCGCTCCACGCTTGCCTTGCGCTTGTCCTTGCTTCCCTGGAAAAAGCGCAAAAATAAAGCCTGTTCTCTGGGCCACGCTGTGAGTGGCTGCATCGGGAGGTAATAGAAGATAAATTTGACTCCGAGTGCTATCATAGTCGACAAATCAACAGCTGTTAATTTGAGAAGTGCAGGGATCTAAACAGAATTCGAAAGTGAATACAGCCCAGGGGGCTCTCAACAAATCTTTCACCTGTGAAACGTGTGAGGCCCTTCTCTGAGGTCCAAACCCTGACCCTTTTATATACCATTTATGCAGAAGAGGTACATCTTTCCTATACCTTTCTTTTGTTGACAATCATGGTACCCCTTTCACATACCTTCACTTAGTTCAGACTACCACATCCTTTTTGACCTCTGTAAATACCTCGCATGTGATGGAATGACCAATCACAATATTAGCCTTTTCTTTAATTTCTTGCCTGACTTTTACGTTAGTGTAACCTCTATTAAGCAAAGTCCGCAATTTAAACAGGATTTACTTTCGGCAAAAGCGACATAAGCTGCCCATAAGATGCTAAAAAACTGAAACGCTAACAACTTAAAGGACAACAAAAAAAACTAGTTAAAGTAGAGGTTTGACTGTGTTGAAGTATTGATCTACACTACTTGTAGTACATAATTTTATCACTGCGTCTGGTGGATTATCTTATTGCCGTGTAAAAATGTTAGTTTATCTTTTTGCCCCGTATTAGCCAACAACAATATAACCGGCCATCAACAGTCCTTTTTGTTGATGCCGGCTAGATTAAAATAAGCCAAAAAAGCGCCCTTATGTAAATTGTATCGTTAACACTTTTAAAGGCAAGAAAGTACAGATGACGACACAGACTGCAGTGAAGCGATGGAACAGGATGACGTAAGTAGCTACAACACCTTTTGTTAGTGGTTTGAACGATTTACCGTAAATCCTCTATTTATTCCTCTCTTTGATGTTCGTAAAACTTAAGCTACGGGGGGGGGGGGGAACGGGGGACATAAATGAAGAAATTGTACAGGATGTTTTTACTCACTCGGCTTATACTAAATGTAGTGAATTTTTTTTCCATTTAAGTCGCCTGCCAAAGATTATATAAGAGAGACATCGGAGAAAAACGCTACGACTACAGTGTTGAGTCCATCGCTGTTGCTTGAAGAGGAAGATGAGGAGATTCAACCGACAGTTAAAAGGTTTGCAGTGATTTATGTTGTTTTGGAAAAGTAGTCAACGAAGCAAAGGCTAAGAGGTGTGCGTCTCTGAGAATTATATTAAGCCACTACCGCTAGGTCGACTTTCCCGCAGTTGAATTGTAATTTAACCCCTGGTTAGTAACTTAACCAGAAAGTTTGGTTCCGTCTGTGGCGCAGGCTAAATTGTCATCGACTACATCCCAGTTCAGAAAGAGAAATGAAAGTCCCTTGTCTGTTCACGTCCTTCATGAAAAACGCGTCGAAAGGAACTGAGTTCGCGTCGTATTCGTGCAGTGATAGTAGAGACCTTAAGATACAACGTTTCCGTGTACGGGTAAATTAGCCTTAAGCACGGGTAAATTGCCTCTTACCTGGGAGAAACGGGTAGGCTACCGGGTAGAATGGTTACGCCATTATCACATCAGTTAAATAATGGTTGCCTTTTATAAAACTACGAGGTAAAGATGTTCGCTTACCTGTACCCTTAGGCTGAAGCGGTGTATCTTAAGGTCACTAGGAATAATCAGCTTTAAAATAATGTACCAAAAAAGTCCGATGCATGTGCAGGGTTAAGCCTGTTAGACCTGTTTCAAACTTCGTGCTACTGCCGTGCTAATCTGGCTCGACTGTAGCTCGACTGCAGCACGACACTAGCATTACTTGGTTTCAGACGTCGTATTTAATTCAGTCGAATAGAACGGCAATTGCCGAAAACAAAACACAAAAATAAAAAAACGGTTTAGCAAACTTTTAAATATATTCTAATGTATTGTTAATTTATGAATTGAGTTTGGTTCGGCAGTAGCGCGACGTTTGAAACGAAGTCGAGCTACTGCCGTGCTAAAGTCGAATTTAGTTCGGCACAGCAGTAGCACGACGTTTGAAACGGGCCTTACTTTTTTGACGTGTTTGTCTCCGTCGTTAACTACAGTGTGAGGGGATTAAGTATAGTATGCAGCCTGGACTAGCTTTATGGGCACATTTTTTCTATTTCAAGGATTTGATACAAAGGCCTTGTCAATGTTTATACTGCTCGTGTATTTTGAGAGTTATGGTTGCCCGTGATGATTTGAGATTTTTTCTGTTGGACACAAAATGTCATTTTTTAAACAATGAACAGTTTAAATCCTTCTTTTCTGTCAGACGTCGTCGACGAGAACCGAAGTCAAAGGAATCTCCCGCTGCCAAGCTGATTTTACCCAAGGTACCACCTATAAGGAAGACACCAAGCAGTTCCTCAGGGGAGAGGTGAGAGTGACTTTGCGAAAACAGCAATAATCGTATGCCGTTTGGCCTTATCAAATGAATCTCACGGATTCATAATTTAATTGCAAGAATTACATGCGGTATTAACATGTAATACGGAGCAGTAATAATCAGTAGAGACCTCTAGATTCGATAGACTGTGAGCAGTCTCTTATTTTTCTTTGCAAAATAACTCCACGCGTAACCCATGCGCGCGGAAGATGGCTGCCACACCAATCCAAACATCAACCTCGTTCCCAGGGATCTTTCCTGGGAACGAGGCTGTCCAAACATAATTAATTAGGGATTTGGAGTGGATTTATATCTGGTAAAAATGGGGGTTAGAAGCGAAATAAGAAAAACGTCTCAATACAAGCTGATAAGCCTACAGACGTTATATCATCATTTTAAGTACAAGTATAAACTCTGATTTTAAATTTAAACGGAACATAACAAAACGAGATTGGTAGAGATGCATGCATCTATAACTTAACCGTTAGGGGCCTTAGAGCGGGAATAAAATTTCTGTAACCACGGCCAAAGCTGAACAGGGAATTAATTAAGCGTTGTCCGCTTCTTCTTTCAGTTCAACTTCATCTCGATCTCGACTTGGGAAACGAACTTCAGTTAAGTCTCCACCAGATGCTGATGATTTGATGGCCGAAATGGAGATGTAAAGATCGTAGTGGAAGGCGAACGAAAGGATGGTATCGCTCAGCCTGCATGATAACAATAACATTTTAGGATTTGATATGTACCTTATTGGGACTTAATTTCGCGGGTCTTAAATTTCGCGTTTTTCGAGATTGTAAAAAAATCCTCGCGAAATATCAACACGAGAAATTTAATCCCATATAGAAAATGAAAATCACAGAGAAAAGGATTAACATGTAAGAACAACGACATTATACAGGATATGTCTCGACAAATACCGACATTATTAACTAGTTTTACTGGTTAACTCCATTTTTTATCCTCTGTTGTGAAATAACATAAATTTGCAAAGACTTCACACATGGAGTAGAGAATCTAGCTAACGTCTTCAAATGAATCGGGTAGATTCGTACAAAAAAGAAATATGCGTTTTGATTGTACAAGTTTATCAAGAAATTTCTGAAAGTTCAGACTTGTTGAGATATAAAGTGAAATTGAGAACTCTTTTTTAACGAAATTTAATGCCCGTTTTCATATTTTGCTATGTAAGTCTCGAAAATAAAACCGCTCGAAATACTGTCTCGCCCAATCGAGAAATTACTGAAGTACGTTTTTTCCAGCACAGCTGCTAAGGATAATTAGTTCAGAATTCAGTAGAAAAAAAAGACCGTTGTGTTAAAGTTATCAGGATCCTGAAGTATTAGAGTTGGTAATATGTTTTTCCTTCCAACTAAAGCTGCACCATACCTCTCTCTCCTCCGTGGAAGTCTCTTTGTGCTACCAGTAGGAGGCTCGCGAGAGAGGAAAAGAGCACAGGGGACGATGGGTCTTTTTCCTCTTCCCTTGGTCCTCTGGGAGCTTACTTTTTTTTTCAAATAGGCCATTTCCGAGTTGCACAAAGCCTCCGTTTCAAAGCGAAGTGCAAAGCTATTTATATGAAAATGACTTTTATTCTCTTGCAAGTAAAACTCATTTTCACAAGAAAGTAGGAAAGTTTTTGTACTAAGCCTCGTTTTGAAAGTGAAAGTTTTTGAACTCGGAATGGTCTATTGTTGTTTTATTCTTGGATCACCAACAGGAACTTCTACGGAGGAGAGTGGGAAGGTACTCAGTTCTTGTAAACATGCTCATCTGATATAACTAACGCTACCTTTGTCTTTGAATTCTACTTTTAATGCAGATCGATAATAAAAGATAATAAAATCGACAATAAAAGGTACAATATTTTGTCTCCGACAAAGGAGTGTTGATAGTTAGTTAGTTAAGCAGTCTGTCAAAGCGATAATGACTCTTTCATAAAGAGTTCAAGCTTTAACCAGGTTCGTCCGGGTCGTTCTCTCCTTTGCTTGCTTCCTCCAAGAATCTACTAAAATGTTCTTTTGCTTCAGGTTTCTTTTCACGATGTCCTTGAATCTTAGCTTAGGCCGTCCTTGATTTCTCTTTCCATCGCGTAACTGGGAATACAATAGCCTGCGAGCAAGCTCTAGAGAACTTGCTCGCTGGCTAGGAATACAACAGCTGCCCGGAAACCCTGACAAAGTCCATCCTCTCCACATGGCAGAGCCTTCTCAGGTTCATCTGAATTAAAATATCAGCCATAGGCGGTAGGTCAGCCTTCTCTAGACTTACTTTGTTTGTGATTTTGCCTTTCCAAGATATGTTGATTACCTCTCTGAGATGGCGCATCATGTAGGCCTGTAGCTTCTTCACTTGTGACTGGTACTGCCTCGTACCCACACGTCTCTCTCTCGACGAAAATGTGCGCGCAAAGGAAGGCGGGAAGGAGACAACGGGCCAGACGTCGCTTCTCCTGCAGTCTGTACCCTTCCCATGGTCTCTTGCGGTTCATCACCAGTCGCTTGCCTCTACATTGCGAAAAACGAAGCGCCTGAGGAGGAGGCTGTGACTGGTATATGATCCAAGTCTCTGCATTGCAGAGGAGTGTACTGAGCATAACAGCACGATATAACTTACATTCAGCCCTGATGGTAACATGTCGGTTTCTCCACAGTCTTTTCTGAAGTTTCCCGTAGGCAGCGCTAGCCTTACCCATTCTCAGAGTGATTTCTTGGTGGAGACTAGCGGATTCTAAGACTGTACTGCCAAGATAGGTGAAATTTTTGCACATTGTGAGCGGTTGGTTCTCCACATTGATTGGTGTCGACACGCCGTCTTTTTAATGTTGATTTAAGGCTAAACTGTGACGCGGCTTTGGCAAATTTGTCAACTAGGACTTGCATATCGGTAGCACTGTGTGATATAACAGCGCTGTCGTCTGTGAAGAACAATTCTCTGATGACTATTAGGCTATTCTTGGTTCTAGTATCCTCCTAGTTTGGATGAAAACTCTTTCCGTGGATAGAGGGTGATAATGTAGTGTTAAAACGGTCAGCGGTTCATGAATGGGGAGATTAGGGAGCTTAAGCAACAACCAGGGCGACGGCTACGAAAACATCACTTAAAAAGAGAGCTCGTTCTTTTTCAGCTTCATTGCTTTTGTCCCACCGTGTTAACGTTCAATTTGTCAAATGTTGGCGATGTTTTCTGGAGTTGAATCGCAAAGGTCTATGTCAAAGTTCACGAAAAGAATATGAACACTGTTGTCCTGTGTTTACGTCGTTCATAAAACGTTAAAATAGGACGTTTCACGTCGTAGTCGTGCAATAACGGCAAGTGTGCGGCGGTGACGTACAAAGTTGTTGTTTTGCCCATAAAATCTATTGCCTTTTTACCATTCTCTTCGCCGTCGTCACTGCTTGAGCTCCCTATAATTATCGTTAAATTTATTTCTATTACGGTCGAGAGGAATCTTATAAAAAAGTAAACTGATTTGAAATTTGAAAATCGTTGAATTTCAAGTTGCAAAAGTTGCTGTGGACCTTCAAGAAAAATCCTTTATAATCTACGAGTCCAGATAAGAAATTAGATCAAAAAAAGAAAAAAAAAAGAAATTAGATATTGTGGTTAAATAATGCTTTCGCGGGATATATTTTTACGACTATGCGGCTTATTTGTTTTAACTTTTACACACAAGGAAAAAATGTTTGCCGTTTTACGGCTGACGGTTAACCCTTTTGAGACCGTCTAGACTAGTCTCTATTGCGAATGACATCAGTCTTTGACAACATTCTGCTCTGGACCAATAGGAAACGAAGCAGTTGTATTTTCAGTTCCATTTTCCGTGATTATCAGCGTATCATGATCCCTGTACCCGCCCGCTCCGGGTTGTCCCTCGGGAACCACTATCATGGGTTCCATGGTGATGACCATGCCGGGCTTTAATACAGTGTCCACGTGTTCCAGAAACTCTAGATCCCAGTCCCTCCCGTAGTAATGAGTAAGAACACCCGTGGAATGACCATAACCAATGACACGGTACTGCAGCATATCGTGTTCCATGTAGATCTCATTTAGCTCTCTTGCAACATCGCTACAGCGCATGCCTGGTTTGACTATCTCTAGTCCCTTCTTATGGACCTTATTGTTGACTTCCCATAGTTCCATGTGGCGATCTGAAGGCACGTGATGGTAGAATAGAGTGCGTTCTAAGGCGGAGTAGTTACTGTTTGAAACGAAGGAAAAATACCAGTCAACGCGGTAAGCAGGTGTTCTTCGTTGATTTGACGAGGATTAAATTTGCAAGAATCCAAGAATGAAAACTTGCAACCATTTCAAGTGTTCGGTTACACGTAAGCACACAAGAACATGGTAGCATTTTAAGGAGGGAATTCATAATATAAAAATATAAGGAGTTTTAAACATTCTCATCTGGCGAGGTGTTTAACAAATAATCATACTAACCCTACTATCATAGGAAAGCAATTAACACTGAGAATATCTCCTTTTTGCACTTGGCGAGTTGTTGGAAAGTTATGGGCTCCATCTGTGTTTACACCCGACTGAAACCAACTCCAAACTAAAAAAAGGGCAAACAGACAATAAATTTCGTGTCAAGTTATAGGTCTAATTCCTTATTCATAAAAACGGCTCTCAATACTATTTAGCCAGAAAGACTATTTACCTTTCAAGGTCCCAGATAAACAACTTCAAAACAACCAATCTCGTACCCAGATCTCACTCTGTTTTCAACTTAAACGGAACTTAATACACACCATACTTGCTGTAAAATCAGCTAAAACGCCCAAACCAAACCGCTTACCACCTAAATCCGACGTAAGGTATTGATTCTACCCGACTTAGATCGAGTCGAAGCACTATAGGCCAGTTGACATTTTGATAATTACAGCAAACTCTACAAACTAACCATAATTTACAGTAAGAGTAATATTGAAAAGTTTCGTGTCAACCGAAGCAAAAGACAGGGACTTAGATAGGGAAACTAGTTGTTACAAGCCCCGCAGAGCTCCATGTTAAGCTAAAGCACAAAACACTAAGTAAAGGGATGGCGAATTTTGAAATTAAAGACTAAGTTGGAAATATTCTTAATTCCACATACACAACAGCGTATAACTTGTCACCCAAGAGTGTTGGAGTGTGGATGGAAGTGCTTGTCACGTGACTTTTTGAAACGCAAACCCCAGCCGGAGGCCACTCCTAACCCTAACTGTTAACTAATAACTCACTTGGAGGTCAAAGCATCAATACTTGTTTTGTAATCCCACGAAAGCCCCTTGATTAGAGACGGACCATTAGAAAACTTATGTGGTGGGGCGGGCGAAGTACAAAAAAAATATTCGCACGAGGGAAAATTAAATGCACGCCAATTAACCCTAAACAATATTCATGCTATGGCCTAAAAAAATTCATACAAGGAATTTGATAACGAAAAAAATTTCTGCGACTCAAAAATTCCCCTTCCCCCTCCATAACTTTTCTGATGGGGCCTTACATTTTCTGGGAGTGTCAAATATCTTGGTCACGTGATGCAAATCGTTCCCATGACGTCACCATCATCATCATCGTCGTCATCGTTGTATCGTCAGAGAGCTTAGGCAACGACGACGTCGACGGAGGGGAAAACGTCGCTAAAATGTAAATTTACACTGTTTACCGCTCCTATCACTGTTTATCACTGTTTATTTATCGCTCCTATCACATGTCGTTCAATTTGTCAAATGGTGGTGAATTTTTCCGTATTTGAATTCTAAAGCATCTAAGATTTAAAAGAGAAGTAAAAGACATTCGTTTTCTTGTGTTCACATTCTCAACGAATTAAGCAGTTTCATTTCTTCACGTCGTGGTAGTGCGGTAAAACAAATGTACAAAAATGGGTGATGCACGTACAAAGCTTAGTTTTGCTAATCGAAACCTATTGCTTTTTGGCTGTCGTTGTTGTTGTCGTTGATGGTGCTTAAACTCCCTATTATTACACTTTTTGCCTGTGACAGGGGTGGGGGGAACCCTTCACCTGGGAAATAAGAAATAAAGAGTGTAAAACTAATAAACAACTCACCATCCCTGATATCAACGTGCGGATATGCCTTAGCTATTTCGCGTACCATGGTGTTGGTTGCAGAAAGAGTGACCTCATACTCTGGCACACCCTCATGAATCGTGTTTATCGCAGCGTATGCCCCAAGTTCAGCTATCCGAGATCCTTGGCGGATTATTTCAATTTCTTCCGGGGATTTAATTCGACGTATATGCATCACAGCATCCGCGACGTCGACTAGCTTGGCTTGCGGTAGAGCATCAGAGAAGTCTTTGAGGAATGCTCCTGCATCAGGGAACTCTAAACCAACGGTTTTTGTAGATTTAAGCTGGGGATTTAAACATTTCATTCATCAAAGACGATAGAGTCTCGGAGTGGAGCAGCTTAAGACAGACCTATAAAGTGCTTCGTTTCTGATCTAGACTGCGAGCAGTACGCCTTTTTAAGCGTCGAGTTCTCAGACAGGGTGCGTTTGGCACGGAAAAAGCTTAGCTAAGCTTTAAGCCAAAAAGGGACTTCCCTCTCGGGCTTACGCCCTCGTCTCTCGCGGCTCGCGGCTCGCGGCTCGCGGCTCGCGGCTCGCGGCTCGCGGCTCGCGGCTCGCGGCTCGCGGCTCGCGGCTCGCGGCTCGCGGCTCGCGGCTCGCGGCTCGCGGCTCGTGGCTCGCGGCTCGTGGCTCGTGGCTCGCGCGTCCTACCCCAGCGACTTTAAAGAAAATAAGAGACTGGTCGCAGTCTATTTCCGATCGCCCACTCGACCCAAATGTTTAGGAAATGACGGAAAAAACATAAATTAGCAAAAAAAGGTTCCTTTTAGTAAAAACCTAGTTCACTGTTGTCGGTGGAAGGAAATCTGGGAGAGACGTTGTTTTGATAGCCTGTCTACAGACGCTTTTCTCTCTGTCTTTCCCTTTTTTTTTCCAAAAAGCACTGAATAAATCCCCCGCGATTTTTATTTTTTTACGAACGCTCAACGATCTCTAGAGAGGAAATGGGGGTCTGTGTACAGAGAGAAGCGTACCTCATAGATGGAGGCAAAACCGTGTCACCAGACGGTCTGAACCGAAGGAATGAACATTGAACTGTTTCTATTTCTATTTTTATTGTATAATCATTTACCTGTATTTTGTTCTATCTAGTATTTAATTATACTAGTAGTTAATTGTTAACCAATTATGCGAATTTTCAATTCAAATTTTAGGGGCCGTTAAAAGATACGTTCTCTTGGTATAGCTCTGGCCCTGAGGAAGGCTAATTTTGTTAGCGGAAATATTGGCCTATAATAAATCAGCCCTTTGCCGTAGTGCCAGCCCTGTATTGAGTTCTGTGTACAGCTAGGCTATTATTTTGATACAACGTATCCCCTTTCTGCTTTCTAGTGTAAATTATGTTTTTATAGTAACTAGTATTTTTTCAATATAATTTCCATAAAAGTAGCCGGGAGGATTTACTAATTTAAGGTCAGGTCACCTCCATGCAGCCTCACTCATAAAAAACTAAAATTATACTCCATCTCTAAAAATGTAGCAAAGTACTCTGAATTCATCAAGCATATCAGGAATCTTGAACATAAACGTATCGCCTCTCAATTCAAGGATAGGAAATCATAGCCCCTTACTTAGAAATCGAAACTGGAAGATTTACAATTCCCAAAACTCCTAAACAAGACTAGCCTGCGTAGCAAGCGTTTCCAATCGAGTTATTGCGCGAAAGTTAGAGCGGAACCAAAAAAAAGGTTGAAGAGGGAGGGTCCCCTCCCCCTCCCCCGTCATTTTTTTTTTGCTCTTGTCCCAGTTTTCTAGACGAACCTCGCGAGGAAACGCTTGCTATGCAGGCTAAAACAAGACTTACCATTCCTTTCTACATGACCTCTTATTTCTCTGTATTTTATCCCTATTTACCTGTTGTTGAACTGCGTGGTAGAAATTATCTTTTTGCCAGTTAGTATAGCTGATATTATCCCCGCTTGTTCGTCGCCATGGATATCCATAGTCGACGGCTGTCAAGAACGAAAGACCAGCCAATCATTAATTATTTGACATTATTATTAATTCAAACTATTTCTCTGTTTCTGATTGGCGTAAATCCCCCAACTAATTCTTCATAACAACGTTTGCAATATCTGGTAAAGTGACGTCAATAGTACATGCTATCACCAAAGAAAGGGACGGCAACCAAAACCGATACCTTGGGGACGAGTTTGTGTTAGCTCAACTGTCTGATAAATCCCTCCTTGATCTGCATAATTCTCAGGTCATACTCCGCCTTACTTTATATTTTCTGAATATCCAACACACCGACTTATTGGATCTTATAAGTAAGCTTTCCAGAGTGACTATCTGATGGATGGGCGGACAGACGGAATGATGGATGGATTAAAAAAGAGAAGAAAGGGAAAACGAAATACACGGATCTTCTCTTCCAATCATCCCTCAATGGGTACGTACTTACATGGAGTAATGGTGATGCTCGTTTCGTCAGTAACGATTAAACAGTATTGTCTTCCCATCGAACAATAAAGGAAATCGCTAAAATAGTACACGTTGTAGTATGATGTAAACACGCATGCGTCAATGCCTTCCTGTTCCATGTGACTGCGGATTCTGTTCAGTCGCCGATCCATTTCATTGGATGAAAACAGTTGCCTGCACTGAGGAAAACAACAAAAACAACAACTCAGTTGAAGAATAAAATGTAGATTGGTAACGTACAGATATACAAACAGTGGGGTTGTTTCTTCATCACCAAATTTCCTTGACAAACTATGAGGTGGTCCTATGTCGACTTTGCCTTATTTTCTCACTTATATGTGTTGTCTGTGACTGTGCTCACATGGTGGGTGGCTCCTCCTAAAATGTTCTGCAATTGGTATAGGATTTAATGGAGCCGAAACCAATTGTGGAATTGCACGCATTTTAGGCATCCTACTGATTAACAGTTGCGACACGTAGATATATATTTTTTAGCGACTAATATAATTTGCAGTCTGTCTACAACATATTGAATGAAGGGCATAAATATATTGTAAATGTAAGGGCCCGATCTTTAGTTTAAAAACTAAATGCAAGGCTGATCTTTTCTGTTTTCGTTATAAACATTCGTCTCCAGGAACTTCACCGTATTGGAAATTGAGACGACCCTAGGGACGAGGCTTGGGACGAGGTTGCAATTTGGTTACAGGTTACCCCTGTATCCAAACTTTGTTGTTATGACCTGTTATGGCAACGCTATTGAACATTCTCGGTATTAAATTTAAGGCATGCATAACATTTTAAAATGAAAGATCCCAAAAAAAGGTAGCTGAAATCCATTCTCCTCGTCTTGCAAGTCCAAGGAGTTTCTGAGATTAAGAGTTCAGTACTGATATATGTTCCTTACCTTCTTGCCATTGTGTAGTTTCAGTGTACGTGGAAAGTAGTCATGTTTTTTTCGCAGAAACACTGGCAAAACTACCTTGCCAAGCTTGCGGAAAAGTGACGATTGCGTAAGCATTGTCCTCGTAATCTGCAATGTTCCGAAAAGGAAATATAGAAAAGAAAAGAAAAAAACACAGAAAATAAGTAAGTCCAAAGAGGAAAGTTTAAATACGCCACAGGAGGTACGATACCCTTTAGGCGCAGATCTATAGGATAAAGACTGGCCGATTTCCTAAACGAGCGCCAAAAGGGGCGGAGGGCATGCCTCCATGGGAAATTTGTTTGGATTTCAACTTCCTGGGTTTCTGAGACATTCAGACAGGATGTTGGCCAGTTCCATTCTGGCCTCGGATGAAGCCTTACAAATCGGCTATTATTATTATTATTTCTTATGCACGGAAATTGGAAAAAGTATTATACAAACCATTATCCAGAAAATAAAAAATTGAAAATCTGACCGATTTCCGTAAAACAGTAGAAACCGGAGTGGATCCTCGCCTGCCGTTTTTGGACGTTTGAGTTCCTCTCAACAGCGCGTTCCCATTTCCCGTATCCAGAGTTTTAACAATCCTATTCCTCCATTTTCAGTACAGACTACAGAAGTTTAGTTCTGCAAATCGTGTGCCCCATTTTGTTTTTCTACAATAATTATGAAAGTGTAAATATCCGTATTGTTATTCTTTGGCAGAAATGAAGATTGAAATACATGCTAAATACAACGCTATTGCCCAAGATCATCGTATAAACTTCGCTTAGCTGTCGAAGTATCCCGTCGGCCAACAATGACGTGCAGCCAGGGTCGCTGCAGCTGTCGCTCGAGAGACCCTGTGTTAGAGCTTGAAAACAGGTTACGAAACGACCAGTTTCTTCATCTGATCTAGTGTGCTAACAGCGCTCATAAGTAGCTAGTAAAAACCCAATATTTTTGATTTTTTAACACGCTCAAGTTGGACTTGTCAACCCAAAGGAAGTTCCCGAGAAGATAAGATTTGTGTACAAGTGATGAATTTTCAAAATCTCACCTTCGAAATAGGACAACGCTTGCGGAATGGAGTATCGTCGACGCAGGACTTAATCAGTTAAAAGAAAATTCGTTTAGAACTCGTCAAACCCTCCCGAAAAACCGTCTGTGAAGAAGGCAACGGCTAATGTTACCGTACGTATCGATAGCCTCTGGCCTGAGCCGTTCTTTCCCTCGTCACGTAACGCTACGCCTGAGCCGTTCTTTGTCTCGTCGTGTAACGCTACTCTCTGCGTGACACCCAAGACATAGGATACTTCGTCAAAAAACAACCCTGTTCTGTAGGCTACATATACAAAAGAGGCCCAGAAGAGCGAGGGTAACTCTAGCGTACGTCCTGCAGACTCGTCTACGCTTCTTTTCTTGGTCATACTTAGACACTATTGCAAGAGTGCGATAGTCGCGTATGCTAAAAAGTATAGCCAACTATTATTACTTTTTCATTTATTCACTCACTGTATTCTGTTTTACTTCTCCTTCAACGTAACACTGACGTTTCTTTAGGAAAAGACTATCTTTTCAAATTAGAAAACGTGTTCCTAACAGCAAAAAAAAATACTAGTACTTGTTTTTTTATAAAATTGCAACAAAAGAAAAGAAAAGAAATAGTAAGAATGTATAAAAAACGGCGAAAAAAAAATATATATCTAGCCGATTTTGGAAAATGAACCTAGCAAAAATTTCAGCCATCTGAGAGAAGAAGGGACAAAAGCAAATGATTCTTGCAAGGACCACTTGGACAAACAGCAGTGAGGAAAAGCGGGATCTTGGTGTAGATCTGGATCAGCAATAAAAAAATCACCTATCCTTAGCTGTCCAATCAGCATTGCCCTCAATTTCTAAAGGACAGAAGGCAGAAAAAGTTCAAAAATTACACTATCCAAAGAAAAGAAAAGGAAAGGAAAAGAACAGAAAGATCAAGAAGGAAGAGAGGCGGAGAAGAGAAAAAGCTATGCTTGCACTCGTATTTTATTACAATGAAACCTCTTTTTAGTGGACCCCATGGCCAATTAAGCGGACACCCTCTATTAAGCGGACACTAAGGAAGGTCCCCAAGGTGTCCGCTTAATAGGGATTTCACTGTATATTGGCTACTTTGGACATAATTTTTGGCCGGAAAAAGCAAACTGCCTGACGGGAGGGTGTTATTTGGTGGTAATGTTTTCAAAAATCTTGCTAGATAAAAATACATCGTTAAGAATTCAAATACATAAAAATACATCAAATAGATAAAAATACATCGTTAAGAATTCAAAAAGTTTTCGGCTGCAGTGGTTAATTTTTGATGATATTTTGCTCTGGTCCAAATGGAAACTTTGTTATATCCTCACTATCCGTCTCCTTGACAACCAATATATCGTGCTCTCTGTATCCACCCGCTCCAGGCTCTTCCTCGGGTATAGTTATCATCGGCTCCATGGATACTACCATATTAGGTTGTAAGACCGTGTCTATATCCTCGCGAAGTTCTAGTCCTGCTTCGCGACCGTAATAGTGGCTGAGAACACCGAAGGAATGGCCGTAACCAAACGTGCGGTATTTGAGAAGGTCGTGTTCAAGGTACAACTCATTCAGCTCTTTTGCTATGTCGCTGCAGCGTGTTCCTGGCTTGATTAGTTCCAGTCCCCGGCGGTGCACTTTACAGTTGATTTCCCAGAGTTCCATGTGGCGGTCTGTTGGTACGTGATCACAAAATAGCGTACGCTCCAGAGCCGTGTAGTATCTAGAGAATAATATAATAAGAAGCGATTTCGTCTTTTCCCCATTTTAAAAGTGTTATCTCAGCAAGTAATTTTAAAAGAAATTTCTCTTGTGGTATAAGATCCAAGTAACATTTAAATAAACAAGTTTATACCCACCCTGCTATCATGGGAAAGCAGTTCAGGCTTAAAATATCGCCCTTTTGCAATCGCCGCGTCGTAACCGCGTTGTGAGCTCCATCTGTGTTTATTCCTGACTGAAACCAGGTCCAAGCTAAAAAGAAACGTAACCAAAAAGGAAAAGTGAGATACTGATTGTGAAGGGGAGGGGGGAGGAGGGAGTAGAAAGCAGGCAAGTCATCAGTTGGAACCCCACCTCAAGATTGTTCAGTCAAAACCAAGAGAGAATGGTCAAAACAACATAGCAGTGGTGGATACAGGCCTTCAGATAAGGGGGGTAATCTAGACCCTGAGATAAGGGGGGGCGGCCTGGGGTTTTTTTTTTTTTCGGCCCTTCGGGCCTCAATTTGGTCTAAAAAAAACCCCTCCCTGGATTCGCCTCTGTATAGTGCCTACCTAGCCGCGGCTTACCCAGGGTGTCGCAAAAATTTGGTTTCGCCAACGTCAATAGCGTTTACAGCCGTAAAAGGATTATATAAAAAGCTTACGCGTCGAGCGCTAGCCCTTCTACAGAGTAAGTCAAGGGATTGCGGGTTGTATATGGGATGCACGTCGAACGGTGGGGCTATGGTGTTGGTAGGAACATGTTAACCTAAAAAACAGGAATGAATTAGATGAATAACAAAAAGGGTTACAAGAGTTTTAGAAGCTCCGAGATGGGAATTGAAAGGAGAGACCTTGGAACGTCTGAGAATCAGGCTATCCTAGGGTTTTGAGAGGAGCGCGAAAAAGGGGCCAATTGGAAACGTGTGCCTAGCGTAATTTATTGTAACTGAGAGGGAAAGAGGCTAACGGAAAAGAAAAAATGGGCAGGAAGGACTTAAATCCCACTCATCTCTTCTTAACCTTCACCCTACTATTCATTTCCTTCAAGCCATTGAAGTAGTGTGCTTGTTCCTTTTTGCCTGTTCAAATTCTTTATAAACTGAATGATACAGCGTATTTTCATCTAACCAAGATGGCTGATTGACTGACTTACTGAAGGATCTTTGTGAGTTCTTATAATAAATAATGTACTTCATTAAATTTAACACGCCAGCAGCCTTCTCGAGCATATAGAAAATAACTTACTGTCTCTGATTTCGCTGTGCGGATAAGTGGCAGCAATTTCTCTCACCATCACATCCGTCGATGCCAAAGCGATTTCGTGTTCCGCAGCACCTACTTTGATAGCCTTAGCGACCGCCTCCCCGCCAAGATCGGCGATCCGCGCGCCCTGCCTGATAAGTTCTATCTCTTCAGCGGACTTAAGCATCCTCATTTTCATGGTTGGTTGACCAACATCTACAAATTTCGCATTCGGCAAGGCATCGGTGAATTTCCGATAGTTGTCAAGGGTAACGAAGTCGAATTCCAGTCCAACGTTTTTGGCATCTCCAACCTTAAAAAATGGTTAAATTTATTTGGGTTAAGTATTGGTATATACAAATATACATACCTCGATATAACGAAATGCGGCTCAAAGGGATTAGAAGGATCGTTTGTTATAACGGGCTACGTTGTGTCGTAGTTCTATTCCAATACACATTTTACTAGCAACTATATAGATTTAGCCAAGGCTAAAAGCAAAGCTCTCTTGGGATCTTTTAAGAAATGTCTTTCTGAAGCAATTCAGCTTTCGCCATAAGCAAAAGGTAAACTGAATTCCTCCTGAAAAAATGGACCTGAGCCAGCGATCAATTGAAAACCAACAACTAGTCAGCGTGGAACTTAAAAAAAAACGTCACCTCTATGAGTTGAGCACATGAGAGCGCGATACAGTCATGTGACACGAGTCAGCGGTTTCACTTTTTTGCAGTTGACAATTTATAACATGGATGTCCAATATCAAGTTAAACACAGATTGGACTCCTGGACTCCCAAGCTAGTAACTGTGGCATTTCACATCCGCTAACAACCAAAATTTCTTGGATGCATAGATCAGCAACCAAATTTTAATACCCGAGTTGCTCCGCCACCTGTGCTTCGGGCGCGCGAACTCCGCTATAACTGGCTTGTAAAATGCCACTCGCCATAGGAGAAGACTTTGCTATATCGAGGTGGTAGAACGATAAGATACTACCAGCGCGAAGGTTAGTTGATACAGAGGGAGATAACCTACATGCATGATTTTGACCACCAAAAACTTATTTGTTGTTCTTGCCAGTTACCTGGGGCATGATCAGTGGGCAAATGTTCTATTTAGTGCGTAATAGAATGTTTCATTACTCTGGAATCATGTGCACCAACCTGCTGTTTCACAGCATAAAAATAGTTGTCTTTTTGCCAGTCAGTGTAAACTATGTTATCTCCGAACGTCCGACGCCAGGGCTGGCCGTAGTCAATCCCTAAAGAGCAACAATAGAGTGCCAAAGATAAAAATAATGAAAAATTGATAGAATATTGGACATACGTATCGAAAGATACTTCGTTGCAATATGACGGGGCCTTAATGAAGGCTAGATGCCGGTAAAAACAATGGCAGTGATATCTCCTACTAGGGGAACGATTCCGTCGGTACTTACAGCTGGTTTCTGAGTCATATTGTGGTCGGGCATCAAAAATATATATTTTTTAGCCTTGTGGGCTTCAGATTAGCGTAAAAAAGGCGCGCCTCCGGTAATTTTCCATAAACTAACACTTTAACAAGAGTAATTTATAAGTGCAACTATAATTGTTTTCCGACTGTAAATATCTACACTTACAAAAGTTGTTTCAAATTTGCCCCTAAGTGAAGAGTGGCAGCTTAGAGAGAAGTTTCTTGTCGAGGAAACAACTCGTTGTCGCTGTCAAGGCTCGACCCGCCCTCTTTGCTTTGAAATTGGAGATGTTAAATCTAAGAACACCATGCTCTCAAACTGTCATAATGAAACTTGGAAAAAAGATGAGATCGCCTTACCGGCAGAGACGCTAATTGTTTTGGTCGGTGTAACAATAAACGCGTAGGGGCGACCAAAATAGTAGAAAAGGAAGTCACTGAAATAATGGATGTTGTGATAGGAAGTAAATACGCATGCGTCCAGGTCGTTAGACTCCATATGGCTTCGTACCATATCCAGGCGTCGATTCATCTCTTGGGCTGAAAAAGTTGGTTTTACCTGTAAATGGTAAAATTTTGTGTGAATGGACGATTTTTTCAATATATTTTTTATATTCATTTTTTTTCCGTTAATTTCTATTAACTTCTTTACGCCTCAAAGTCCAAGGACAACCTAAGGATGGAGAGGGGGAGGGGGAACGGTCGAGAGATGTCGGAGGGGGGAGGGGGTTATAAGGAGGGTGACAAAACTTAATTTCGGCGCGCTCTTAGCTGCCCTTATCGTAACTAATAAAACTTCCTTGTCCCTAGCAATCTGCGGATACTCGTGAATCCCATAGCCACCTGCCATAGCTCATTTCCTTCCCAACAGAGAAAGACCAAGTAAGCTAGTAGTGCAGAGTTTTTCTTTCTTTCCAGTACGTTTAACGCTCCAGGCAAAATCAACCCAAACTTCAGGGTTGATGATAATTATTACCCACCTTTTCACCATTGCGACATTCCATCACGCGCTGCTGGTTATGATCGCTAAGCCCACTCGCACTCAACATCCGCCGGAGGACTGGTACCCACGCTGAACGACATACGAGCACACTTCTGATCAAATGAAACATCTAGCAAAATCGAATAAAACAACAACAACAAACAAACAAAAACAAAAACAACGAATGAAAAATTTCAATTAACAACACTAGAAAAAAATATTTGAAATAAAACCTTTTCTCTTTTACTATTCACCCTGTTTTTAGCTTTTTCAGGCAACTTCGATCAGCAAAGGGTACTGAAATCCAAAGGATTTGATCCGCACTAAACTCTACTGTTCTCTTTTGCCCCAAATAAATCTAAAGGATTCTTTAAACCAAATACGTGTGCAAAAAAACTACTAGCTACTTTTTGCTTGTAACAGAATGGCCCGAAAAATAGGGAGCGTAAGCAGCGACGTTTTTGAGCGACGCACGTCAACCGGAAGTGAGGTATTTTCCCTCTTAACATGCCTTGATGATATAAAATTTGTATTCCTTAGCTTCTTTACTGTTATAGAGGCGATTTGACTAAAAATTTGCGCGAAACCACCGTCAAAAAATGAAAAAAGGCCACTTCCGGTTGACGTGCGTCGCTCAAAAACGTTGTTGCTTAAGCTCCCTAATGTGAATACAAGTACGGACGAACTGACGACCCTTCAAGGTTCTAGTACGTATGCTCTAACCACTGACCTACTGCAGGCTCTATGGCGAGCAGGGCCGAGTTTTACCTATTATCACACCAGTCACAGAGAACCTGTATCGGGGACTTGTTCGACATTTTTACGAAAAAAAAATGCAAGGGTGATGTAACGAAAGAAAACAATTCGTGTGGCTCGAAAATTCCCCCTTCCATAATATAACTTTATTTGCTAATGGCCGGCCGCCCCTAAAAATAGTGCTTTTCATTGACATACGTATAATTCTATTACGCAATAAGTGATTAGCTGTAGTCACTTTACTTAGACCAGGGGTTTGTTTTCCCCCGTTTCCATTTCTGGTGTCGGTGATTAACGGCTTTGTTTGTGAAACAAACCGTTATTTGTGTGATCTTGCAGGCCTTTTCTCAAAATTGTGTGGTTCGACTGGTGGAGAATATGGCTTCCCGTCTATCTAGTCACGGAGTGAGAGAGGTGGGAGAGGGGACCCCCACTGTCTCTGACAGCCTGCCTGCCTTGTGTGGCTCGGCCTCGTTCTCAAGCTTCCGCTGATCGCTGATCCATCGCTCGTGGTCAGTGGAGTTTCTTCAACAAAGTTCTTTCGAGAAGGAAGACTTTCTCAAAGCCCGTTTCCGGTTTATGCTTGTTAGGCGGTCAGTGTGATTTTCATCAAATCAGAAAAGGTATTAAAGTGATTATTACAGTATGTATAATTTTGTATATTGGTAGTTTTTATCTAGTGAATTAATGGCGTTGCTTGTATCTGATTTCCACGAATACCATCGCTTTTTGTCAATTCAGTGAGTGAGAAAACAGCGGCGTTGAAATCGAAAAACAATATAAAAAACTGTAGTCATTTCAACAGGTATTGTTAACAATGTCAAAAAATTGCTTGGTTATCGTTTAAGATAAGATTGTCTTTCAGGTAGTCCGTCAAAGTAAAAGAAACTTATTGATTTTGAAGGAACCTGGTATTTTTTCCACGAAAAATTTTATAGCCTTCACATATTCTTTTTTCGATTAGCGTTACAAGGATGGTTGTTAACTGGGTAGCAAGTTTTACAACTAAATACGCGAATTTAAGGAAGAAAGATTGTTAGAGTGTAGCTAAATGTCGTGGGTCGTAGTTAGTGAGTAGAGATCGTGGGTCGTGGTGTGGGTCGTAAATCAAGAGCCTTTAATCAAAATGTCAGTGTCGACAGGCCAAGAACGGAGGCGCGAGTTATGTTTTTCCTTCGACCTATTTTTCAAAATGCTCTCCTTTTAAGAGCAGGGTAATCACTTTTTACTAAAGTTTTAAGTTTTTTGTTTGTTTTACTTACTGCATTATTCAAGGAAAAGACCCCCCCCCAAAAAAGACCACTCGGCCACATAGAGTCTGGACTCTGGAACATCTCAACTTTAGCTAAAACAATTCAAAAAGTCTTTAGCAACATCCTCGATCCTCGATCCCCGAATCTTGATTCTTAATCCTCGATCCCGATTTTCCCGGAAACCGCCACGCTTGCAATGTTTATGTCACAAAAAGCTGTTTTCTCCCGTTTCGCCCCCCGACCCTTAAACCAGGGGGGTTCTAATTTCAGTCACGATTGCTTTTTCCAAGATCCAGAAACTTTTGCCTCATCCCGTACTAAAATTCTCGCTTTAGTCTTAAGAATAAACGTCACAGATCGTTCTTTTGTGGCGTCGGATTACGCGACGCCTACTTCACGAGCACGGGAACGATCATTACAATCAGCTCTCACCTAACCTGCGATCAGGCGTTTTAGACAACCCGATAATGCATCTAAATCCTCGGCAAAATGAATCACAGACGTCTGACTGAAGTAAACACCGGTTATAATAGATCGACTCTCGCGAATGAGGCCACCCTCGAACGTGTCGGCCGCAATATCTGGAGCTAAGCTAAGAGAGAGCTCTTATTAAACGGTTTATAGTTAATTTAGCTATTAAAAAAAAGCTTCAAAGAGAGCCCTTGATACGGTTAAAAAATTATTCAACAAACTAACGTTTGACAGTAACGTACACAATAATAAGGATTTTCAATGGCTACACTCAGAAATTTGCATTCATGAAATTAACCCCAGTCTGGCTTCGAGACCCCTTACCACTAGCATGCTCGGTTCGGTCAGTGGAAACGAATTCTATCAGTTTCTGCAATAAGCTGGGCATAATCAAACGACTATTTAAACGCGAACTTACCTTTGGCTTTTACCTATATGATCTTCGCAAACCAGAGTTTCGTGACAAAGGAGGCTACATCAATGCTCCATGCATATTAAAACCAAGGAAAGTATTGACATACGCAGAAATGGATCGGACTTCTGGATTATCAGCTTATGGATCGGCACAAACATGGAGGCGAATGTTCGTTATATTTATTTACTTTTTTGTGTGTAGACTAATAGCTTTTTTTTCTTTCTTTCAAAGTGGGGTGTATGTCACGTTTTCAAAACTTCGACGAGTGTTTTACATGATTAGAAAAAAAGTTGTGTGAAATCAGTTGTTTTCTTTGTGATGGATGGAAGATACCGGATTAGTCCAGAAGATTCCTTGGGTACTCTGAGCGTGCTCTGTTTCTTGTTTCTCTCCAAGAAATCACCAGAAAAACCATTTGTTAGCAATGACAAAGATTATAAATTTGAACATTAAAAACTTGCTCTTTGAGGCTGTTCACTCTTAAGCCGATTATTCAAGGATCTTTCAAGGTTGCTTCGCATGTCGGAATTTTACTCTGAGGTGGCCTTATCACGACTGAGCTGGCGGCCGAGATGTGGTCTCAATAGATGACTGCTTTCGTGAAGCAGCTCAGGATATATATTATTATTATATTATATTATTATATTATTATCAATTTTGTTTTTAGAGGGCCACTGGGGAGGGAGAATAGTAGAATTTTTAAGATCTTTTATTATGATTACTATTTGTAAATAGACTTTTTATCATGATTGTTGTAATTTATTATCATCAATTTTGTTTTTAGAGGGCTACTAGAGAGAATACCTTTCATAGCAATTGGTGACATCCTCTTAAAATAAAGGTTATATAGGATGGCAAAAATGAACTTACCAAGTGGTGACGCGTTTGCCAAGGTTCCTTCCAGTTTATACCGTGAGGAAACAGAAATTAAGTTTTGAACCGCTTATAGAAACTTTTACCAAAAACAGCATATAATATGTGAATCTTCTTAAGATGCAAAAAAGAAATCACTAAAACAGGGTTTTTTAAAGAGGAGGGGCAGAGCTTATTGTGTTTCATAAAACTTTTGCAGTTTTAAGTAAATGTGTACTCTGTGTTTCAGTGTCGGAAACAATCGTTGCCTGAAACTGCGCAGAGTTTAAAGAACAGCCTTAAATTACGCAAACTCGAATAAAGCAGGTTTACATAATGCCAAAGTGTAAGTGAGCGCAGCTTTCAATTTTTGTCACTTGTGGGTCACTCCTTGAAGAAGAAGCCTATTTAAGGCTTCTGACACTTTTAATGTTTTTCAAGTTTTGATAAAGATGGCTGACAGTCATCGAAACTGTCAGCATCATTAAGACGTTAAGACTGGCTATGTTTTAAGAACATTTAAATCGACGTGTGGGTCACTTGTTTCAAATGAAATTTCTCCTTGCTCGACCTCGCGAAGAAAAATTAAGGGGCAGCGGAAGATGAGGTGGCAAACATGGTGAATCGAGCAATTTTTCAGATAATTGCACTGAAATCATTCAAAAAATCGATCGTTATTAGTTAACTAAGGACCAATCCACACCGCCACGACGCAATTATTTACTTAATGCACAAGATTTGCCATAGACAATGTTGAGGATTAAAAGTGAATTCTTGCCAGTTTGTGAAAGACACGGTTGTTAAAGACAAATATTGTTCTTGGCCCAGTTGTTCGAAAACCGATTAGCGCTTAACCTGGGGTTAAATTTAACCCGGGTTTCTTCTTCTTGTGTTCAAAAGCATTTTCTTGGATAATTTTCCCTGCTAGTTTTATAGTTTTCAATCATCAACTTGTAGACAAAAAGAATTAAAACTGAAATGCTTTTTAAGCTTCCAAATCAGTTTTTTTGTTTTGCAGAGCTGAGGAACAAACTATGTCCTAAAGTATCGATATCCTTATTAGGTGCATCGGACAGCGTGAAAAATCGAATGAATGTCGCGCGCAAATGTTTCGCCAGCCCTTTAACACGTCATTTTAACGAGCATTAAAAACCGTTGCGTTTTATTTTTAAGGAGGTTTTGCGCTCGGCGCTACGTACACTATGTAGCGCCGAGAATTTTCCGTGATTTCCTCGCGAGTATGTCCTCTAATTGGGACCAACCCGTACAAGTAACGTTTCGAGGTGTATCTCTCGCTAATGAGGAACTTAGTTTCAAAAAAGCCTCTTTTGTTATCAATCCTCGTTCTGACATCTATCGGTACTGGGAAACTTTTAGCTCTGTTTGTATTTTCGTCACTTGTTTGATCGTCCCTTTTCAAGCAAGTTTCAATTCGGAATTTGCGACATTATGGGCTTTTGCCTACATCTTTGATGTGTTGTTTTTCTTGGATGTGGTGCTGAGATTTTGTGTTGGATATTTCAGCAAAGGAAACCTTATCACCGATAAATCATTTATCCGTAAACGCTATCTGCGCGGCAAGTTTTTGCTGGATTTACCGTCTATCATCCCCTTGGATTTCTTAGTTTTCGGAGTTGGAAAACACCTCAGATGGCATCACACTTTGTCTTTGCTGAGATTAAACCGGATTTTGAGAGTTTACAGACTCTTGTCGTTTTTCGGTAAGTTCACTCTGTAACACTGTAGCGGTTTGAATTTATCAGTTATTTGTTTAGTATTAAATATTGTTTGTATACTTAAATAGTGAGCGTTTTTTTACTGCTTCGGATAATATCACCTTCAATTTAAGGTGCTAGCGTTAATAGAAACGTAGTTTTTGCGGATATCGCCTCTTCTTAAAGACTTTAAAGAGGAAAATACATCAACGGAAGAAAAGCGCGCGCGTGCATAGTTTTAAAACTGCCACCTTCGCGTGCAGTTGCTAACATAGCAACTTCACACGCGTGCAACATTCCCTGGCAACGTAGTTCGCAACATCCACTAGCAACTTATTTCGGTGCGGCTTTGCTATGTTTCTCGTTCAAACGATCCAATTGTCTAAAGTCATCGTCCTTCGCTTACAAGAAATTGTAGTAAACTTTGATTGTGCATGCAAAATATAATTGAAAAATTCGCCAAAAGATATATTGGGCCCATCTCAATGTATAACTCATTCTTGCCTCATTCAAACTAAGCGTCCAGGTTTTTAATAGGTTTCAAAGAAACTGTTCAATTAGTGTCTAAATCAAGTCCAAGAATTAAAATGCAACCACCATTTTGTACGATTTACTAGGCGGTAGTGGTCTTTTGCTTTCGATTTTTGGCAAGCCTTTTTTCAGGGTGCTTACATGTAAGAAAAAACAACAACAACAAAAACACCAGACGCACTTTATTTGAGTGTCAGTGTATTTAGCAAGAAAATACTTGAGGACGCTGCTAAAATGTCTCCTATACTGGAAAGAACAAGACCGCCAATGTTGGCGTGGTTTATTATAAACCGTTTGCAGGACAGAGGGAGTACCTTCATTTCTTAGTTGTTTTAAGACCCTGAGTAATTGTCCGGTCCGGAGATCGAACATGCAACCTTCCGCTCTACAACCAAACGCTCTAACGACTGAGCTAGTCCTGCCATAATGGCAACAGGCTACACTTTGCACTTCGTTCAGGAATGAACGCTTGGACAATCTCGTGTTAAGAAAAATCGATTCTCTTTCTTCATTTGATGAAAACGTAGAAACAATATAAGGTCTTTAATAAGACTCAAAACTAAAACTTTTTTAATATTCCTAATTTTTAGGGTCACGAGAGAACGAACTCGGGACTAACACGTCCCTCATCCGTGCTATTAAATATGCTACGATCGGTACAATCACAGTTCATTTGATGTCTTGCGTGTGGTATTCACTGGCATGTCCAAACATCGGAGCAGCGGACACCTCATGTGATCCTAACAGCTGGGCAATGAAACTTAACACAGGTGAATCATTCTATACTTTCGTTTTAAGAGTACCTTACTAGACCAATATATAAAGAAAAAAAATGAAAAGAAGTTTCTTCTTTTTTCTTGTTTTTGCATGCAAGTGAGATACCACTGATCGATACTTGGCGATTCATTTTGATACTTTTACACCGAAGTATAACCGGGGCCCAGTTGTTTGAAAGCCAATTAGCATTTTCTCGGATAATTTTCTCTATTCGTTTTAGAGCATCCAATAACCAAATTTAAAATTAAAAGAATTAAACAGCATTAATTTACCTTTTAAGCTTTCATATCTAAATTCAAAATTCGCACTAATCCTGGGTTATCATGACCCAGTTAATTTTGAACAACCCGGAAAAGAGACTTTTATTAGCCTATATTTTATCCTCTTAACTAATGAAATTCATCTCCTATAAAAAATACTCTGATCGTGAACTCATGTTCATTTTTGGATGAAAAGGTTTATGGAAGCATTTAGCTTATCATAGAAAATTAACGCTTGTGTTAATTAAGGTATTAAAAGAAAACGTAACTTAAATTAGCATCGATGGATGGAAAAACAACGTTTTCTATTAATTGAAATTAACGCGACATAAAATGGGTAGAGACAACAATGTTCGAAGAACTTTCCCCAAAGGAAGGGCTTTAGCTAAGCGAAGGAATTCAGCATCTTTTAAAGTTCTACGTGCAGTTCAAGTAATATCGGTCCATCACCCACTCATGAAATAACGCTTTTTACTAGAAATCGGGAACAAAATAAAAATGTGAATTTAGGTCACAGAAATTAAAAACCCATTTAATTGCTTAATTTTGTTAATTAACGTAAGCAAAATCATGAAGCACTAATTTCCTAAAATAAGCTATCGAATTAATCATTTGCCTTCTGTACCATTTAAAAAAAAGAGTCGCATTGGATGATCATTTGAGGTCTCAAAACGCCAAAAATAAGCCTAAAATGTGGAAATAAACTTTACCCCTCCTAAAGTTTGGTTGTCAGTTCTTCTTTTCTGGGTAACTTTGGTAGAAAATGTCGCCATTTTAGGGTTCATATGGCACAGTTGGGGCTGCCTGTGCTTTCTCAAAGAATTTTCCCTTCGCACTTCGCACTGAGCCACAACTTCGCATTTTTTTCTTTTCACCTTTTTTCAAAAACAGGTATAGAGCTTGTTGGAGTTTGGAAGAAATACGTTTTATCACTGTACTGGGCAACGGCAACAGCAACATCCACCGGGTAAGACCACAGTCACTTGGTGCACATGAAACGTAATACAGTTTTTTATTTATCAGTAGAAATTATCAGTCACAATCATTATCTCAATAACATCATCATCTTCATTGCCTCTCCTCAAGAGAGGAGTTTGAAGGACTATTTTATCCTTTTATAGGCGTTCAGTTATTGACGACACCAGATACAAGTTTATCACATGGTCGCTTACGGAAACCCATTCTCGAAAACCACTACAGCTAGCACTAGTTGCGACCACCTTCATGAAATTCCCAAGGTGGTAGCAGAGGTAGCCTGTGAATACAGTCGTCTCTCCTTTTCTCTTCGCCGCTAGGAACTTTTCGCAGGAGAGAAAACGAAGGGAAAAATGAAAAGAAAAGAAAAAGCGAAACGTCCCTCGCAGCGAGGAAAGACGGGTGTATTTTTAAGCTGCAAGGGAGGTTGCTTACAAGAGTATCATTGTGGGCCGAGTTAGCAAATACTAAACGAGAACACAAAAGCGAGCGGAAAAGTCTGGGCACAACTTTCTTTGCTCAATTTGCCGCTTTGCCACTGGTCAAGATGGTTTTGATTTCTGCGCGACCAATCCCCTGATTTATGCATAAGTGATGAGTTCAAACAATAGAACTGATAATAATAATAATATTTCTAATAATAATAATAACATTTAAAATTTTATCGTTGTAAGGGTGAAGGTAAAGTTCCTTATGTTACGTCAGTAACTCGTAACAACGGTGCGCTTATTTTACTCCCTCTCTCCATCAGTGCTCAGTTTTAAGGTATATTTTATAGTCACTTTAAGCTACACGGAAAAAAAAATGAGAAGGCGAAACAAGGATTCTAGTGAGATCACAGCTGGGAATCAAACTCGGAATCTCGCGCACAGAAAGCCGCGCATGCGCACTTACCCACTGTGCTCAGTTCCTTGTTTGTCTTAATAAAACCGTACTAATTATACTCCTTGTAATAAAACCACAATCAGAAAAGCAACTTTTAAATGCAGACATTTCGAAAACACTAACAAAACTTGGATTTAAAATATCCGTTTTTGTTTTATTATCAGCTATGGGGATCTACACGCCGTGACCGAAGAAGAAAAATGGTTTTCAGTGTGCGCTATGTTAGTCGGAATCGGACTGTTTTTTGGTTTTATCTTGGGTGGAATGGCTTCCATGCTGACTAACTTGGATTCACAACGAGCAAGATATATACACCATCTTAACGTCATCAAGGATCATATGGTAAGTACTGTGTCGTTTTTGATTAGTGAATATTGGCAAAGAAAATTAGGAAATTTTTGTCAAAGAGTCTGCGGAACCTGCAATTTATACTTGGAACCGTAATTTGTCCTTTCCTATGAGGACGTGGGGTGCTGGGGCTCGTTTCTCGAAAGTCTCGGTAACTTTTCAGGCTCGAAATCAAACATTCAGGTCAAAATCTAAAGAATAAGAGCGCAGGTTCCAGCTAACAGACCAGCGCAATTTGCTTTGTTGAACAAGATCGATCTTGAAAAAAAAAATGCTGAACAGCACAGACATTCCGGGCCCCTTATATAATTATTTATTAAGACTTTCAAGAAATGAGTACCCTGGGTGCCAGAGACTTTTCTAGCACGGTTTCCGGTTTCTGTCAAGTCTTTATAGTGACCCTTCGGCCAACACCGAAAATTCCAGCAGCACGCGAGAAAAACCTCTGGTACCCAGGGCAAGAAATGAGTTACTGGGAGTTTTTCTTGCTGAAAGTCGCTTATTTCGTAGCTATGATAAAATTTAGTTGGAGAGGCAAGGCAAATTCGAAGGGGGTGCATATTTTAAGGGGGTGCATATTTAAAGTTATGATGGTCAACTAGAAGCGGAATTGAATTCAGGTGCTCCTGGAATTCATAAATGATAATGTGCAATGGCTATGAAGCTCTGAGATAAGCTTATCAGATTCCTTTATTGTTGTTGTCAGCTTGATTGGACTTGACCGTGTACAAAGTTGGATAGCATTCCTATCACGTTGCATTAATTTATTCACTCACAATTTGTGGACGAAAATTAAACGGATCGTGCACGGTCCAAGGGAGCTCCCAACAAAGACTATGATGCACCATTGTCTCTAATGTTTACCTGCCTTAAATAATCAGTTTCCCTTTCCTCCTTATCGCTATGTTGAAATGGATCTGGTGAGAGAGGGTGCCCTTTGGTTATTTTACTCGTCTTTAATTTGTAAACCTCACCTGCAATAGGCTGATTTAGCAACAGGATAGGAACGCCAGTTGACGACGGGGAAAACGCGCGGAAAGGACTAAACACGACTTCCGGTGCTCAATTTGCCGCTCTGCCATTGGTCAAACCAGTTGTTTGATTTGCGCGCACCGTCGTCAACTGACGTTCCTGTTCTGTTGCTAAGTCAGCCTAATCCCGCTCTTAACATCTCTTCCCAAGTAGCTGCCCATGTGTCTCCGTGGATGATACCTTACCGTCCTAAGCTCGTTCAATCCCTTTAGTTTATAAAGTTTCACTTCCATTCATCAGTTCCCTTCTTTTTCTACTGCAGAATGACATGAAGATCTCGTCTTCTATACGCTCCAGAGTGATGGCCTACTACGAATACCTGGTAAAGACAGCCTTCTAATTTTTAGGTAGCATGCCGGCATAATATAGCTGGCGGTTTTGATGGAAGGATGGAACAGGGATTTTTTTATCCTAATCCAACAAATCCACCTGCAGCACAAGCTCCATTCTAAACAATCACTTTTTTATTTAAAAATCAAGTTAAGTTAGCTTTTTAGGATTTCCTGCTAAGAATAAGGTATCCAAAATGATTTAACTGAGTGTACGTATTTACACATTAGAGAGATTTAGCGTGACGTTTATTGCAAACTGTAAACGTCAGATTCAAGTTCAGAATTTCTCAAAATAGAAAACGTGCAGCTAAAACCAGTCCAAAACGATTGTTATGGACAAAACTAACGCGAAGTAACTAATTTTGGGGTAGAGTCTTGATCAGTAAAGCACAAGTAAAGGCGAAACATGGTCACGTGTTACAAAACGTGACCTAAAATCTCTGTCAAAAGAGGCATATAAATGGGTGTCTTACAAAGGCAATTGTGCTCTAATAGTGTTTTGTCGCCCGAGATAGCCGGATAAAACAATCGCGGTGTAAACTACAATTTGGGAATGATAAGTAGCAAGTAAGTAAGGTGAGATGGGGAGTTTAAGAGCTTAACAACGACCAACGAGAACGGCAAAATGAAAGGAAAGTAGTAGGTTTAGATTTGCAAGAACACAACTCAGCACGTGTTTTAAGCTTTTTTGTACATTTCTTTGCCGTTGTTGCACGACTACGACAGGAAACGTCTTAATATCACGTTTTATGAATGACGTGAACACGAGAAAAAGATTAGATTTTTCTTTTTCAGAACTTAGATACAATATAATTCAAATCCAGAAAAATTCGCCCAAAATTGAACAAGATGGAAAGCGAAGAAGTTCGAAACAGCCCGAATTCACTTTTTTGTGACGTATTTGTTGCTTTCGCTGTCGTAGATTCTAAAGTTCCCAGTTGGCAAAGGCTACGACGACGAGAACGTCAAAAAACACCGGGTTTGATTTTTAGTTAGCAAAACAACGACTCTGCTCGTTTATCACACTGTTACGACATGTCATTTTCTTATAACTTCACGCTTCATAGAAAATGTAAACACAAGACGGTTTAAATTGCGCGAGCTGTGTTGTGTTAATTGCATGACTGCATCCATTCTTTTTAAACGTTTTTCTAGTTAAACTTGCTGACATTGTGATACATTTTACTTTTCAGTGGACTCATAATAGAGGCGTAAGTGGAGTCGGCATGTTCGATGATTTACCGCTAACGTTTCAGGCTGAATTGTCCCTTATGATCAACAAGAAAGTTTTGGAAAAGGTATTTAATAAACTTTTATAAACTCTTTTTATCCATTGGCTGATAAAACAAATAACGAACACTTACCGAAACCATGCATTTTTCAAGGTCATATACGAAAATCACTCTAATTGAATATCTGTATATTTGATCATTTGCAGGCGCCTTTGTTCAACGGCCTTAACCCTGGCTTCAAGCGCATGCTCTCTTTGGTTATCCGTCCAGTTTTCTACATGCCCAATCAGATTATAGCCAGCAAGGGAGACATAGGACATCACATGTTTTATATTCATCGAGGGCGCGCAGAGGTATGTTGATCTTACAGTTATCTTTTGGGCCAAATACTTACAAATTTGGCTGGAATTTGGGAGTTATTATTTAGAGACATCTTTTCTGGCGATATACATGTATCACACGAGAGCATGAATTGAACAAATATCTGTACCTGACAAAAATAAATTAAAATTACTACAAAGGAGGATCGACCTGTTATTGAAAGGTCAATGTTACATCGGGTAGATTCAGCAAAGGAAACCGAAATCACAGTGATGCCGATGGTGCTTGCAGAGTTTAGAAACCATATCTAACAACCTGAAGTTTTGTCTGGTTCCTTTCGCGCTTTCTCGTTTGACGTTGCTTTGTCTTAAAAGAAATCTGCTTTGCGTGTACTTTTTGCTCAAGCTGAAATAGGTTCCCAAATAAGCATACCGAAATATCAAAAGTAGGCAAAAGAAGACCGCAAATTGTAACGTTTAGACTTGACACAAGTTAACCGCAAGAGTGTTGAAGGCACGAGGAACACCTGCACGCGACGCTTTTCCCGCCTGACCACCTGACTAGCAGGAGCCGAAAACAGGCTTTGAAAAAGTCTAAATGACATTTCATGCTTATTTTTTTCGTTGGATATGTTCTTACATTTATTTTATAGGCTATTAACCTAGTGCGTTTTACATTTTTTTCCAAAGATTCTTTGCGAAGACGATGATGAAGTCTTGGTAACTTTGAAAGAGGGAAAGTTATTCGGCGAAGTAAGTAAATAAGTCCATAACTCAACAAAGGCAATTTTTAGAATCATTTGTACTTCTCTCGGGAAAAGAAAGTGGGGATATCTTATGGGCGGAACGTGAAAGACTTGTCCAATATTTTTCAATTTGGCCATTTAGAATCAGTTCCCCTTTTAAATAGTAGAAAGCAGAGGAAAAGTGATTCATCAAAAGTACGAAAACAAGCTAACTAAAGACATGAAGTAAAACTTCTTAGGGCGATTGAGTCTGTTGTAAAAAAAACAATCCGCTTCACCGGCCCTCGAAGAGCTACTTACCGAGAAGACTCCCTAAACAAAAACTTTTATCATCTGACTAACTCTGCCCCAAAGATGTTAAGCGAATCCTGCGTCCTGATAGACCACTCGAGGCGACTGGAAATGCCACAAAAAAAACTCTTTTTTAACCTTATTATAGCTTGAAATAGTGGGTCTTGTGCGCCTATGTGCTTTTATGGAGGAAACAAAGAACTTTGCCAATACCAGCCATCTTGGTCATCCTAGTCCTAGCATATATGTATTTGGCTTGCTCATACTTATTTCTCAGTTTTTCATGATCGTACTCTCTTATATTAGGTAAGCATGGTATACAATCTCCCAAGGTCAGCTTCTGTACGCGCAGCCACTCCATGTGTTATCTTTTTACTGGATCGCGCGGATCTCAACAAGGTTCTTAAACATTATCCTGAAGGTTAGTGAGTGTTTCCATATTGAGCAAAACAAACACAGAATTGCAACAAATTTGAGCTCTTTTGTGATAACAATGAATTTATTTCCAACTTACTGTCAAGAGAAGTGCAGAGAATATTGAACTGGACAGTGGGCGACACCTCTCACAATGTCCACAGTACATACCATCAAGACCCGTTTTACCCCAGTCGTGTCTTAAGTAAGACGCGAACTTCTCGTACAAATGGCGCATTTGGTCGGAGATAAGATTAAACCTACCTAAGACGTGTGTTATAAAACAGCGGTTTCCTTTTAAAACTGTTCTTAATTAAGGCTCGTCTTAGCTAAGACAGAGAAAACCTCGTACATACTCTTATGTTAGACGCGAACGCATAGCACGCTTGCGTTATTTCAATACGCGGCATATATTGGAATGCCGTTGCTACAGGTAACATTCGCACGAAAACGCGTCTTATTTTAAAGTTACTGAGCATAGACCTTGATAATGATGGGTAACACAGTAAACCTAGAACCTCTGTTGCGTACGGGAAAGAGATTCTAAGCTCTTTAGGAAGCAAACGCGGATTGGAGTCAGCCCATTTACTTTGCGGGGTGTTTTAATGACTCCCGTACAGGTAATCTAAAATATTGGCTTGGAGAATCACTCTCGAGGCATTTCCTAGTGTCCGATAACGTTTTCAGCCAGTATGGCAAGGAGCATTAGATGGCTGGTTGCAGACGATGGCCAGTCATGTGACGCGTTTTGCATTTTTCCGAGAAGCTCCTAAAAATTTGTAGCCTACTAGTTAATTTGAATTTTTCTATATTGGAACCAGCTTGAAAATAAGCTCCAGACCAGTAAGCGTTGTTTATTGGTGTTTATTTGGATTAATCGAGTAGTTTTTCTTTAAGTTTAATATTCAGTGTAGAAATATCTCTTAACTTTCAGTGGCTGAACAGCTGTATTTAGCAGTTGAACATCGATGTGACATCAACAACTTGCAAGTGGGAAGTGACCAAAATGTTTACCTGGATATGGAAAATGAGCAAGCAGAGGAATGGTTAAGGCAGAATGTGGTTAGTATGATTTTCTGTTAGTAGTATACTTAACTAGCCATTGTTCCACGGATCACTGATTAAGAATTTGGGAAGAAGGACGGCTTGTCCGTCTCAAATATCGCGACACCCTAAGTTTCTTGTCTCTTTGCTGTTTTGTTATTTATGTCTATAAGAATTGGACTCATTGATCTGTGTATGAACAATGAGGTGGATCTAGAGCATTGGCCAGGAAAGATATCGGGAAAGGGGTTGGGTGGGTGGGCACCTCAAAAATACCTACAAACTATTTCCCGTGACTAACAGGCCCCCCCTCCCCCCCAAATACCCCAATCCCTCACACCATTTCTCTGGGAAAACACGCTTCGAACCCTGGTTCTCACGGGCTTTGAAAAGTCCTTAAAAATTGGAAAATTGTGAGATATCCTTGAAAAGTCCTTGCATTTTCCACAGTCGCAAATATATAATTTTGTTGCAATTCAGTGCTTTTTTCACATGCAGCGCTTAATCAACTCCCGTGGAGCAGTTTTGACCAGTTTGAATAGCGTGTAGATAAATTTAGTGACAACGGATCTCTTGACTATGAAATGTACCTAAAAGAACTTGTTGTTCTTTCATTATCCTTTCCCCATTTTAGCGTAAATATTTTGACCGTTAATTCTCATTTATAAGTCACGTGACGAAAATTTGAGCTTCTAAAATATCTCATATTGCTAAGGTCATTTAGCTACATTTGAAGTCCAATTTTGAAGTCCAATTTTCAGGATCATTGACAGTGGCGGGGCCAGACCTACAGATAAAGGGGAAGGGGGGGGGGGGTGAAATAGATAGTCATTATTCAAGTGGCCTAAGTCGTCAATTATCATTTGTTGTTACTTGAAGTAATAGCTTCATTGTGAAGAAACATGGGATCTTTTTCATACATCCTTGCTCATGTTATCACTTCATGAATCTTGTAATATCCTACTAAATAAAATGGATTCACTGTAAACAAAGCGTGTAGATGAGACGTCAAGGTTACGGAGTATCTTCATTCAGACAACTCTTCCCTCAAGCTTCTTTTCTTTAACAAAAACCCGCGAATCGTTTTGTCATTTGTTGTAACCTATGGCTTTGTCCAAATTTTTTGCAGGGCTATAAGGAACAGGCGGAACCAAGGAGGTATCTAGAAAATCTGTTTATCGTTATATACTGAAGGAGTCGACTTCTCTATACTCAGACCATAACTAATTGCATTTTATAATATATTTGTATGCGATTGAGAATGGCAACTGAAAAGGTTATAAAAAGACTGTTGTTTCGTGTGTATCGTACGTGTAGCCCTACCCTCCCCCGCCCCCAAAGAAGCTAGGATAAAGTGGCCGAGGGCGAGGCTACTCGTAGGCTATTTCTTGTAGTGTAATGAGTATTCTTGCCTTGAGTGAAAGCGAGGCTGGAAATACCCTAGTTTTGATAGAAACCTCGCTGTCTTTAAAATGTTGACATGTTCCTATGTATATGAATAGCGAAGCAAGTCTCCGTCAGCCTCGCTTCAACTCGAAGGCTAGGTTACTTAGCATATAACTGTAAATTCGTCTGTTATATAAAAGGTTTATCTCTGATTACTACATTTTTTCAATTTCAGCCTCTTGTGGAAGTTGAGTCATTACGTCATAAAGCCCGAATCGTTGTTCGCTCTAATGTGGGAACGAATAGTTCTCGTGGTACTCATAACTATCTGCTTTGTGTATACGTTTGTGGCCTCGTTTTCGATCAGCCTTCACGCCATTGGCTACGGTGAGACTATCGGCTCGCAAGTACTACTAGTCATCACTTACTTGCTGGATTTTGTTCTTCTGGCCGACTACCTTTTGAGGTTTAACATTGCTTCTGAAACAACAACAGGTAATTAGGCGAATTTGTCATGTGAATTCAGGTAACCTTCCTGTTAACACAAGCTGAGACAAGCTAAGTTTTATATCGGAATTCAAGTAGGAGCTTTCTCTGAGCAATTTATTTCCACCATAACAAAACTATGGCCCCGTTCACACGTATCTATTCTTGTTTGAAAGCGGGCTATTTTTTGCCTCCGGTTTGACCTACCGTCCACTTGTGTCCGGTGAACGCGGTCACCCAAAACGCATCCTTTCAAAAACGCTCTCCAGAGTAGAAACGTTTGACAACGCCGGCTTCTCGTTTACACGTGGGCCGACGAAAATGGAGCTTTTTTTTTAACACGATGATGACATACATTATATACTTCTAGCATGACTCATGCTCCGAAAGGCATGCTATCGTATTTCCATCGTTTAAACGTTTTACGAGTAGGCGGGAGAAAACGATTCGAATACGCTACGTCTGGATGCGTATTTTATTGTTTTTCTTTTTTGTAGAAAGGACCTAAAACACATCGCATATCCTGATCTTTGTTGTCTTGTTCATACACAACAAATATTCCTGAAATTTTTCTGACGTTCGCAGTTTTGGTGGTTGGGAGCTTTAGCAACGACGGCTGCGACGACAGCGAAGACGTCACTATTAAAAAGTCATCGCGTTTTTTGAAAGTTTGTCGCGATTATTTTAAATTGCTTGCATGAAATGTCAAATGTAGGTACATTTTTGCCAGGAATTCGTTGGGTGCCGAACTTAAGTTTATGTGCGTTTATGTCCTCCATAAAACGTCCTGTGAAACAATTATGTGGTGACTGAAAAGAAATGTACAAAAAGGGTGTGCCAGTTGCACATGCGCGCTGAGTTGCTGTTTTGCTTAATAAACCTATTGCTTTTTCGACATCCTCGTTCACGTGGCCGTCGTCGTCACTGAAATTCCTTGTAATATCGGACAAAGCTGATACGACAATGAAAGTAGGGTATCTATAAATAAGATGTAGGTTAATTATATCAGGCAAAAAATCAACATCAGTTCTAGTGGAGGATAGCAACAGTGGTCGTTGGATAATAATATCAGACGAATGATATCCGCAAGCCTCGGTAGCAGGCGCAAAAAGGGAAATGGAAAGGAGTAGAAAAAAGGCAAAAGGGAAACCCCTCTTCCCAAATCCCTTCGCCTTCCCTCTTCTCCCCCTCCCTCCCATTTCGACATAGCCTGCGTAGCAAGCGTTCCCAGTCGAGTTATAGCGACACAGTTAGAGCGGGAGCAAAAAAAAAATGGAAGGGGGAGGGGGAGGGGAGAAGAGGAAACGCTGTTTCCTTCGCTCCCTTCCCCCCTTCCCCCCTCCCCCCTCATTCCTTTATTTTTTTGCTCTCGTCCCAATTCAACTTTCTCGACGAACTCGCGCGGAAACGCGTGCTATGCAGGCTAATTTCGACACCCCGACGCCTGGCACGCATGCTAGTTATCCGCTGACCCTCTAATAATAATTCTATGTGCCATTCCTCTATTTCATTCTTACTAAATTATATCAGGAAAATTAATACTTGGTCTACAAAATGTGGACGATGATTTATTAAATCCTTATTTTCGTTATTTCCATTTGCTTTAGAACTCAAGGAAATACGAAAGTCTTACAAATGGAGCCTGTTTTTCTGGATTGACCTGTTGGCTATCCTGCCGATTGAGGTCTTCGCCCCTTCTGAGACTGATTTTCACAATAGATGGCATTATTTCGCTTTCCTGCGCCTGAATCGACTTATAAAAGCCATCCGGGTAAGATAGCCCGGCTGGGACACCCTCTCGCCTTCACTACTCTAGCTACTGATTTTCATTTGCAAGTTGACGCCGTTATGATGAGCAATGATGAGTCGTTCTACCTACTGAACCTTAGCACAATTCCTATTTAGAAATTCCAAAACAATTTCAACGCAGAATTCTGAATAACTTTCTAGTTGAGGACTTCTGCTCCAATGAATGTGTTTTTTTTGGCACAGTTATTATATCAATAAAAGCTGATACTACATAGAAATTTCGGTACAAGATATCAGCAAAATTCTCCCCTATACGCCTATATTCTCCCCTGTTCTTTGATAGGTAGGGTACAAAACGTTTTTTTGGCAAAACAAAAATAAAAAATAAAAAAATACCGCCCGCTAAATCTGATTATTTTATGTTATTCTCAAATCATAGCTGTAATTCTTTTCAACTTTTTGTAACCATCATGTTAAAACCGAAAATGCTAAGACGAAAGGTCGCCAAAAATGCGCTTTTTTTCAGTTTTGATTAAAAAAAGCGGCTGACGACTCTCACACAAGACTGTGCTTTGAGTGTTGTCTAGACACCGAGTAGTGGGTGAAGGAAATATGGTGTAAACGAATCTTTTATTTATGAAATGATTCGATGGAAAATATCAATAAATTTTGTAGTAATTATTATCCGACAAATAATTCCTTTCTAACAGCAGTAATTCTCCTTGTTTTCTCATAATGAATTATCAATGACTTTCCAAGAAGTATCCCCAAAGAAACAAATTTCACGTGGTCTTTTCCAGATCCCTCGTTTCTTCACCAACTTAGAGAACAGCCTGAGTTATAGCATCGGTAAAGTGCGAGCCTTAAAGTTTACAATTTATATCATCTTGATCACTCACATTAGTGGCTGTGTGTGGTTTCTGGACGCCTGCTATGGAAAAGAGTAAGTTGGCAACTTAGCTGCTTTAAGCCAGCGAAGCTGGTGATTTGTTTGGCGAGAGGGCAAATGAGCGGCGAAGCTGTGAAAACGTCGGCGAACTGTCGGCGACCTCTTCGAGAAAGAAATTCTCCTTGTTCCCGCCCCATTCTCCTTGCGGCTATGCCGCTCACTTAAGGTCTCGGTAAATGAAAATTTTAGTACATTGCTCGATTTTGTTTTTTTGGGATTTTTGGCATGAGTGGGTCCTAAATTTTATTTTGGAAGAAAAAGAAAATCAGAAAGTGCTTTTTAACCCTTCTAAAATGAGCCTTTTCTGAGCTAACCAGCTAAGCGTGGACCTCGCGCTAAACTTTCGAGCTGACCTCTATTTTAGACGAAAAAAAAATCCGACCTCCAGTCGGGACAGGTTTTGTTCGCTTTGAAACTTTCAGATATGATGGATAATGATATTCTCGAGGAATTTTCCGATTTCCCTTTGTAACTCATTTTATGCCGTTTCTTTGCGTAAATCGCGCTCGAGATTCGACTTTTTAGTTTGAAATGCAATAATTCCGCTACTACGAGTCAAACAAATCCGTCACTTTTTTTAGGTCTTTTATCTGTCAATCAGATGCAAAAAAAGGAAGTGAATATTTAACAACGCGAACCCCAGCAGTAAACTCGATACCTCTGAGTTCGAGAGCAAAAAACTTAAGCGCCTTTTGAAATTCGATGAAATAAAATCTTTCATAAGGTAATTTAGTCTTTTAGCTTTAATTTGATATATAACTTGCCTTTGTAGCGAAAATACTCGCGCGACTAGAATTTTTTTCTGTGGGCACCTCGTTTTCCTTTACCGAGACCTTAAGCGCTCGACAAACAAAACCTTCAGCCACGTAGTGCCTTTAAACCCCGCCCTATCCTGCAGATTAAGTATTGACAGAGGTGATGAAAGTTGCAGATTCAGGTTTGAGAAGTTATCTTAGTCATCGAGTCCCATTAAATAGCTTTATTCCTTGTCCCGGTTCTTCCAAAGGTAAATAGTGCTATCCACCGGGTAAATCACTGTCCAGTGGATACTAGGAAAACCAGTTGCGTTATCCACTGGACAGAAACTTGTCCGGTTGATGGCGCTTTCCAGCTTTTAAAAAACTGGGGCCTGTGCCACGCTGCCCTGCAATTCAAAGATACGTTGTACTCCCCCCAAATTTTTAGAGACCCAATTGCACTGCATACTTGTCGTTTGCATGTGTTTTCAATAAGCCGACTACACAGCTGGGATTACATCTGCTCATTTCCCTCAGGGAGTAAATACTCAACTTATTTTATTTTAATCCTAGATGCCATGATGGAAGCTGGGCGCAACACATTGGGCGAAGCGGAACCAAAGCAGGTCTTACTGACTACATCGCCAGTCTATACTGGGCGGCGGCTACAATGTCCTCGACAGGTTACGGAGACATCCACGCCTACAATACAGAAAGCCAACTGATAGCCACAGTGGTCATGCTCGTTGGTTTATTACTGTATGGCTATTGTCTCAGTAGTATCGCCGCCACACTCGCCAACTCGGCAGCTCCTAAGTAAGTTTAAAAAGCGTTTAGAGAGAAAATAGAGATGCTTAGTCGTTCAGAGTATTTTAGGCAATGGTTAAACTGCCGGAGTTACACATAAACGTACCAAAGTTTTAGATTTCTATAACTAAAAAAAATGTTCATTAATTGCGTCAGACGCGATATAAGTTAACAAGAACCTTAAGATCCGACAACGGCGACGCCAGGGAAAACGTAACCGCAAACAACGGTTTTCTTTCTCATCTTGAACTTTGACTTGGCCAGTAGGTGACATAATGCCATTAAAATCCCATGGACGCGAATTTACTTTATAATAATAATAGTAATAATGTTTCTTTATTGTTAATTACATAAAAATTGATAATTACAGGATAATTATTTTACAGAAGCGCGCACTAAGAATAGTCAAGCAAATCTAGGTATGATCCCCAAACTGACCCGATCTTCAAGGAGCAAAAGCTCTTGAAATGTCAAGACATCCACTTTTTCCAATTAGGCCTTTGTACGATTTCATTTAAGAATTCTACACTCGCTCCTTCAAAATTCAATAACGTTTTTTCAAAGAACAACCAAATACATAATTATAATACTAGGAGTGCTCAATCTTTTCGTTCACTGCTAAGCAGTACCAATGCGAGGCGGTTTCCGTTTACTTTCAAGGTCCAAAGTTTTAGAACTCTCTGAATGCTAAGATAACCGGTCTTCAGTCCTTCTTCCTTCTTATACAAGTCTAGTTCCTCAGACCTTAAAAAGATGGAACTTCATTAGAACTTGATGCTCAATTGTTTCTGGCATTGAATGCAACCAGTGTGCATTGCGGTCGTGCACTTGACCGAAATCATTTGCTGTAATGCAGAAATTACAAACGTTCTGATTGAGTTTGAAAATCGTATTGTATCTTCACAACCTAAGGAAATAGCAGGCTGTGATACCCTTTTTAAAAGAAACATAGATACAATCCTGTTATCAAAAACCGAAATCACGTTCGCGATTTCTTTATTACAGCAAATGATTTCGGTAAATGCACGGCCGCAATGCACACTTGTTGAAGGTGCCCCTTTAAGACTTGCAGTCTCCCTTCATTTTTAGGGTAGAATTTTTTGCAAAGATGGCAGCTGTGCAGCAGTTTATGACAGAGCAAAACCTCAGCAGATCATTGATGGTGCGAACTCAGAGCTACTTGTCAATGCTATGGAGAGTGCACAGGTACACCAACAATTGAACGTACAATCCTTTAATCATAAATAAAAATTGGTGATGTACAATCAAACCTTTATTCAGCGGCTACCCTCTATTGAACGGTCACTCACCAAAGTGTCGGAAAAAGTTTTCCTTAATTACTGTAAAATTGTCCTGCATTAAGCGATCCGTCGCGGCCACCTTTTCCGAGGTCCCAACGAGTTATGTTTAATTGTCTTCACCCCTTTTACAACTGCAACGGTGACTTTGACATGATGTGCCAACTAGTGCAAGGATACGCTGTGTATGCCCTTATTCTTTTTGCGTTTGGTACAAGTAGAGGTAAAAACAGTTTGAGGCCAATTTGTCGTAGGATAGATCCTTCACCACCTTCATTTTTTTCAAAGAAAACCGTAAGTTACTGAACATGCTGTAGTGCGTTTGCTTGTCGCTCTTTTGGGCACTTGCTACGCAGTCCCGCAACTCAGGATTCCGTTTAAAAACTAACAAGGAATGTTGTTTAGGGGTGAAGCCATTCCTGGAGGAAAGCGTCTCATTGAGGATATGCCACTAACACTTCAACAGGACGTCACCTATGAAGAATCGAAGAATGTTCTAGAAAGGGTAATCCGCCTTTACAACTCATTCATTCACTGCTAGTTACGGGAAGCTTAGGCCCTTTCCTTGGGCGCTATAATTTTTCGGCCACTTTCTCTTTCCGGCATTAAGGAGTTCCCTGGCAGAGCCATTAGGCTGATTTAGCAACAGAACGGGAACGTTAGTTGACGACGGCTCGCGCAAATCAAACAACTGGCTTGTCCAATGGCCGAGCGGCAAAATTGGCACCGGAAGTACAGCTTAGTGCTTTTCGCGCCCTTTGCCGTCGTCATATGACGTTCCCGTTCCCGCACCGTCCCTAAAAGCCTTTCTAGGAGGCAGTGCGTAAATTACCTTAAAAAGCGTAGAATTACGTACAGGGAAACACGACTCAATACTGCAGTTGAGTTTATGATTTGTTGGAAATCGTTTTTAGGTTCCCATCTTTATGGAGATAGATGCCGGTTTCCTGCGACAGTTGTCCCTGAAGACCACATCGTACCTCTTCTCTCCAGGTGAGTAACGTGAGCATTGTGTTGTAATGTATTTTGTGGTCAATTTAGGTTTCTTAAAAACTGCCCACAGTACCCCCAACCCAAGCCAACATTATCACTTTCTTCTCACTTGGGCCAAAATGTTGGCTTAGGGGAGGGGTGGGTAGGCAGTTTCCCAGAAACCCAAATTGCGTATTCTGCAGGTAGTGTTCAGCGGTTTATTTCATCATGTTTAAACTACATGTTTTAATCAGATTAGCCCCTACGACTAAGACTAAGGAAGAATCTAGCTAACGGAGGTCTCATGCATGAGACATAAAATTATTCGGGTCCGTAGCGTCCAAAAGGTTAAGACACAAACGTTATAGAATAAGGCATAGTAGAGATAAAGAGTGCCCACACAGTTAACGATATGATTATAGCGGTTTCTGTAACATCAGGCAGCCTACACCGCTTTTTGCGATTGACGTTTGGGGAACGCAACCTAATCTCGTCCTAAATCTTTTTTTATGGATGTCATACCAAATGGCCCGTGCAAAAAATTTTTGCGGGGCAGCCTCGATCTTGTGCTGAAATTGCCTTGGAATGTGGCTGCAGGAGTCGCCGAAAACACTCTGATTCTTTGCAGGGGCATCATCGAGTCTGCTTGTTTTTGCCAAGAAAAAAGTTGTTTTAAAAACACTTTTTTTGATTTAAGATGACTACATTGTTTACGCTGGGGACATGGGTCGAGAGATGTATTGTGTCAGAAGAGGATTGGTAGAGGTTATAGGAGACGACGACATAACTGTGGTCGCAACTCTGGGACCCGGGGCGTACTTTGGAGAGGTATGAAAATCATTCGTCAAACTCACAAACGTTTCGATCCGGACATCGAGAATGAGATACACGCCTAACTTGCAGCAACAGCAACAGCAGCAACAGTTTTCATATTTTTCTTTATTCTTTTGACATTTCTTGAATCAAATTTTGTGGACACTTTGATCAGGTCTTGTTTTATCATTGAAGTCAGCTTAAGGTGGCTGAACACAGTTTGTTGTTAGGTTGAAAATAGTTACCAAACATTGGGGTGTTTTACTCAAGACCCGTTACCGGTATATAGACAATGACGAAATATATTTACAAGACATAACGTTTTTCAGATTTCGATCGTTTCCATGGCAACATGGATAATTTAAGACACCACTAAAATTTTGAATGAAGTAAAGGTACGATGTTGTCACTATGTCATTAAAAGTAATGACATACTGTAGTCATTAGACCTTTTATGAATTTTCACACAGCTTACCAATAGTAATCCTCATTTCTTTAAACTTTAAATCTAGATTGGCCTTATTTTTGGCGAAAACCGCTTGGCAACAGTGAAGGCAAGGACATTCTGCGAAATTCTTATGTTGACCAAGCAAGACCTAGACGATGTGCTGGCAAATTTCCCGATTGTGGCAAGGTTTGATTAATGTGATAATAAAAAATAACTCAGCTGTATTTAGGTACATTGTAGCTATACCCCGTGTAGGAATTCCATTTTCAATCGTCCGCTGCTTCGATTCCTACAAGGGTCAGAGGACTTTGATTTCCCTTTGTGGGCACATTTCTATACCTTGGCTAGCATTTGATGCAAGCTCTTAGAATACTATGGCATTTGAACTTGTCTTACGTTGAGGTCATTTCTCTGAAACAGAACCTGAAATGAGATTTTTGCCAGACTTTACGGATTGATTGTTTATGTTTAAGCCATTTTCAGTTTGCCCAACTCTTTTAAGTGAACGCCATTTTTCATGAACAGTTTGAATTAAAGCATAGTCTGGAAAAGCAATTACTTTCTTAAATTAAGCCCTTAAGAAGAAAATCTGGAGGTCCAATGATTTCTTAAACCGTAGCCTAAGTTAGACTTCGTTTAAATAACCGACCCTTTACCTCTCCAACTCTGTTTTGTTGGTTTGCTTGTTTGTTTTTCATTTTTAGGCAAATCTATGACGCAGGAATTAACAACGAGCATCTAAGGGATGTGCGAAAAGCTGCCTTAGAGTCTACCAAAGCCGCTGTTAGACGCCTCTCCGTGAAATGCGCCCAAAAGTCAAAGTCCTCAAGATTTTCACAGAAATCGAAAACTTCGCAGAAATCCCAATCCTTCCAAGAATCCAAGAAAAGCAAAAAGAAGGGTGGACGCGTGAGTCCAGAAATGGGGTAATTTTACTCAATTCTCTTTGACATTGGCTTCCATTTTTAGAGACCAGAATCATCATATAATTAAAGAGTTAAGTTTTCACATCCTTTGATTTACGTTTATTTACTTCTTGCTAGTCCATCAAGATAAAATCTCTTCTTTACGTTTGCTCTGTTAGGACCGTGCCGGCAGGCTTGATGTCAGTCGTGCAGGACTTAAAAGAAGACATAAACAAACCTCATCGCGAACTGCATCCAATCGCTAGAGTGTTTTCTTTCCTCTTAATGAGGTGAGAACTAAGAATGCGTAACTGATTCTTGTCGGAGTGGTATAAGCAGTAGCGACCTTTATATTTGACTTAATCGGGTATGAGTACGAGGGCGATTTAGGAAAGTTTGAGCCAGTTATTTCTCCCACAAACTCTCACTGCGCGCGACGATTCGAAGATGGCACGCACAGATCTAAAAACTGAATTGACAAATGCAGATTAACAAATTTATTGCCTGAAGCCGCGTTCAGACCGTTGCGCGTACTTTCGTTGTTTTCTTTCTGAAACTGCGCATTGTCTGAAGCATCCATCAGAATCTTACACAATTTCTGGCGCGAAGCGTGACAACCAGGGTACTGACATACAGTGAAACCTGCTCCCCGTTTATGCGACAACCTAGTTTTTCACGACCATATTCTTTCGACCTAAACGTAAAAATCGCCCTGAGCATTTTAAGCAGCCTGGTCGCGGATGTTCAAACGGTTAGATAGCGCTAACCGCTGGATAATTCACTATCCAGTGGATTACTTTTAGGGGAAGCCAACAGCGTTATCCGCTGGACAGGGATTTATCCACTGGATAGCTTTTTACCCAACATTTGAACAACTGGGCCCTGATCTATATATTATGAAGAAACCATTAGTACTTTTGAACAACTGGGCCCTGATCTATATATTATGAAGAAACCATTAGTACTTTTGAACGACTGGGCCCTGATCTATATATTATGAAGAAACCATTAGTACTTTTGAACGACTGGGCCCTGATCTATATATTATGAAGAAACCATTAGTACTTTTGAACAACTGGGCCCTGATCTATATATTATGAAGAAACCATTAGTACTTTTGAACAACTGGGCCCTGATCTATATATTATGAAGAAACCATTAGTACTAGTTCAATTCGGTCGGAATGCCAGTACTTTGAATTTTCTTAGTGACCTTTGTGTATTTCCTATGTAATAAATACAAGTATATCTACTCCTCTCGTTTCAATATATAAGAAGTATTCTTGAGGTAGTTTATAAATTTACAATATTTCTCTTGCAATGTACAGGCGCGTCATCTTGCCTGACGGTTTGTACTTCAGGGTGTGGCAGGGAGTGATCCTTGCGATAGCCGGAATCCTTCCTTTTACGTTGACCTTACAGGCGGCTTTCTTGCACACCAGCACAGCCCTATGGATCATGAATTACTGTTTTGACTTCATCTGTTTGGTAGACATGTAAGTAGTAGATCGCTGCTTTCTATTCTTTTACAAAGGCTTATAAATGACTGTTGTTTAGGAAGACAAAGCAAGAGATTCAATAATGTATACTGCCGCTTATAAGAAAGTGATTTCCCATTTATCATTTATTTATTTGGAAAGATCACCGTTTAAAATATCGTCGTTGTCATGGCTGAATGTTTAATCGCGCCTTTCGCAGCAGAAATAAAAAAAAAATGTACTAAAGTGAATTAGTTTGGTATTTCATTGCTGTTTACATAATAAATAAGACATGACATGCCCACTTGTAATGTAGAATTTGTAATATTCTCTATAAATTATTTTCTCTTCGTGAATTGCTAATGAGTTTGTTGAGAACACAACATCAGACTGGCCTCAAATTCTGTCAAGAATCCGCTACGCGTAGGATATTAGCGCTGTAATATGTCACATATATCTAGTAGAATCATTTTTTAATCCGTATATTCATTGTTAATCAGTCTTTACGTTTGAAGATGTAAAGCTATCTACGGTAGATATGCATCAAACAATCTCATTTATAGCTATTTATCCATCCATCCATCCATTTACTCATTCGTTCATCTATCAATGCATCCATCCACCCATTTTTTCATCCATATATTCATCAATTTAATCTAGCCATTCATTCATTCATTCGTTCGTTCGTTCGTTCGTTCGTTCGTTCGCTCGTTCATTCATTCATATGTTCATTAAATAAGGCTCAATTAAATAAAGAGGAAAAATGATAAATAACGACTGAGACCTTTAACACCCTTTTTTTGGTTGATATAACAACACACTTATCTTGTCTTTTTGCTTTGATTTTAGGTACATCAAGTTTCATTTGGCTTTTTATAATGAGAACAACGTACTTGTAACCCATCCATTGTACACTGCTCGAAATTATCTCAGGTAACGAATCAACTCTAATTCATTTGACTCTACTTGCAATGAAATACTGTGTAAGCATTAGGAGTACATATCCACTGACCGTCCAAAAAAAATTGATTATTTTAAGTGCTGCACGTCGAATGTGTCGTTGTATGAACCATTATTCCCAGGCGAATAACATGTGAAAATAAAATGCTTAAGTTAAACTGTGGAATTGTGGTACAAGAAGTTTCCCAGTGGCAATACAATATCGCATGTACAATGTGTAATAAAAGAAACTTTGAAATTACAGAATTGATTCCTCTTTTGCTAACATTTTTCTTGCAGAACGAACTTTTCTTTGGATCTGCTTTTTTCCTTCCCTACTGACATCATCGTGTTGGCCATCTGGCCTGACAATCTTGGTAATATACAGTTTTACGTCACTTAGCACATGAAAACTTCTAATAGAGATTGGGACAGGTTTCTCGTATCTCTCGACTATCTCACCAGCCTCAGTGCCAATGATACCATATCATTTCTGAAATGCTTCTCGGTGAACCACCATATCAAGGATAAGGAAATGACTGCGAAACCGTGGACGAAGACCCTGCTGGTTGTAAAATTTGGATCTAAAGAAAAGAGATCTAATCAGCTAAAATATTGAGAACAAAAAAACGAGAAGTTTAACGACTACTGCAAAGCTGACAACAACATGTATCGATTTTTTAAACAATATTTCGACTGGCCATACCAGCCTTCTAATTCGCCTTTGTCACGCGGTAGCCATTTTGTCTCAGGAAATTTAAAAAGCTTTGTTTATGCACCCTTGCCTCGTAGACAGAACGAGGCTAGGGGTGCATAATCAAAGCTTTTTAAATCTCCTGAGACATAATGGCCACCGCGTGACAAAGGCAAATTCCTTTTGAAATTAGTAACTGGTATGGCTAGCCGAAATATAGTTTAAAAAATTAATACACGTTATTATCAGCTTCGCAGTAGTCTTTGGACTTCTTGATTTTTTGTTACCATATCAAGCTCTATGGTGGAAGTAGACCACTTACTCATTGCCCACTTCAGAAACTTAAGGGAGAATGGGTACAAGGTTTGGGTGCAGTGATTTCTGGGATCGCATGGGAGGAAAAGAATTAGTTGTGATTGCTTGATGATATTCAAGGTAATCATTCACCAATCATAAGTAATGCTTTTCCACCCAAACAGTCCTAAGAATAGAAAAATAGAAACCTTGGGTCCATTCCTTTTATAGAGTCTGAAATAAGAAATTCCGATACAGTCACAATGAATAAGGCCTTCTCGGCTGGTAAACTGTGAAGAGATTTATGTGAAGACTTACTAGCAAGATAGATTGGCATTGATCTTACCTCTTCGTTAATATGATTGTGGGCTTTTAAATCATTACCATACTCACAGCCTTCATCTTAATGCTTTTCCCTCAGGTGTTCTTCGTATTCTGGCCTTGGCCCGTCTTAACAGATGTTTCTATATTTACAAAGTGGTGAGCGAACAATCGATAACAATCAAGTTATCACCGTTTTCTAATTGTCAAAGCCTGAAAGGAAAAAAACCTTCTCTGACCTTTATGGCTTTGTATTAAATAAGTATTCGGACATAAAAAAACGTCGATATCCGCGCTTTTCCATTGTTTACCTTTAATTTCAATAAATGGAAGAGTGGGCCATAGTGACATAATGTTAGTACAGGAGGTCATTACTAAAAACAATAACTTTCTGTCCGCCAGTTCAGTGACCACAAGGCCTCAGAGCTCAGGTATCCTGAGATGCTTAAAGAGCTCAACTGGAGAACCTTAAAGAATCCAAGAGTCGACGCTCGCCTGACCATGTTGTATAGGATCTCTAAAAACTTAGTTGCAGTGAACCCAGGCGACAAGTTGCGTTCACCAACCCACAGACTGAAGTACACATGTCCATGATCACTCTTTCATCCCGATTTCCACCTTTACAACCTCTCACGTCTTTCTGTCCAAGAACTATAGTTCAGTGTAACTCCCTGCCTCTAGATGCTTTTACTGTCTCAGCTGATCCTGCTCAGTTCCGGGCCACAGTGTGCCTAAAATCACCCATCAATATCTGGAGTGATTTGGGACATATCGTTTCGGAATTGAACTACGTCTACTAACTAATAGGCTACTAATCAACTAGTTACTTGTTTTGTTTGCTTGTTTTTACACTACTGGCTAACAATCCTCTTTTTGTGGGGTTGCTGTATTGGTAAACAAATAAATAAATAAATTTTTTACTTTCATTTTTAGTTTTACCGAGATCACAGCAATTGCGTATCTCCATCACTTAGGCCGAGATAGCGACTCAATTTTGTTGTTTCATTGTTCCCTAGTTGGTGCTCTTGCAAACATTCGATTCCCCAATGGCCGGCATGATCTACATTTAGTGTTAATTTTTCTTCTTTAATATTTTTTTCTTGCAGCACCAATTTTTTCATTTCATGGCCGACTCGATTGGAAAGAACACGAACCTGATTGGGTAGGTATAAATTTTGAAACTAACGCAAACTCTAAACAAGTAGTCGATGAATTATTTTCTGAAAAAAAACTGAACTTGAAGCAAAAGCAAGTACAGTCAACTCAAAGCGCGGAGGGATGGAGCGATTGTATGTTAATAATGGTAACAGAACTTATTGGTGTCCAATTCAGTTTGTAATCGTGCAAGTGATTAACAAAATCACGCGTTCGTCCGATTTGTTAATCACGAGTATGACATTACAGACCGAATTTGAACGACACCATGTCCTGTTACCAATAAATTATAACCATTAAATTTCCGAGAAAAATTTTTTTTTTCAACGTGAAAGAGCCTGTAATACCAAATTTCCAAAATTAGGGAAAATATCACTGATAGAGACACTGTCTCATGTTACAAATTCGTCCATTTGGAGGGTAAGTGGTTGTTGCTATAGTTATTGTGATAAATTCTGTGATTGGCGAGTTTAACTGAGTGCACTTAATATGATTGACTGATGTTACTTCCGATTACAGCCAACTGTCCGACTACAACCCTACACAATGATTAGTGAATATCATGATTAAGAATGTAATCTTTTTTTTTCTTTTATTTTGTCTCGAACTGTTGAGTTGTCAATAAAGGCCTTGGCTTAAGTTTCATCAGATGAATTTCCACCTGCATGAAGCGTTTTACTTGTCACTAACCCCAGACTAACGCCCCGTCCACACAAATACGTTAACATTTTAAAACGCATACATTTCGAAGCGTTAAGGCCTTCCGTCCACATTAATACGCCGAGCGATTTCATCGAAATGTATCGATTTAAAAACGCTCTAACTGTGATCTTACACGAGACGATTCGCAAAAACGAATTTTGGTGCGAAACAGCGTTACAATATTGGTGCGTCATTGTTTTGAAAAGTTACAACATTGTTCCTACCATGATTGAAACGATGTGTTGCGCTAAAAATCGTCGTTGAGAATCGTACCGTGTAACATCACCTTCAAAGTGGATCAAAACGAAAACAAGTACATATCGTATATACACAGGACATCAGATGGATGATCGAGAAAGGTCTAAGACGCATCAAAAAAAAAACGATGATAAAGAATATTGCAGGCGCTTGCGTGTAGAGTTCAATTTGCGTCACAACGTGCAATTCTATCGTTTTCGGACGTTTTAGTTAGGACAGTTGCAAACGTATCAAAACGCGCGGTGGTGTGGGCGTGAATAATGTCGATCGATGCGTTTCCGATGACAACGCAAACGCAAACTTTTGAAAACGCATTAGTGTCGACACGGCCTAAAGTGAAGCTAATTGCTGTTAAAAGTCGATTAAAACCGTTTCAAGGCTGTTCTAGATATAGAAACCTCTGCTAGTTCTTTCATAAACTATGTCTTAAGTTCAAATTAACGTATTTTTCAAACCCTTTTTTCTGAACAGACAACTCAAGTTCGCATTGTACATGGCGGCATTTACCCATTGTATAGCTTGCGGATGGTTTCTGCTCGCTTGTAAAGGACTCGAAAATGGCAGTCATTCCTGCCAAGCAGATTCTTGGGCGGAAGTGGGTAACCGAGGGCTAGGTATGTTGAAAGCTGTTTGGATTACCGTATTTACTCAAAAGAGGGCCGCGGCGCTTATATGATAATGGCCTTTTTCCGCGGATGGTATATATTTCAAACTACTTAGGCCCGGTTTAAGTGTTGTATTTCACATGTGCCGAATTTAATGCTACTATTGAGAAAAATCTAGTGTTCTCGTTTATTTACATTAGATTAGGCAAAATGTGAAATGCTTCACAGCTCGAAACATGGCACTATGTCACCATTTTTTTTTCTTTCTCCTTGTCAAAAACGATAACATAATTATAAAGAACGAACTCAATAAAAGTCAGTTTTGACATTGCCATTGTCAGAAAAAAAACGGTAAGAAGTCAATGAAAGTGAGGACAGGAGAGAATAATTCTCTCTTCTCCAGGGCGCAGTAATATGCAGGGAGACGACTCTTATTTGAGTCGATACGGTAGAACTTAACTGGAACTGCTTTGTCTAGCGAGGGATAGAAATGTGCAGTTAATTTTTTTCTTGTTTAATTACATATATCAAAAGATTTCTGATTGTGTGATCATGATTTTAATTCTCGGACTGATGAGAGTTCACTGTGAGGAGAAATTTCATTTTGAAGCTGATCGTGAGGTACCTACTCACGTACCCGATAGAAAAAGCACATTTGAGGTAAACTGACACTTTTAGCGGAGGAATTTGGCGTTAATTATTCACAACTGGTTTTAACCTTTCATCTACAGGAAATGAAGCTGTAGGTTTTCAGTACGTAACAAGCCTTTACTGGGCAGCGGCTACTTCAGCCTCTGTTGGTTACGGGGACATTCATGCTCACACCATGACAGAGGTAACAAGAAAAGATTCCCTTTTGTTTAACAAAAACAAATAGTGCTTAAAAAATTTTAGTATTCACAAACGGTTAAAATGAGGAAAACGTTAACAAGGAGAAATAATTGTGGGCATAAGAACGAAACAGCAATCTTTTTTTACTAAAACGTTGCATTATTTACGTTTTTGGGCAATCAATTTTCTTCCTTGTAAAATATAGAGTGTTTTCACTCACGTGTCCAGCATCTATGCAAATTTATTAGAGCAAAAGAAAACGTTTGCATAAGAAAAGAGTTAAACTCCCACAGGACTGGTTTGGGACACCAATATGGCCGCCGTGACGTCATGTGAAAACACTCTATGACCTAATGACCACTCCAGAAAATACCATAACATACCATAATGCTCTTTGTTTGTCACCCCAAAATATTGCATATGCATTGTCTTCAGTTTTTCTTGGGAGTTAAAATGGCCCTTAGAGAAACTGAAACAATGCTTCCGCAAAATTTGGGGTGACAAACAAAGAGCATTATGGTATGTTATGGTATTTTCTGGAGTGGTCAATTGTAGTCTCCAGCGCAGCTGTTTTTGTCTGTTCACGCAACGCTCCTACCCAAGACGCCTCCTTTCAGTTGGCTGGGGAGGCCCGTTACGAGACAAAAATTACTGCGATGGAGTCTAAGTGTAGCTCAGCTGCCCATGTTAACAAATTTCCATCGTGACTGTAAACGCTCTATAGTGATTCCCCCGTAGGGGTTACTTTAGGAATTTTTGGGGCAGGGATGTGCCGCTGGGACCCTGGAACCCGTTAGCCTATGCTAGAACTAGTTCAGCTGAATTTTGCCACCCTTTACTAAACTAAAGTCCCAAAATCCTCCCTATCCTAGAATAGCTTTTAGGCTAAGTTGCGTAAATTTAAACTTGGCGATTTGTTTTTATATATATATATTTTTTTGGAGTGGCAATTTCCGGTTTCTCTAGTCTTGACTAAAATCTTTAACCAATTGCTCAGTTTCCTGGAAAATGTTACCCTTTTCTAGACCCAAACTCCTGATTTATATACCCTATCCCAGAGTAAACCCCTGGAAGCCCTCACCCTTCACAGCAGCACCTACCTATATAGCCCATATGTGAGAGTACCCCCAACCCCCGCCCCAGGGTGATACTGTTGACGCTTTGACTGGTAAATTGACACGGTTTTGACATGTGTGTTTTACAGATGACGTTTGCACTATTTTGTATGATTATTGGCATCGTATTCTATGGTTACATCATTGCCAGTGTTGCTGCTGGTCTGGCAAACGCTGATGCACAGCGGGCTCGTTATCAAGAAAGACTCGATGCCATTAAAAGCTTCCTTCAGGTAGCTAATACACGGCCAATAAACTGAACTAGTTTAAACAGAGAAGTGACATTATTGCAATTTTTTCCAATCTTTTACTGCTGCTTGGAGTGAGACAGGGTGTAAAAGAACAAAATACAATAAGCTGCGCGGCAGGATTAGCTTAGTCGGTAGAGCGCTTGACTGCAGAGCGGGAGGTCGTGGGCTCGATTCTCGGGACCGAGAGCAACACTCGGGGTCTTAAAATGACTGAGAAATGAAGATACTGTTTTTGCCCTGCAAATGGCTCGACCTTCGCGTGGCTCGAATGATCACGTAAAATGGCGGTCTCATCTCCAGTAGGAGACGTAAAAATAGTGTCACCAAGTGCTTTCGTGCTAAATACACTGACACGTAAATAAAAAGCTTTTTCTAAAGTTATATTGTAATAGCTAAAATTTGGATTTTTAGAACAAATCGCACCATGTAGGGAGTCAGATATCAGAATATAGGATATGCGCTAATCTTTCTTCGAACACCTCGACCCATATGGAGGGTTAGAATAGCTGAAAATAAAGATGTATGAGGGTGTACACCTCACTTAGTGCTGATTGATTTAGTAGCATAAGCATGTTAAGAGACGTTTGCTTTTATCCTCTCAGGAACAAGGTATTTCAGAGAGCCTTACATCACGTATCGTGAGGTATGTGGTTTCCATAAGTTTGTAAATAAGAGGTAAAATTAAATTTAAATAAGAGGTAAAATTAAATTTAAACCTTCGCAAATTATTCTCATAAACACTTCAATATTAAAACTGTGGCCATATTCATTTTGTCTTATTATATCAGAACGACGTTTTGAATAGCTCTCGCTGAGTGCATTACAGTCATATTAAAACACTCTTCCCATAGTTGCTCAGCGTGTAAAAAGTAAAAACGAAGCACATTTTTCGCATAAGTAAATGTCGATTTCAAATATCGTTAGAACACCATTAATTATCCTATATTCTTCATTCTGCAGTGTATAGCAGCATTTAAACCTTTTACTTCCTGTGATTGATCGAGTTAATAGTTTTCTTCATTTAAATAGCTATATTGTCCCCGCCAAGAAGAGGATGCGTTCTACTAGCGAATAGGACAATATTGTAAAACTTCTTACAAAAAAGACTTCTTATTTACCCCGTTTCCCAGCATGCTAAGCAGGTGGAACGCGTCACTTAGAATCTAGATACAGACCGACGGCGTAGAATATCTGTGACGAAGCAAGGCTACGTACTCCGCTCCGCCCCATTGTAATCCGGGGCACTTTCATTGTATCAGTTCTTTTCTATTAAATGCAAAGTTAAGTAAAGAAGTTGTGAAATCTTGTGAAATCAACTTTTTTACACTCCGACTGTGAAAGTAAGATTATCATAATTTCGAATTTTACATCTGACATTTACCTTCTTTTTTTGTACCAGCTATTACGAATATCTCTGGCTCAGGAATAAAGGCGTGGACGCCAGTTCACTGTTTGAAGGTCTACCATTATCGCTACAGGCGGACATTTCCTTAAGCCTATATAAAGACTTGATCGAAAGGGTAAAGTGTCCTTTGTATTGCTGAATTATTTTTCATCCATTATTTTTCTCTTGTTTGTTTTGGTTTTAAGCTGATCTAATCAACAACAAAATTACCATGATCGTTAATCCATTTTACAGAATTTACATCGAGAAATCGGTGGTGTGAAGGAAATAAGGACCTGTTTTTAAAAAATTAGTGGCAACTTTAGTGGCTCAACATGCTTTAAAAACAGACAGATATAGAAAACTTCGGTTAATCATTTTGACCCAACAAAACTTTCCTTTCTTATACAAAGCACATACTCAAGTCATAAAAAAAGCTACATAACGGCTAGAAGAACGTCCTGCCTAACGAAATTTTCATGAACTTTTTTCTTTAAACCCTCATTTAGTAATTTTACTGCGGAATTTCTTTTTGTTTCATGATTGCCATTTGACTCCAGTCTCCGCGCAGTAAAAAATGGACAATGCAAAAGTGACGAGCAACCTTAAAAAAGGAATAAACATTTTGTCCTTAAACTTAGCACATGATTTTACTTGAAAATAGTTTTTGATAAATTTAAGGCTATGGAGATGTGTATCCAAAGTTCTCGCATCTTTGAATCTAGATTTTAGTTAAAAAATTAAGACAAAAACGCTGATCCCAACAACTGCCTACGTTTAATGTAGAGTACCTTTGTCCAATCAGGTACCGTTGTTTGAGGGCACAGAGATCGGTTTCTTGAAGATGTTGTCCATGAAAGTGAAACCTGTTTATTTCCTCTCCAAGGAGTACGTGGTACGAAAAGGCGACATTGGACAGGAGGTAAGAGGGAGTGGCTTAATTAATACACTTCATTATAATGGTTTTAATGATACATATCAAAATGGTTACTGACCAAGCGCGAAGTCAAGACGGCTCGATACTGGCCAAGTTCTTTTTTGCGTGTTTATGGACCGTCACGAAGTGGAAGTCCATGTTGACCGACCAAGCTTGGCCACTAAAAGATTTATAAAAGGAACTTTTTCTTGCGCGACTAACGGCGGAAATCCCGAGCGGGCAAGATTGGCGGATCTTACCCGCTCGGGTAGCGAATCAGAGAACAGGATTCGCTTCATCTTGCCCGCTTGCGGGTTCGCCCATATGATAAGCGCGATTGTTGTACAAGTTGCGCGGAAAGGTTCGTAAGGTAAGATAAAGCGCATACGAACCATAAAGCCAACATGGCCAGATATCCCTGGGGCCGCATTTCCCGATATTTAATGGACTCGGAAAGCTGTTGACGTTTACATTCAAGATAGAGTTTCAACATTTTTTTGCAGATAAAATGATAAAAAAAATCAGTCAACAAAACAAAATAGACTGGTTTGCCAGCTTTTATTCTTTAGATTTTGATTTGAATGATTCTTTGCAATTCGGGCCTGAAAAATACCGAGACTTTCGAGAAACGTACAGATCCCAAAGTCCGAAGCAGATCAGAGGGAAGGATTCCCTTCCCCTCTCTCCCGAGAGAATGGGATGTCAGTCCATCGCAGGCTTACCTACGAATGGTACACAATTAAGAGAAAAAGAGGAGCAAAGCTTTCTGTATAGGCCGAAAACAGATGGACAGTTAGGCTTCCAAAGTTAACCGTGTTAAGCGCTAGGCCACCATGCCTCCAGAAAAGCTCGATCGTGCGCTAATTAAAAGGTGCAAGTTATGTCTGTTGAACCATCAAAATGAGGACTTTATTCTTCGTTTCATCTTGATTTTTTATTAGAGAGCGCGCTGTTCTAAGTTATCTCTTATATACAAACAACTGTTCTCCCCTTCTGCGGTTATGGCTTGGTGGATTTAGGGTTGGAACTGCTCTTTAATTTTAAATTTTATCAAACTTAAATACGTATTCTAGCCAAGTCAAACTAACTTCCTGTTCTGCAGATGTACTTCATTCACCGTGGTACTGTTGAAGTTGTTTCCGAGCACGATGAACCGATTGTGTTCGACACGATGGGGGAAGGAAGATTCTTTGGTGAGATTAGCGTGGTCTTCAGCTGTCCAAGAACAGCTTCTATTAGGTAAAATGGTTCGCCATATAAAAAAACCCCTTTACCTTTACGTGATAGTGAATTGACTTCGAGCGTGGTTGTAAAATTGTGTGGTGGGTCCCAAGGTGGAGACGATGTCAGCAAGGTACCTACAATCCTGGACAAAAGTCCTTGGGACAGTAAGAGCATAACAGCAATTCTGCGCGTATCACAAGTAATCTTTAAAAAAGAACAGTGCTATCGATCATTTTAAAAATCCATAACCCCTCCCTCTTCCCCACCCAGTACAATGTTGAAAGATAAAAAAAATTGCCTAGACGGTTTCAACACTGTCCGTGGGGTGGGGGGAGGGGATGGGGCCGTGTAGGGTTAGTAGTGCACGGATATTAATATAGCGTGTGTTAAAAAGCACTCGAACTGTATAACTGTCCCAAGAGTTTTGTCCATGATTGTATATTTTAGAGCGATTAAACTTGCTAAATCAAGTGAGAAAAGACTACCGAAAACTAAAACCAAAAAAACTGCAAACGATAGAGTGCACATGTGACATACAATCAATTTTGGTAAATTAGCTCATAGTAAGTAAAAAAAAACGGGAGCTAAGCGTTCTTATACAGGTACCAGCAAGGTAACCATTTTTCGTAAAATCCAGCTAGTGGTCTATTATCAATGCTGCATTCTGATTGGTTGAGCTACTACTAAGCTATATGTTATAGCCCACTAGTAGTGAAAAGCGCCAGCTTTTTGGCGCAAAAAAGGATTAAAGTCTGTCTTTAACTAGCTAAAATTTTTTATTCTCGATATTTTTGACCAACTAGTTGGACTTTACTAAAACAATTATTCCTCTCTGACTCAGAGCCCGTTCGAACTCAAGGAATAATTGTTAAATAGCTTAGGCGGACTGTTAGACGCCTAAATCCACCTGTTTTTTTTCAGGGCGCAAACAAATTGTGATGTGTTTGTGTTGACCAAAAAGGACTTGGACGAGGTACTTACGCATTATCCTCAAATTCGAAAGAAAATCCTTGAAACAGCTGAGGAAAGGCAGCGGATGGTGGCAGAACGTGCTAAGGCTTTTGCTAAGAAAAAAGAAGAGGACAAAAAAAGAGAAGAAGAAAACAAGCTCAAGGTTTTTGATTATGATTTTTATTTTTGCATAGCCTACACGGCAGATGGATTAATAGAAATTAATGATGTCTTAAATCAAATTAAAAGAGGCAGCCTGGTAAAGTATCTGGGTCATTGTTATACTTGAGACACGTTGCCTATTCTTGCCACTAAGATTTTGTTGTATCGTGTTAAAGACCCCGAAACTTGTTATTATTTGTTTAGGAGAAAGAAGAAGGCACCGATCAAGAAACACTTACTATTGAAGAGCCCGCTGAGCCTACACCAACGTTTCAACAACGCCTGCTTACCAGCCTTAAAGCATTTAAAGCCCGTTTGGCAGACCTGTTTATTCACTTTGTTATCTTGCCTGATAGCAAGCTAAGGCTTATCAAGTACATCAACTGCCTGTTTGTGTTTGCTACGACCCTCACTATAACATACATGGTAAGTAAAACATGCGATATTCAAGCCGACTCGTCTCCCGTCAAGTCGTCTCAGTCTCAGTATCCTATTAGGGAGTTTAAGCATCAACTACGGAGACGGCTACAAAAAGTTCGCTTAAAAGGTAAATTCGCGCTACTTCAATTTTTATCGCTCTTATTCTAATTCCATCCCGTTAAATTCGTCAAATGTTGGCAAATTTTCCTGGAGTTGATTTCTAAAAGGATTTTGTCACAGTTTAGGAAAAGAAAAAGAAAGTCGTTGTCTTTTATTCACGTCCTCGACAAAACGTGAAATTAGACACTTTCACGTTTTACCTCTGAATAAAAACTGACAACAAATTTCTTGCTTTTGCGTGGATAGAATAAACAATGAATGACAGCAAAGGAAAATCTTGGTCAAGTTACCTTTACGCCAAAACCGTCACGTGCGTAAACGGCTAAGAGCGACTAACTTCCATGCACTCTTGTCGGCTCGATCGAGGAGTTTCTTCACCGACCAGTTTATTTTTTGAGAGATTTTGCGCGAACGAGATTTTTAGTACAACATGTAGACCGGTCAGCAAAACCTGCAGAACTAAAAATGGTCTTTTTGAGACGTTTAGCTTCCTTGAATGCATTCAAAGACGAGGGGAGCTTTCATTTTCGCAGGAAATGGTGCTCCAAAATGTGTCTAGAAATAAAGCGGTTCTCGAAAAATCCGGCAGTGACATAGGCCTAGTATGAAGTTGCTCGCTCCAGATTTGGGCTGCTGTGCAGACATGATTCTAAATCTCTCTATGTCCTCTCCGTAACTGTTGATGGAGCTGGGCCAAACAAGAACTTGAAACTATCATTAAAACTATCACCCATTTATATTATTTCATTTTTTAAATTTAAAGTTCTGTTGTGTTTACTGATGTTTACCATCGTATCTCGGTTTTAATTTAGGCTGCTTTTCAAGATCATCCTTGGTATCTCTTTGCCTTTAACTACTTATGCGAGTTATCGTTTTACGTAGAGGTAAGTCAAATAACTTACACATCACAGTTGCATTTAACATTCTCATAAAATCCGACAGAAAGAAAACTCCCCTTTCACGTTTGTGTTTTTCAGATCTACCTCAATTTCCACATGGCCTACAGGAACAACATTGGTGAAGTTATTTCTGATGGAAAAACATTATTGACTAATTACGTTAAAGGAAAGTTCCTTCTCGATGTTTTGGCTTCTTTTCCTATTGACCTTTTTGCCCTCGCTGCACCTTCGAACAAGCGGCTACTGGTGTTGTCATACCTACGGCTGCTTCATTTGCTTCGCCTCGTACGAATGCAACAGTTTTTCTCAGAACTGGCCCAGAGGTTAAACATCGAGTAAGTATCGTCTTCCAAGTATTGGGTAAATATGCTTTTTCTTCTTAGTCTGTTGTTTTAATTTTTCTAAATTTAATAAATGAAGAACGTTAGAGATCGGGGGCAATTAAAGTGATACCAAGAGCCATTGTGGCTGTTGATGATACCTAGTCCTTCACGTCCACAAACACCTTTCCATAGAGCGAGCTAGGGTGTTTATATGAAAAAGAAAGTTGACTCTTTGCCCGAGCCAACAGCCCTCGCGCACGCTTTGATTGTCTCGTCTTGATAGAGTTGACCTTGCTCAGCGAGCCTAGTTGTTTATATGGAGAAAAATTGGCCCGGTTCGGAGGGTGACTCAACAATCGCTAACGTGTGACTCGGCCAGTCGGGTCACCCTTCTAGCCAAGCCAACTCTTTGTTTCTAAATATAAACAGTTCGCCACATTTTGTAAGGAAATGTACGAAAAGTCGACTCACTCAGGGTAGCTCGGGTAGGAACAGGTATATTTCTACCAGGGAAAACTTTTCTCCATATTTACAGGGCTTTAAGAAAAGATTTTTAAAGTGGAATCGAGTTTAGGTTAACTTCAAACACCAGTCTCAAGTTGATGAATTTCTCAAAATTTTCACAAAAAGCGAACAACAGGAAAAGATAATACTTTGACATCTGGTACAAATCGATTCTTGTTTCTTATTCGTAAACGTGATTTTAAATATGTGTTATTTTACGACCGCTACAAGAACGGCAGTCATTAATTGACATTTTTTTCCTTTCATTTTCAGCGTGTTTAAAATGCGTATGAGCAAATTTTTCTTCCAGCTAGTGATAGTGATTCATGTATTTGCTTGCGCATGGTATTGTTTAGCCTGCCCGCTAAATGAGTGCTATCGAGAAGAAAATTGGGTCAAACATCAAGGTAATTCATGTCATCAGTTACAGGATAAAATAGATTCAAGCACATGAATACTGCTAAATTTCAGTTTAATACTAGGCCGCAAAAGTATCTTATTTTCCTTTTGAGATTGTATTGCGCGCGGCTGACTTGCCTCAGTTTTGGACCGAATGAAGATTGCGGATATACCTGACTCCATTCTACTAAGCTTTTTCTCTAAATACCAACGGAACAGATTCTTCCGTTTGTCTCATTCAAATGAACACCACAACTGCTTTAATATTAGCTATGCTTCTGATCTGCTATATTAGTTTTGCTGTTTCCTTACTGCAGATCTGCTGGACGCGCCCGCCCTCACCCGTTACTGTACAGCGGTTTATTGGGTCGTAGCAACGATGACTTCTACTGGGTATGGAGACATTCATGGCGATAACTCTTATGAAATGGGTGAGAAAAGCGAATAATATCTTATTCTCCGAGTTAATTCTCTTACGCTAATTTGCAAGCAATAATACTTTAATAGCAGCTAATTCAAAATAGTAAATGAAAACGTAACAGAAAAAGATACGCAAGTCTGCAGAGTCCTTTGCCTTCCACTTTTCTTAAGAAACATGCAAACCAATGCAACAACTGCCAAAAATGTTGAGACCTGCAGTGTATCGTGGGAAGGATACAACCCATAAGGCTGGAGACCATGCGTAATGCACGTGCGTGGCCCCACAATGTTGGAAGAGCTGTTCAAACGGCTCCAATATTGCTGCGCTACGCTTCGGTGATCACAGAACAAACTGTTGGGATTTGTTGGTTCAAACGTTTGACTCGTTTGACTTTGAGCAACAATTCCAAACAACACGCAACAACATGCAAAAACAAACAGCAGGGTGTACCTACGGACGCGACATGTTACATCCAACAATGCTTGGAGTTGTTGGCCTACAATGTTGCTTCTGTTTGCACAGGGCTTTACACCTTGTCCTCTTGATACTGTAGGCTAAGAGCTCTGGAGAAACAAGCGATAACGGATTAACAGTCTTTGCCACTCAGGTGGCTTACCAAATATTTCAGTTGTTTCACTGTTGGGAGATTTCTGTTGAACTTTTGAAGTTTAGGCCGTACCAGATATAGCCGACTCGAACTCTTTCTATATTACATACCTTATTTATCTGATTGAAGCGCCCAACTTCAAATTAGCGCCTGCCTCGAATAAACGCCCCTAACCTCTGATGAGCACCCACCCCAAACTACCACCCGCGCAAAGAAAACGAAGGTGGAGATGAAGAGTACTAGTTATCATTATTTTACCGCTCCATCTGCTTCCCGTTGACTGAACCATTTGCAGACGTTACGCTGTGAGACATCTACAAGGTAACACCAGAGAGTTGTTTGCTTAGTGATCTTACTGATACAAACATTGAGATTGAAATTGGCAAGGTACTGCTAAGAGACTTCCACGAGGAGTTCTTAAGTATTTTTTTAAAAAATAAACTCTTAATGTTCCTTGGAAATTAACTAAAATTACTTGCTGGGAATAAGGAAAATTTAATGAGCTCCCAGGCTGGAACAAAGCCCACCTCGAATAACTGGCACTCTCAAGACAAAAAAAAATTAATCAACGTCCAAGGCGTCTAATCGAATAATATGGTATGTATCATATACATGCACATTGATGTTCTCTCCTTCTTATAGTCCTAGCAAGCTTTGTGATGGTTTTTGGCAAGTTGCTTTTCGGTTTTATCCTCGGTAACATCGCATCTACTTTGGCGAACGCAGAGGTTAGGAGAGTCAAGTACGAGGAGAAACTGGGCGCCATTCAGGTAATTTATGCAACAGTTTGCCACTTTGTTTCTATCATAAACCTGCGATACTGGCGGCATGCGGTAACACCCAGGGGTTTTTGGAATCGCCGCTCGTAGGAGTAAATGGCAACAAAATGTTCAAAACTCAAGTGAAACCACGAACCACTGGTGGTTTCACGGCAAAGTTTTGAACGTCGTCAGCTATGGTCGGCGAAAGTTCTACTTGATTTGCTTTTAATGATAACATTGACAATTCCGAACGTGTTTCTCAAACAAACAAATGAGTTGTACCATCATCAAGTCATTTCCTTCGCCGAGTCCCCAGGATAGTCTAGACCCATGGTCCGAGCGAGTTTTGTTGCTGTTATTCTCTCCCGGCCTTTCGTCTCTGATACTTCACCGAAATGCATTTACAAGGAAGACCTGGAAAGACGCAGTACATTTCCATGGTCTGTTATCTTATATATCATAGCTCTCGACCAATCTGCGAGCGAGAAATAGCTGAGTTATTGTAAAATATCATTTGGCTAACGTGACAAATCGTACCGTTATGAATAAAGGAAAATAATAAAAATACCCACTAACCCACTAACTTGCAGGCACATATGTCAGACCAGCATATTCCCGGGACCCTACAAAGCCGAGTCATGAACTTCTACGAGTTTATTTGGAACAAAAACAAGTAAGTTTACAGTTCACAGTATTCTACGTACTTAAAGGGAACTGCGGTCGTGTGTTTACAATCAAATATAAAGTTCCTGTGTCCAGTTCTCTCAAATTAAAACTTCTTATGCTGTTACCAACAACACTGAAGTGCTGACAAAGAAATCTTTGTCAGCAACAGTGTTGGTCTCATTTGTCGAATGCCAGTTAAAGCAATACAGCCCAAATACATCTGCAAAATGAACAACTCAAATCAAGCTCTATTGCGTGTTAAAAACCATACCCGCATAGCTTAGTTATGATATAATGGTTTAACTCATTTTTTATTTCTTTCATCGCCAGGGGTGTTGATCACAGTACTTTGTTCTACGATATGCCTATTTGCATGAACGGTGAATTGTGCCTTGGAATGGTCAAGGAAATAATCTGTTCGGTAAGTTATGCCGTCACGCTTTCTCTAATGTGATTGTGAACTTGCACTTTTTGCTTTCAGGTCAAATTTTAAGTACAGTTATATAGGGAAGATCCCATATCAAGAAACTGAGCTGTTCGCGTTCTTTATCCCCCTCATTTGTAATAAAGTTTCAATTTTCTTCAGGTTCCGTTGTTTGAGAACACTGATCTTGCATTTATTCGTCTGCTCTGCACCAAAGTAAAGCCAGCACACTTCCACGCTAGTGAGTACATTGTACGTAAGGGAGACATAGGACAGGAGATGTTTATCATCCGCAAAGGCCTGGTAAGGAAGTTATCAAGATACATAGAACATTACAACACGCAACACGCTTCATTAACCTCGTTCCCAGGTTTCTCTCTCCTTAAGAACCCTGGGAACGAGGTTGACGCTTCATCTTAGCCGTAAATGGATCACTAGATAGACATACTTACTAAACTAAATACGGGAATATGGGAAGAGGTGGGAACGTGGTCGTCGTGATATTATAAACCCATGAATAGTATTCGCAGAGCCTGGTCTGCATATAATCGTAGGATTGTCTCGATCGCGCCTCCAAAAAAACGCAATCAATATGACATCATCGATCTAAAAAGGACCAAATACCTGATCAACTGTTTAAACAAGGCACGGCACAAATTGCAAAAAGGTATGTCAGTAGACCAGCTGTGGCATCATCGATGTAAAGAAACCTGTCAAACCGGTTAAACCACCAAATAATAGCACGTGAAATTATCTTAATGATCGATTATACGGTTACTAGGCTTAATAGAACGGTGCACTGACTAGTGTAGATTTCCTGGCATTTAAATGGGATAAAATAAACGCAGCACATACGAATTTTTTTTCAGGTTGAGGTTGTAACTGATGAGGATCCCCCAGAAATCATCGAGACCTTGGAGAAGGGTGATTTTTACGGTGAAAGCAGCTTAGTTTACGCCAGTCCTCACAAATTGTCAGTTCGCGCAGTCACTCACGTAGACATGCTCGTCCTTACAAAAGTGGACTTGGATTCAGTGCTCGCTCACTACGATGATGTCGCTATTCAAGTTAAAGAAGTTGCCGAGAGGCTGTACCCTACTCCATCTAAAACTAAATGAACCTTCTTTCAAAAAGTATCTCAATCAGTCATTAAAAAAACTAGAACTGGAAAAGAATCTGTATTTGCCATTTCTTATCGTGAATGTAAAAAACTTACCCGACGTTTTATTATTATTTTTTTCTGTTTTTGCATTGGTTTACAACTAACAATAAACAAGGTTATTTTTCCGCAGTTTTAACAGTCTTCATTACTCTTGTCATTATTACTTTCTTTTTTTTCTTCTTTCTTCTTGTCTAAAGTATTCAAGCAGCAGTACAAATTAATGCCCGAGGGTTACTTGATCGATTCTTAGGCTTAGAGATGCTAATGAGGTTTGGAGCTCTGACTCTCTTTCGGAAAGGAAATCGAAGTATCACCCTTGACTTTCTATAAAACTGTGTTGATTAGGCAAGAAAAAAGTGTTGTCCGCATTAATGGTGTCCTGCTTATTAAGCGGGTTTGAATTTAGAGAAAATGTAAGAGCTTTCTTTCCCGAGGGACAACGAAAACTGTGCCAGCTAAAGTTGTTTTGTCTCGATATTTTTGACCAACTAGTTGGATTTTACTAAAACATTTATTCCTCTCGCCCTCATGGGCTGTGAGTCAATAGGCCATTCGGCCTTCGGCTTCATGGGCTATTGATTCAGAGCCCATTCGGGCTCGAGGAATAATTGTTAATTACAACAGGGATGACCCCAGAAATCGCTCAGTATTCGAATCCTGAGGCGCGGGCGCTAAGCGCTTACATCTAGTCCAAATGCTGAACCCTGGGAGACCCCACAGAGTGTTAGTTATTGGCTTAATATAGTGTCATTAACAAGCTTTGTTTGCTTACAGTTTTATAGGTGATTTAAACTAGTTGTGCACGATAGCCATGACACCATAAATGTAGAGCGTAGATAAAAGGAAAGGAATTGATAAAATGATATTAATAATTATGATTCTCTGTACCAACAGGAGCCCATCATAGGCATCAAACACTTTTTCAAGATCAATAAAGATTCCGATTGAAAGTCAAATAAAAATAATACTTATCATAGTAGTATCATTGTTTAGAAAAGGCTAAAAACAGCACAATGTAAGGCACCCCCGTAAAACCATCCGACCGTTTATCCGACCTGATTTGCATCATGGCCCAACAGTGTTCGTAAAAAAAAGCTTTTACTGCAGTTTTCGATGGAAGCGTCCTAGCTTGGTGGATAAAACGTTAAACCGATGATACGACGGTCTGAGTTAGAACTTTGCCATTACGCTGTTTTCATGGAAAAGAAACTTTGCTCCACGTTGTCTCTCTTCAACCTGATGCATAAATGCGTACCATCGACACATGCATTAAGTGGGGATTATCCCTGCGATAAATTCGCCTGAGGGGGTAACCTGTGATCGGGTGTCCTTCTTCCCTTGGGCGGTGTCTGTTCAAAACACTTGAGTGAAAAGCCTTTTAAATACTAAATGATAGATCATATCCTTCAACTCGCGAAATTCTCTACCGCTTTTAAAAACCTAACGCCTGAAAAGAATACCCCTTTCGGGCGGAGTCTCCCCGTATGGGCCATTATAGGAAGTAACCTCCACGGGTATGGTCCCCCACAGTGGCTCAGTGATATGCGTAAATGTCCGATCATCTCCCCCTCTAACTCGAGTTTCTAACCATACAACTTGTTTATGTACATTTATTATTTTAAGATACAATAGCCATTTACGTATAAACACAATAAGTAGCTATCTCGAAGGAAAGCTGTTTGAAATGCAAAAGTATCGTCATGACACTATTTTAGGCTTTTTGGCAGCAGATGTTAGATCAACAGCAGCAGTAACACTAGGTCCCAGGCCTCCCACCCTGGTGGGCGGTGTCGCAGTTTTGACAGGAGCAGCAGCAGGTACTACGCTCACATCCCATTTGCTTTTACGCTTCTTTGGCTCCTCGCCTATAAAGAGGAGAATAAAGAAGGAAACTTGCAGTTTGAAAATGACGCGAGGTTGCGCAAATTACTTTTTTTTTCCTCGGTTTATTCTGTTTTAGAGCGGTTTTTGAAACAAAGATGGAGCTAGTTTCTTATTTGTTAGCTTTCTCATTCATCGCAAAAAGAGTAGCTTTGATACGTAGTTAGCGCTGTTCTGTGGAGCGGGAGGTCAAAGTTTCCATCACCAGGGGCCTGCTTCTCGAACAACCGACACGGACCCGGCAAGTTGTTGTTCTTTACATTCAAGATAGAGGTTTAAATATTTCTGCAAATAACATGACAAGAACTATCAGTTAACAAATTGAGATGGACTTGCTTGTTCGCTAGGACCAGCAATTTTCTATTTTACCCGAAAAGTTACCGGGAATTTCGAGAAACAGGCCCCTGAGCTGGTCATAAAATAACCGGGAAAGAACGTAAGTCAATGACGCTTATGCGTGCACTCCTCCTCTTTTATCGCTCGTCTTTTGTATCACATTAACCTTATTTCCCAGGTTCGAGGGAGAAAGATACATGTATAGGGCACTTGGAACGAAGAGGATTTATTACTAGGCTTTGTGTTTGGCTGTAAATTAAATCTAGACGATACAGTTGGCAGCGTTTTAGATAAAGCGCGTTTTGATAAAGCGATACCATAACAAAAATTCAATTTCCTTGCTTTCTGGATGCACTTGAAAGGAAGGCTTGGCACCAAATGAGATCTGAGGCTGGATTTGCCTTAGGCAGACTCTTATGTCTGTTTACTGCTTCGGGACTAACCTTTCGCCTTCATCCAGCTGAATAGTGGGCAACAAGTCATTACTTTGTAACAAATGGATACAAGGAAACCGGTCGTTTTGATACAAGTTGTTTCGATACGAACTTAAGCAGTGAAACTGCACAAAAATGTCGTTCACTTCAAGTATAGTTTGTTCGTGAACAAGAAAAACGTCTTGGGTGAATATTCTTCGTTCTTTAAGCCAAGGACGTCGTGAACCTTTTTACACCCTGACTAAAGAACTTGTATCGAAACGACCGGTAACCGTATAAAATGATTTGAACCCAGGCGACAAGTAATATCAGTACAGCTGTAGGTCGCATGTAAGACTGTTGCAGGCAGTTACCGGTCCTTTTCAAGACTACATCCCGTTCAACTAGGTCTACAGGTGTGAGTCGCTTACTACTATTGACCATCGCAAAAAAAGGTTTCAACATTCACCTTGAGTTGGTTTCTTGGTCCCTGACAAAAATTCCACCTTCAAGAGAAAAAATTAACTCGATATCAGCTAACGGCTTGATTCTTCATCAAGATTAGAAACTGGTTCAATAAAATCTCACGAACATTTCTAGCCTGTAAGTTAACTATAAACAACTTACATGTGTCCTTGCTTGCTTTGCTTTTTCTTTTTCCTTTTTTTCATATGCTTCTTTCTGAACTTTGGCTAAATTAAGAACGAAAAAAATCAGTACTACAGAGTCCCAAGAAGGCCAAGCAAATAAAACGACAAGCAAACTGGTCACTCAGTAACTGAATTGTTTGAACTCAGGACATGTCTTACAACGTAAGTAAGTGTAATATATTACGATCTTCCACATTAACGTAAGTTTGAATAGGAAGGACTGTAGTTATACATAAGCATGCTCAAAACAAAGAAAAATAAAATTTTTAAATTCCATTTAAAAAATCAAGGATAAAAATTCAACAATAACATTGTGACTTCTCACCAAGGCAAAACGATAAATGAATTTACTTGTACGTACATAAATTTTCATAATACGACTCCTCTGTCCAACATGTGGGGTCAAACAAGCTCTACATCAAGAGAAAAAAACACACACACACTGAGTTAACAAACCATTCTTACTAGCAAATATGCAACTATAATAAAAACCTTGCATAGTATTGCGGCATAGGTTCATGCTTTACTAATCGGAATAGACCTTTTTACCGATACGGCGGCCACATTGAATTACTTGGATTTAAGGAGTATTATGGGATGCCCTGGGGGCATGAGCACGTGCCAATATACTCGTTCAGTATTTACGCGCGCTTTTCGGGCTATGTTTTCTTTAAGGTTTCCTAGAAAAAGATTGCAATGGGAAAAAAAGATCGTTGTGCCGTGTTTGGATGTAATAATGAGTGCCTTTTTCCAGGGAAATATACAGTGAAGTTCTCTTTTTGCCCGAAAAGCGCGCGTAAATACTTAGCGAGTGCCCCCTGGGCATCCCATAATACTCCTTAAATGTAGTGAGTTCAATATGGCCACCGTATCGGTAAAAATGTCTATTGGTTCAAGCCTCGTTCCCAGTCGTCCTCGGCGATTTCAGATGTGACATCACCTGTCAAGCTTGTCGGGAAAGTTTGCTATCGCACTCGGTTCCAAGCCTCCTCTGGTAACTCGGATAGCGCGAACTGGCCTGGTTACCAGGCTGTATTGGTTCATTGTTTTTCTAAATTTTGTTGAATAGAGAGGAGAGGTGTGACGTCACATTACCATGGTAGCACTATTATTTCTGGATGAAAACAAAACCAACGATGACGGAGACAACAAGGAGAACGTTCATCACGCTCTTTGCATAATTCTTTTCCATCGTTGCACCGCTGCGACATGAAACTTCCTAATTTTACACACTCACTTTATGGGGCAAGTGAACGCAAGACAGAAATTGTATTTTTTTTTTCTAAACTTAGATATGGTCCTTTCGGATTCAACCCCAGAAAATTTCGCAAACATTTCACAAATTAAATAAAATTGAGATCGATGAAGTTTGAAGCAGTGCAAATTCACTTTTTTAAGTGAAGTTTTCGGTTGGTTGTCATTTAAATTTACGCCACCATGGCAACGTGATGTAACGACTTCTCCTCTCTATTGTCACACACTTTTAGAACTGCCTTTGAAACACCTTAATGAACATCAATCTGTCATGACCATGTGCTATGGTATTTTTTCTGTTATTAGAGAATTTGAGATAAAAGACTTTAGTAAAATCAAACTAGTGGTCTATTATCATTGCTGCGTTCTGATTGGTTGAGCTACTACTAGGCTATATGTTATAGCCCCCTAGTAGTGAAAAGGGCGGGCTTTTTGGCGGCAAAAAAGGATCAAAGTCTAGCTTTTAACTAGCTAAATTTTTTTTATTCTCGATTTTTTTGACCAACTAGTTGGATTTTACTAAAACATTATTATTCCTCTCGCCCTCATGGCCTCTGAGTCAATAGCCCATTCGGGCTGGCAGAATAATTGTTAAATACACTGTACATTGAAGACCTACTGTATGGCTGGACAAGTCATCAAGGACCTTCTTAGGATCCAAAGCATACAATTATTTTGTGTAGTGCATGCAAGCACAATGCAACATTGAGAAGATAACATGCTATAGATAAAGTAATTGTCAACCCAAACAAGCAGGAAATTAACTTTATAGTTATTAGCTACAACTTAATTTCTACTAAATTAGCAGAGCAGCATTATTTTGGTGGTGTTCATCCAACTGTTAGAGTAATTTCTAGCTAAGATGTCATACATGACATTGTATCTTAAATTCCCTTTTTTCAACTACATTTGTCACAAATATCTAATCTACAAACAAAACACACGAAATTATGGTTCAGGTAAACATGACAAAAAGTTGATTCAATACCTTAGGGTAATTACTGCCTGTTTCATCCAGATTAAGGTATGACAGAAGCTTCTTGTAAATACTGAAACAAAGCATTATTATTTTTTAGAGTGGTTCTACTAAACCCATGAAAGGGCAATAAAAAGTGACAAATAGCTACATGTATAGTAACCAAAAGAAAAAAATGAAATGAACGTATACATGTAACAGCATGGTACAATTTAGTCTGTTATCTATTTCAAAGGTTTAGTAAAATCAATATAATGTACTGAATTACAAACTGAGTTACATATACATATGTCACTCCACATGAACAGACACTGGAACTTGTTCAGACTGGAGAAGCCATACAAAGATCTTCACAAACCTCATTCACAAATCAACAAATCATACCAATATCAATCAACATTTCCCCCCTGCTCACCTTGGGTTTCTAAAATCTTTTCTGTTCTGTATGTTGGTATTTAAGTCAAGATTTTTTCTGTGCTTCTTTTCTAAAAGATCAATTATTTTTTCCTGGAGAAGAAAGAAGAAACCATATTCAATTTTAATCAATTTTAACCTTTAACGGACAACAAAATACATTTTGTAAGTCAGTGAAGAGAATTACCTGAAGTTTGTTAGAACATCGGCCAGTGGGTTCAGGCGGCAACTGAGGCATTGTTATTGCTGGAATTGGTTTTGATTTCACAGCAACATCAGAATCTTCTGCTAAAATAACAAGGAAAAGACTTTCATATGGATGTAGTAAACAAGAACATGGACAGATTAACAAATGGCAAGTCTGCATATAATAAATAAAAAAAAATTATGTACACTCCACAGAACTGTCCATGACCACTGCAAGTGGCATGCACCACTGTGGCTTTTGATTGGAAGTACCATTTCTCACACAAGTGCAAAAACATTGCTCGTGATTCTGATTGGCTAGAACTTAATTGTGTATAACATAGCTTTTCATAAGCATATCCCAGTATGTGCTGTATATGCTGCAGTTAATTTTTTAATTCAGCTAATTTTTATTTTTCCACTGTTTTTGGGTATGGTAATGCACGCTAATGAATTTAAAACAAAGGAAAAACAAAAATTAACTGAAATAAAAAAAATTAACTGCAACATATATAATAAATTAGTATGCCATATTAATACAGTTTGTATGACCTCCCATGTGGTAATAAAAGTAGTGAAAAGTTAAGTTTATAGAACACGACATTGTATATGAGCGGATGCAACCTTTAACTCATATCATCTAGATCATCCACGTGCAGTGGCAGGAGAGAAAAACGTATTTTTAAATACGTGGCCGGCAAGCTGGCAAGATTGGGTGAATCCTGAATTATTAAGCTACCCAAGTAGGTCAAATGGGCCTATTTTCTTCACTCGCAACAACACACTTTCTTCCACAGGAAATAATAAAAAAGATAAATTCTTTTAATTACTGGCCTTTATTGACTTACCTTTTTGATCAAGATGACTATCAATACTAAATTGTAAATCCTTTATTGACTGAGTTTTATCGACTAAACTTTTCTCAACATCTTCTCAGTCCACACGTCTACATAACTGTTCGTGCACATATTTGTAACACCACAAAAAGCAGCTTGGCTAATAACAGCCATGTAGACCTTCCTCTTGGTCAATAACACCCCTTAACATTGTAAAGGACATTGGTAACAATCATGTCAATTTTGGTCACTTATTTTACCTGTTTCGGAACTTTTTTCTTCAGGTGCAGTATTTTCAGCATCAGCTACCTGAAGATTTTAATAATATATTAGAGGTAATAATTATAATTGCAAATTTTAGCATTCAGTTATGTTGCAGTCATAGAGAATAAGCAACAAGATGCTGAGAGTTAAGCCTAGTGGGATGAATTTGATTTAATACTCCAACTTAACACTCTGAGTCAGGGTGTTCATTAATAGGCACTGAAGATCAGAGAATTCACTGTTTACTGACAGGTGCAGAATTCTTCGGCTGATGTTCGGTAGCCTATGACTATTTTTTATTCAGATGTGGAGCCTCTTTCAAAATATTCTCCTGTAACGTTACACCTTACTCCATTACTAGAACTCTTCACAAAAACCCTGCTGGGTAAAATTTCAGAAGCTCACTGGAGGGGTGTTAATGGCCTACATGTACAGGTAAAAGTAAATCTGACAATTTTTTATGCATTTATGACTTCCTTTCCTCTCAACAACCATTTAATTAATGTAAGAGAGTAAGCTTGTTGGTATTATCATTCGTCTCAATGCTTACAAGTACATTAATTTAGTTATGTTTTCATTTCAACATAAAACGTTAACATCTTATAAACTTTCTGCTGCTGCTAAGGTTGTCATTGTCCTTTTCTTTCGTGCTCCGTTTGAACATTACCAGGATAAGAACCTTCTTGTTTGGTCACACTGGCGAACAAACAAATTTGCAGACTGTAGGGACTTGAAATTTTTCAATACTGGGGCTATTCCTTATGTGTTATAAATTTGAATTTATCCACCACTACACAGATATACAGCCAGTTTATAAGGCCCTCTGATAGGGTGTAAAAATTATTGGGAAATGAAATTCTCTTTTAAGTTGGTTATCATAATATTAATTATCTGAAATTCTGATCTACATGTACCAGTATGTGTTTATTTGTCATAAAGCTTTCACAATCAGTCTTTAACCATCAAATAATAATAATAATAATAATAATAATAATAATAATAATTTAAATATAAAAAAGAAACAAACTTTATGAAGCTCTTCTCAAATTGAAAATTAAATACAAAATTAATTTAGTATAACTATAGTTAAAAAAGACTTCTTGGTGGTCTGGTGGTTTTCAACAGCGCAAATGTAAACAACTGTCTATAAACTAACAAAATAAAATTTCTATGTACATCCCAATAATAAAGTATCTATAGCTGTTGAGTCTAGGGAAGTCCTGCTTGACCCTTCTCTTTTTCTAGATCCCTGTCCTTAACATCTAAGTTCCTCCTTCTCGAGGTTCTCGATCCCCTTAGGCACAGGAGTGCGCTACGTAAAATTGCAAAGGACACTTTCGCCCTGACCCTTGAAATTGTGGTGTAGCTCTCCTGCATTTTTGAAGATAATAGCTTGGCTAATGTTGAGTGGTATCAGAAGCATTCGTCAGTCATCCCACGTGCCTTGCTCTATTTCTGTGACGCGATAATAATAATAATAATCATGCAATGTCTCTTTATTATAAAAAGTCCTAATTAACAAGTACACTCCAATTTACATTGTACCTCAGGCTCAGGAGCCAATGGTTCAGTGATTGTCATTTCTTCAGAGCTATCGTTTGTACTTGGAACTGACAATAAAAAAAAGGAAACAAATAAACCAAAAAAAATAGAAACAGGCAGCAATGGAATCATCACTTGATATGGCAATAATTCATGATTCAGCGTGCAAAGAAACTGGTGTCTGATAGCCAAGGGGCTAGTGGATTTTGCTACTGGGCTGTGAATTCTGTTCTCAAATTGCCTGATGGGCAGGTAAAGTTTTTTGAGGAATTCATATTATAGAAGAACCGTAATCAGTCCTGCTCATCAAAAAAATTTTTCGGGCTAGTTAAAGTGACTCTTGGACTAGTACATTCTAGCTACAGCTTGCCCGAATGGCAAGCTGTAAAATTGACTTTCTTTGCACTCTGATGATTATCTAAAACTATCTTGACAAAGTACACTTGAGTTTGACAATTAAGTTGTGCAATAACAGAGCTCGAAATTGCGACTGATACAGTCGCCAATGCAACTAAAATTTTCTCCTTCAGTTGGCGACTAAAAATTCTGGTTTAGTTGCCACTTTGGTGACCAGATTTCTCTATGATTTATCTTATCTTACTTTGCTTTCATAATAAAAAATGTGCCAAGTGCATAAATAAAGCCAGTTTACCTCCAAATTTATACCAACTTTTGTCCGTGGCATTTTCAAAAAAGTCAAATTTTTGTGGGATTTTTGGAGACAGATTCGCAGAAATTTTCAGGGCTAACTTTGCCGATAAACAATCGGCAAAAAACGGCCAATTTTGTGGCAATTTTCTGGGCAAATTTTGCTAGAAATCGATTGATTTTATGCTGATTTGACGAGTGTGTTTAATCTTTTTTAACAGAGATTATCATTTGCTACTTGAAAAACAAAGCACTTGAGAAATTAGCCAATGGCAAAGCTTTTAGCATCATGACTAGTGCCCAGTTTTTTGCAACATAATTTACGCTTGGTAGTTTTGGGACCTTGTTTGCTTGTTGTGGTGATGAACTTTCAAGATAAATTTGCAAGTTTACGGCAGTTAAACAACCCCAATAGCCGTGATAAGTTTCAAATATGTTGTATCGACATGTATTCGTTAAATTTTCCAGTGAATTTTGGAGCATTTTGCATGCTTTAGTGACTTTTGCGGGATTTTGCAGATTTACCTGAATTTCGCATCCCCATGCTATATATCAGAAGCCCTGATACTATAAGCTGCGTCATTTACATTATACAAACTGGCGACTAAAAATTTGCATCTAGCGACTATATTTCTCCAGTTGGTCGCCAAAAGGTGACTTGATCATTTTTTTAATTTTGAGCCCTGAATAATTAATTCAACTTTCTCCACATACGTGACAGTGAAAATTCTTGATATAGCCTAATACTCAAACTTAACTGCAATTCAGGACCCAGTCTTTACTATTTTGTACAATATCAGCTTCAAGTAGGCTTACAAGACAGTAATTTTGTTACCTCTGCGTCCTGCATCCCTGATGCATAAATATCCCCAAAGATGCAATATTATTATTATTTTTTTGAACTGGGACTCAATGGTTCTGGGACTGGGACTCATGATTTTTCACCAGATGAGTCACAGGACTCACCATAATTATTTGTAACAAAATCACTGCAAGATCATACAAAATGTAAATTGATAGGTACAGTAATAATTACCTATAATGATCTTAGTGAGTAACCAAGACATATCAATTATTGATATGTCTTGGTTACTCACTAAGATCATACCTTTTTCTTTGTCTGTGGTGTCCTCTTGTGTCTCCGCCAATATTCCACTTTCCTATTATTCCAAAAAAAGACATCCAAAAATATTAATAAGTAATATCTTGGGTATTTTCTTGCATTGAATTATTGGTTACTTCAAGCCCTAGGATTTCAAATTCCATGGACAACAATTTTTTGGTTCTGTGGCTAGAGATCATGGGAAACTATCGGTAATAATTTTTTAGTTCTGTGAAAATTCATAGGAACCCACTTTTATTTCATTTTTCAGTTCAGTATCTGTTTCCTGGAAACATGTAGTTAAACATACTTTTAAATTAAAGAACATCAGTGTGTACTTATTATTTACAAAAAACTTCAATGTCTATTGAAAATGTCAGAAGAATGTCAATGTTAAATGTGTTAAATGTGTGTGCACTTTACTGTCAAAAACTCCAGACTCCTCTTCAATTCAACTAAAGAAGTAAGCATTCTCACTTGAAATGTTCGCTACAGATCTTGTCTTTTCATAATGAGATTCAGGCCTCATCATCAGTTTCAACAGTGAAATTGTCACTGAAAGACTTCCTTCTAATTGTTTTTAAACTTTTGGAGCCATTTTTTTTCTGGGCACTGGAAGCCATAACAATCGCTGCTGCTAACTGTAAAACATATTTCATGCGCGAGTCATCAGTAACATGCAATGCACTTTGAACGATTCAAGATGGTGGACGATAAAAAAAGGAACCTTTTTTAAAATTTTGTCTTTACACAAGCTGAGTCATAAAGAATTGCTGTGCCAGTTAAGAATCCAAGTGGAAAAATACTATACTTGTGTATTTTAATCCCTCAGTCTGACAGGCCATCTGATAGAGTGCGATAAAAAATGAGAAATTGTGCGATATTTTTAGGGTAGATTGTGTGATAAAATAGGACTATTATGTGATAAATTATGTGATTTTTTCAGAGCTAATTTACATTGTATTACCAGGTTTCAAAGGAGAAAAACCACTTTAATGTTGTTGAACAGGCAATTTGAATATAAAGGAATAATAAAACATCTATTTTTAAACGAAATAGTTAAATTTGTCCGATTATTTTAACCCGGAAAAGAAAAGGGACACTTGCTTAATATTACACAAAACTGTGCTTTTAATTTGTCATTACACATGACACCGTTACACCGGTGACCACACTGCTTGTCTCTGAAACCAAAATGGCTGCCCAGATACCGTGATCGAAGGTTTCAGATGCCTTGCAAGGCTTTCTTTTGTGGTAAATCACCTTAAAAAACATTAAGATTGGGAAAATGTTTAATTAAAGTTAGAATTCATTGTTTACTTTACTTGAATTTAGCATTTTTTGATGAATTATGCAATTTTCTTCAAATTCTGTGATTGGATGCGATTTGAGGTCAATTTTGTGAAATCGCACCATCGTGTAATATCAGATGGCCTGGTCTGAATATATCAGGACATGTCACTGGGAAACTATTTTCCGCTTCCGTTATTTTAAGATCATGGTAACGACACAATACTGGAAATGATCGTTATGGTGAAATCCTAGGGCTTTTTACTTGTTGTTGTGAGGTAACAGTATTGTTAAGTGTCTCTTCAAACTTTTGTACAGTATGACACATTTTGTGATTGCACCATTGGGCAACACCAACAAACTACTGATCTTTCAGGGTGGGACACTAAGCAGGACCATCAAATAAATATACAGTAACTATCTGATTAGCTGAAGCAAACTTTTAACCAAACAGAAGCAGCAGAAGCTCTACTTGGATCTAGTTAGCGTCACATCATCAGTGTGGAATTTCTGCGCTTGTTCCTCAGACACTATTTTGCAGGGAAACCAGTGGTAACAATGGGAAATGTGGGCTGTTCTCTCAGGTTAGCACATCACCTTAGTGTCTTTTTTTCCTTCTCCCTCATCCTCATCCGCTATTTCATCATCATATGATACCAGGCGGGCACCTTAGCAAGGAAGAAGCAAGTTAGTAAAACATATTGAGACAATAAAATGAGGATGTCACTCAGCGCGATTAGCTTTTGCTATTTCTGAGTGGCTGTGCTCTCTTTTTTCACAATTATTTCCTTTTAAAGTCTTTACACTTTTGTACCAAGAGCACAATAAAGATTGTGGTTGTTTGTTGTTGTTGTTGACACTACAGCAGAATAATCAGCGATAAAGTGTTTTTTGTGTCGTTTTAGTTTGGAGTACTGTGCTTAGTTAGCTATTATGGTGAATTGCATAACACTGGCCTTAATAACAATACACCTGCCAACTTTTTCTGAGATATAAGCGTGAGATTTTTATCCTGGGAGTGCTGGGATTTTTGAAGATGACACGATCATTTCCGAAGATTCCAGAAGAAGTCAGAAGTCTTCCGAAGACGTCTGAAGTCTGCCGAAGCCGAAGTTATCGAGTCCCAGTCTTAGGACACGTATAGACGCGAGCTTGCTCCCAGTGCTTTTCACTTCAAAAATCAAAGATCGCGAGGAAGGTATTGTCATTTATTCATTTTACACATGGTTTTCGTTCCTTACATGGGTCTGAGTTAACATATTTTTGGAAATTGTGTCAAGCAAGACGGCAACAACTCAGATTTTTTAATCAGGCGTGAGAAATTGGCCCGCAAGCGTGAGCCGGCGTGAGATCGAAGTTTTCAACCCGCAGGCGTGAGACTCACGCCTAAGACGTGAGAGTTGGCAGGTATATAACAAGTACAATTCGAATCAAGTATTGGCGCCCGAAGTACATGTAACTTTTATCTTGGTGATTTGTAAAAGCCTTTCATCTAGACGGAATACTGGTAACATCCTTTTACATGACTATCCCCAACTAAAACTTGACAAAACTTACTTGTTTTCACTCTTGCCTGAGCTGCAGGATTTGAAGCTGGTCTAGCCGGAATCACTTTGACTCGACTATCTTCGTCTTGTACTTCGTCATCAGAATCTTCAATATCACTCTCACCGAGTCCATAATCAGCAAGAGAGTTTAATGATCCAATTCGTGGATTATCCATGTCTTTCCCAGTGAATAAAAACACAATTTTCAAGTTCCTTTAGTTGTAAATGACGTTTAATAAATGAAAGTGGCGGCCATATTGAAATCTGGACGCGCTGACCAAAAAGACCGAAGACACTCGTACAGTTATTCTAATCGTACGTCATGTAAACTCATCATGTCATCTCGTCATGTATGATACACTGTGGAATTGATTGCGGGCGCAGAAGAGACAGTCTGTTAGATACTACATAACGCCCAAAATCGAAGTCCAAGTTGACTGAAGCAGTGGAATCGAATCGGTGGAAGGAGCCATAGCTGTCCGTAATCTGTGAGTTGGAGCAACTTCAAAATACCTCTTCACTTGTGGTTTTGCAGTTCAATTGATTAGGAGGAAAGAAAATGTCAGAAAGTGAAGAGTACACGCACATACAGGTGAGCTTGATTTTTTGCACATTATCCAGTAACCCGAAATTTAGTTTTGAGCTTTAATAATCTTACGTACGATTGCGTTCGAACATTTTCCTTGCTTCACATTGAGCGATGCGGAGACTAAAGTGATTCTGTTGTTTTTGAATTAGACGATGTTAAAATTATCCTTGTTCGTTCTTCCTATGTACGTGCGTATCTTCCTCATAAAAGCCGAGTGGGTTCATCTGATGGTCGCGTAACGTTGAACCGATTTGAGTAGTACGTGAAGAAATAAGAATGAAAATGCTTTAGTTTGGAATAAACAGCGACGAGGTTGAGGGAATTCGTGACGAAAGCTTGTCCTGTACCTAAATACGCCAATCTTTAGAATTGCCTGATCTTAACGCCAGCGCAACTTTTCAAAGTAACTTTAATTTTCTAAAAAATACACGGGTATTGTGTAACGAGGATCAGCCAGGGCTGCGCATTCTCACCAGGTTGATAAGCTTAAATATTACCAGAGTTAGCGTTGCACTGTATTTTGAACTTTCATCAGATACATACACGTATGCTATGTGCATGGCAAACGACCTCTCTCTATCTTTGTCATAAAAATAGTCGTTTTGATGTCACGAGGCCGGCTAGTTGTTGGTTTATGAGTCATCATCAAATTTTGGAATTTATCACCATAACACAATAAACCTAGTATCAATGTCATTGCCATTAGTTGTGTATCACATGTTTTACTCTTATTACTGTTGACATGTGATATCCTGCAGATTGTGGGACTGCAAAACATTGTATCTCTACCCCCAGGCAAAGATTTATAATTTTATCGTACATGTAACAGTACACTCATTTTCAAGAGGGCATTAATTTTTTCCTTTGTGATCTCAGTGTCATCATGCAAAGTAATAAAGTGCTATGGTTTCCAAAGCCTGTCAGATGTTTTTGTCATGTATATCAGTTTGTCAACCATGCAAAACAATAGCATTCCAATCCTATCATTCAAACTTACTGATCAATATAAATGTCAAATAAATGTATTCAGTCACAGTTTGTGAACAAGAAGCAAAAAATTGTGCAGTAAGGGAGCTCCCAGCTATTGTGTTTATAGAAAGGCTCATATTAGGTGGAATGCTGGTCACTGGATAGATGCCTAGTCATGCATACATGTAAGCAAACTAAAAGATACTTACATTTTCTATGGATTTAACTTTCTTGTAGGATGCATTTAAGAAATTAAAAGAATCATTTAGGTCTGGCAAGACAAGAGATGTGGAGTATAGAAAAGATCAGCTTAGAGAATTACTGAGGCTTATGGAAGAAAATGAAGATGCAATTGCAGAAGCTCTTGCCAAGGACATGCACAAGGTTTGGCTGTTATGAAATACCATAAATCCTCTATTAACTCTTTAAGTCCCGATAGTGACCAACATCAATTTTCTCCTAACAATATCCATATGTCCTTTTGTTACCAAGAGAAATGGTTATGAGAGTTAATAAAATGATCACCTAAGAGAAAATGCTTTGATCTTCTACCAAATTCTCTCAACTTATTCCTTAAGGAAATGTATAAAGACCACTTTGGAGAATTTGTATGTGAATATTGGGGCTTAAAAGGTTAAGCCCCCCCTCTCAAATAAGCCCCCTCCCTCTAATAAGCCCCCCCTTTTCAGTGGAAGAAAGTTAATAAGCCCCCCTCTCTATTAAGCCCCCTCCCCTCCCCTAAATGTTCTTTGAATTAATAAATGATAGACTGCGTTAATCAACCACGACTGTAAAACTGCATGTGCACTGATCCAGGATGGTTTATTTATCAACTGGAAGTTCAGATTTGATTCTGATCCTCAGCTTCATGACCTAAAAACTTCTTGTACTTGAGCTTTTCCACTTCGTATTCTAGTTCTTTATGGAGAACTGATACCATCGTCTTTTCTGAATTAGATAAGCTCCCCCTCTCAAATAAGCTCCCCACCTCAATTAAGCCCCCCCTCAAATGGGCTTGAAATAAATAAGCCCCCCCTGGGGGCTTAATAGAGGATTTATGGTAAACTATCAGTGAAAACTCGCATCCCAGTTGATATCATTACCCCTTTTATCCACCCAACCCTTGAAAGGTTGAGCAAACTGCCTTTGAAGACTTAATCTGTTTCTTTTCTTTATTATTTCTTTCCAGCCAAAGCAAGAAGCTGTTTTGGCAGAGGTTTTGATGGTTAAGAGTGATATCACATATGGTGAGATAGCTATCCAGTTCAGCCGATTAAGCAACAATAGGGCCATTTATACGAGGAAAAATAAGACGCGTCTTACATAAGACGCAAACTGTACCATTTATACGAGCATGTCTTATCTAATAAGACGCGTCATAGCTAAGCTGCGTCTTATTTTAGATGAAATGTGCCGTTTATACGGAAAGTTCGCGTCTTATGCAAGACACGTCTTATTTTTCCTCGTATAAATGGCCCTAATAATGTGTTAACAGGCTCAGTGGTATCCTGAGAAAACAGCCTACATTCCGCCACTCCACGACAGGTTTCTCTGCAAAATGACGTCTGAGAAACGAGTGTAGAAATTTCATGCTTATGACACGTCACTACCCAGATCTGGTTTGTGCCTCTGATTAGATGAGGCAAAATTTTCAACCAACCCAGATCTGGGTAGTGACATGTCATCAGTATGGGATTTGCGCACTCATTCCTCAGACAACATTTCGTGGGAAACCAGTGGTGAAGTTGTGAAATGTCGGCTGTTACCTCAGGCTAGCTCAGTGGGTGAAAGTTACACTTATTGAGAGATGTTTATAAATTTGTCATCATTTACATCATGCATGGATTTCTTTGTTTAGACATCAGCAGTCATTGTGCGTGAGTTATTTTTTTAATCAGGTTCTTGTTAATTAAATATGATGTTGCTTCTATTTCCATCAGCTCTCAATAACTTATCTGATTGGGTCAAACCTGAAGCACCAGAAGTTCCGTTGGTTAATAAAGCTGATAATTGCTTTGTAATCAGTGAGCCACTGGGCATGGCTTTAATTATTGGAGCATGGAATTATCCAGTACAGCTCACCCTCCTTCCTCTTGTTGGGGCAATTGCTGCTGGTAGGTTGTATACCATTAATTAATCTAATAGACACCCACCTCAAGTAAATGTCTCTTGTCTAACAAAAGCTCCTCTACATTTTTATCATGCACCTCTAATTGTGGTGCTGTATTATTTGCCAAAAGCATGTTAGATTTGTGGAGTTACAATTTTCTTTTAAATGCCCCTGCTTAGTCTCTTAGGATTAAATAGGTGTCCCAGGCATCTATCACTATCCCAGCGCATCATTTTTGTACTTGTGAATGATGACAACAAAATTTGCAAAAAAATTATAGACAATTATTATCTCTTACAAGCGTGAATTTCTAAGTGAATCTCATCTATCAATTCTGTGTAGATATTATGATCTGGTTTCAGATGTGTACATGTTGTCACTCAAATTTTTCTTGTGATGAAAGTGGCTTAAATATTATATCAGTTTGTTTCAGTTTATGCAGGTCATTTGTGATAGACCTAAAAGTTAAACTGGTTTTGACAAACGTCTACCTAAAAAAATCTTGTGACCACAAAATTTATGAAATAGCCTATAAGTATAACATTTTGTACACTGTTGGTGATTTCTGTGTTAAACTACATGTACTTTTGAAACAGGTAACTGTGCAATAATCAAACCATCAGAAGTATCGTCACATGCAGCAGAACTTGTAGAGGAGATGATACCAAAATATCTTGACCAGGTACATACATGTATTATTTTGAGTTACCAGACAGGAAACTGTGAGTTGCATGTTCCTTTTTTTGTCGTTGTTGTTTTAAAGTTTGTTTTTAGAGAAAGGGGTGGGGTTAAAAATATTTTAACCCATTTGAAGTGTCCTGTTTCCTATGCTTCAAACAGAAAACAAAATAGGGAATGTTTTTGTTAGTGTGCAGCTGTGTAGGTGTAGAGTGGTTGTGCACAGGCTGACAGAACAAAGTTCACGCCAAGTGGGGTAATCCGAGACAGTTTTGGATTGTGGATTTCAGGCTGTGTATTCTGGATTCCACGTACTGGATTCCGGATTGCTTGTCAGTAGAACTTGGATCCCAGATTCCAAGGATTCCGGATTCCACAGGGAAAAATGAATCCAGATTACCTTACATGGAGTGATAGATGATGGGGTGACAAAGTGATACGTGTAGATTGAAATAATAGTGCAGTAATGATCCAGAATTTTAATTCCATTCCAGGACTGTTATGCAGTTATCACTGGTGGAGTGGAGGAAACAAAGTATTTACTAAACCAGTGCAAATTTGACAAGATATTTTACACAGGTGGTAGTGCTGTGGGTAAAATAGTCATGGAAGCAGCATCAAAGAACCTAACACGTGTTACACTTGAGCTTGGAGGAAAAAGGTAGAATTGCTAGAGATATGAAATCCTTACCCACTATAATCATAAATTCTTGTTGCTGGAAATTAAATGGTTTAAGGGAACAATGTCATGAGTAATGGGAATATGACAGTCTGCGTGAGAGTAGTCCGAAACGGGACAGCTGTAAGCAGCGAAGGTCATTTCAACAATCCGTGTACTTAGCAGTCACTAATCTGTTCATGTTGTCCTTCAGCAGCCTAATTAAAAAATATAAAACTGTTCAAGTGAGGCCTTAAACTGCTGCTTAAAAAAGTAAAATCCAAAATCCATACTTTCGTCGATCAACGGCATCATCAGGGATGAGAAAATATTCCGCGCGCGCTATATATATGCGAAGAAAGTGTAGGGTGAAGTGTGTAAAAGATGTGACGTATGTATGAAAGCTATAGAAATAAACTGTGAATGGACTACAACGCTCCAATGTTGGAGTGTCTCTAGAAAAAGGACCTCTAAAAGCGCGTAAGAATGGTCTCTAAAATACTAAAATAGAATGTCTTCGAATTCACTACATTCCACCCGGGAATTGAGTGTAGGCTTGCACTTTCTAATGTAAAATGCTTCATAATGCGTAGATTAGGGGGGTCGTTTTCGCTCGTAATAATCTTGACCTCAATGCCTTTATAGTCTTTGTTCTGGCAGGAATAGATATGTTTTTCCACGGAGGAGCTGTCATATTTGAGATGTTCTTTAACGCGGTCGTGTGGTCTTGTGCTGCCATAATTATACCTTCCGTCTCCTTCTTTAGTCTGTGTCGTGCTATGAATGTATTGCTGATCGCAGCTGTTACACGTTAGCTGGTACACTGCATTTCTTCGTAAACACAATCCGGTGTAGGGCGTTTGTCTCTAGTGCATTTGCGGTCCGTGGAGGTGAGGGTTAGGGCTCGTCTGAGAGTGTAGGATTTGTGGGTAATGCGTACCGGGATGTTTTCTTTACTAAAAGTGATCCTGTGATTGAGTCGTTCAGAAATGTACGGGACATGTATGACCATTCTGTGTTGGCAGGTTGAGGGTTTCGTTCGGGGTTTTGTGGGCGTTTTGGCTGCTCTATACTGTCGTTAAGGCGAAGAATGTCATCGAATGTGTTTAGGTGTGAGGAGCATCTGTCTCGATGCGTTTTCGTTCGTTGCGATAAATTTGATTTTGGATTTGGTGGGAATAGCGGATTGATGGTGGACAAATAGAGGTTTCTTGGCTGGCTTTTTGTAGAATTCAAAAGAGCTGTTACCATCCTTGGATATGGTGACTTTGAAATCGAGTAATGACAATGACAGGCCACTCGGTGTTATTTCTGGTTTTTCTAGTTCAAATTTCAAATTATGGTGCACTTTGTTGATTATATGGTGGAAGTGGTCTGCTGTTTCTTCTATCTCTTGTAAGGGCTTATCGTTAGGTTCGAGGAGAGGGCTATGGTTTCTCTCACTATTAGAGACACGCCCCTCACCAAAACGAATCCGGAAATCTTTTAGCCTCTTCACAGACCCTCTATTTTCACTTTAGATATCGGTGAGCGCGCGTATGATAATAAAAACAGGGAGATTTATTCACCACAAATGCAAGAGCGGTAGGGGTGGGGAGAGGTTTCTTTCTTTTCTCTCTCGCTGCGCGCGCGCTGTACCCTGGTTCCAGAGGTCTGTTCTCAATATACCTAAGATGAAATAAACCATCCTTACCGTTTGATAAGGCTCCCGAGACGCTTTCTCTCGGCGCTTTGCATGTCGACCGCGAATCATCAGTATCGATAAGAAAAAAATATCCTCTGGAACCCAGGGTACGCGCGCTGTCGAATTGTCGAAAAAATCTTAGATAAACGTCCGTGGTCAGGCTACAATCTTGGACAAAACTGTTGAGAAAATTGTATACTTGGACAACATTTTTCTTGACATCGTAGCTGTACCGGTTCTTCCCTCTCCCCCTTCCCCTGAAAGCGGTGTTGTTGTGTATTCAAAAGAAAGCCTGATTCCTGGGCATTTGTGGATCGGAAGCAACATTGAATTGGGGGAAGGGGTTTTCTTTCCGCAAAGGCGTCGTTTTGGAAATAGTTTTGTTGCGTAGGAAAGTGGACATAATGGGGAAAACTTTCTCAGGTAGTTTTGTCCGGGATTGTAGAAATCTTTGTTACCGCATATTTTTTACACGAATCGGCCTTCCGTCCACATGCAAACAGTGAATCTGCTCATTGAAACGGTATCGTTTTGAAACCGGTCTCCAGAGAGTGTTTTAATTGTCCGACGGAATTGCGTATTCTTGTATGAGACTATTGAAACTGGGTGTTTTCGAATTCAATTAAGTAATGCGGGATTCACGTGGATGGGGCCATAGTGAGTTGTGTATCGACACTATGGTTTTAAGTTGATTTATTGATCAACTGCAGCACTCAAAATACTTTTTGGAAAGTGTTCCCGCCAAAGTAATTTTTGCTCGGTCAGGTCTCGTTTCCGACAAGTCAAAAATAGTAGTACACGAAAAAAAGTTCACTAGTAACAGCTTGTAAGCCGAAATGTTAGCATTCACTCGTTTTAGTCGTCGCTTGACCGTTTAAAAAGTGACTTAGTGGAGAAAATGATTCGGTCGCGGGCGAGATAGACAGCCTTTTTTCGCTGAATAACAACAGAGGCTCGAGGATGATATTTACCGCAAGAAGATGTCTGTGTTGACTGCAAAAGTAACATGCTACCCAACCGTGACTCTCTAAGTGTTTCCTCCAAAGTCCATAGTATTCAGCAAAACGTTTGAGGTCAAAGATTGTTTCGTTTAGTTTCACTTCGTTGCGGAATACTGTAATAGGAAGCTTAAGCAATCACACGACGACAGTGACAACGACAACCTCAAAAGAACATTTTGTTTTGAGCGTAACGGCAGTCTCTCGTTTTTTAGTACATTTCCTTGACGTCCACTGCACGACTTCGACATGAGACCTCCTAAAGCGACGTTTCAAAGAGAACGTGAACATACGACGACGAATTTTCAATTTTCTATTTTGAACCTGGATAAAAATCCTTAGGAAATCAACTCCAGGTGAAATGGCCTACATTTGAGAAATTGAGTGGGTACAAATAAACGGGATAAAGTTTGAAAGGACGCAAATTCTTTTTTTAGCAAGGTTTTCACTGCTTCCGTCGTCTTTGTTGCTTAATAAGCCCCTAATTAGCAGTGACCGGTCAACATGACCGGTGTGGGAATTTTTGGGCTATAAAAGCTGCCATTCTGGCCGGACATTGTCCTTTGACCGGCCTTTATTTTGAGCCCTGAACTGGTTGATTAAATGGTGATGTCACCGGCTATGAGGACACGAAACTTTGATCCATCTTTTTTCATTGTCACTGATCCTTTGCCATTTTTGTTATTCCAATTTGTCAGTTTTTGTTCACTTCAAGAACCAATACGCTTCTGGTTTGCAAATATCAATAGATGACGTCAATGCAAGTAACGTATTTACTCGAATAAGCGCCGCGGCCCTGATATAATCAAAGTAAAAAAGGCATTAATTCTTGTCGTTTAATACGAAAAATGTCGCGTACAACTTTCAAATAAACGCCGCCGTCAATTGACGACCGTCGCATTGAGGCGTGAAAATTTTATAAGCGTTTCGGCGCTCATTCGAGTAAATAGGGCATAGCTATTTCATCATAATGAACCCCCTGTCGTCTTTTTTTCAGCCCGTGTTACGTTGACAAGGACTGCGATCTTGAGATAGTCGCTAAAAGAATTTCTTGGGGAAAATTTGGAAATGCTGGACAGGTCAGTGTACACAAAATACTGTAATTTTTAAATACTCGCTATTAACATCATTCCGCAAAGTTCTTTTCTAGTACTATCCTTACAATGTATCTCATAAGCATTTCCGGTTTTTTCCTTTTCTTATTTCAGACATGTGTCGCTCCAGACTACCTTCTGTGTCACCCTGATGTCCAAGAGGAGCTCATCAAACGCTTCAAAGAAACTTTGTTTGATTTTTATGGAGAGGTGAGCGAGGGCTATTCCGTCATTCATTCGTAGTTTACAAGGACAGTTATCAGAGAGTTTACGCAACCACATCGACGATGTATTCGCGCTTTTTCTAACTTTATCGCGTTACCAGACTCTAGCTCGCTAAATTTGTCAAATGTTGGCGAATTTCCTTATAGTTAAATTGTCAGGGACAGCAGCCAAGTTTTAAAAGAGGAAAAAAATTTTTCTTTCTATGTTCAAGTCGCATTAGGAAGTTTCCGTTGGCAGTTCCACGACAAAGAAGTGTACCAAAGATTGTGGTTCACGTGCGGAGTTGTATTGTTCATTTAACCTGTTGCTTTTATGACGTTGTTGCGGGCGTCGTCGTTTTCGTTGAGTTAACTCCAAAGTAAATGATTATTAGCTCCATAGTTTACGTTGCTTAGGTCTTTTCTCTGTGGAAGAAAACTCGAAGTCAAGTTTGAAAATCCAACACAGAGCGTTCAGATGCAGAGAAGACCGGAGCTTTCTGTTGAAATCTTAAATGTTATAGTTCATTACGAGGAAGCGTGTCCAGAAAAGATGGAAATCTTCAGACCTATTCCTTTTTTCAATATTCTTTTATTACAATTCTCTCCATTTCATCTCAATAAAGGGCATTTTTCCCCTGTTTCAACTCGAAAATTTCCGTTATTGTGTATTCATTATTCCTTATCATCCCCAGATGAAAACTCAAATGGTACCGCGGTTTATTCTTGTACGAGTGGAATTTAGTAGTACCACTGGGACTAGCCTGTACACAGGCGTTGTTAAATAAATCACTCGCGGTTTTTATTTCCCTACGCGCGCTCGACGATCTCTAAAGAGAAAATAGAGGGTCTGTGAACAGGCTACACTAAGACCGTTTCATTATGACGAGATTTTCCTTGCAAATGGTAAAAGGCTTTACGAAATCTTTCTTACTAAACTAAAACATCTAGACTAGGTCCTTTTTCATACTCGGACTCAAGGTAACTGTATCGAACCGTATCGTCACAAAAATCAGAGCAAGAATTAACTCTGGCCAATCAAAACGGACACAGACGTGCCAATGAACCAATCAGAAGTTAGATATGTGTAGCCGACGTTAAGCGCGGGAAACTGAAAAAGCTGCCAGCAACGAGTCGTGATTTGTTATGTTTTTTTCTTCTAATTGGTGAAATAGAGGCGCGAAAAGTTTCAGCCAATCACAAGACGTTGCAATCCAAAACGCAATCGTGGAATTACTTGGGACGCTGTAAAAACTGCTATCTATGCGAAAATATTGGCCTGTATTTTAAATTTGTTGCTATCCTTTTTCATTGCAAAGGACCCCAAGGAGTCACCAGACTATGCAAGGATTGTGAACAACAGGCATTTCAAGTAAGTTCACCGCTTTTACGGTGTGGTCTTAAAATTTGGAATATTTGAAAGCTAACCAAATCACTGTTGCAACAAATAACACCTTGAAATGAAGACTATAGTGAACCGATGTGAACCTCGGAAAAGCAGATTTTTAAATGAAGACATGATCCTCTATGTTGTAATAGCAATTTAAGCAATTTAACCCGGAAAAAACGGGGCTTCAATGGCATTCCAACCCACGGTCTCTGTGTGACACCATGCCGACTCCTTTGAAAAGAAGTTACATGACATACTACAGATCTAAACAAGAAAATTGCACACGTCTAAACATCTCAGTGAAATCGCTTTGTTACAGTAAACGATTGCGCTTTTTCACTCGCCAAAATCAATGTAAATAACAGGCTTAGGACGCGCCCCGGAGCCTGGGGACATTTTATCATCGCATTTTATTTCTTTCCTCATTTCAGCCGCTTAAAAAGTTTAATGTCCACTGGGACTTGTGCAATTGGAGGCGAGACAGATGAGAGTGAAAACTACATCGCACCGACAGTAATCACGGGAGTCAAACCCACTGACCCACTCATGGAAAACGAGGTACGGACAACGTTTTCAAGGCCACTACACGTTTTTAGTGTAAACACAGCTTGACCTAGCCAATACAGCTTCCCGCGAAACATCCCCACCGACGGAGGGTAGTTGTAAGCAGTCTTGTACATTCTTCCATTCAGGGTATGCACTTCTGGGAACAATGTCGCATCGGCAATAGGACACATTCGATGGGGTCGATTTAAGCATGCCGTATTTATGAATAAACGCCAAATGTAAAGCAAAAGATATAATATTATGTCGACAAGAGCCGCACTTTTCCTGTACCAATGCAGCGCTTGTTCTGATATGACTGATTAGATTACGAGATGGACTTTGTTTCTTCGTTCTTAGCTTTTTGCGAACAAAACAAAGAAAAAGAAAGAAACAACTTGTAGTCTGTGTTATTTGTGAATCAGAAAGTTTATGTAAGCGCTACCTGCAACTAAGCGCAGTACCGAGAAGTCGAGAAACTTAATACGAAGTGCGTACGTAGAGGCCTTTACTTGTTGCGCTTAACATTCTGCCAACAGAGGGCACTAGTAACCAGCTCGATGACTGCTTGTTTGGCTTGTTTGATGCTTGCATTGTGCAATTTAACACATGCCCTTAAAGAGGCTACTCGAACTAAGTTTCACTTGAACAAGTCGCAATCGAGTCATCTGAAGAACGTTTGCCTTAATAAATGGACTATATGTTGGTTTGAGTTATCATTTACTGAGAAGATTTGCTCTATATTGTTCTAATGAATGGAGTGATGTGTTTTGCAGGTATTTGGTCCTCTGTTGCCAATAGTTAACGTCGACAATGTGGACGAAGCCATAGAGTTTATTAATGACAGGTATGAAACGTATATGAGAGTGAGAGACCTTAACATAGTACACGTTAAACATTATTATTATTATTATTATTATTATTATTATTATTATTATTATTAATTTTCTTTTATTATGATTATTTTTCCATGGCTGTAGGGACAAACCACTGGCTCTGTACATCTTCTCTAACGACAAATCCAAGGTTGATCGTATCTTGAAGAACACGTCTTCCGGGGGATTCCTGGCAAATGACACGGTTGTACATGCTGGAGGTAAGTTGTTGTTAAATAGGCCATTTTACAGTTATGGTTGGAGGCGAGGATGGAGGCGACTTTGTTTTGATACAATTTATTATGCAAATGAAGTTGTTTTCATGCTAACTAGCATTTTCCAAGGACAATTTCCATAACAAAACAAAGGACGTTTGTATCAAAACAAGGTCAACCTCAGCCTCACGTTCACACGAAGGCTAGGGTACTAAGTCCACAACTTTTAAACTGGTCTATTGAGAGATTTGGAATCACGCCCAAGGAAAACGGCAAACTTCAATCAGTACCACTTGACCTGAAATTCCATTTTTTTCTGTTTGGGAAGTTTCAGAAAACATGTTCAGTGGTTTGTGTCAGTAGCGGGTAGTTCTTTTACCAGGTCAAATTTTATTGTTCGCTGTTTATGCACAAGATTACCACCCGGGTGGTTTGTGTAACTATAGTAAGCTCCCTTACAAGTTTTCCTTTCCTTGTCGTCTGCTACTCAATTAAGCAACTACAATGACGACGGCTGCTAAAACGTCTCTTTAAAATCGAATTCTCGCTGTTTCAAAATTCATCAGTACAAGGTGATGCAATAAGAACTTCAGTGTACTTTAATAAATATTCCAATCATTAGATACTCGCAATTTGTTTTTACACAATTAATTGTTAATAGGGAGCTTAAGAAAAGCCGACAACGAACGAGAACGACAAAAATGCATAAGGCCTTGATAAGCACGTACATCATTCTTTTTTATACATTCCTCTGTCGCAGTTGTACGTCTACGATGTGAAACTGCCTAATTTCACGTTTTGTTGAGGACATGAACACAAGACAACTGTTTTCTTATTCTCTTATTAAACCCAGATACTTTCCTTTAGAATTCAATCCCAGAAAAATTCACCAACATTTGAAAAATTAAACGACGTGGAATATCAGCAGTGAATTTTGAAACAGTGTGAGTTCATTTTCACCACCGTCGTCATTGCTTAAGCTCCGTAATAAGGCAGAATGGATTTCAGTTCGGGGAATAGTCGTATTACCATTGCTAATAAGAGGTCTACAATCCAATCAGTTTATTCCTTTCGGTATTTCATTGTAGTTCACACTCTGCCTTTTGGCGGTGTTGGCGGAAGTGGAATGGGTGCATATCATGGCAAATATTCGTTTGATGCATTCTCACACAAGAAAGGTTGTGTTTTGAAGAAACAGATGTTGGAGTCTATTAATAGGTAAATAGCTTCCTTCATTCTATGCGCTAACCAGCAAAGAGCAAGGCTGATACTACGTCTTGACAAAATGTAAAAAATGCAAGTGGACAAGAATCAAAGAATCACGCTGATGTTAAATGTGAATATATATAGCAACAACTTAACCTAACCCTAACACTTACTTTGTGTACGAATCATTTATCTGTCAACGTCAGTTTGGCGGATGGAAACAAGGCCACAACCGAACTCAGTGCCGGATCCAGACCTTAAGATAAGTGGCGGTCATCTAGAACCTTAGATGGGGGGTTCCAAAATTTTTTATTCAGTTTGGTCTAAAAACATGGGGGGTGGGGCGGTCCCCCCGGGCCCCTCCCCTGGATCCGCCACTGGGTCTTTATCCTCAAGCTATCGAGCGTTCCCTGAACAACCACTGCCCTGCCTTAGGCCCTTTTCAAAACTTGGTCACGTGCGTGGATACCACTTAGCAACGAACCGTTGCTAAGTGATTTCCAAGTACTTGAGCACGTTCTACAAAGGGCTAATCGGAACTGTTTGTCAGAAACGAAGGAAAGCATCTCGTCTCGAATGAACGCCCTCCCTTGAGCCCCAGAAATATATAAACAGGCTTGGGCGCTTAATCTCGTTCTCAGATCCTTCTTTCTTAGACCTTTGTGGTCGAGAATGCCTGGCGATAACGCCTAGTATGCTAACGTCCAACACTGCTTTTACCAAAGGTTGTCGTTTCACCCATGGGACACGTTAATACTCTAGGGACAAACCTGCTCACTTTCCCGAAGGCTAAGGTGATTTCTTTCTATATTTTCAGCTTACGTTATCCTCCGTATGAAGAGAAGCGTTTTGCCTGGATCCGTTGGCTTATGAGCTCGAAGGAAAATTCGATAAAATCACTTTCAGACGTGCCTCCTCTTCTCCTTTCAATACCGGTGGCGATCATTCGAAAGGTGCCCTGTTTTAATTGTCGTCGTTGATTATTTAACAACCTCGTCCCTTGGCTTTTCCTTAAGTAAGTCTGAAGTAAGTCAGTAGGTAACATTTTTTATTTAAACAGGGTAATGCATTATAGATGAAACAAGCTAACAAACCCATGGTTCTCGAATTGAAATTCAGAGACTAAAATATTTACACAATAATAATAATAATAATAATAATAATAATAATAATGATAAAAATAGTAACCGAATAATAATCATCTCGTATGATCTTAATATCTCTGCATAATGGAATTCTTTATTTTATAGAATTTTGAACTTTTATTATTAATTATATCTATTTCCTCTTCTTTTATGTAAGGTTAAGTTACTTCTATTTTTTAGAATTTGTAAATGAATAGTTTTTTCTTTCTTCACTTATTATATATAGGATTGTTTTTGTTCTCTAATGAAGGCCGAGGGGTTTCTTTTGTAACGGATGGAATTGTAGGTAATGTTTTGATGAATTTAAATTACAATTGCTTTAGTGCATTTAAAAAAAAATAATAAATAAATTAAAAAATAATAATAATAATAATAATAATAAAAACCGTACAAAAATTCTGAAATACCAAGTAAGTTCACAAGTAAAAGTGTGTGATAAAATGTGTAATAAAAACTACTATTCTTGAAATGAAAAAAATACGGCGGAAATTCTTGCATAAAAACCGGAATATTAAAAATTACTCATTAAAACGTGTGTTGCTAGAAAGTGAATTAGTTTAAAAATCTCAAAAAAGTGAGTTAAAGTGAGCGAGAGATTGTTGTTGTCCAAAAATTAGGTTGCAAAGACCTTTTTGATAACAGAATTCTTAGGCGTCCTTCCATTTAAAATAAAATAAACCGGCAAACCATACCGCTCCACGCGCGGTTACAAGTTAAACTGCGTGAGTTATACATCCTTCACTTTCTCTTGTTAAGAATGGATAAAGTAAGGTATAGTTGTAGTATTTTTTTATTCTTCCTGGTAAACCACTATTTACTTGAAAATTTCTTGTAGGTACGATGAAACGGAAAAGCTCTGGGGACGAGGCTGTTTATTGGGTTGTTGTATTACTAGACCCTCTATGTAGTTACACGATCAATAATTAAAGCAATTAACGTACTTTAGGGGTCGTGTACAAATCTGTAACAATAGGCCAATTGCACGATGACTTGATTTACTACTACGACCAGAATCCATCAGGGTTTTCCTTTCTGGTGCAAATTACGGCTTTTGTCATTTAAATCTCGCTGGGATTACCAAGATTTAAATATGACAAGAAAAACGAAAAGGATTCTGGTCATGATTCATGACGCCATCGTGCAAATGGCCTATTAAGAGCAAGAAAAAGATGTGTTTTTTTTTCAAGGACCAAAGTTTTTTTTTTAACTCGCTTGACAACGAAGTCATCAACTCTAGATCCCTTCCCTTTTTTTTAAATAAGTAGTTATGACACGTTAAACTGCAGTGTTGAAGACGGCCTAAGTTTGCATAAGTTCTCCCCGCCAGTTTTCTTTCTGTATTTTTCCTTTTGTTTGGCAAATAAATGAATAAATAAATAAATAAATAAACAAGTAAATGAATCCAGCTTTAACTAAGATTAGAAATATAAGATAAATGGAAGGGGTCGTTAACACAAAAAACGCACATGAAATTAGAAATTCAATTAAAAGGTAAAATCAGATGTCTTCTTAGTACTGACTGAACAGATAAACTCTTAAAATTAAGCTCCTTAAGTCGGGAATCTAATTTCAACTTTTTTGGAAAATAGATGAAAATTACAGGAGCCACTGAAATGACCTGAAACAAAATCCCACAATACAGCGCCTTTATAACACTGAGTTTTTCGAATAATATGTAGAAAGTCACGGGGCAACGGGCTTATTTTGTCCTCAGACGTTAAACGGAGTCTTTTCACACAGCTTACATAGGAAATCAACGTTATTAAACAGTTGTGAAATAATTTAACGAGACTTAATTTGTACTCGTATCATAAATCGAGTTGCACGAGGCTGGTAACTTCCATAACTGTTATCGATGGCATATCCCATTGAAAATTATTAAAACTTAGCCTTTAAGTAATACAATCCAGAGCCATCCTCGGAGACCCAGGGGCAGTCAGTCGGGTCGGGAGAAAAGGCGCGACGAAAGCCTACCGCTGGGTCTCCGAGAATGGTCTAGAGCTTGCACGGATTTAACGTGATCTAATTTAGTAAAATTCACCCTGATGGTGATGTTGTATGTTGACAGTAAGGAGGATCATCTTGAAACATAAGTCAAGAAGAGATTCTCGTTTTAGAAAAGAGATTTATGTCTCTCTAGAATTTATAAGTTTTAAGGAAATTTTGCTTATCTTCTCTTTTTCCTTGCCTTTTTTATTTGTATAGGTTTTTGGGCTGCCGAGGTATTTCCTTGAGAAGTAGATGCACTGAGCTGACAAGTCTTATAAGAATTGTGGGATTGATAGGGAGATAAACGGGTCACATCCTCCCTTGAAACTGTAGTTCTGGTTCATATCTTATATTATAATGTACTGTTGGTTTCCTGTAAGTTTGATTTCACTGTTACCGTGTTTTTTTTTTTCATCAATAGAGAGATTGAGAGTGAACTTTACGGCAAACGTCAGATTCAAGTAGAGAATTCCTTAAAAGAGGGGAGGTGCTTAAAGCAATCCAAAACAATTGTTGTAGACAAAAACAACGTGAAGGTGCTAATTTGGGGGCAGAAGTATTGATAACAGTAAAGCACAAGTGACTTGGTTACATGGTACAAATTCACGTTTGCCTTTTGCCGTAATGCATGGTTCAATTTGACCTGTTACCATGCCTCCCCAAGCATTTCCAATTTTTTTCTTCCCTGGTGGTCTATTCCCCACCCCCGGACACACAGAAGGAGATAATTCCCCACCCCGAGCCCCTGCAAAACAAGACGTTTTCTGAACTAATATGAACGTTTTAGAGCGGTTTTCACTTGACTGTCGAAAGGGATTGGTTTTGGTTTTGGTTTTGGTTTTACTACGCCCTTTGGTTGGCTAGTGTATTTACTTTGGTTTTGGTTTTACGACAGTCAAGTGAAAACCGCTCTATAGAGTTATTGAGAGAAGAATAATACATGTATGCAGTTTAAGCGCGAACAATACATTTGATAGATCAAATCTATGTTTATCTATCTATATATTATATTAAAAGCCTTGTATCCGTTTCCATATACAGTCTATTGAAGTTGTCTTACTATTAAACTAGACAGAAGAAATATTTCTTTGTTTCTTTTGCAACTGAAAAAAAAAACATTTAAGTACGCACCATACGCTTTGATAGGTTATTCCTCTTCAACCACTCTACGACAAATTCCTGCGTTTTCCCTTGAAAATACATAGCCTTGAGCTGAGTTTCAAAGCTTCGTGCAAACTACGCGAGAAATAACACGTACTTCTCAAAATGAAAGAAAAGTAATTTTTGATTTCCCCCAGCCCCTACCCCTGGACAGGACGGCTTCAAACAGTTCCCCACCCCCGGCCAGAAGGGGAGGACTTGTCCCGGGGTTTGCCCGGGGGAATGGTGACACGTTTAACTGAACCATGCATAACCGTGACTCTAAAAAGTATTTAGAATATCACATCGTCGTGGCCTTTGGCCGAAATCACAACACAAATCACACGCAGCAGTCGTGTTTCCTGGCTCATTTTAAATGAATGAAAATTTAAATGAATTTAAATTTGAATACCTTTTTTATAGTAAATGACTGTAATTACGCCGCCATTATGCTACCGTAGTCCTTAGTAGCCTTTGGTACAGGGCGGCGGTTTCCACCCACTCTATTGTTCGTTATGTCTACTCTTCCATCCTTCCTCTGGTTTCCAAATCAAGGTTTGCGACACTCAGGAAGGACTGGACAATCACTCACCGCAAAATTACGCTGCCTCACACTCCAAACTACAGCTAGACTGCAAAACAGTCGGTATTTTTCTCAAAATCGGTGAGGCGTAACGTAAGAGGTTTTATGCGCGCGAACCTCACACGCCCGTAGGGGCGTATTTTTAGCGCCTCTCTCTAGTTCTCGTTCTCGCTCCAGACCTTTTGTTTGACTGTTCGCGCGAACTTGAATACGCAAAAATACGGACTGTTTTGCAATCTAAAGTACAGCCATTTAGACTGTTCACAGCCTTCTTTTAAGGCGCTTACGCAACGACGACGGCGACCGCCACGAGAACGTCCACAAAGCAAAGCAACAACTCTGCACGTGTGGCACGTGCATCACCTTATTTGGTGCCTTTTTTGCCGTCACTACACGACTACGAGGGGAAACTTTCTAAGGGACGGACCATTAGAAAACTTATGGGGAGGGCGGGCGAAGTACAAAAAAAATTTTCGCGCAAGGGAAAATTGAATGAAAAAAAATTCTTGCACGCCAATTAATCCTAAAAATATTCATGCTATGGCCTAAAAAAAGTCATACAAGGAATTTGATGACGGAAAAAAATTCCTGCGGCTCGAAAATTCCCCCCCCCCCCCCCATAACTTTTCTAATGGTCCGTCCCTAATTTCACATTTTAGATAGGTCGTAAACAGAAGACGATTAATTTTTCTTCTTCTCAAAATGGATATATTCCTTAAGAATTATACTCCAGGCTCCAGATGTTGAAAGGGCGAATAACGCTATCCTCTTGATAAATTTCAATCCAGCGGATAACGCAATTGTTTCTCCTCATACTTATCTGCTGGATAGTAAATTATCTGTTGGATAGTGAATTATCCGCTGGATAGCCCTATCCAACGTTTGAACAACCAGGGCCACAAAAAATCGCCAACATTTGCAAGAGGTGGAATTATAGCGAGAGTTACCAGCGCGAATCCACTTTTTTGGTGACGCTTTCGTTACTGTCGCCGTTGCCGTCGCCATCGTTTGCTAAGCTCCCTATCTTCTCGTTGGACGGACGAGCTGGACGCGTATCTCCCTCACAGTTCGCGCTTCTTTCTGTTGTTAATTGTCGGGTCCAGACTGCCATGAGAAGAAAGAAAGGCTGTGGACAGTCCATAGCATAGTCATGAACTATTTGGCCCACGCGTGTAATTCAGTGCAGAAAGGCTAATTTACGAAAGCCAAAAAATTATTATAGACAATCGCTTTATTATTCTAATACGACTGGGTAATTGCAGGATCACTTTTGATCGAAGTACACTGCCATACTGTCCTGTAAATTTTACCACATTTCAACAATTAAGATCGTCTTAATTTTTGCGTAATGGGAAGCGTGAATTGCAAAAGTCGTTGCCGCCTGCCGTTTTGCGTTTCCAACACGGGGAATAACGTCAGCGACGTGTTTCCTGAAATTGAAGTAATATAATTATGAATTTAATGAACAGATTGTCAGACAAGAAATAAAACACGAATATCAATTTTGTATTGCTACGGTTTGTTAAGCCCTTTCGCTTCAAGCGGTGCAAGGGACGCAAAGGCCCTTCCCTAGACCCCTTTCGCTGCGAATTCCGTTGAAAGTCCCACGAGGCGCCTGCATACGAGGAAGGACTTAAAGCCGGTAAATAAATACAACTCGAAACAACATTGGTGGGAGGCGAGGCTGCATGTTCTAAACGACCAATTACCCTGCAGTGGGGACAAAAATAGAATGGCAAATGCCCCACCCCCGGGGATCTTCCCCAATCAACTTTATAAGACAAAACTGCAGAGGTAAGATGGATTTTCACTGTCGCGTAATTTTAACGTACGTACGTACGCAAATTTTACGCCCGTAATTAAAACAGGGGCAATTTATGAAGTGTCGCGCGTAAACGTAAAAATTGGGCGAGTTTCATCTTTTACGTTTGCGCGCAACCTTTCATACATTGCCTCATTTGTTTTTTCCGCACGTAATTTTTACGCGTGTACGCATATGGAAATTACGCGACTGTGGATATTCACCCTAAAGGTGGATTTCGACTGTCGCGTAATTTTTTTGTGCGTACGCACGTAAAATACGCGAGGTTCAACTTTTACCTTTACGCGCGGCCTTTCATGAATTGCCCCTTTTTTAAAAATTTACGCACGTAAAAATTACGCGACAGTGGAAACCCACCTTTACGCGCGATTACTGACCGCTCGATTGAAAGGCTTTCATAAATGTATACAAGCGAGAAGACTTGCTATGTGAGCTATGTAAGAAATGACTTTATGCGTGATCCCTGATCATGAGGAAACAAGCTAACTTTGTTCCCCTCGAATGATTTTCTGAGGTGGAGATTTGAGGATTCTTGATTACAAGTAAATCGCCGTTTATTTAACATAGGGTGAAACGTGATAATACATAAGCAAACACTAATGGCTAACGCTTGTACCGGCAACATTAAACCCTTATGTTAGCAAGTACCATAATGACATTGTTTTGTTCCAAAAGACCTTGACAACCAGCTTTGTGTCAACACTGACAGCATCTCTTTATAAATATTCAGCTGGACTCAATGCGAGTCACACGTTTTGTATGCCAAAGCATAATTTTCATGCGCTTATTTATCCTCAGACAATTTACTTTACGGCAAAATAAGCAGCAGTGAAGGAGAAAAATGTTCTCTCTCCCTACCGCGTCTCACCTTGCTCGAGTGAGGTGATTTTCACCCGGCCGGGCTCACGTGTTTCCATAATAAAGAAAAATAAGGGACTACTCCTATTCAACTCTTTTCTTCTTAATCACTACCTTTCGGAGAATGCTATAACGATCCGTGAAAAATTAATCTACTATCTACTTAATCAAAAATTCGGGATCCTTTTCCAGTAAGACAGCCTTAACTCCCTCAAAGTGAGCGTTAGCATAGTAATTTAACTCATCCTTGGTTTGCTTGTGAGTCAACTTGCTGACATCATCTGGCAACTTGCGAAGTTTCTTTCCAGTTTGCATTGCAATCATCTGCAAAATAACAGTATACAGAGATGACACTTATGTTTTTCGGGAGATGAATTTTTGGATGGGCATGTTTTTTGTTTGATAAGCTATAATCACTGCCTCTTCAAAGAGAAAAAATGGTTTTTAACGTACGGCATGGAGTGGCAGGCTTTGTAACGGGGGAATTTAAGATTACGAGAACGGGATAAGTGCGCGGGAAAGATGGAAGCCAGGGAATCTTTCTTCCTTCCTTCCTTCTTCCTTCTTCGCGTGCCGCCCTCCGCCTAAATCTCCCCCGCCCCCTCCCCCCGCCTTTCTCCTCATTAAACACCAGCCACGCTGTAAGCAAATGCATGTTAACTTGACATTACCTGCAGCATACAAGCTCTCTCCATGAAGTACGCGTTGTCAAATGTAACAGCCACAGTGGAACCAGTAAACAGTACTCCATGGTTGGCCATGAACAGGACAGATTTGTCTCCAATCAGCTTCGCCAAACGGTCACCCTCTGAACAGTCTTTTGCTGCCCCTTCAAAGTTTGAATCATAGGCAAAGTCATTATAGAAACGGCAGTGAGTCTGATGGTACATGTCAAAAACTTCTTCCTCCAACATTCCTGAAAACCAATTGAAACAAGGATCGTTGTTTCAAACAATCTTATCACTGTTCACAGTTGCCCTGAACTTCACACGACTCTCAAATGGAGCGCTTGCTTAAAGGTTACCCTGTTATTTCTTTGCCAGCAAAAAACAAGTTCACATAGTATTGCCTGTTTAGCCTGAACTGAGCAACCGATTAACATGTAGAGTCAGATCCAAGTGGGTGGGTCCCGACCTCCTCTCCTCTCTTTTTGACAAAATCTGCACAAAAAAATTATCTACTTAGTGTAACTGTACACGACAAAAAAGCCTCTTACGTAGAACTCCTTTGGACTCTCCATGGATGACGACAAGAAAGGATGTAAATCACTAGCTTTAAATAGTTCTTACAGCGAGAAAAAGCTGAAACCCTCTCCTAAACAAGATGCTCTTAACTCGGGCTACAATGGAAGGGGTTTAGGGATCAAACAAAACCAAAATAGTGGATGATTTTGGCTTGATTAAATAGTTATATTATATATCACAGTCATAATACTAACAGTTAGTAAAGAAATGTAAACAGTGAGAGAAGAATAAGGGGGAAAACTTAGGACTAAAACTCTAGACCTTTTGCTCGAAGAACCAGTCAGTGTTGCCGCTTCACTAGGAACCCAGTCAGTCGAAAATTATCTGTTAAAATGAAAAATGTCCTATATGTTCTCACAATGGATAACAAAACCTACTTTCTAAAAGAGAATAAAAAACTTGCAAAGTGAGTCCTAGAAGATTTTTTTTGAAGTAATGATTACAACACGATAGAAAGCAATTCAAGCTGCCAAAACATTATGGCCAACTCTTGGGTCCTCTCATACTTAAGTTTGTTTACTTCATTTCTATGACAACTCGTCCAACAATCCATCTCAGATAAATTTGCACAGTTTGTGACTTGGAAACCCAATAATTTTTTTTTTTTTATAACAGTAAACAAAAGGATAAATGTCAATTTGTGCGAAGCCCAAATAAAATCTCCAGGATCTGTCACTGACTTGTTATATTGTCATCAGCTATTTTCTGTATTTCTCTCAAAAGACAAAAATGTTTATACCTAAAGCTGTGGTGTACGGAGCGTGAAGATGAAAAACGCACACAGCATCTTTTCTTGCATCATGAACACCCTTGTGTATAGCAGTGGCCTCTATTTGAACTTCACCTTGGCCTTCCACCAGCTCACCTCTGTCATTTACACTAATCAAAGAGGATGGGGTGGCCTGCGCAAATAGAAAAGCATGGAAATTTTCTAGTAGCCTGTGTATCCTGCAGGATGGTTTACATGAGCAAAATTTTGGCAGAGGAGCTGCAAAGTTGTGTGAATAATGGGGAGGAGATACTTTGAAATCGCTTCTTGCACCTTTTGCCGAAAGAATGCTACTCTGCTAAAACCCCCCGCACAGGTAACAGTTGGTGCTCCCTGATGAAATTTGTTTTTAAATATCTTCTTCCTATCTCTAAAGGAGATTTGTGTATTGGTAAAGGCACTAGGTAATGACTTTAGTGCAGAATTGAGCTCAAACAGTAATATCCTCATGACCTAGCCTCCCTAACAATAAATGGAAGAGCGGGTCACTGCAGAGGTGGAACAGGAGGTCATTATATATCGCCGTTAACAAAACACGAATTGGACCGCTTGGATCGGATCATATTGCAGATCAGATGGGACTGGCATTTCTGTTGGTGGAGAAGAATTATTTTCAAGAAACGACATAGCTCAGAAGAAAAAATCCAAAAGTTTCCCCCAACAGAGTCGAACCTATGACTAGTCCAGATGTGTCTGGACAAGAAACTAGTAGAACATAGGTTAGACTCTTGTTGTTGAGACTCAGAGTTCTTCTTCCGAGCTGCCTGTGTCACAAATTTAAAAACATTTTTTTCTCATGATGATCGTTTCTCACCATTCACTATTTTCACATAAACCATAATGCACCTTGTTCACCCCCAAAAATTTTGCATAACTATTGTTTCAAATTTCTCTTGGGTATTACAGTATTCCCAAGAGAAATTGAAAACAACAGTTATTCAAAATTGCGGAAGTATTGTGGTATTATTGGCACTATGATTTAAGTGAATATAGTGAATTGGTTCTAAAATCATCACAAATAATTATTATTATTTTGAAATAAACTGCTATGCATTTGGGAATTTTATGTTGCATAACTTCATAAGATTACAAATACCAAAAACATGTATGGTCATGTGACATCACCCGTATTGAAGATGGCAGAGAGAGAAGTATCTTGAAGCAGTAATTTTGTGTTATTTCTTTTCATCTCTACTCTCTTGTGAAGTGGAATTGAATGGTTCTTTTTCAGAGGAGATGATTAAGAAACTGTGGGGAATAAGAATAAGTAAGAAAGATATGATAGCAACGACTTGTTGTCATAAGCAAATTACTAGTCTGATCCAATCCAGAATCTTATCCGATCCAGATTTTGTTGATGGCCGGTCAGTAATTCGAATAATGACCCGTTAGTTCGAAAACAACGGAAAGGTGCTAAAAATAGGATTATGCCCTCGTTCCTCAGCCTTCTTAAAAATAATTAATTAATTATTAATTTAATTAGTTTATTAATGAAAAATAATTACCTTGGAGCTCAGGCATCATCTTATATTAAAGCAGCCTTAACTCTTTGTAGTAGCATTATTATTGTTTTCGCCACCTTTGTCACTGTTCAGTGTTGTCGCCGTCGTTTCATAACACTGCATAAACTACCTTATGTCTGCAGTCTTCATGTGTCTCATACTATCGAAGCCCTTGCAACACAAACTAGCATTTTACAAAGATGAACAAGATTGCTACAAACCTGACTCCAGTGAAGCCCGTGGGGTATCATGAGCATGACATCGCCATCTCCATTCAAGGCTGGCGCAATCATCGTTAGATGAGTGCAAACACCTTCTCCCATGCCGTAAAAATCGAGGCCTCGAAATGCTGTGGCCAAATCTTGCCTGCATTTCCAATTGGTCCTTGCAGCTGTTTCAGCCGGACTTAAGTTGCTCTCCGAGCTCTTCGGTCTCTTTAACAGTAAAACTGGTGAATGCCTCAGAAGCTGGCGAGTGGAATAGTTGAGCACTTGGCGCGGAAAGCACTTCAGGTTTCGACAGACAAAGGAAGTCATACTTAAACTTAACTAACAGATCAAATAGTCCAATCCCAATTCACTGTGGAGCAACTACAAAAAGCAAGGACTTTCTACATGAAGTCAAAGAAACACAAAGCTCCTCCGCTAACTTTAAACTTCAGCAGTGAACTCAATTACACCTGATTTACGTAAGTTAGGCATGTTGTACCACCGCGCATCATTGCGTGAATGCACCGTGAGCTGTGACGTCGGTCACGAAATCTGTTTTGCCTCGCTTTCGACCCGGAAGAGGGTACTTCCTGACGGAGTGCACTTCATACCTTTTAGGGGGTTTAAATTTGTGGATTGCTACCGCTTAGGGTGCTAAAACCTAACATGACTGCTGCCAGAATTGAAACGCTCATTAGGATAAAGATTTATGACAATACTTTCAAAACGTCCTTGAGAAGAAAGTGGTCGAAAGTTATCTTTGTTACTATTAAAATTTGCAGTGCCAGTCATATCATTTGTTGTTATCAGGAGCCCATCAAATGGAGCCTCCATCTGCCATACAAGCCCTTGGAGTCAACCCTTTCCCGAGTGGATTTATAATTAGAACGGTTCCCAGGGGAGACTTCGCGTGCCGACGGTGGCAAGCGCCAATCACAACGACGAAATGACACTGCTATTGTGGGCATGTTCATCAAACAGCAGGAAATTCGGTGTTGACAGGCCAAAAACAATCATATTAGCTAGTGAAACGTGACTTAAGCGTTTTCATCCCTCAGAGACTTTCTTTCTTTTCTTTCTAGCGGGTAGATTACTATACTGTGGAGAGTTTTAAACTCTGACTATGTAATCTTAATTTTGGTTGCTTGTCTTACATTAAGAGGCCATGAAGCTGGTCTGTTTACATGCATAATGATTAACTACTACCTGCAGTCTGTATGGGCTCCTGTTGTTATTGAATTGGTACCTCTTAGAAATGAATTTGGAGCACGCCCATAAAACAAGATTCTGGTCTTTTAGGGTTGTTCTCGAAATTTTCCCAAGAGCACTCCCGTCACTTTTATTGGGGAGTCCCCCCCGGGGGGGGGTGGCTTTCGATGAGCATTTTCATCATCTTATTCTTTTGACACTAAGCCTGTGACTGGTCCTTGTGGACCGTACGTTAACCTGTTTTATAGTCATGGTTTCGGATTTACGGCCCTCTTTTCGCTACGTTTTGCGTTCTGAGATAAGTAACCAAATTTTTCGCCTACCCACCTCCACTTTGGCGACGTGTATCTGTCTACATTCTGACCCTGGGTAAAAATTTTCCCCTTAATTTATGAGTGAACGAGTGGCTAATGTGCAGTGAAGAAATTAACGAATGATGGAAAGTCGGTGTGTCCGTTTATGGGAGGAGGGCAAAGGATGGTTAAGCTTTAGGGGGCTCTGTTATTTATGTTTTTTATTTGGTTCTTGGGGCAAGATATCAACTTGGACATTGTCCTGTCTCTTGCTCCAGTTGAAATATTGATCTATTTTATTTTATTTTACTTTATTTTCTTTATCTAACGTATTTTATATTTTTTTGTACATATTACTGAACTGATAACATACAACGAATTCAATAAAGTAAAGTAAAGATCTGGGTAAATTAGCACGGCCTACTGCAGGCAATGAACATGCAGAACACAGCACGGATTGACAAAGCCTGTGAAAACTGCCGTCTCGCTCCTCGCCGTTGGAGGAGAGACGCCTATTTTTGTCGGCTGTGTATGCCTAGGCCTCGACCTTTTGTTAGCGCTCTTTATACATAGTCGCACTAGAACGAGGTAAACTTTTATTGAGGCTCTTACTAGTACACCCACATGAAAAAAGGTACTATGGCGTGAGGATTCCTCGAATAACATCAACAGGGGTAATAAAGCCAGCACAATTGCAAAGCTAGCAATACGGCAAAAGAACAGTTACGATCAGGCCCTTTGCGGCTGCAGTATCAGCTTGGTAATAGGAGTCTGACCCATATCTTGTAGCAGAATTGGATGACAAGAAGTCCTGTTCAAATTAAATCGCTAAAGCAAGATTTGAGATGATACTTTGTGAAAATTTCAACTCGTGTAATTAAGGCAGATGATTTCCCTCAAGAGGTTTGGCTCGACCATAAAAACTGAACCCATTAAAGTACAACCGTTGAAGCGTACTGTCCATAAGAAGAGACTTTTTGAAAAGTCTTGCTATAATTAGCTAACTATTGAAAATATAGCTTAAAACCATTTTATCATTTAGAAAAGTAAAGGCAACCAAATTTTCTTTAGCAATTTCTTAAAATACGAAACTGACTTATTTTTGTTGCTATGAGTTTCAATTACCGATCACCGAGTTTTGTTGCTCAACAATGCACTGATGAGAATGTCTGGAGTAGCGCACACATTGCTTTGCACATATCACATGGAAATAAATTAAGAGACTGCTGTTTTATAATAGGTGGTACCGGTAATCAATACACTAAATGGGAATAATGATCCCCAAGGAATGCAACCGTTAAGTAATTCTTAAAATAACATGCAAGAGCTGATGGACCCAAAAGACTGAAATGTGTCTCAGAATGGGCTGCAGGGTTAGCTTCCCAATCTCTAAACGGTGGCCAATTTTTAGTTTGACAAGTCCTTTGACAGGCCAATTTATTGTGTCTCAGTCCCCACACAACCTAGATGTTGCTCACCTCCGAGGCAACACTACAGTCCTATTATCCATTTGAAATAGCTCTGTCCTGATAGGGCTAAATTTTGGCCTAACTTATGTTTACGTGACTCATTTAGAGGCTTAATCAGTCTTTGGTTCCGAAATGCTAACTATTAGCTGAAATAGACCTTCTCAGTAAAGTATGACATGTTTGATTAATAGACGCTCTAATAGCAAAAATTTTGAGACGCGGCCATGTTATTAAAAATACCCCCCTCCCGTCCAAGAAGTGATTCAATGGTGTCCATCTCAGCCACCTGGCCCTCTCTAAGCACTAAGATTGTATCACAGTCTTTGATCGTGTTCAGTCTATGAGCTATGGTAATGATGGTGGAATCTTTTAGCTTCTCGTACACTGCACCCCAGATGATCCTTTCCGTGTTGGGGTCCACGTGAGCAGTCGGTTCATCCAAGATGACGATCTTACTTTGTTGCAGTAAAGTGCGAGCCAAGCAGACCAGTTGTCGTTCACCAACACTCAAGTTTTCGCCTCTTCCTAATAGCTCGTAGTCAAGTTGGCCCTGCAGATTTTTCACCAAATTATGAAGTTTCACTTCTTCCAGAACATTCCATAGCTCATCATCTCTGTGTTGCTCCAAAGGATCGAGGTTCCTTCTGAGTGACCCACTAAAGAGGACAGGCGATTGGCCGAGAACAGAAATGCATCTTCTCGATTCCTGCAGTTGGATGCTATTTACAGGGACACCATCTATACATATCTCCCCGTCAGCTTCCGGCATGCGCAAAAGAGCCGCTATAATGGATGATTTTCCATCTCCTGTTCGCCCAACAATTCCCAGCTTCCTTCTCCCTTGAGCTGTAAAGGTTAGATTCTTTAGCACTTGTGGTCCACCTGGATAATACCTCAGGAAAACATTTCTGAAAGTTACTTGACCAGTATAAGGCCAGGTTGCTGGTGGGAGTGTTTTTATTTTGTATCCTGGTTCTGAGTCGATGCTGGAGTAGGCCATGACTCGTTCGACTGATGTCATGAGATTCTCTACCTCCGAAAATTGTCGCACGGCATATTGGGACATGTTAGATGTTTCAATAACGTAGACAAGGACAAGGCCAGCTATTGCTGCAACAGAAGGTAAATATTATTCAAGTTATTCACTTGTAAAATCGAAAAAGCGCCGCATCCTCACAGCGAAAAAAGTCGTCCTCATTGATTTTTTATATAGCTACTAAATTACTGCTGAAATGCTAATATAGAGACGTGGTTATTGCTTTTACTTGGATTTGGAAAGGGGCAAAGGCTGTAAAATCACCCGTCGTATAAGACCATACCTGGATTTTGGGAGAGAAAAACAACCATCAAAGCCACTGCAGTGATTAAAACTGAACATAGGGCATCAGCTCTTACGCCAAGCCATCGACTGCTAGCTAATACCATGGAAAACACCCGGTTGTGTACATCTTGATGTCTGAGAAAAAGGAAAAAAAATTGTAGAAAGTTAACATGGCTGTGATCTCTTTCGTCGAATCGTATATTCTCTGCGACAAACGGGAAAAAAAAGAATGGTAATCGCTTTGTTTATACTGTAAGTGGACTAATCTTTTTCACCTTGTCTACACGTACCACTCAAATAAGTATTCCAAATAGATAGAAACTGGGATTTAAAAGGACTGAGATCCCCAAGCATACCCGACTACGAGAACTCTGGACGATTGAGAGACAAATCCAGCTAGTGCTCAGAGAGGGATTCGAACCAGGGACAGCCTGGTTGCGAGTTGACCACTCGCCGTTTTACTTTCTGTCTTGACACCGACGGGTGCATATATGAGTGATTGAACAAAAGAAAGATTTACAGAATGAACAAAAGGAAATTGCATGTCAAACGAAGTAAAGTATCAGACACTAGAAGGAGTAATGTACCGACAAATTTTCCAAATTTCCTTCAAAGTGGATTTCTTTTAACTTGTCAGACTGAATTGTGGCTGCCAGAGTAGTACCACCAACCATTGCTATTACACTTACTGATAAAGCTGCTCGATGAAGTGCTTTTCTCTTTTTCGAGTTCGTATTGTGTCCAAGCCAGCTATGGTCTCTGAAAAGTGTGAGAAGACAGGACTGCGGCAGATTGACTCTAGTCTCTTTAGATCCCGTGAAGTCTTCAAGTAGTACCATGCCAGAAATACAAAAGTCATAAAAATGGGAACTGTAACTAAAAAGACCCAGAAACTTGTAAACGATGGCAAGAGAGCTGCGGTGAACACAAACATGAGCGACTGAGAAGCCAACAGAAAAATTTTGGGCAAAAGCTCGTCAATTGCTCCGATGTCTTTGGAGAATCTGTTTAAAATTCGTCCTGAAGGATTTGTGTCAAAAAAGAACACCGGAGCTTGAAGAACGTTGGTTACCATCTTATTGTGGAGCTTTTCAGCGGATCTGAGGGAAATGTAGAAGAAAGTACAAGCACGGATGATGGCAAATATAAACGCAGCGCAGGTGAACCCAGCATAAATACGTAGGGGGCTTGAGGTCATATCTTGTTTGTTCTGAGCCATCTTTGACAAATGCGAAAGCCAGACATTTGGAGACACCATAACAGCTACGGGAGAAGAAAGAGTAATCCATGTTTAGTCTTTATATCTTGGCATTGTCCGCAAGCATTTAAGTGGGATACAAATTAGTGAGTGATTCAATGACTTCTCGAAGTAATTCTGGCACTGATTTACTTTGCATTCGGCCTTAACCAACAGGACATGAACCCAAAAGCAATCGCGGCGGTCTGATCACGCGCGTTTCTCTCCGTTTGGCCCCGACTAAAGCATTTTGCTTGCCTCGGTTCAGTCACGATCACGTTTGGAGGGAAATCTGATATAATCTGCCCTCGTTCCCATCATACCCCTCTCGCGCTTCTGGTTTGTTTCTAGTCTCGTACCCAGATCTCCCACGGCCAGGGTTAAACAGAGTGAGATCTGGTTACGAGATTAGTTTGTTTCAGCACTCGCCCTTCTTGCTTGTTGCGTGCTCCCCACTAAGCCTTGGGAAAACCTGTGGAGGAGGCAGCGCTTTTGCTACGAATTCTGATAGTTTGATTGGATTGCCTTTGTCTGTTGAGATTAGCTCTAATAATTGTTCTGCAGAATTTTGGTTGTGCTTTGCTGAGGTCGAAGTCAATATTCAAGATCAGTTATACTAACCTTGGACAACTAGGAAAAGAATAACCACGGCAAAAATCGCAAGTGGGTGCATTCCAGCTCTAAAATAATCCCAGTACAATGCTGCTGAAATATTCCCTGCTGCCATTTCTTCTTCTGAGATCTCTAAATGATTGTCAAGGCTGCCACTGGTTGAAGTGGACGTCACGTGCGTTTTTTTACCTTCATTTTTCAATTCGGCAATAGCCCTTTCTTCGTTTATTGTTGCGTTGACCCCTATGATAGATTCCAGGACGCCACCGCGATTTTCTAATTCACGATAGGTGCCAGTTTCTGTTACAGAGCCGTCATGGAGAACCACAATCTTGGTTGCCACCTTCATGCTTCTTTCTGCATAGGTCGATAAAATAGTAATCTTCTCTTTAAGAAGCCTGCAAACGCACTCATTGAATATGTGTTCACTGACTTTGGCATCTACTGCACTTAGAGGATCATCCAGCAGATACACATCTGCATCAACGTAAACTGCGCGTGCCAAGCTAATACGTGCCCGCTGCCCTCCACTCAAGGCGACCCCATGCTCACCAACAAACGAAAGATCACCATTTGGGAGCCTGCCTATATCCTCTTTAAGTGCACATGCCTCGATCACTTCAGTGTACCTCTTTTCATCGTATGGTTCACCAAATAAAACGTTTTCTCGAAGACTTCCCGGGAAAACCCAAGCAGTTTGAGGAACATAAGCCACAGTTCCAGAACAGGACACATCGCCACTTGTTTTAGTTACTTCGCCGGCGATCGCAGCCAAGAGGGTTGACTTTCCACTTCCCACCTCACCACTAATAGCAATAAGGCATTTCTCAGTAGCTTGGAAGCTAACGTCTCGAATAAGATACTTTTCTTGGTGCTCAGCATCAGTCAGTTTACACGTGAGCCTTGAAACTTGCAAGTGTACACCGCGATCTTTAATTCCACTAAATTGCTGGATATCTTTGGTTAGATAAACAGGATGCTTTTGTTCCTTGTTTGCGAAATGATTCCCGGAATTACCATTTAGATACCATTTAGATTCACTGTTTGGTGAACAATTTCTTACTACGATTTGACCATCCAAATGTACATAAGCTGGAAGGCCATTTTCTTTTCCAGTTGAACTTCTTTTGTATTCTGAAGGATCTAAAGGGATGTTACTCAACAATAGAAATCTTTCAATCCTCCTGAAGGAGATAACCAGCTCAAACATCAAAGGAATGGCGTTACCCAACCGAAGAGATAAGGTTATTCGAAGTATGTTCATGAAAGAGAGTACCATGAAGGCTTTTGTGGGCGAAAGTATTTGTCCAGTTGCCATAAGGGTAAAGATTGCTAAAAAGGTTGCCACGGTGCTAGAGGTAAATAGTAAACTCTCAACTATCGACAACAGGCCACTCTTTTTAAGGAGAATCCAAATTTCAGCCCTGAAACACAAAAAACCACACAACCGTTTAGTTTTAATTGTAACAAGAAAAATCTTAAAATGCATTTTATACAAAGAGATTTGACCCAAAAAGTTGTATATAATTCTAGTGAGCTGTGATGCATATACTACCCGGAAATAATCAAAATTTCTGAGAAGAGCCTCCTTTAGCCCAATGAATAATCTGATGTTCTTCCATTTCAGGCTTTTTTCAAGATTTCTTGGCATGAAATCCCTGTAATGCGTTTGTGGAAGCACAGTCTGAAGAATTGGCATGATTTTTCAATAACTTCATTAGGCCAAAAAAGATTTTTCTCTGGAATTCCTGAAAGTTTTGCATGGAAAAGATAAGTTAAAGCCGAAGATAGATGACCTTTTTTCCTCGGGAAGGAGGTCTGTAACAATAAGTACATTCCTTTAGAATTCTTCGTTTAACAGTAGTATAGAAACACTTCATCATGCCCAGCTATACAGGTTCCCAATGAGCAGCCTCCTTATTACCAGGATGGCTCCGAGTCATCCAAGACATTAGTTGTAACGTCGCTTTCCTATGATTAGGATTATGAGGCGCTTAAGAGTTAAGATAACAGAGATAATAACGAGACGCTTGATGATTGTTTAGCAGTATACAGACGTTTTGTGATTTTTCTCGGACCTGAATGCTTATTTAAGCGACAGACAGTCTGAAAAAGAGAGAGTTGAACCCCCGATCTGAAAAAAGAATCCTTTAGTCCCCCCAAAAAACCAGATTTCCATTTCCTTACCTTCTCACGTCTTGCACCTTAGCCCGGTAGTTTTCTTCCCACGCATGCGCCTTGAGTGCGCGGATTCCAGATATCAATTCGTTCATTAGTGAAATACGTCGATCGGTCACCGCAGCAGTCGCTTGTCGTAATCGCGCGCAGATAGACGATATTTTCATGACCAGAGGGATTAACGCAATCAGGAATAATATTCCCATTAATGCCTGCCAGCCGACGAGGTAAAAAACTAAACAGATTACAGCGACCAACTCGAAAACAGCCAACAGAGAAGTTAGAATCCATCTGGGAGCCAGTTCTATTCTCTGGACATCATTTGATATCAGGGAAATGATATTACCCTCTGTAGTTTCTCTAAGGTTTTGTTGACTAATGAGGGGGATCTGCAGAAAAACAATTCGAAGGCTTACTAAAAACTCGTTTAAGTGTAAATATTGTTAGTTGGCAATTGGTTTTCATACTTAATCGCTGGAAAGTGATTTATTTGTTGATTAGCGCGCGCTATGAACTGAACAACCGACTCAGTCCCTAAGCTAAATTTGTTAGAGAAGACCACGACTCTTGAACCTTATGGCCTAAACCGCCGTGACGAATTGTAATCTGTATCCTTATCTATTTTTATATTGTACGTCATTTCCGACTCTCTCTCTTTTAAACAATTTTTATTGCGACATTCTCCATTTACTTAGTACCAGCCGAAATATTCTGAATATTGTTAAAAAATCAATACACGTTGTTATCAGCTTTGCAGTAGTCTCAAAACACATATATACAAGCATACCTTTAAGTAAATTATTCCTTTCAGAGCACTGCTGAGCCTCATACCAAGCAACTCAAATCTGTAGGCGGAATAATGTGTACAGGCGGTGGACAATCCACCCATTGCTAAGAGAAAACAGAAAACGTATACAAGAGCATGATCCGGCTTCTCAGTCGAGCTCAGCAAATGGATGAGTAAACCCAGAACAAGGGGCTGAGAAATGCGAAACAAGGATTCCATGAACCAAAAGTTCATTAGTAAGACAATCTCCCTCCAAGGAAGCATTCTCAAGATACATTTCCAGAGTTTAGGTTTCTTTCCACCTGTGGCCTCGATATTACATTCCTCTACCTGGTCATTCCATTCTTTCTGAAGTTGCTCCGTCAGGTCACGTGTTCTGTCATTCTCGTGTAGCGGCAAAAAGTCTGACTGGTTCAGCGGTCTCTTGCTTCCTGTTTTGAAGATACTATTCATCCACTTAAAGGTCAGAAGAGAGCAAAAACTGGTAGATGACCGGACTGTAGGATGACAAGGCTCCTCAATGTCATAATTTTCATCTGTTGCTAATGTCTTGTAACGTATCTTTGACATGTCACTGTCAAAGAAAGTCACAACAGGTTGGTTACAAGTCGTTGTAAACTTGGGCAAATAAGAAAGTCAACAGTCAGGTTCCTCTTATTACTCCAACTGCAATTTTAATGATAAACAGGTATTAAGGAATGATCAGAATACCACTGAATACTCTTAGCTGACCTGTTTAGGCTAACTTGGGAAAATCCAGGTTCTTAGTCGCGGGTTTTTACTATATTCGTTTTCTCTTTGACAGAATCACCTGATATCTTTCTTCTGGAGTTTTGAAGAGTAGTGTGAGAAAAAAAAAATCACTGAGGGTGAGTTGTTATAATCATAGATTAACTGCGACCCAAATGCCATAAAGTGTGAACTAAATGCTTCCATGCAACAGTCATAGGAGGGACCGTATTTATGTTAGGCTGAAATAGCTCTGTTTTCCGGCTTGTCTGGCAAGGGAATACCCTGCCGGAGATTTTTCGTGACTTCGCCCGAAGATCAGTCGGTTTGCGGTCGACACCGAAGCATCCAGCGGCACGCGAGAAAAAAACCTCTGCTACCCAGGGAAGTGATGGAAGAAAGTTGCGGCGAACATTGTCAACTCTAGTGAAAAGTTAAGTTGAAAAACTCGACACTTATAAAAGAATCTAAATTCAGATATTTCACTGTTAAGTAAATGAACGAATATTCTAATTTTGGACATTTTCGTATGAAGTTACAAGTTGGTAATAACGGGCACGAGGCCTGAACTGTGGAAACTCCGTCGGTTGTGCAAACCTTTTATGGATTTTTTGGAGGAATGCCTCCAGACCATTTTGGAATTTCAAAGCCTCTGAAACACTATTTTCAGCATTTTCCATTCGGTAGTTCTCTGACAACATCATCCTTGGCTATTTTAAGAGTAGGCCAGTGACTTGTTTTGCTTAATACTAGCCACGGCCGCCTGAAAACATGACATAGTGGATGGCGATCGCTTGAGAATATCAGGAAGAAGCCGAGTTCTTTATTACTACTGAAAAGTCAACGGAAAGAAGCATAATCGTCACTGACTAAGGGGAATGAAATTCAGTAGAAGAGCAAAAACCGACAAATGTAACAGAAAAATGAAATTGAAATGTTGGAATCATACTTGTCTTCTTCAGCCTTATAGAACAGTGAAAATTGTAGATAACTTAACTTGGCTGTTATCAAACCACTTGTCCGCTTGAGATATGATAATTCGAGTTGCATTGTCAATCGTATTGTAATGTTGTGAGTGACACCGGAAATAGACATTTCTTCGCTAAAAGACATCTAAAAGAGTATCTTTTGACCAACTTTTCCGCTAAAACGATAGCAAAGGTGAGAATTTCGGTTTTTAGGGCAATAAAGCCAAAAAAATTATGGCGGGCTTATGGTCACACACCATTAACCCTTTCACTGCCAAATGAAGCCAAAGGCAAATTTCGAGTAAGTTTGCAAATTTCATTCAGTAAAATTTTGAAAGACAAATAGCGCCATGTGTCAGTACAGGTAGAGAGCGTTCATTTGAATGGTCACATCATAGGATTTGGTCCGCGGACTCAAAAGTTAGAGTCACCTTACAAAACTCCATCAAGCACTCTGGCAGTGAAAGGGTTAATTAAAATTATTAAATCTTAGAGAAATACAATTCACAACACTTACCGCTTAGGATCTGTTCAAGGCTTCCGCATTCCTTCGCGATCGACACAGCCGTATCAGAAACCTTTTCTATTGCCAGCCGGATCCGATGTAAAATTTTTGGTTCTCTTTTTTCCTTCAGTATAAGTACCAAATAAATCACTGATCATAGATCGTTTTTTCTAGGCCATGTTGCTACTAAATCTTTGCGCTACGAAACGTATGCTAATCAGCATATTTTCGTGTTGATTTTTCATCTTTACAACTGATAGACGTGGCGAAATAGAAACGGATGCGAAGAGTTAAAATTAGAGTCCGACTACAGCGTGAAAATATAGGCCAGGCTGTCCATTTCTCCACAAAAAAATCCCTTTTATGTTTGAATCGGTTTTCTTTTCCCAGTGGAAAGGGAAGGATTATTACCTATTGTTGATTCCTTTGATACTGGTAATTATTCACTCATTGATCATTCCTGCACAAGAGTTGCTATTAAATTGAATCAATTTGACATATATGCGTGCTATTATTATGAAAGCCAAAATTTCATCAATGGAAAGACACACTGATTTGATTTTTTAAAATCAAATTTCACTCAGAGTTTCAATTAATCTTATGCTTGTACCTAAAAATGGAAGCATAAGGAGAAGTTAAACTATTTCCTTCAATGATTCATACACTTTTTTATTAATCTTATTCACTCATGCATGTAATCTGAAAATTCAAACGCAAGTGTCAGTTCACACCAAATGTTAGTCCATTTTGCAGTGTTGTCAACCTCTTGCTATGAAACTAAACTTTCAATGGATGAAATTAATTGGTTTTTAATGTCAAAAAAGATTAATTAAGTGAAGACAGCTTCGAGACAAACACGTCTCCAATAAAAGTCTAACGTTAGAAGTCAAGAAACATGCACCCCAATAGCAATCGTTTTAATATTCTCAGTCAATTTTGTCCATCAGTGCCTTCTTTTAAAATTTTTTCTTCACCCTTGGTTTTCCAACTCTTTAACTACAGCTGTTATTTTTATATTTCACTCTTGAATTTAATAGCCAGTTCGAAATTTTCGATGGTAAAGGTACGTGCAAACGGACGCACAGAAATCCCAACATTATTGGGCCAATAATGTTGGGAGTTGTTGGGTCCGTGTTGGCAGTGGTGTGCAAATGGTGCAGCAACTCCCAACAATGTCGGGACCTACAGTGCATCGTGGGAAGAATACACCCCATCTGAAGACTTGGGAGACCATGTGTAATCTCAACAATGCTTGAGGACCTGTGCATTGCCAAACGAATCTAACATTGTGGCACTACTAGCAAGCTCTCCTATTTGGGCGAGTGAAACGAGTCTCGCGAGAACGCGCGAGCGAGCGGCGAAGCCCCTCGCTCGCGCGTTCCCGCGAGGCTCGCTTCGCTTGCCCAAATAGGAGAGCTTGCTCGCACGCTATGGCGCTACCCGCTTGGGCGACCAAGGAAAAAAGAAATGTTGGGAGTTGTTGCCTTAAAAGTTTTCCCGGTTTTAAAATTTGGGCAACAACTCCCAACAACACGCAACAACATGCAACAACGGGGAAAAGGTTGTGAAAACGGACGCAACGTCCCCTTGGGAGTTGTTGGCCAAATATGTTGCGTCCGTTTGCACAGGGCTTCATGTCACGTCAATCATGTTTTGTTTTGAGTTCCTTTTGATGAAAATTTTTACAGTTCATGAGGATGCGCCTAACTTCTGCGTCGATTCTGATCTTTGATGTAATATATCAAACATGAGACGCAGTGTTTCATCACCAGATGAAACACCGAGAAGAGAGTTGAAAATACGACGCGCAGCGGAGTATTTTTGACGAACTGCGAGGTGTTTCATCTGGTGATGAAACACTGTGTCGAATGTTTGATATTTCTTCTCAAACAAAATCATTTTTGAAGGAGAAATTAAGGATGCAAATACTGAGCAGTTTTTCATCCGATTTCCAAACACTCATTAAGAGGCAGTCTCCCTAAAAGCGGTCCACTCGATTTCGCGACAAAAAATACTTTTGCTTTATTTTTTGTCGGTGAAGAGGCTTTAGTAGTTGTATACTAAAATCGCTATTTTTGTTTTCAAATTCTTATTCTTAGCTCTGCTACAAGCCAAAAACGAATTGAGTCCGTCTCGGCTTCTCAGAGAGTGTTTCGAAGACTAAAATTGATGGATTTTGAAAAGCGCGTTGCAAACAACCGAATGCCCGCACAAAAAATCTGTTCGATTCAGTTTTTTTAGTTAACCTTCGATAGTTCACAGGCTAAATAAAAATATCTTTGATCAAAACGTGTTCAAGTTACAGTGGTTCAGAGAATACCTATTTTGCAGGCTTGATCGAAACCTTGAAAGTAAGAGAGATTTGAGGCAAAATATCTCAAAAGTTGCGGCCTAAATCTGGTTTAAAAATCATATCAAAGTAAAGTTTTAAGCTTATTTTTTTGGTTTATAGGCTCAGACTTGCGGGTATCTTCTGGGATTGCAACCAACAGTAGATTATAATCTGCCATTTTGCGTATTTGCATAAATACAGGCCGTGTCAGATGTCATGATTGTACAGGTTAAAAGTTCCATAAAATTGCCTCTTTTGACACTTGAATTCGTCTCCGGCCTCTAAAAGAAAGTAATTAAGCTTCTTTAAGTACTTTTGAATCGAAAGAGATATACTAACAGGGATGGTCATGCATGTTACTGATTACCACGATCAACTGGCGGACGCCATCGTCTTGTAACTACCTGCACTGAACAGTAAACAATGTTTTTAATAGAATTCTCTAGATCAGAAGTTGATCCAAGCTCTCTAAGTAACAAAAATAAATATCACTATCCCGGGATACAAAACATGCACAAGAAAGGCAACGTAGAATTTTAAGTTCTTTCCGCAATTTCAGAGTGAATTTCACCGCGGTGCATATAAAAGTCCATCAATTATTGTAATAATCAGGCTGTTTAAAAACGTTTGACGCACAACAAAAACAATTAGTCATTTACCGTTTTATCTGTTCTCGGTAAATAAGACGCTTACCTTTACTTTAGATTCTTGATGGAAGAAGACTATCCAGGCACCTGAAGTTAGGCAGTTTCGTTTTAAAATCAAATCATAGCGTGATAGTGTCACGTAATGTTATGGTCACGTGGCTACGTAACCCGTCGGTGGCCAAAATCTTTGTGATAAACGAAATTTCTGTTTCTCTCCAGAAAAAAAAGTCCTAATTGAATGAGTTTTTCCTCCCTAAATTACACAAAATGCGTATCACACCAAGAAATTTGTATTGGTAATGAATCATTGGCCGTTTTTATGCTAGAGACGTTAAAGTCGTCTAGACGCATTTAACGTCTGAGACGTTAAAGTCGTCTAGTGTAAAAAC